TTTTTTTAAATAATCTTTTTAAAATTGAAAATTGTGAGATGTAAAGGTATAAAATGTTAATTTTATTAATTAATTAATTTTCAATTGCCACGTCAGTATTTTAATGGTCAAACTTAACTGTTGACCGCCACATAGGACAGATTTAACGGAACTAGACGGCGAGTGACCAAAGATGATATAAACTAGTAGTATCAGTGGCTAAATTGAAGGGAAAGTGATTTGGGTGGCTAACTTGTTACAAATAGATAATATGAGTGACCAAACTTGCAATTCACCCCATTAATAATTTAAAAATGTGCTGATTTATATACCCTATACTCTTGACAGTACTGAGATTATTCAAGTTACAGTAAGATATCCCAACAACTTTACCCAAGCAAAGCATGAACATGAAAGTTAACCGAGAAAATAATAACAAATGTCGGAAATAAAAATTACTTACTTGGCAATATCCTTCCCAACAGCTTTTAATTGGACTACACCGTATAATAAGATGGACGAGATGTTGGGGATAAATTCCAGAAGGTAGTGATTTGGAGGGGTATCCATCCCACTGCAGCCATCTCAAACCATCAGGAAGTGAGTCAAGCCCATCGAAAGGCAAATGGATTTTCTTTATCTCCCGTATAACTATTTTGCCTGCATACCTTTGTAACCTAGGTTCCAGCGGCCACCAGAATTTGAGAAATGTAAGAGAATCCATCCCCTTAAAAGCATTGGCTTCCAGACGCATCTCTTTGGCTTTAGAAAGTTCCAAACTGATACCTTGAGTAGTTCTCAATTCCTCCAATGAACATTTGTCTTTCTCATCCATGTCAATGACTTTCCTCCTTTTCCTTCTCGGCCGAACCATCATCCCTATGCCTTTGAGGAAGGAGTATATATAACATGTTGTCCAACTTTCCACCTTCGTAGTTGCCAATAGTTTGTAGATGTCATCAGGATCCACCAACCTGCTGCGTTTGCCGAGCTTTGGTTCCTCGTTCACAATGTTCCAAGCCATTTCCTTGAGCAGATCATGCACCTCAATCTTCTCTCCATTCTTTCTGGAACCGCAAGTTAGGAGAGACTTATCTATCAGGTCCTTCACTTTAGCATGAGCGGATGTGTACAGGGTTGATAAGTACCCTATCACTATGGATCTTGATGTTCCATGGAGGAAACAAGCAACATCCAAGAATAGTCGCTTCTCCTCATGCCCCATTTTATCATAGCTTCTTCTTAGAATATCACCAATTTCTTGATTTTGAATCAGGTTCAACCCATCTAAGAAACTCTTCCAGTAATCTTTGTCCTCGCGAAACAATGTACTACCCAAAACTCTAAGCGCCAAAGGGTTTCCCTTGCAGTAAGATGTAGCTCGACATGATAGATGCATCCAACCAGCTGGGGGATGGTATTGCCTGAATGCATGAGAACTAAAGAGTTGAACAGATTCATCATCATTCAAACACTCAATACTATATTCCTTCGCCATTGCACTTTGAAGCACTTTTCTGTTTCTTGTTGTGACAATGATTCTGCTCCCTGCCCCGAAGAATTTGGGGAGCTTGAAGCCATCCGATAACAGCAGTTGTTGTAATTGACGAGGAGTATCAACATCGTCAAGAACAATGAACACCTTCGAGCGAGAAAGACGTGCTCTTCGATAATGCATATCTAAATCTTCACGACTTAGATTCCTCTCGGACAATAGTTTTGAATATAGCTCACACACTAATCCATCAACCCAGTGCTGGTTTTCGCAAATTTGGTTGATGTTACGGATGAAATGATGCTTGATGTCTTTCGTTGATGAAACTATCCTTTCATAGCAAGCCTTGGCCAGAGTGGTTTTCCCTAAACCACCCATTCCCCATATCCCAATGATGCGAATATCATCTGGTTCGTCCATGGCAAGCAATTGCTCAACCTCCAAAATGCGCGAACCCATACCAACCAAGTTTTCTGACTTGATGATTGGTGACATGTCGATCAGTTGCTTCTGAACATCTTCCACGATCGCCTTAATCAATTCAGATTCGATTCTGAGAGTCAATGTACAGACACATAGGAAACAAAGTTAAGTCCAAGTCAGAAAATGGCAGTTACGTCAATTAGAGCACGTATGTAACTTCATATAAACAGACAGATCAGTATTTGAATAAACCATCTAATGCGCGAATCAAATAAGGAATGTTAATGATTGCAAGTAGAATAAGGATCTTAGTAATTCTTCATTAAAAAAAAAAAGGATCTTAGTAATAGATGAGGGAGAAGGAGTTCTCACGGAATCGCAGAGGAAGTACGTCCAGCACGATTAGCCACCGCTTTCAGAGCATCCTTCCATCTCTTGCTGTCCTCAGAGCTCGCTTTAAGCTCTTCATCGATGATGGCAGAGTAACGGCCAGAGTCCCCTGCCACGTCGGTCCAACCAACTTTGTAGAACACCGGCAGCGCTCGGTGTCCGAATATCTCGATGCTTTGGACAATCGTGGCCACCTCGTCCAAGCACCAGGGCGAATCCGCGAACTTCTCGGAGAAAATCACGATCGAAAGGGTGGATCTTTGGAGGACTGAGAGGAGCTCGTCGATGGACTCTGTCTTCCGGAGCATGGTGTCGATGAAGACTTTGATTTTCTTGTCGGAGAGAGCAGCCATGAGGTGGCTTGTAAAGCCATGGCGGGTGTCACCGCCTCTGAAGCACAAGAAAACGTCATATTCCCATTCTCCAGTATACATGGCACCATGAGAAGAAACATCCATTAAAGCTGATGAAGAGGAGGAAGCCATTATAATGGGGTGGGGATCTTGATCTGTTTTTCTTTCTGATCAACTAGGCAAAGGGACAATCTCATAATCACCATTCACAACTAATAGTATGTGTTGACTTGTTGGGTCGTCGTTCCATGTTTCCATTTCCAATTAACCTATTAAAGGGATGTGGAGAGTTTAATGTATTATACATGCACACCTATACAAAATGCTTCGAAATTTCTTGTTATCAAAATTTCTTGGCGTCATTAAATAACATCCAACCATATTACCAAAAAAGTCTTTGTTTCTTCCTTGATGGTTTCAATAGTGGTCCATACCAATACCATGCCATAAGGAAAGAGGAAAGAAATTGCCAAGATTATGATGGGAGGTGGGGGGCACTTCATAATCATACATGTTCTCTTGGTTCAGGGAATGATAGGAAGGAGAAGGAAATTTCTGTCCACACAGAAATGTATACAATTTGAGATCTATCACCTGTATATATCTAAATCTTTGGACTTTAACGAACGATTTATCCTATCGTGTTACCGACGACAGAGAAGCATTCTCATAAAAAGAGAGCTAAACTTATTAATCATGTACCTGAGGATGCAGAGACGTCAAAGTGTAGTAGCTACTTCCAACTCCACTTGCCTGCCTTGCTTGGTATTGCTCGCAAGCTTGAACCTTCTTCAACCAATGCCATTCTCACAAATCAATCTTTCACCATTCCGCCTGAACTACAGATTGACAATCTGGAAATTCTGAATGCCTCATTCTACAATCACCATACGATAAACGAAGAAGCGTCGTTCAATCAATTCGGTGAACATTGCAGGAAAAAAAAAACTGAACGACAAATCACAATCCAACAGAACAATCACCTGAGCCGCCGGCAACGAAATTGGAAATGCGTGACCTCCCAATCCGGACCAGAAACTCTCCCGGCGGGAGTCGTCGAGATTCTGCCTCGACCGCAGGGCGTGAAACTGGAAATCGCCGACGACATTTGCTTGCCCCGGGCAAGAGATCATGCACGGCGACGGCGACGGCGACGACATAGAGTGTAGCAATCAAACGAACAATGCGGCAGCTGTTTGCGGTCCAGAATGAAGAGGCGGGGCGAAGGGTTTTAGGGCAATGGAAGCTGGAACGGGAAAGTGTGTGATACAGAGGAGGGGAAAAGGTGGTCAATTGCATTGTAGGTTACTCATCTATGCTTGAAGTTCGGTTCAGGTTACTAAAACATTATTAGTTTCATTAACGACACTAAATTTCTATGACTTATAGTCTACCTTTGTTGATTGACTTGTGGTTTTATATGGTACAAACAAACAATAATATGAGGAGTCGTTGGATCGCAAAATTTGAAATTGAAGGTTTGTGTTAAATTTCGTGATTTGGAAAATCAAGGATTGGGAATTAATTTGGTTAATTTGGGATATGAGAAAATTACTGTTTGCATATCTAATTTTAGGAATGATTGGTTCATTTAGCATCAAGGATTTCGTTCTCTCGAATCTCACCAAATTACGTGGGATTTCTCGATTCGCGAGTCTATGAATTTCGTTCAAAATAAATTCTAAATTTATGGAACCTACGAATTTGGTACCCACATTTTTATACAACCAAACATGTGGATTTGGACATTCCCTTTATAGTTGGATTTGGGATTCAAATATTAAACTATTCCACTATTATTGTTTTTTTTTTGTCACCATTTAAAAAATGATCACAAACATTGAGCATTTTAAGCGATTCATAGAAACAAATCTCTAAATTTGATATTAAAACTCTCAAGTTATTTTTTATAGATTTTAATAGAAAAAATTTGCAATCAATATAAGTTCAAAGTCACAAGTTATTTGAGCTACATCGAAGTCATGCTGAAAGATGTCAAATAATCTCATAGTAAAAAATACATTCACCAATTAAATTGCTTAGGATAAGAGAAAATTTTATAGGTTAGTTAGGCGTATTGTATCATCGTATCATGATGTCGTGAATCGTGATATGATGATACAATCGAGTTTTGTAGACCGGAGTATTGTACTCTTTCTGCTCCCTTAAATATATATAGAATTCCAAAAATCACGGGTTGGGCTTCAAAACATATGTGACACATACTCTTTTCTAAAATCTTCGCATTGTAAAACCAACCCCATGGGGTTAGGCCCAACAAAAATTAGACGATTGTGTGAACCAATGCCATTAGCACTTTCTTATGCTTGATTATACACATGCATGTATATTTTGTTTAAAAATTATCATTACTTTTCTTAACATATTTAATATTTATCATGCATATATAATATTTTCATGAAATTATATTTTCTCACTAATTTTCTTCATTTTAGTAATTTATTGTTTTGACGAACGGTCTCGCATCGTCATCGAACCGATTCGAGAGCTTTCCATAATGTTGCGGCTGGACGTTTCATGGGATAGAAGGAAGAAAAGCAGCCAGGTACAAACTTCAATCTCAATCAATTAATTGAGCTTGTATGATCAGTTAATTAATCTGTCGTATAATCGCGATGTTTAATTATGTGTAGGTTGATTTCACCGGCATCAGATCCAACGGCGGCCAGCGGCACAATACTTCCAAGCTTTGCCTGCAAAAGGACAAGATAAATGAAGGCCAATCAGACAATTACAACGATCTCTCTTTGAGTATATGAAAAATGCAGAACAATAAAAATAACGTTTTGTTAGGAAAAAAAAAATCTGGGGACGAGTTCTGATGCGTAAGAAATGAGGTTGTTCGCATAATTGAGCATCCGTAATGGTAGTATGATCATTTATCATTATTCATGGTTTTAACACCTTTGTGTTATTTTACCGCCATGGTAAAGCGTATTTGTCAACTGTCCTTTTCCAGGGTGGTACAAAGCCGAGGTAAAAAGCAGTTTCTTAGGCGTTAGTACATTCATGTACGAACCTGCCAAATTCAACTTGTTCGTGCCACAAAATGTTGAGGTTCGAGTTCAAATTTCAAGATATGGATAAATCAAGATTAATGGAGACGAGAAAATATGAGAGAGAGAACCAAGTAACAAAATCGGGATTTTCAAAATAAGCTTCCTTTTTTCTTAAATTTTCGGTTGTCAACAAGCGGGTCGACTAGAGCTGTCAAAATGTAACCCGACTCGAGTAACGCGCCCGATCAACCCGACCCGTAACTCGATTTGACTAAAAGTCAATGACCCGTAACCCGCCCGACCCGCAGTCTGATCGACCCACAACCCAATCGACCCGCAATCCGACCAACCAACAACCCGATCGACCCGCAACCCGATTAATCTGCAACCCGACCAACCCGCAACCCGACTAACCCGAACCCGTAACCCGACCAACCCACAACCCAACTATAATAGAAGGAATTCGATGAAGATAAACCAAAAGTTGACATTTGAAATTCTAGTTCACTAAAGTCTGATCATTACATCATCAATTATTGACTTAGTATAATAATATACATCATCAACCTATAATGAGTGTAATGGGTTAGGATATAAGGTATTAATGTTTTAGGGACGATCAGTCAAAAACTCATAATAATAACTTATAACTAATAAGGATCGAGTTTTTTTATTACAAATTTAGTCAAAATAATAGCTTCATATAGTTACGATTTACGACTTACTAGTAATCACTAAAAAGTAACACGATGTTCTGATCCGTAAAACCCGCAACCGGAACCGCCCGACCCGCAAACCGATTGACCCGTAACCCGATTGGCTCGTAACCTGATTGACCCGCAACCCGATTGACACGTAACCCGCAACCCGATCAACCAGAACCCGATGAACCCACAACCCGATCGACCCGCAACCCGAACAACCCGCAACCCGAATAAACCCGCCCGAACCCGCCCGATTGACACCTCTAGGGTCGACCCACTTTAACCCTAATCAGGTGAGAAAAATGGGTCGTACGCACCCGCCGGATCGACCACTACATGGTAACGGGTTGGAGGTCAAATTGTGTCATTTTTTTCTTTGGTTTACGAAATGCGGATATTTTCTGATTTTTCTTTTTGCCTAACTCAATCTTTGGAATCCTAAGTTGAACATTTGTATATTGATGTTATATAAGTGTGTGTGAATTTTCACTACATGTTGGATCTAAGTAAAACATGTTATTTTGGTGTAATATTATATGTTATCACTCATATTTGAGATTAGATTTGATATAATTTATCAGGATAAGTACAATATAATAACTTTTTTTATATTTCTAGGCTAAAACGGGTGACCCATTAACCCTTGACCCACTAGCTCAATCGGATCCGGGCCAGTCCTCGGATTTACAACCTTGCCCTCCCCACATTTTCAGCCTTTCAATCACGTGAGGAGAATCAAAATATATAAAAAAAAAAGAGTTATTGCACATAATAATTCCATGCTTGAACTCATCAAGACGAGTTAACAAGTATTGATGGCATATCTGAACTTCCCAGGTTTTCTAGAGAAAATCTGGATGTTAGAGAGATATCTTAGAGAACTCATCCCTTCAAAAGTGCATGAGAGAAATGGCTCCGAGCATTATTAATGAAGAACCAAACCTGAAAGTACGTAGTACGTTGAAGAATTGTGATAATATTCACAAACTAATTTAACGATTCAGAAGGTGAAAATTTTGGAGAACCCATCTTCTTAACATTTTCCAAGCCAAACCAGACATATATACACTCCACACTTCCATAAGCAACTTGGACTCTTGTGCCATTTGCCCTTCATCCACACCCCATCTGTGCTTTTTCCTCAACCTAGAAGTCCAGAAGAGGCTAAAACGGTTAAGAAACTCATGATACAAGAAGAATGAATGGGAGTAAGTGAGAAAATAAGAAAAGAAATGAGATGAAAAAACATAAAAGTTTACATTGCTCGACGAGAAGCTAATGGCAGATTTTGGAGCAAAATTTTAATATACTAGTCTTTTGGAAAGTAACACTACTAAATAAAAGTATAGAGATTCAGCTATAGGAAAGTATACCTTGCCGTCTGTTTCTTTTTATTCATCAATCGAACTGCCTGCATCGATTACAGTAGAGAGATCCCGCATCTTTTGATTTTCAACTTTTTCTTCAATTGCTTGATATTGCTTACAGGGTAGAAATGGAAGGAAACAGTGTGGCCTGCATATTTCACATACCATGCTTCTCCTTCTCTTTCTCTGCATTCTGTCTCACCTGATGCTAACCACAGCAACACACGGTCTGATGAACTAGTGACATACCAAGGAACATAACAGCTCCAAGAGGCAACAGTTATGGTGCCAATGTTGCAGTCACATTTCAAACGAACCCAAACATCTGAAGACAAACACACTACACCAAATGCAATCCCTCTCATGAGTTGCTTACTACCAGTGCAGTTAGGAGGCAATTGCACCGTCAAAGATGAACTATCCTTGTCCTTCACGCTTCTGTAGGCAAACCATTTTGGAATCCCGCTCCCTGAATACTCAAGCTGGTACCTCTATTAACCGAACATAGGTTTGACGTTTTGTGTCAATGCCAAATAATGTAATATATGTAAAAATACAAACACCAACACAACATTTTGGTGATATTCATGTACCTTATAACGTTCAAATGATAGTGCATAGACTGGATAATTTGCCACGATGTCATCAGGAACTGTCTTGTTTAATTTGGGGCAACCGTAAAACGAGAGGCGACTCCAACTCAGCTTAGTGACGTTGCTTGGTAGAGCTTGTAAGGACTTGCAGCCACCGACATCCAACTCAGAGAGACTTGCTGGAAGTTCCGGCAAAGATATAATACTTCCACATCCGCACAATTTCAAGATTTCTAACTTGGGCAGTTTCTGGATATTGATCGGGATAGACTCAAGACTTTTGCAGTTGCTCAGATCTATCGACTCAAGGTGGCCCAATTCCTGGATAGAGGAAGGCAATGACTCAATGCCGATGTTCCCCAGATTGAGAGTCTCTAGAGATACTAAATTGTTGATGCTAGATGGGAGGCTTTTGAGACTCTCACACCAATTTATATGAAGACTGGTTAAACCAGCCACAGGCTCTGAGATGTCTGGCAGACTCTCAAGAAGTGGGCTGCCTCGAATACCGAGCCAAGACGTGACCATGTACCATAAATTATTTGGCAGGCTCTTGAGTTGGAAGTTACCAATCATATATAGCTCACCAAATTTCGGCAGTAACTCAGAAGAATGTATCTCTTTTATTGCAGTATGCCACAAATAAAACCGGTTCAAGCTTGTAGAAATTGCAGGGAAGTCGGTGATATTTTCACCAAAGAGATATAGGCTGCCACCTTCCTTGACACTGTAAACTGCGTTCGGTAACTCCCTGACCGGTGTCTCATATAACATCAATTCCTGCAATTCTCCTGAATTAATCTCTGGACAGTGTTTGACCTTCGGACAATCGTTTATTCGAACGTGCTTGAGGACCATTGAGTTGAGTTTTGATGGAAGACGCTTGAGGTTTACACAACATCCAAGATCAAGTTTTATCAGCTTGTCCAGATATTGAACATGAGAGGGTACTTCAACTAGGCTTCTGCATTCCGAAAGTTGGAGTTCCTCGAGTTTTAAAGAGCACGAGAGATCTGGGATTGCAGTAAGATAGGAACAAAAAGAGAGATCGAGCACCACCAAATTCACCAGCTTTGGCTGCAAAAATATAAGAAAAGACAATTAATCCATTATTGAAACAAATACAAGTTCACAATCCAAACACAGACCTGAAACCTTTGAAAATAAACGATAAACAATTTATTGGAAGGGAAGATTATGGTAAAATTCTAATTGCTTACTTGGTCAAATGAACTATATTTCAGCCATTGGATTAATCTAATTGTTGAGATTAAATATAATTGTTTACTAGTTTCCCAATTTCTTCGTTTTAATTCACTTTTTTGTTTAATTTATTGAATGCATTATTTGTGAATGATATTCATTTTCATATGTTTTGAAAGTAAAAATAAAAATAAAATTCCCCAAAATATATAAACATTAATATAATCTTAAACAGCACACTTCATGTGTTATTTCTATGAAAATAAATAAAAATTCAAATTAAAAGAAATGGCATATGGTCTATTAGAAAATATTATGAGAGTGAATCATTGACCAAATCTTACTTACTTTCGAACGAATGCTAGTGGATGAAGTTATGCATGATGTTATGCACATCGAGTTATTCACCTTATCCGTTCATCGATTAGGTTGAACGTTTACAAATCTTATTAAAAGTGTTTTATTTTCACCCTCTTTCAAATAACTAATTAAACTGATTTCTTACCGTTACCCCTTAAACAACAAAACCTATATAAAAAAAATCATGTAGCCTCAATCTTCTAATTCCCAACTCTATCCCATTAATAATTTAAAAATGTGCTGATTAATATACCCTATACTCTTGACAGTACTGAGACTATTCAAATTACAGTTAGATATCCCAAATTCCCAACAACTTTACCAAAGCAAAGAATAAACGTGAAAATTAAAGAAAATAATTAAAATTGCCAAAATTGAAAATTAGTAAATTACTTACTCGGTCAAACCCTTCCCAACATTTTGTAATCGGACTACATCGTATAATAAGACGGACGAGTTGTTGTGAGTAAATTCCTGAAGGTAGTGATTTAGAAGGGTATCCATCCCAATGCAGCCATCTCAACCCATTAGGAAGTGAGTCAAGCCCACTGTATGGCAAATGGATTTTCTTCTTATCGGCGATATCCATTTTGCTTCTGGGTTTAAGATAAGGTGTTTTAGTTCCGAACCAACACCAGAATTTGAGAAATGTAAGAGAATCCATCCCTTCAAAGGCATTGGCTTCCAGACACATCTTTTTGGCTTTAGAAAGATTCAAACTGATACCTTCCGTAGTTATCAGTCCCTCCAATGGACAATTATCTTTCCCATGCATGTCAATGACTTTCCTCTTTTTCCTTCTCGGCCGAACCATCATCGCTATGCCTTTGAGGAAGGGGTATACAAAGTAATGTGTCCAACTTTCCACCTTTGTAGTTGCCAATAGTTTGTAGATGTCATCAGGATCCACCAACCTGCTGCGTTTGCCGAGCTTTGGTTCCTCGTTCACAATGCTCCATGCCATTTCTTTGAGTAGATCATGCACCTCAATCTTATGTCCTTCCCTTTTAGAAACACAAGTTAAGAGAGACTTATCTATCAGGTCTTTCACTTTAGCATGAGCGGATGTGTACAGGGTTGATAGGTATCCTATCACTGTGGATCTTGATGTTCCATGGAGGAAACAAGCAACATCCAAGAACAATCGCTTCTCTTCAACCCCAATTTTATCGTAGCTTCTCCTTAGAATATCACCAATTCCTGGGGTTTGAATCAGACTCAACCCACCCAAGAAACTCTCCCAGTAATCTCTGTCCTCGCCCAACAATGTACCACCCAAAACTTTAAGCGCCAAAGGGTTTCCCTTGCAGTATGATGCAGCACGACTTGACAGATGCATCCAACTAGCTGGAGGATGACATTGCCTAAATGCACGAGAACTAAAGAGTTGAATAGATTCTTTATCATTCAAACACTCAATACTATATACCTTTGCCATTGCATTTTGAAGCACTTTTCTGTTTCTTGTTGTAACAATGATTCTGCTCCCCGCAGCAAAGACTTCGCTGAGATTGAAGACATCTGTTAAAAGCAGTTGTTGTAATTGGCAAGGAGTATCCACATCATCAAGAACAATGAACACCTTCGAGCGAGAAAGACGTGCTCTTCGATAATGAATATCTAAATCTTCACGACTTAGATCACTCTCGGACAATAATTTTGAATAGAGCTCATGCACTAATCCATCAATCCCATGCTGTTTTTCACAAATTTGGTTGATGTTCCGGATGAAATGATGTTTGGTGTCTTTCGTTGATGAAAATATTCTTTCATAGCACGCCTTGGCCAGAGTGGTTTTCCCTAAACCACCCATTCCCCATATCCCAATGATGCGAATATCATCCGGTTTGTCCATGGCTAGCAATCGCTCAACCTCCAAAACGCGCGAACCCATACCAACCAAGTTTTCTGACTTGATGATTGGTGACATGTCGATCAGTTGCTTCTGAACATCTTCCATAATCGCCTTAATAAGTTCAGATTCTATTCTGAGAGTCAATGGACAAACAAAAAGGAAACAGAGAAGTCCAAGTGAAAAAAATGGCAATCGTGACAATAAGAGCACATATGAAAGTCTTAAATATGATTGGGTTGTTGAGTCCATATACTAGATGCAAGTTAAAGTTTAACGAACCTCATAAACAGAGACATCATTTTTAAATAAACTGTATAAAACCCTCCAATGTAAGGATCTTAGTAATAGATGAGGGAGAAGGAGTTCTCACGGAATCGCAGAGGAAGTATGTCCAGCACGATTAGCCACTGTTCTCAGACCATCCTTCCATCTCTTGTTGTCCTCTGAGCTGGCTTTAAGCTCGTCATCGATGATGGCAAAGTAACGGCCAGAGTCCTCTGCTACGTCAGACCAACCAACCTTGTAGAACACCGGCAGCGCTCGGTGCTCGAATTCCTCCAAGCTTTGGGCAATCGTGGCCACCTCATCCAAGCACCACGACGAATCCGCGAATCGTTCGGAGAAGATCACGATCGAAAGCGCGGATCTCCGGAGGACGCAGAGGAGCTCATCGATGGACTCTGTTTTCGGGAGCATGGTGTCGTTGAACACCTTGATTTGCTTGTCGCAGAGAGCAGCCATGAGGTGGCTGGTAAACCCATCGCGGGTGTCTTCGCCTCTGAAACACAAGAAGACGTCGTATTCCCATTCGCCAGTGAACATGGCTCTATCAGACGGCGAAGAGTCCGCTCCCGCTGGGGAAGAGGAGGAAGAAGCCATTAGAGTGGGAGGAAATTCGTTCGGTTAATTTCTTTTGTCTTTCTGATTAGCTTGGAAAAAATGGGCAGTCTCTTAGTTATAACCAAACAATTAACAGTTGATCTTTCAAGTTTCGGAGCAATAGTGAGATAACCAAACAATTAACAGTTGATTTTCGGAGCAATAGAGAGCGTCGACTTCTTTTTGGGTCATTGTTTAATTTTGATTCCCCGGCAACTAATCTTATCTCGACCGTCATTACCATAGAAAAAATCAACATCTTCCATTTTAATTAATCACAATTAAAGGGGTGGGAAGGCAGTACCTGCACGCTTCTGCAAACTTACACGAACTTGCTTGCTAGCATCCACCTGCTAGTGGCCAAACTATGGAAATTTGTTGCCTTCATCGTCATCGTCATCGTCACCACATTATGTAACCTTTCTTTGTTTCTATTATCCCTTACTCGTCATCGCCATCGCCATCGTCAGGGTTTGATCTATATATGAACACAAGTCAAGTGTATGGCTACTGTTATGAACCCATAGAACAGAACAAGGAGATATCTGTGGTAGTATTTATGTTACCTGAAGATGCAGACTTCACCAACTCTATACTCTGCCTCTCCTGCTTAGAATTGCACATTTTTTTCTAAAGATAACGGTGACATCAATTTATTAACTCGGAAAAGGGCAGAAGAATACAATAGCAAGGAACCTAGCCTTCTCCAGATTTGACTCCAGAGATGGCATCAGTAGGCTGCGCAAAAGAAGGGGAAGCACCCTCCACTGGAGATCTATAAAATCCATGTTTCTCATTTTCTTGCTTAACTAATATTCTAACTGGAGATGGTTTAGGGACATGACCAATAACTTCATTGATTGGAGGCTTTTCCGATCTGTACAAATAGCCTACAACTCAAAGTCAACAGAAGACTCCAAGATCCACCAGTTAAAACCAATATTTTGTCACTTGAATAAACTCTAATTAGGAATTATGTTAATTTTACTATTGAAAAAAAATGAAGCATGTATAGATGACCTTCATTTCCACATTATGTCGACACCCACCTGCTTGTACTCAGTACAGAAGAGAGAGGCCGCATCTTTTGATTTTGAACTTCTCCACTTGCTCGACATCTCCTCCATATGATAATCTAGAAGCATAGAACCGGAAGGTAACAGTGCGGCCAGCATATTTCACGTACCATTGATCTTCCCCGCATCTTCCTCTTCTTCCCTTGGTTTTCTTGTCGAACCATAGAGATACCAAGTCCGATTCATACCTTTCGCACAAAGCATCTTCTGGGAAAATAAAACAGCTCCACGAGGCGATCGTGAAGGTGTCAATATCACAATCACATTTCATACTCTCGCGACCAGTGAGAGCATCCGAACGCCACACCATACCAAATGCAATTCCTTTAATCAATTGCTCACTACCGTTGCAGTTTGCAGGAGGTAGTTGCATCATTATACATGAAGCATCCTTATCGTATATGCTTTTGCAGGCAAACCATTCTGGAATATCGCTCCCCGAATAGTGAAGAAACCCCTGTTACAAACAAAGAAGTAGTATCAAACAAAGATGTTCAAAAAAGAATACGAACGCCAACATAATGGTATTTACGTACCGTAGGCTTAGGGTGCTTAGACAATTGTGCGCAAACAGAGTAATTTGCCACTATTTCATCAGGAACTGTCTTGTCTAGTTGAGGGCAATTGTCAAACACGAGGCCGGACCAACTCAGCTCACTGGCATTGCTTGGTAGAGCTTGTAATGACTTGCACCCACCCACATCCAACTTAAAGAGACTTGGCGGAAGTTCCGGCAAAGATAGAATACGCCCACATCCTCCCAACTGCAACTTCTGTAGCTTGGGTAGTTTATGAATACTGCTTGGGATAGACTCAAGGCTCTTGCAGTTGCTCAGAACTATTGAAAGGAGTTGGTTCAACTCTTGGATACTGGAAGGCAACGACTTAATGCCAGTGGATGTCAAATTCAGAAAATCGAGAAATACGAAATTGTTGATGTTGGATGGTAGCCTTTCGAGACTTTCACACTCCGTTAAAAAAAGTTGGGATAAACTAATCAAAGGCTCCGAGATCTCCGGCAAACTCTCAAGCAGTGGGCTGCCCCTAACAATGAGAGAAGCAGTGACCATGTTCCATATATTCTTTGGTAGGCTCTTGAGCAGTGAGTTACCTTCCAACTCTAGCATGTCAAATTTCGGCAATAAATCAGAAGAAGCTTGATAATCATCATAACAATCCATCTCTGCCACTGCAGTACCGTACAACTTAAACCTCTGGAAGATTGCTGAGGTTGTGGGGAAGTTGGTGATGTTTTTGCCAGATAGACTAAGGATGCCACCCAACTTGAAGCAGTTAACTGCAGTCGGCAACTCCCGGATGGGTGTCTTAAATAAATCCAATTCCAACAACTCTCCTGAATTAATCTCCGGACAGTGCTTGAGCTTTGGACAATCCCTCATCCGAACATGCTTAATGACCTTTGAGTTGAGTTTTGATGGAAGACGCATGAGGTTCTCGCAACCTCCAAGGTTAAGTATTATCAGCTTGTCCAGATATTGAACATGAGAGGGTACTTCAACTAGGCTTTTGCAACCCCTAAGTAGGAGTTCCTCAAGTTGTAAAGAGCATGAGATATCTGGAAGAGCAGTAAGATTGAAGCAATAGGAGAGATCGAGCACCACCAGACTCACCAGCTTTGGCTGTTGAAAGTTATTGTCATGATCAAAATTATAGGTAGGTTCATATTGATCAAAAGGGAGGCTATTCTATTCATCCAAATGAAATAAACGAGGTGAATATTAAAAAGGGAAAAATCAATCACAGTTACTTACATGGTCAACTCCTTCCCAACATTTCTTAATTGGACTCCATCGTATAGCAAGATGGACGAGATTTTGGGGATAAAAACTGAAAGGTAGTGATTTGGAAGGGTATCTATCCCACTCCAGCCATCTCAACCCGTCAGGAAGTGAGTCAAGCCCACCGTATGGCAAATGGATTTTCTTCTTGATAGGACGCTGATGATCCGGCCACCAGAATTTGAGAAATGTAAGAGAATACATTCCTTCAAAGGCATTGGCTTCCAAATACATCTCTTTGGCTTTAAAAAGATTCAAATTGATACCTTCAGTTGATCTGTCTCCCTCCAATACGCGATTGCTTGTCCGATGCATGCCTATGACTTTTCTTCTTTTTCTTCTAGGTAGAACCATCTCCACTCCTTTGTAGAAAAGGTTCACCAGAAATGCTGACCAACTTTTCATCTCCGTGCTTGTCAATAGTTTGTGAATATCCTCAGGATCCACCAACCTGCTGCGTTTGCCAAGCTTTGGTTCATCGTTCACAATGTTTACAGCCAATTCTATAAGAAGCCCATGCACCTCAATCTTCTCTTCATCCTCACTGGGGATGCAAGTCAAGAGGGACTTATCAATTAGGTCCTTCACTGTAGCATGAGCAGATGGGTGCAAGGCTGCCATATATCCTACCAGTCTGGATCTTGATATCCCGTTGAGGAAACAAGCAACATCCAGAAACACTCGCTTCTCATCAGATCCCAATTTATTGTAGCTCCTCCTGAGAATGTCTCCAATTTCTGGGTTTTGAATCAATCCCAACCCGTTCAAAACACTCTCCCAGTAATCTCTATCCTCATCGAACAATGTACCACCCAAAACTCTAATCGCCAAGGGGTTCCCGTTGCAGTACGATGTAGCACGACATGACAGGTCCATCCAATTATCTGGTGGGGAACGCTCTCTGAATGCACGCAAGCTGAATAGTTGAACGGATTCATCATCACTCAAACAAGCGACATGGTATGTCCTTGCCCTTGCATTTTGGAGCACTTTTTTGTTCCTTGTTGTAAAGATGATTCTGCTCCCAGCAGCAAAGAGCTTGGTGATGTTGAAGACTTCTCCTAAAAGCAGTTGCTCTAACTGGCAAAGAGTATCGACATCATCAAGGACAATGAAAACCTTTGAGCAAGAAAGACGTGCTCTTCGATAATGCATATCTAAATCGTCACGACTTAGATCACTCTCGGACAACACTTTTGAATAGAGATCACGCACTATTCCATCAACCCCATGGTGCGCTCCACAAATTTGGTTGATGTTTCGAATGAAATGATGCTTGATGCCTTTCGTTGATGAGATCACCCTTTCATAGCAAGCTTTTGCGAGGGTAGTTTTCCCAACTCCAGCCATTCCCCACAGTCCAATGATACGAGTATCATCTGCTTCTTCCATGGATAACAATTGCTCGACTTGCCAAACACGTGAACCCATACCAACCAAGCTTTCCGACCTGATGCTTGGCGACATGTCTACCAGTTGCTTCTGAACATCTTCCACAATCGCCTTGATCAGTTCAGATTCCATCCTGCGAGTCAATGGACAGACATTAAGAGATATTAGTTATAGATTCCGACGGAATCGGGGTGGAGCTACGATAATAAGAGCACAACATTGAAACTTGAAGTATCACATTAGGGGAGATTCGAAGGAGTTCTCACGGAATCGCAGAGGAGGTGTGTCCAGCATAATTAGCCACCGCTTTCAGAGCATCCTTCCATTTCTCGTTGTCCTCGGAGCTCGCTTTAAGCTCGCCATTGATGATGGCAGAGTAGCGGCCAGAGTCCCCTGCCACGTCAGCCCAACGGACCTTGTAGAACACCGGCAACACTCGGTGCCCGAATTTGGACATGCTTTGGACAATCGTGGCCACCTCGTCCAAGCACCAGGGTGAATCCGCGAACTTCTCGGAGAAAATCACGATCGAAAGCGCGGATCTTTGGAGGACGGAGAGGAGCTCGTCGATGGACTCTGTTTTACGGAGCATTGTGTCGATAAAGGCTTTGATTTTCCTGTCGCAGAGAGCAGCCATGAGGTGGCTTGTAAAACCATGGCGGGTGTCGCCCCCTCTGAAGCACAAGAAGACGTCGTACTCCCATTCTCCCGAGTAGGAGGAATCACGGTGGTCAGGTGGAGATGAATAAGAAGAAGCAGCTGCTGCCATGACTCTGATTACTCAAGCTGATGCTCTCTCTCTCTCTCTGTTACTGCAAAGAAGCGCTTTAGTATTCTGTTTTTGTGGATAAGACACACATACCGCTCAAGAAAGAAAGAATGAAAATTAACAGGGTAGGCGCAAGACAGTGTGTGGACACTGATCGGGAAAGTGTCTACCAAGATTCCATTCCGTGGAAACTTCATCGGCAAAGTTAACCAACCGACAGAGGTCACTTTTCCATCCTTTGGGTTTGAAAATGAAGAAAAGGAAGAAAGAAAAAGGTGATAGTGGAAATGAGAAAAGATTGGAAATCTTTTTCACGATGCAGTCAATGACAAGCACATCTTCTGGGAATCCACCATGAAAATCCTCACCCCACCACGCGTTCATACCTTTGGGTTTTAGGCCCAAGCACGACCACAACAGTCTTCCCAAATGGCACAATTCCTAGTATAGTTGTTTTGAAAACTACAGCAGAAAGCAGGAGGGAGGCCATGGAAATACAGCTGCGACATTCAACACAGTAATACCAGGAACAACCAAGCTCTTTGTCTGGGAGTTTCAGAGCAATAGTGTGTGTTCACAACTGAAGATATGTGGACAGTAGTATATTGTATATATTCACACCTACCAGAAAAAAGTCATTGTTTCCTACTGGGAAGAATGGTTTCAACTGTTTCTGTGGTCCATACCATGTCATAAGGGAAGAGGAAACAACAGTATTCATGTACCTGAGGTTGCAGAGACGTCAAGTGTAGTAGCAACTTCTGACTCCGCGTCCCTGCCTTGCTTGGTATTGCTCGCAAGATTGAACCTTCTTCAACCCCCATCAATACCTATCCGCATACTGTTGTCCTTACGAAACGATGCCACCTCCTGAAACTTTTCTGGATAATAGGCTTCTGGGGTAGTATAGTAGAGACCCTTGATGGCAAGTTGAGGCTAGAGTAGTCTTTTTCCTACACCTCCCATCCACCAAAGCCCAATATCGTGAGTATATACTGATCTGTACATGGCTAACAGTTTCTCAATCTTCAAAACACAACCAAGTTGTCTGATTCCACCCTTGATGGCATCTCTAATAAGTATTTTCAGAACATCGTCCGCAATCACCCCAAACTAATCCACAGTTGGCCCTAAGAATACAATGGAGCAAAACAAAGCAACACAAACAACTCTAAATGAGAATCGCATCACAATATCGCATGCTTGCTTCACCAATTGAACTAAAACTAAAGAACAACAATCATGCATTATGAAATCGGATGATCACAGCTCGAGATGGACTTGCAACTACTAAATTGATTTACACTCAAATCAATTTAGTAGTGTCAGGAGCTCGAAGTCCAACAGGTCTTTCTTTACAGTAGCCAAACCAACTCACTACTAAATTGATCTGAGCAGTAACAACCAACAACTTTATGCTTCTGCCTTGCACCCAGGAAACCCTACACTCTACAGTGTCGTTCTTTCCAAAGTGGAGCCTACCACCACACACCATCGCAAGGTAGTCACCTGTATCCAGATTACATGCCATAGCCAAAGTCTCATGCCAATCTTCCTTGAGCATCAGAGAAAAGAAAATTGTGAGTTCCTGAGTGCTCACGAAGAGGCCGGATCTTCTTTTTTGCGACAAGATGTGCTTGAATGGCTTTATCATTGGCCACAGCATCCTGAATGTTCAGGCAACCAGAGTGCACAGCTCATCCAGGACCAACATTGGAAATGGTTCCTCAATAAGAACACCAACCTACAGTAGAATTTTCCACCATAAACAGCTGCAGCAAATTGTTTATGAAAGAAAAAAAGTTAACTAACTATTCTGTATTTCAGAGAACTCAATCAAATCCAACCTCCTCTATGCAGAACAAGGAAGCCACGCTGATGAAAGTAGCAGGGACAACAATCCAGTGGCAATCATCCTGAAGGATTATAGGAAGGGTGAGATGCCAAAGTACCAGAAATCTCGATGTTAAGCGAGTGTACGAGAGTGGAATTGGGATCCTTATAAGTTCTTCGCACACATTCATCCCTTCGTGGAAACATAACATACTTCAAAAGCGCATTCTCTAGAATGGCATCGTCTCTAGAACCATCCACACTGGCGGCCATAATCTGGCCGGCGAAAATCATTAGCCCCCGAAACCACCGTAGTGCTAGCCTCCCTTCCTACTTCGTACCTGGAGTAAGAAGCCTCGGTCCTGAACACCAGCAGAAGTCGGGAAAGTGCGTTGTAGTGTGAGGAGATTATTGGCGGTGATATCGCCGGGAGTCGCCGAGATTCCGCCTCGGCCGCAGGGTATGAAACTAGAAATCGCCGCCGACGACATTTTCTTCCCTTCCTCGGCAGGCGGCAAGGGATATTCGAGTAACGAAGCTGGAAACTGGAAAACAGGTGTTTGATTAACAGAGGAGGAGAGAGAGGGGGGAAGGTGGTAAATTGCAACTTAGGTCAATAATCTTTGCCTATAGTTTGTTTGGGCTACTAATCTATTATATTAGATTCGTTTACGTCACAAACCAGTAGTTAGATAGCAAAGCAAAATACTAAGAAATAAATAGGATGGAGAGGTTAACCATATGATCAGCTCTGGTGGCCGGGGATGCAATGATCAAGTTACAACAATGCTGGTAGCCCAGTTGAATGCTCAATCTTCATTGCTCATCTTCATCGAACGAGCACTCCAAGCACTCCTGCCGTCAATACTCCGACTAGCAATGATAGAGCTAGGTTGAAGCTAGGAGCGGCTATACTAGGAACTCAACCCGCACATGCAAAGAGTGAGCAGCAACAAGCAAGCAGAAAGAAAGAATGAACTCGGGTGGAAACTGGAAAAGAGGACCTAGTATGCTGTGTATGCATTATTCAACAAAATAAGAACCAGGTACTAGTACTCACTTTGAGTTCCTCCAACGGCAAAGAAACAACGACGCTAACTAACAAGAGACACGCTATCTACTCCTATCTGATGCTGATCTGGTGCGAAATGCTACTGGTGCAAGAATTCAGGTTTCATCTTTGTCTCCATCTCAATCAGTCATACACCACAAGCTTCTCGTACGCCTTCCCAGCAATGGCTAGCCTCATCACATCCTCTGGATTCACAATCCTACCTTCCTCCATGAATATCTTCAGCAAGTTCTTCGAGAACCCACTCACCAGAGCCACCCCATTCTGTGTCCCCACCACCGGCGTCGCCCGGGAGTCCCTCAGATTCCAAAACACGATCTCCGGCACCCTGTTGTACCCTTTCTCCCGGAACTTCCTCTGTATCGCCTGATAATCAGTTTCCCAACTCCTCTGCTCCGGCTCTACCTCCAACCACCTCCTTGTGCTGGAAGGGTCTCGAACCCATCGTGGTGGTATTGATGCCTCGTTGAATTCCATGTCGCTGAAAACAAACACCCTCTTGATCAGTTGATCCTCCGTCAGGTTGTTCAGAACCGCAGCGTCCAGGATTTTATCAAACACTTTTTGGAAATCGGTGCTCATTCCCCAATCCATCCACCTGATGAATTCGGTCTTCTCCTTCAGCGTCTCCCCCTGCACCAAATGAAGCTCCGGATTATCGCTGAACGTGATCACCTTCGCTTTCCATGGCTCCTCGCTGAGCTCCGAAACCAGCAGCCCAAGTGCCACGGACACCTCCATTGGAGTCCCCTCCATGCTGCCAGACACATCGCAGACGGCAATGCAGTTGCTCAGCTTCCCTTTCTTCGACAGGTCTTCCACTAACCTCGCCCACTGAAGCTCCGCCACTGCTATTCTCTCAGGGTATTTCAGCTGGCCGATTATCTGGTGGGGAAGCAGCGCCCCAGCTGCGATCTTCGCTTTCCCGGTCTTCACTTTCTCCAGATACTCCTCAAACCTCTCCTTGTCGTGCTCCAGGAACACATCCGTGTAATTCGACATAGCCACGGAAGGAACTCTGCTGTAGGGGAGCGAGCTCCACTCCCTTGCACTCATGTACACCTCCGGAATCTCGAGTGACCAGAATCTCCTTCCTCAGCCTGTCCCGCACGCGATAAGCGTAGTGTGCTTCCTCGATCCCTTGGTACTGCTCCTCGCTCGCTTTGGGGAACATCCTGCGAGCGATTGCCTCGCAGATCAGCAGGTACTCGTCGTAGGAGGTGTCGATCGACGGGCACCACTTGGCCGCCAAGGAGATCTGCCAGTAATCCTTTGATTTCAGAGCCTCCATGTCCGATTTCAGCAGATCGGCGAACAGATCCGCGGTGGAATCGAACAGGAACCTGTAATCGGGATCGGAATTGTACTTCTTCAGCGCCTTGGCCGCTTTGGCAACCTCTCGCTCCTTGCGCAGCGCCCTCGCCGTTGCCCTAACAGAGTCGGCGTCGCCGCTGCTGCCGTCTTCATTGGAATTGTTGGCATTGATGGTGGTATGAACCTCCCCTGGCTCGTCTTCTTCTCCGGCCCCCGATGAATAGCCCAAAAACACCTTGTGTCTCTTCAACCACTCGGCCCGTTGCTTTTCTTTCAACTTCTTCCTCGCCTTTTGCGTCGCTTCTTTCAACTCCTTCTTCTCCTTTTGCCTCGCGTCATGGCCTTCAAGGAGCCGGTACAAAATCTCGACGTAGTCCTTGAAATAGCCGAATTCCGAGAACGCCGTGGCGTTGAGGGCTAGGGTTTTGGGGTGGTGGCGGTGGAGCCACAGCGCCGCCGTGTAGAATCCTTCCTTGTCCGATTTCCCCGTTCCTCTGACCCCGCGCAGATTGCCGATTAGCTTGAGCGTGGTCAGGGGATCCTGAGCCCAGGCCGACGCTAGCCGATCGATCACACTTTCCGGCGGAGTGTCGGGGACGACGTGGAAGAAGAAATCGAGGCAGGCGTTGCCGGTGGAGAGGTAGGTGGGGGAGAAGTTCTCAGTAAAGCCCATCGGCGGAGCTACAGGGACTGCCGTGTGATCTGGCTGATCTCTGACCTGCTGCATCAGTCCGGCAACTGAAGGAGGGCCGAGAAGCCTTGTCGACGACGGGACGGCGGTGGCGGAAGAGGCGGTGAGGGTTAATCGGCATGGTAGACAAGGAAGGTGGACTTCCTTTCGAATGATACGGACGACCAATCTGTTCATGAAATCGAGTGATGGTGAAGATCTGAAAGAGCTGCTCGCCGGAATGTTGGAGGAAGAAGAGAACACAGAGCTGAAACGCTTCCTTGGGGCGCAAGCTTTTCTGTGACCTAGGTCCTGCCTTTGACTGTTTCGTGCTGACTTGGAGTCCACTCATGTAGACTCTCATACGCAACTGAAGCTGTTAGAAAGGGGATATTATATTTCTATATATATGACACTAAAATATTTATAATTAGCCGATTCTGATGAGGAGAATTTAGTGACGAATGAACCATTTTAAATAAAAAAAATTATCTATGATTTCTTAAATAAGAAGTATCCAATTAATACGAGCTAATAAATTACCACGACGTGTTTTCAAGGAATTGTAAAATGCACTCAATGTCTATGGTGTTCGAGAAATTTATTTGAATATATTCTACTGAACAATGATTCACGAACTAGTTGTATATTCAATCCCGAAGTTTGTTTGTTTATTTATGTAGTCCAGAGCTAAAAAAAACTCTTTCAGCAAATTTGTCGTTACAACTAATAAACTCAATACAACTTTCCGAAGCAACAAACAATTGGATATATTAAATTCATTTTTGTTTTCACCATCAACTAAACTAATTCAACAATTCCTTGTAGTCTAATGAATCTCTCATCGATCTTATTACAACGGTAATAATTCACGAAATCCTACACGGCCAAACTGGAGGGGGTGTCACTAGACTAAAGAAGAGGAAGTTGCCTCGAGTCGAGAAGGCTTCAACTTTTTATTTTATTTGTGTGGTCAGAGGAGATGAGAAATTACATGATTAATTATCACAGATGTAAAAACTAAACAACTCCGAATTGTGTCGTTGACCAGTTGAACCGAAACCCGGTTTGGAACCTTGTGATGCAAGCTTATCTTGTTTTTTTCCTCCCCTTCTTAATGAAATAACTTGGTGTGTCATTACTAAACTGAGGGAGAGCATATGAGCTTGAGCAGTTGAGCTTGAGTCTTCTTGCTTAGATAAATCAATCAAAACGAATTAAACAGTTGGGAAATTAATAATTTAAAAATATAGTGAAACTAAATCACTAATCCAAGATTATCGTTTAAATTAGTTTGGAATCAAAATACATTAACGAAATCCGGTTATTGGATATCCAATAGGATCATCTCCTTTCCTTGTTGGTCACCAAGTAAACGACGATAAATTCAATCCCAAAGTTGATTACTCCCACAATTAAAGAGAATGCCGGAGATACTGTTCTAGAAATAAAAATGTGGCTCAGTTTTTTTAATCATAATGATTGTCAGCTCATCACGGCAAAATTCTAGAATCAGTTGGAATTAAATTGAACTCAGTTTAGAACTGCTTGAGATAATCTGGTTAGGGTTTGAAAACCACTTAAACCCGACAACTAAGTACGAAAACAACATATAAAAGTTTTGGGAAGGAATTTCGATGGAATAGATCGATTCATCCTCCTCAGAGAAACATTTCATTAATGTAAAAAAAAAAATATTCTCATATTCCTAGAACTTATAGTTCACGTTTTCTTGTCGTAAGGTCGCTCACTTGCACTATAGAGAGGAACAGAGAGTCACACAATTGAAAAAGTCGCAAAAGAACATAAAATCCTACCAAACTTGGGTACAAATAAATGACTTTCTGACATCCAGATGGTGCATCCTATTGTGAGCTCGACCAACAAACCGAATGCTAAATTGATGAAAGCACTGGCGAAGCAAACGAATTTCCTCCAAAATCGCTCCACCACGAACATCTTCTCCTTAACCCACAACTACCAATCGAGTACCACCTTTGCATCGCCCACAAGTACCACCAGCTGAACACCACTAGCGAAGCACCACCGAACTGCATCCCTAAGTATCAAAAGCTCCACCAGGAAAGGATCCACAATAGCGTCATAGAGGAGGCTGCAACACCCAACACCGTACCCGACAAGTCGCCGAAAACACAGCCTCCAACCCCATGGGAGCACTGACGAGCCGCACCATCCACCTACACCAACAAAGCCCCAGCCAGGACACCATCCATTTAGCAGAATATAGGATTGGAACTTCCCAGCCCACAGAAGAAAAATCATGAAAAATAGAAGCCATATGCATCACATGCTGCACAAAATTATTTGAGGTCCAGTAATACCTGCACCCCATATAGACAATGATCCTAAATTTCAAGTTTCCATCAAAACGATGCTGCTGTTCAACTATTGAAATTTCTTGCTATCGTTTAGTATCATCCAAACATATTACCAAAACCTTAACCAACTCAGATGTCAGAAGGGCACTAACTCTGAATTGAATGAAGTAGCTGCAAGCCTGCAACAGTATTGGTTGAAGCTCTGAAAATGTTCTTACGGTATAAAAGAAAAGAGAGAAGCATGGAATGTGGAACAAGTAATAACAGGGAGGTAGAACAAGTAATCACATTTCGACACTCTGATTCATCTACTACCAAGAAGAATTGCAACAAACAAGACATGATTCAGGGGCAGGAGATCAAACAAAAGGAAAAATAAGAGTCTATCCAAATATTTGTCAATGAGCAGTAAGTACAGAGATGTCAAACCTTTCGGTATTGATGTTCTTCGATTTCTGGAGACCAACTTCGCTTGTTGCTTGAGGGCAGAACCAGAGTGAAGCAATGGAGGCCTGACATGCCAGAAAACAACGACAATGGATTGTCCATTTTCCACATTTTCCTCGACTGTCAATCTATCAGCAGACAGCAGTTAGTAAAGTAGAGAGATGCCAAGCCTTTTGAGTTTAGCTTTCCTTAAGTTCTTGACATCTTCTTCCTTTCTTGCTAGAAAGGAGAATCTGAACGACACAGTGACCCCAGCATATTTCACATACCAAGGTTCTGCTTCGTCTCGCATTCCTTCATTGGTCTCGTCTGACAATGTTTCTGATGGAGTCTCACCTAACAAGTTTTTGTCAAACCACATATATACATTATCTGATGATGACGTAGTACCACCCAAATGCAAATCAGGAGAACTCCAAGAGCCAGCAGTTGTAGTTTCGATGTCACAATTGCATTTCATACACAATGGATAGATGAAAATGTCCGAAGAACACACAATACAGAATGCGATTCCCTTAATTCGTCGGTTGCTATTGCATGTAGGCAATTGCACCATCACACGTGAATCATCCTTATCATTCATGCTTTTGTAGGCAAACCATTCTGGAATCTCGCTCCCCCAATACTGAAGACCACCCTGTTTCCAACAAAGAGGTAGTTTCTTAAAATAAAAGATAATATCATATTTTTGACATTTTCACTTCAGCTAATCAAATAGAAAATAACAAGCACCACCAATATATTTATATTATAGTAACAATTACATACCTGAAGATGTGGAGACACTGTTGCTTGATTAGGGAAAGTCTCCACCATTTCTTTATGCGAATTAGCGTCCAACGTGCAGTCATCAAACAACACACGCTTCCATCTCAGCTTCCTGTAATTGCTTGGTAAGACCCGTAACGACTTGCAACCACCTAAATGCAGAGAATCAAGATTTGGAGGAAGTTCTGGTAAAGATTGAATCCTTGAACAGCCCTTCAAGAACAAGATGGATAAATTGGCAAGTTTGCAGATGTTGCTCGAGACAAATTCTAGGCCTTTATTAAAAGAAAGATCTAACGTAGAGAGCTGGTCCAGTTCCTCGATCCAAGAAGGCAGGGACTTTACATCCGTGCCAACAAAATGGAGGACCTGCAAAGATTTCAGGTTGCTGATGCCAATCGGAAAACTCTTCAGGTTTTGACATCTAATTATTGCAAGCTCAGTTAAGTGATTAAAAGGCTCTGATATTTCTGGCAAACTTTCAATCAACGGGGATTCCGCAAGAAGAAGTGTTTGAGAGACCATCTTCCAAATATTCCTTGACAGCCTCTTAAGTTCAGAGTTGCCAACCAACTCCAATCGAACAAATCGAGGTGATAATTTAGAGGGAACTTGATGTTCATCATAAATATCCATCTCTCTTACAGTGGTATGGCACAGCCGAAACAAATTCAGGCTTGCTGCAATAGCAGGGAAGTTGGTGATGCGTTTGCCGCAAAGACGTAGGACCCCACCTTGCTTGACATTGTAGATTGCACTCGGCAACTTTCTTACAGGTGTGTCCATTAAATCCAAATACACTAACTCTCCTGAATTGACCTCTGGACAGCGGATGACTTTGGGACAATTGGATAAGTACATACTTTTTAAGGACTTGAAGTTGAATGTTGTCGGAAGACGACTCAAACTTTGACAATCTCTGAGGTCCAACAATGTCAGTTTGTCATACGAGAGGTACAGAGGCAGCTCAACTAGGCTTTCGCATCCCCTCAGCACGAGGACCTCGAGATTTGCAGACTTCGACAAATCTGGAACATTACTTAAATGTATGCAGTAGGATAGATCTAGAGACACCAAATTTACAAGGCTTGGCTGCCAAAATGTAACAAAACAAACAGCAAAGAAAAGATGAATAATCATATCCTAATTGAAAATAAACCAAGGAAAAGCCTTGAAACAAAGCTTTTGGAACAATATATGTAGCGAAGTGGGTGTTTTACCAGTTACGTACCTCAACTCCTTCCCAACATCTTACAATTGGACTATGGTGTATTTCAAGGTAACAAAGGTATTCAGCATTAAATCTTGATGGCAGAGATTCTGAGGGGAATCCATCCCAGCGCAGATATCTTAACTCGTTAGGAAGAGAGTCAAGACCATTATCTGGCAGACGAATATTGCAAAGATGAGAGGGTAAAGAGCCACTCTTATGCAAAACTGCTCTCGGGTACCAAAACACAAGATATGTAAGAGAGTGCATTCCCTCAAAGGCGTTGGGTTTCAAATCCATCTCTTTGGCCTTGGAGATGTCCAGACATATAGCTTCAGTTGCTATAACACCCTGGAACACATTTGCTCCTGAATGCTCCCGATTCGTGAATAATTTATGAACATCCTCAGGGTTATATAACCTAGCTCGATTTTCAAGCTTTCTTTCATCATTAACAATTCTCCAAGCCATTTCTCTGAGCAGGTCATGCACATGAATATGCTCGTAACCATTGGTGGCAAAACAGATGAACATAGACTTATCAATTAGATCCTTTATTCTGCTATAAGCATGAGAGCCATACTTACTTGTCATATACTTTGTCATTCTAGATCTCGACGACACCTTGTGGAAACAAGCAAAATCTAGAAATAGCCTCTGCTCATCAGCTCCCAGCTTAAGGTAACTTCTCACAAGAACATTATGGATACCAGGTTCAAGATCCCCCAGAAAACTATTCCAATAATTTTGATCCTCGCCGAAGAGCCTACTCCCCAAAACTCTAAGAGCCAAAGGATTTCCTCCACAGTATGATATAGCTTGACGTGACAGCCCCTTCCAATTGCTAGGAGGTGACCTTTGTCTGAATGAATGCAAGCTAAAGAGTTGAAGAGATTCGTCTTTACGTAGACCATCAACAACATAAATCTTTGCCCTCGCATACTGAAGCACTCTTTTATTTCTGGTTGTGACAATGATTCTACTTCCCGCCGCAAATAGTGTTGTTGGGTCCAAGGCACTTCCCAAAAGTAATTGATCCAACTGTGATGGAGCTTCCACATCGTCAAGAACAATAAACACCTTCAAACGCGAAAGACGTGTTCTTCGAAAACGAATATCCAAAGTTTCACGACTTACACCTTTCTCTGACAGAAGAGTTGAATACAATTCTTGTATCAGCCCTTCAATCCCAGACACACTTTCACAACTTTCATTGATTCTTTTAAAGAAGTAATGTTTGGTGTCTCTCATTGAGCACACAAATCTTTGATAGCAAGCTGTAGCCAGAGTCGTCTTTCCCGATCCACCCATTCCCCAAAGTCCAATGACGCGAGTACCGTCTAATGTGTTCATGGCTAAGAGCTGCTTAATCCCCATAATGCGTGAGTCTATACCAACCAGGTTGTCAGGCATGATGCTAGGTGACATGTCTGTAAGCTGCCTCTGAACATCGTTAACTACCTCCCTGATTAAGTCGGACTCAATCCTAAGAATAAAAGGGTCAAGACAAGAGACATTAGATCCAATTTGGGAATGCGATCATGTGCAGAGAAGAATATAATGGTTGTATTTGGCAGTCATTGTCAGCTTAATGTCCATTTGTATCTCTTTATCCGAACCAAACAACTTATAAGGGATATGTTCAGATGAACCAATGAGAAACTGGGAAATCTTGGTGAGAGAAGCAATTATTAACTCAGTAAGAAGGCTCATAGTAGTAAGGAAAACTCACTCAATTGACTGAGAGGTATGGCCAACACAATTAGCAACAGTTTTCAGACCAACCTTCCATCTTTTCCTATCCTCTAGATATCTGCTAGCTCCATGTTTGTGATCAATGGCAGCAGCGTACCTTCCAGAATCCCCTGCTACATCGGACGGATCCACTTTATAGAAAACCGGAAGCACCCGGTGCCCGAACTTCTCGTACCTTCGAGCTATCATGGCCACCTCTTCCAAACACCAGGTTGAATCAGCGAAATTCTCGGAGAAAATCACGATTGATAGTGCTGATTTTTGGAGAATGGAGAGGAGCTCGTCGATGCACTCTGTTTTCCGGAGCTTGCCGTCGATGAAGGCTTTGATTTGCTTGTCGGACAGAGCAGCCATGAGGTGGCTGGTGAAACCATGGCGGGTATCAGCGCCTCTGAAACACAAGAAGACATCGTGTTCCCATTCTCCGGTGTACTGGAAATCCTGTGATGAGGGGGAGGAAGGAGGAGAAGGCATTAAAGCCAAGGCAGAGGAGCAAGCCATTTCTGCCAAGATCCAGATCTGTTTTCTGATGGAACTGTTAGAGAGCCATATGTTGGCTTCCAAGGACTTGTAGCCAGCAAGTTGAGCTTTGAAGAGCTGACTTGACTTTGTGGGCTATTCTTTTCTTTTCTTTTCTTTATGGGGGGAGGTTGATAAGTGGAGCGTTGACTTCTTGTCGATAGGTGGACGGGTAACATTCCTCTGTCTTATTACCATTTCTGGTGTTCCATCTTCTTCTAGGTACGTAACCTGAATGAAACAGTGAGCCCTGCCTGATCAATGTTCTTGTGAAACCACGGATACAAGACGATGTGGGAACAAGCGAGTCAGCAGTCAACTCGTGAACAAAGTTTCATCACAAATTTACCCCCGATCAGTAACATTGATACACCAAGCATCCTCAACTACCCTTTTCACTGTACCTGATCCCTCGACGAGAACGAGAATGTCCCACGGAGATTGAGAAGTTGTCTAAAATTTGAGGATGTTGAAAATCTTCTTGTTCTGTACGAGGATCTTTGAGTAACCACTGATTAGGACCATACTAATTGGAAGGAAGACTCGCCAGATTCTTACAAGGTCAAATGTTGATGAACTTGTCAAAGATATTAAACACAGAAAGGTAGCTCAACTAGGATTTTGCATCCCCAGAGCAAGAATTCCTTGCGAATTGAAGACTGTGATAGATCGGGGACTGCAGTTAGATTTATGCAGAGTACGAGATTACAAGCAGAATGTATGGCTGCAAAAATGGCAAAGCAGAAAACAAGGTTAGTCGAATAATAATCCAACCTGAACTACAAGAACACACTAAATAACAAATGATCGTCTATTTACATACCTGAACTCTCCTACCCAGAAGTTTGTAATTGGACTATGGCAAATAGCAAGCCTGACGAGGTTTTCAGGAGAAAATGTTTATGGCAGAGATATTGAAGGGAGCCCGTCCCAGAGTAGGTTATGTTAACTTGCCAGGACGTGAGTTAAGGTCATCATATGGTAGATGGATTTTCTTGCAACTTGCTTGTTTTGCCAGATAACCAGAAATGAAACATTAAGCTCTTGATGCAGCAGTCCTGATCCACCACCAATCATACCAAACCCAGTCCATCACAGTTTCTGTAACATGTATAAAAAACACGAATAGGAACAGTGATCATAATATGAAATCAATAGCTTCTCAAAAGGTCATATGTCTTCAATAAAATCCCATTTTTTAATCTATTACATGCAAAGAAAAAGGGAATGAAGAAATCAAGATTCATATACATTCTGTATGCTTAGTATGAAATTATGAATTTCTGTAAATTAAGGACATTCTTAACCACAACAAGTAAACCTATATCAAACGTATCTATAAAAAAAAGTAAATTAAGGACATTCCATGCTGGAGCTATAGCTTTAATTCTGAGAAAGATTTCACAACAGTACTCTTCCCAAAAGATACGGCCCCCAATAAACCTCAAGTTAAAGCAGAAAGCAGGAGAACATAGAAATATTGGACCAACAAAGACATAACAGTACTGCTGAACATGCTGCAGAACTCATAATAATATTACAGCATTCAGAATAAAAATAAAAGATAATAAGATACAAAATGTTCACGACAATTGGACATAGATCTTCCAAGGACCAAGATACGTACCTTGCCATCTGTTTTTGTTTCTCTTTTCCCAAAAATAATAATCGACTGTCTGTACTGTACTTAGTACAGTAGAGAGATGCCACATCTTTTGATTTTGTAGTTATTCAATAGCTTGACATCTTCCTCATATCCTAAGTCAGGGTAGAACCGGAAAGAAACAGCCTGCCCACCATATTTCACATACCAAGCGTCTGCTTCTCCTTTCCTTTCCTTGAACTTCCTTGAAGACTTCTTGTCGAACCATAGAAATACATTGTCTGATGAGTTTGACCCATCCCCATCTAAAGATAATTGATGAGCGCTCTTATAGGTAAAGGTGATGGGGCCAATGTCGCAATCGCATTTCATAATCGGCCAAACATCAGAGGCATCTGAAGACCACACCACACCGAAGGCAATTCCTTTAATTGGTTGCTTATTAGTAAAGTTTGCAGGAGGCAATTGCACCGACAAACACGAACCATCCTTGTCATTCATACTTTTGTAAGCAAACCATTCTGGAATCTCACTCCCTGAATATTGAAGCACGCCCTGTTCCTCAAACAGGCAAAAAGATTAACGGTTTATCCAATGACTAATAATACAATATTTATAACAAAATAACGAGCACCAACGGAATGTTGCAATGATATTTATGTACCTTCGAACGCTGAGACAATGCATAGACAGGGTAATTTGCCACGATTTCATTATGAAACGTACTATCCAATTGCGGGCAATCGTGAAACCTGAGGCACTCCCAACTCAGCTTACTAGCGTTGCTGGGAAGAGCTTGTAACAACTTGCAACCACCAACATCCATATCCCTGAGCTTTGGTGGAAGTTCTGGCAAAGATTGAATAATTCGACAACCCCTCAAGTGCAAGTGGTGTAGATTAGGTAGTTTATGGATATTGCTCGGGACAGACTCTAGGCTTTTGCAGTAGCTCAGATCCAATACATCTAGTCGGACCAATTCCACGATACAAGAAGGCAGGGACTTAATACCAGTGGATCCCAAATTGAGAAAGCTTAGGGACACTAAATTGTTGATGCTAGATGGGAAGCTTTTGAGACTTTCACACGCAGTTATAGAAAGCTCGGTTAAACCCTTTACAGGATTTGGGATCTCTGGCAAACTTTCTAGAAGTGGACTTTCCGAAATATAGAGATGAGAAGACACCATGTCCCATATACTCTTTGGCAAGCTCTTGAGTTTCGAGTTGCCAACCAACTTCAGCTTAGCAAATTTTGGCAATAACTCAGAAGAAGACTGATGATGATCATAAGAGTCTATCTCTTCTATTGCAGAATGACAAATACAAAACTCTTGCAAGCTTGCTGAAATTGTTGGGAAGTTGGTGATATTTTCGCCACAGAGACGTATGATGCCACCTTCCTTGACATAGTAAATTGCATCTGGCAGGTCTCTGACATGTGTTCCTCCTAAATCCAATTCCATCAAGTCTCCCGAATTAATCTCTGGACAGTGCTTGATCTTTAGACAATCACATAGACGAACATGCTTAAGGATCTTTGAGTCGAATTTTGATGGAAGACGCTCGAGGTTCACACAATATCCAAGGTCAAGTGTTATCAACTTGTCCAGATATTGAACGTTAGAGGTAAGTTCAACTAAGCTTGTGCATTCCCGAAGTAGGAGTTCCTCAAGTTTTATGGACTTCGAGAGATCTGGGATAGCAGTAAGATTGAAGCAATAGGAAAGATCGAGCACCATCAGATTCACCAGCATTGGCTGAGAAGGAAAACAAATAATTAATCCATTACTGAAACTATAAGATAACAGTCAAAACAGCGAGGTGAAACCTTTGAAATTACAATTTATACAAAGGGAAGAAAAGAGTTAAATGCTATAAGAATATCATGAATGCTGAAAATTACTTACTTGATCAAATCCTTTCCAACAAGTTTCAATTGGACTGGCTCGTATTATAAGATGAACGAGATGTTGGGGATAAAATCTCGAAGGTAGTGATTTGGAAGGGTATTCATCCCAGTGAAGCCATCTCAACCCGTCAGGAAGTGAGTCAAGGCCACCGTATGGCAAATGGATTTTCTCATCAACTGGATAAAACAAAGGATTTTCCGGCTTGAAAATTTGGAGGAAAACAAGAGAATTCATTCCTTCAAAGGCATTGGCTTCCAGATACATCTCTTTTGCTTTAGAGAGATCCAAACTTATACCTTCAGTTGTTTTATCTCCCTCCAATGCACTACTGCCTTCACAACGCATGTCTGTGACTTTTCTTATTTTTCTTTTCGGCAGAACCATCTCTATGCCTTTGAAGAACATGTTAATAAGAAAAGCTGACCATCTTTTCACCTTTATGGTCGACAATAATTTGTGAATATCATCAGCATCCACCAGCCTGCTGCGTTTGCCAAGCTTTGGCTCCTCGTTGACAATGCTCCAAGCCATTTCCTTGAGCAGATCATGCACCTCAATCTTCTCTCCACCGTTGCTGGAAAAGCAAATTAAAAGGGACTTATCAATTAGGTCCTTCACCTTAGCATGCGCGGACGAGTACAGTATTTCCATATATCCAATCAGTCTAGATCTTGATATTCCATGGATAAAACAAGCAACATCCAAGAACAATCGCTTCTCATCAGCTCCCATTTTATCGTAACTTCTCCTAAGAACATCCCGAATTTCTGGGTTTTGAATCAGTCTCAACCCGCCCAATAAACTCTCCCAATAATCTCTGTCCTCGCCAAACAACGTACCCCCCAAAACTCTGAGAGCCAAAGGGTTGCCCTTGCAAAATAATGTCGCAAGACGTGACAGATGCATCCAACTATCTGGGGGATGGCATTGCCTGAATGCACGCAAGCTAAAGAGTTGAATAGATTCATCATCATTCAAACACTCAACTCCATATACCTTTGCAATTGCATTTTGCAGCACTTTCTTATTTCTTGTTGTCACAATAATTCTACTCCCCTTGGCAAAGAGTTTATTAAGATTAGAGACATCTCCTAAAAGCAATTGCTCTAATTGGCAAGGAGCCTCCACATCGTCAAGGACGATGAAAACCTTCGTGCGAGAAAGACGTGCTCTTCGGTAATTCATATCCAGATCTTCACGACTTAGATTACTCTCGGATAACACTTTTGAATAGAGCCCATGCACTACTCCATTAACCCCTTGCTGCTTTTCGCAATTTCCATTGATGTTCCAGACAAAATGATGTTTGATCTCTTTCGTTGATGAAACTATCCTTTCATAGCAAGCTTTGGCCAGAGTTGATTTCCCTACACCACCCATTCCCCACAGCCCAATAATGCGAGTATCATCTAGTTCGCCCATGGCTAACAATCGCTCAACCTCCAAAACGCGGGAACCCATACCAACCAAGTTGTTAGATGTGATACTTCGTGACATGTCTATTCGTAGCCTCTGAACATCTTCAACTATCATCTTAATCAGTTCGGATTCAATTCTAAGAGTCAGAGACAAACAGAAAGAAAACAAAGAAGTCCAAATGAAAATATGGAAGTTATGATAATAAGAGCACAGTATGAAACTTCAAATACCAAGACAACTAGGGTCCATCACTATTAGGCTAATTCTTGAAATTAAAAAAGTATTTTTAATATTTAAGGTTGTCATGCTAAAAAATTTAGCATCTGGTAAATCGTGTTAGCTTCACTAACTTGAGAAGAACACACGACCATCTGGTAATAAACTATTACCCACACAGAAACCCATTAATATGTCAATTGAATAAGAATATAAATCCTTTTTGTTAAAGATTCTAGTAGCATAGGGAGAAGGAGATCTCACTGAATTGCCTCGGAGGTATGTCCTGCACAATTAGCCACCACTTTCAAAGCATCCCTCCATCTCTTCTTATCCCGGGAGCTGGCTTTAAGCTTATCATCAATGGTAACAGAGTACTTGCCAGAGTCCCCTGCCACGTCAGACCAACTAATCTTGTAGAAAACAGGCAGCGCTCGGTGCCCGAACATCGCCATGCTTTGGGCAATTGTGTCCACCTCGTTCAAGCACCAGGGTGAATCCGCGAAATTGTCGGAGAAAACCACGATCGAAAGTGCGGATCTTTGGAGGACCGCAAGGAGCTCGTCGATGGACTCTGTTTTACGGAGCAGGGTGTCGATGAAGGCTTTGATTTTCGTGTCGGAAAGAGCAGCCATGAGGTGGCTTGTAAAACAATGTCGTGTGTCGTCGCCTCTGAAACACAAGAAAACGTCATATTCCCAGTCTCCCATATACATGGCACTATGAGATGAAACCACCATTAAAGCTGTGGAAGAGGAGGAAGCCAATACAATGGAGGATCTTGAACTGTTCTCTTTCTGATCAGTTTGGCAAAGGGACAATCTTTCAAGTGCAACTAACTGTTATCAGCTGATATATTGCAAGTTTTTGGAGTATATAGTCTTTGTTGACTTCTTGGGTCACTATTTAGTTTTACCTACCCACCTAATCTTATCTTTGTCGTTGCCACCATAGCAAAAACATCATCTTTCCAGTTTTAAGCCCCAATTATCAATTACAGATATGTGGACAGTAATACCTCCACCACCCAGGCAAGATGATTTGAATTTTCTTGCTATCATCCAACCAAATTCCTGTAAAGTCTTTGTTTCTTTCTTAGCATTTAGCAAGGATGGTTTGAAATTTTCCAAGTGGTCCATACCATGCCATGAGGAAAAAGAACAAAAATTGTCAAGATAATGATGGGAGGTGGGGTAAATACTAATTAGACGATTAAGGGAACGATAGAAAGGAGAACAAAACTTATGTCCACACAAACAAAAATGTTTTTGGGTAAATAGATGGATTTTATCATCTGTGTGTAGTTGTCAAAAATATAATCCTGAAGGATAAAAGAGGGGAAAATACAAGTTGCAGCGAAATTTCAAGTACTTGCAATTTGTAAGGTAAGATGTTACCTCAACTTGAAGCCGAGACATACCAAATTCAGTACTGTTCTTCCTGTAACTTGTGTATCCAGCAGCAAGAGTTTTATATCCTGACCAAACCTGTTGGTACAGAAGCCAACCCACTCTGCCTTCTCAATGAGTCTTTCCAAATTGCACAATCTCAACAACCTACTCTCATCAGGTCTGTCATAACTATGCAGTAGAGTTGCTTGTAGCCATGAACCTGTTTCAGTTGGTAACTGTGAACTAGTTTTACGGCAAAGCAGAGCTAATATGTACATTCAGATGATATATTGAATGTTCAATAAGTTTAGAAGGAAGGGGAAGATGCAGCCATTACCATTCAGATAGGTATTTACTCCTTTTCTCCTCCAAATTTATCAAAAACTACTGTCAGCATAGTAGAGTGGAACCATATCTTCTGACTTGTAAGTTCTTGTTGAAATCTCTATTTCCTTGGGAGATATGAAATGAATTTGTGACGTCATCTTATTTCACACAGCAAACCTTGGATTGAAAGTGCAGATATTTGGAGGATCGAGCAAGCTCATCAATGCACTTTGTTTTCTAGAGCACAGTGTCAAAAAAGGATTTGATTTGATTGTGGTAAGGGACACGCCATATATACTACTGTCAGTACAGTAGACACACGCCACATCTTCTGATTTCAAAGTTCTTCGACCTTGAACCTGCTAGTTGAGGGTAGAATCGGAATGACACAGAGCATACAACATATTTCGCATACCATTCCTGCCCTTCTTCTCCTTCCTCAGTGTCACGAAATAAGTTATTGACACACCACAGATATACACAATCCTGTGAAGTATCAATGCCATCTAAAGATAGACTCAAAGAGAACCAAGAGGTGATGGCAGTGCTGACTGTTGTCGATGTTGCATTCACAATTTATTTTTTATAACATCGCTGCTAGGGTCCCGGGAAAACAGAACACCAAATACAATACCCTCAATCCTTAGGCAGAAAGTGAGCAAAGAAATTGTCCAAAAGTTGGACGTGGAGACCATACGGTTAGTTGTGGGACACTTCCCAGATGCCCTTGTCAAACTATAACTGAACTCTCAAATATACCCTTCCAAAGACCTGCACTGCACAGCAGTCTACATATGAGCTTCAACTTTTATACAAAGACCAAGGTAGTATCTGGGAAGTGATCCAGACAAATCTACAAACATCCCAAATACATCGAAGTGATCCAATAGTGGCAGCCGTAACATGATACAATCCTGACTCCCCATACAAAAGTATAGCCGAGGCAGAAGTGCAGTCCCAGAAGTTTAAGCATCTTTCTATCCACAATACCATAAAACAGGATAAGCAAAAGAATATTCATATACCTGAGTATCCAAAGAGATAGTGGCCACAGTTCGGAAACTTGCCATTTGCCAAGATTTCATCAAGCGAATTCATGTCCAACTGCAGGTGAATATCAACCTTCAGAGACAGGAGAATTGAAATTGCCGAAGGTAATGGAAGATCCCAAAGAATTCCACAACCAGATATATCAAGTTGAGTTGAGCCCTTCACCAGGTCTAAGATGTTGGGAAAACTTTCAGTCAACAGGCACTACCTGACAACTTTTTTTTTTTTTTTTCATAACCTGACAAGTTAACTGATGGAAATTTGTAACAAGACTGGTTTAGAAAGTCTTTGCAAATCAGAAGAAGGCTCATCATCAAATGCAGTATGGTGAAGTTTTGGCCACAGAGATAAGGGACGCCACCCTGCTTGACCTTGTAGATTGCTTTCAACAGTACTTTGAAGGGTGCTTCTTCTAATTCCAAAGCCAAACCCCCATCTCCTGAACTTAGCTCTGCACAATGCATGCCATTTAGAGAACTGGACTTCCTAAAAGACTTGAGCAACTCCAAAAAAGGTTAACACGCATATTATTTAGCAGTCGATACTGACAAGAAACCAGGAAGAAAGCACAAGTTCCCCTCGTGTTAACCCATTAACCAAAGCAGGGCAGAGATGTTCAACAAAATTCTATCGACTTAATCAATATATGTGACAAGCTAAGAAAGGGAGAAGGAAGATATCAAGATTTAGTTAAACTCTGTACACATAGTATGAAACTATCAATCCTGAAATAGAGGAGACGAGTGTGTTGTAGCTATAGGTAGAATTCGGAGAAAGACTTCATAACAGTTCTCTTTCCAAATAGCACTTAAGGTAAAGTAGAAAGCAGGGAATACAAAGAATTATTGGATTAAGTAATAACAGCAAGGCTGAACAACTCATAATAATAAATACCAACTGTTCACAAGAACTGGACAGAGATTCACCCAAAAGACTCAGAAACCTACCTTACATGTGTTTCTATTTTACCAAAAATATTTCTTGAACTGTCGTTACTTAGTACAGTAAAGAAACGCCGCATCTTTTGATTTTGAAGTTCTTCAATTGGTTGACATCTTGAGCATTTGGTAATTGAAGGTAGAACCAGAATGAGACGGTGAGCCCAGCATATTTCATGTACCAAGATTCTCCTTCTTCTCCTCCTCTTCTTTTCTTGGTCTTACCTGACGAGTTCTTGTCGAACCACAGAAAAACTTTGTCCGATGGGGTGTCATCCCCATCTAAAAACCAACGATCAGAACTCCAAGACGCAATGGTGGTGGTGTTGATGTTGCAATCACATCTCATATTAACCTGACCATCCCAATGGTCCCAAGAACACACAATGCCAAATGTAATACCCTTCATCATTAGTTGCTCACTACTACAGGTTGAAGGAGATAATTCCACGGTCACACATGAATCATCCTTATCATTCACACTTTTGTAGGCAAACCATTTTGGAATCTCACTCCCTGAATATAGAAGACTGACCTGTTGTTACCAACACACACAGAGGCAACCCCATCAAAAAATTGTAACAACCTTTTCCGCTGCAAGTAATCATAATGATACGAACACAAGATCTTATGATGATATTTATGTACCTTAGACTGCCGAGACAACGTTACATGAACTGGAAAATTCACCATAGTTTCATTCAATTGTGGGCAATCATCAAACCTCACGCTTCCCCAACTGAGCTTAGCAATGTTGCTTGGTAGAGCTTGTAATGACTTGCAACCACCTACATCCAGAGTGAGAAGACGTAATGGAAGTTCCGGCAAAGATCGAATACTACGACAGCCCCTCAAGGTCAACACCAGCAACTGGGATAGTTTATGGATATTGGTTGGGATACTTTCAAGTCTTTCACAATACCATAATTCAATGGAATTCAGTCTGTCCAATTTATGGACACAGGAAGGCAAGGATTTAATACCCATTTTTTTCAAGCATAGATAATTCAGAGAGCTCATATTGTGGATGTCAGATCCGTTCTTATGACTTCTGCATCCAGGCTCTGAGATCTCTGGCAAACTCTCAATCAACAGACTACCCTCAACGACGAGTTGTCCAGCCATGTTCCAGAGGTTCCTTGGCAGGCTTTCCAGTCGGCAGTTCTCAACCAACTCCAGCCTATCATATATAGGCAGTAATTCAGAGGAAGCCAGGTGAGGAAAATTAAAATATATATCCCTGATTGCAGTATGACACAGACGAAACTCCTTCAAGCTTCTTGAAATTGCAGGGAAGTCAGTAATGCTTTCACCACATAGACGTAGGACGCCACCTTGCTTGACGTTGTAAATCGCACCTGGAAGCTCTCTGATGGGTGTCCCATCTAAATCTAGTTCTTCCAGTTCTCCTGAGTTTATCTCGGGACATTGCATGACCTTTGGACAATTTTGTATCCAGACATGCTTGAGGAAATTTGAGTCGAGTCTGGACGGAAGACGTTCAAGGTTCACACAATGTCTGAGGTCCACTGTTATGAGCTTGTGAAGATATTGAACATGAGAGGGTAACTCAACTAGGCTGAAGCATCCTTGGAGTCGGAGCTCCTCGAGACTCGAAGACATTGACAAATTGGGGACAACAGTTAGATTTTTACAGCTGGACAGATCAAGCACCACCAGGTTCACAAGCATCGGCTGCCAAAAATAGAAGGTTAATTTTGCCATTTTAACTAAAAGAAAACGATCAAAACACAAGTGCGTATAAGTACTTACTTGATCAAATCCTTCCCAGCATCTCTTAATAGGACTATGTCGTATGATAAGATTGACGAGGTGCTGGGGATAAAATCTCCATGGTAGAGACTTTGAAGGGTATGCATCCCAATGCAGCCATCTTAACCTGTCAGGAAGCGAGTCAAGCCCACTGTGTGGCAAATGGATTTTCTGTTCAATTTCAAAATCTCTCGGCCACCAAAATTTCATAAAAGTAAGAGAGTCCATCCCCTCAAAAGCATTGGCTTCCAAATGCATCTTATTTGCTTTAGATAGATCCAAACTTAGACCTTCGGTTGTTCGATCTCCCTCCAATGCATTATTGCCAGTTCGAAGCAAGTCAATGACTTTCCTTCTTTTTCTTCTTGGTAGAACCATCTCTTCTATGCCTTTGAAGAAGTTTGAAACAAATTTTGTCCAATTCTTAACCTTTTGAGTTGTCAATAATTTGTGAATATCCTCAGGATCTACCAATCTGCTCCGTTTGCCAAGCTTTGGTTCCTCGTTGACAATGTTCCAAGCCATTTCCTTCAGCAGACCATGCACCTCAATATTCTCTCCATCCTTTTTGGAAATGCACATGAAGAGTGACTTATCAATTAGGTCCTTCACTTTGGCATAAGCAGCTGGGCAAACAGTATCCATATATTCTATCAGTCTAGATCTTGAAATTCCGTTAAGGAGACAAGCAACATCTAAAAAAAGTTTCTTCTCTTCAACCGTCAATTTATTGTAGCTTCTCCTCAGAATGTCATGAATTTCAGGCTTCTGAATCCTTCTCAATCCACTCAAAAAACTTTGCCAATAGTGTTTGTCTTCACCAAACAACGTACCCCCCAAAACTCTAAGTGCCAAGGGGTTTCCTTTGCAATATGATATTGCAAGACGTGACATCTCCGTCCAATTAACCAGGGGACAATGTTGTTTGAATGCATGCAAGCTAAACAATTGAGTAGATTCAATATCATTCAAGCAGGCAACATTGTATATCTTTGCCAACGCATTTTGAAGGACTTTCTTATTTCTTGTTGTCACGATGATTCTGCTCCCAGCAGCAAAGAGTTTGGGGAGATTGAAGACATCTCCTAAAAGCAATTGCTCCAATTGCAATGGGGTCTCCACATCGTCAAGAACAATGAACACCTTCAAACGAGAAAGAAGTGCCCTGCGATAACTAATATCTAAATCTACATGACTTATATTGCTCTCGGACAACAATCTCGAATAGAGCTCAGACACTATTTCTTCAACCCCGTGATGCTTTTCGCAATTTTCATTAATGTTACGGACAAAGCGATGCTTGGTTTTCCTCATCAACGAAGTCAGCCGCTCGTAGCAAGCTTTTGCAAGAGTTGTTTTTCCTACACCACCCATTCCCCATATCCCAATGATCTGAGTATCATCTAATGAATTCATAGCTAATAGTCGTTGAATCTCCAAAACACGCGAACCCATACCGACCAAATTGTTAGACTTGATACTCGGAGACATATCTATTAGTTGCTTTTGAACATCCTCCACAATCTCCTTAGCCAATTTAGCTTCGATTCTAAGAGTCAAAACAAAACAAACAAAAAAAGCAAACCAGTTGAAATGAAAAAGATGGAAGTCATGTTAATAATGAAACAGATCAGTTGAAGTTAAAAAATGGAAGTCATGTCAATTAGACCATGGGTCGAGCACTATCAAGATATGTACTAGGCGTTGAGATATTATACTAGATGCTTTTGTTTCTCTTGCTAATGTTGTACTACTTCCAACTCTAGAAGGTTGTTTTACTTGTAAGAAATATATTCAACCCAAATCCAGGGAGACTATAGATTACATCTACACAGTACAGAATTCTACATCGAAAATGCAATAAAGGATACTGACTCAAATTGGAAACAACAATAGGATGGGTTCAATAAAAATATTTTTTTTTAAATCTAATAAAAAAATAATGAACCAAGAAAAACACACAACCCATTTGTAATGAACTATCACCTATATGAAAACAAAAACCCATTAATATGGATATTAAATAATAATAATAAATTAATCATTTCAGGTAGAGTAAAGATCTTAGGATTAGAGGGAGTCGATATACTCACTGAATTGCCTGAGAGGTATGCCCAGCACAATTAGCGACCGCTTTCAAAGCATCTCTCCATCTCTTGTTGTCCTCTGAACTAGCTTTTAGCTTATAATCGATGGTGATAGAATAACTGCCAGAGTCCCCTGCCACATCAGACCAACCAACCCTGTAGAAAACTGGCAGCACTCGATGCCCGAATTTCACCATGCTTTGAGCAATTGTTGCAACTTCATCCAAGCACCAGGGTGAATCCGCAAAGTTCTCTGAGAAAATCACAATCGAAAGTGCAGATCTTTGGAGGATGGAGAGGAGTTCATCTATGCACTCTGTTTTGCGGAGCATGGTGTCGATGAATGCTTTAATTTGCTTGTCAGAAAGAGCAGCCATGAGGTGGCTTGCAAAACCATGGCGGGTGTCATCGCCTCTGAAACACAAGAAAACATCATATTCCCACTCTCCTGTATACATGGCACTATGAGACGAAGAAGCCATCAAAGCTGAGGAAAAGGAAGAAGCCATTAGACTGGGAGATCTTGATCTGCTTTCTTCTGATTAACTTAGCTAAGGGACAGACTTTTAACTACAAATCATGGAGGGTTGACTTCGTGGATCACTGTTCAATTTTGCATTTTTTGTTCATTAAGCAAGATTGATTGTATGACTTCTCGGGTCATTGATTAACTTGACTTGCCCACCTAATCTGATCTGTGTAGTCATCACCACAAGAAGGAAAAACAATATCCTGCATTTAAAAGTCTTAATTAACAATTAATTAAGGTAGGTGAACAGTATTGTTTGTACCTGAAGATGCAGCCTGCAGGCTTATGAAATTTTATACTCTGCCTCTATAGTGTGAAGCCCATTCAGAATCCCGATTTTGAGGCAAAACCTGTCAGGAACGCAACAAAACAAAAAAAAAAAAAAACCTGAAAATGCATTCATCTCTACTTCAGCAACAACAGTATATGGCCCAACTTGAACATGTTTTTAAGGATAAAAGAAGAAATAAGCACTGGAGGAGCCATACTTGACTGCCATGGTTATTTTAGATCTCCACATCTCATTACGGAAACAAGCAACATCTAGAAATAGCCTCCACTCTTCAGCTCCCAACTTAATCATGAATACTTTTCTTCTTCTAGTTGCGACAATTATCTAAATCCTATGGCAAGTAGTATTGTTGGATCCAAGAAACTTCCCAGAAGTAACTTATCTAACTGTGATGAGTTTCCACATCACCAAGAACAACAAACACCTTCAAACGTGAAAGACGTTTCCTTCAGGAACCAAAATCTGAATCTTCATTACTTACATCTTTCTCCGACCAAAGAGTCGAGTACAATTCTTCTATCTGTCCTTCAATCCCACGGACACTTTCGCAGTTCTCATTGATGCTTTTAACGAACCGATGATTGGTGTCTCACACTGAAAATGCATATCTCCAAACAGCAAGTTGTTGCTAGAGTTGTCTTCCCCAAACCACCCATTCCCCAGATTCCGATAATTCGACTACCATCCAATGTGGCCAAGGCTAACAGATGCTGAATCTACATAAAGAGTGAATCAATACCAACCAAAATTGTCAGGCAAGATGCTGGGGGTGCATGCCTGTAACTGCAAGCTGCCTCTGAACATCGTTCACTACCTCCAAAATTAAGTTACACTCATTCGTAAGAACATTAGGGTTAAAATATGAGGGAAAATGTTCGAATTAGAGAATGGCTATCATGTCTGAACGCAATTACTCCCAATTGTTGCATTTGTATACATAGTGCGGACAATGTAAGTACACATTACCACTAACCGAAAGAAGCAACCAATTTACGAAGAAGGCTCATAGTAGTAACGAGTACTCACACAGTCGCCTAACAAGTAGTGCCACCGCAATGAGCCAAAGCTTGCAGACCATCGTTCCATCTCTTCCCAACCTCTAGACTGTTGATATCTCCATGTTTCTGCTCAGTGGCAGTAGCGTAACTTCCAGAATCCTCTGCGACACCGGAGGGTTATACATTATAGAAAAACCAGAATCACCCGGTGCCCTAATTTTTCCATTCATCGAGCCATGACATCCACCTAAACATCAGGTTGAATCAGCAAAATTCTCCGAGGAAACTCACGATTGACAGTGCAGACCATGGGAGAACGGAGAGAAGTTCGCCGATGCTCTCTGTTTTGTCGAGTTTCTCGTCGATGAATGCTTTGGTTTGGTTGTCGGAGAGAACGCAGTGAGGTGGGCGGTTAAACCACGGCGGGCGTCGGCGCCTCTGAAACACAGGACGACGTCGTATTCCCATTCGCCGGCGTAGGAGGAAAGCTGTTTAGAGGAAGAAGGAGAAACCGTCGAAGTTGAGGAAGAAGAAGAAGAATCCGCCATTACAAGTTGGGAAGAAATAATGGTTGTGGACCGGGCTTAGGCATAGAGGTTTTGCTTCGAGTTTGGGCCCAAAAGCCCAATAGACCAATGCTGATTGGGGGTTAGTGGCGGGACCTTATCAGTTCCTAGTTATTACTTTCCCGGGGAAAGTCGACCGACAAAGCGACAACAGCCATTCTCGTTGACCGAACTTCTCCCGATCGACTATGGTGGAAACCACGGAGAAGCTTTCTTCTCTTCTTCCAGTGGAATTCTTCATCGCTTTCTCCTTCTGGGTCCACCCGCCGTAACTCATCGACGGCGAGCACATGTTCCGCGAATCCGCCATGGAAACGGTGAGTGAATCCAGTAATGCACACACCACGGATTTTCACACTTTTTCTCGTGGGCCAAAACACAAACACCTTGCGGGCAAAGGTTTTGAACTAAAAGGGGTTTCTAGTAGGGAATATATCGGTTGCTTGCAATAGGAAAACTTCAGGGAATTGCAGGAACAGATTCTGCGAGCTGAGACTTCTGTTTGACCATCATTATCCTTCGAGTATGATGAAAGGTTTATTGATCAGCTAACGTCAGCGTGCCTAGCTAAGCCCTGTCGGCGTAGCCCAAGTCTTATCTAACAATCTCCATCTTCCATTGATTTCTAGTTGACACTTGACAAAGTCAATTTTATATGCTGAACGCGTTATGGAGATTGCAGAGGCCTTGATAATGTCTTTGCTTAATAATCTACTTGTCAATGGGTAGTTGGCAAGTTGGAGTCATTTTATATTGAAGCCAAGTCTTTTCAATCATCTAGGGAAATGTACATGTGTTTATATATAACTGGGTTCTTCCCTTCACGTTTCAATCATTATCATTCCCATTTCCATTTCCATTTCCATTTCCATTCTTCCTTTCGGATCTCTGCACTTTCAATCAGTATCATTTCCATTCTCATTTTCCATTCTTCATTTCAGATCTCTGCATTTTCTCTTCTTTGAGCTTGCAGTTGAGCATAGATGGCTGGGCTGCCTATCGACTACATGGCCCAGAAGATGGAGGATTTTCTGGTAAAGGAAGCAACTTTATATGGAGAAGCTCGTGACCAAGTGGATGCGATGAAGCAGGAGCTGATGAGCATGAGGTCATTTCTGGAGGATGCTGATTATCCAAAGTCCACCAGTTCCAAATCAAAGGAAACCCAGGTTGCCCAAGTCAGAGATCTGGTGTACGATGTTGAAGACATCATCGACAAGTACATGTACCATATAAACAAGTGGCGAGGCGACCATACATTCGTGTGGTACGCCAAGAGAACCTTTGGCTTCCCCAAGTACTTTTGGGAGAGGCGGCAGATTGCTACAGGCCTCCGGGGACTCAACAGCATGATCAAAACCATACCTGAGAGGTATCAACGGTACACTGTTGATCGTCAAGAGTCAGCTTCAGGCTCCAACCCTGGCGGAACACTTTTCAACTCCGAGGCTGCTCTGTTCCTCAATGAAGACGATCTTGTGGGGATTGAAGCACCGAAAGAGGCACTTGTAGGGTTTCTCACCAATGGGGATTTGCAGCGAACTACTATTTCAGTGGTTGGCATGGGTGGCTCTGGTAAGACCACTTTGGTGGCTAACTTGTTCAACTCTCCTGCAGTCAAGCAAAAGTTTGATTGTTGTGCTTGGATTACTGTCTCTCAAACTTTCACCATTGAAGAACTGCTCCGAAGCTTGATCAAGGAGTTCAACAAGTCAAATACAGGAGAAGGGATTCCGACAGCGGATTTGAGTGTCATGAGCTATCGGGAGCTTATAGAGAAGCTTGTGGCTTATCTTGAGAAGAAGGCTTACTTGGTTGTCTTAGATGATGTATGGAGCATTGATGTTTGGAGCCAGATAAAGGTGTCCCTTCCAAATGGGCAGAAGGGCAGCCGAGTTATGCTCACAACTCGTATGGACGACATCGCCCTGCACTTTTCATCTGAAGCTGGAAGTCATATCTACAATGTTAAACCACTCGACAGGGACAAAGCATGGGAGCTATTTTGTCGTAGAGCTTTCTCATCAAGAAATTTCAAAACATGCCCTTCAGAGCTACAAGAGACAGCAAATGAGCTTGTCGACAAATGTGAAGGTCTTCCTCTCGCCATTGCTTCAGTGGGTGGTCTCTTGGCCACAAAAAAATGCTCATTAGGCGCATGGACAATGGTTCTCAAGAACTTGCAGTGGGAGTTGAGCAACAATCAGATGCTGCAACCCATAAAAAGCATACTGCTTTTGAGTTACAACGATCTTCCGTATCGACTAAAGTGTTGTTTCCTATACTTTGCTTTATTTCCAGAGGACCACAGAATCTGGTGCGACAGACTCATCAGACTATGGATGGCTGAGGGATTTGTGGAAGCAGGTGAAAATGGAGTATTACCGGAAGAGGTTGGTATGCGATACATCAGAGAATTGATTGGTCGAAATCTTCTCCAAGCTGTGAGATGGGAGATGTATGGAGATCACGGGAAGTGTAAGATGCATGATTTGTACAGAGAGATTGCCCTTACGATATCAAAGCAAGAGAAGTTTTGCTCGGTACATGATGCTAGAAGTCTTCTTAGAGAAGATAACTCATCCAATCCTCGACGTTTATCCATCCAACAAGCCAGCAGTGAGCGTGAAGTGGCTGATTTGGTCGAAGGTATTTCACATATTCGCTCTCTCATCTTCTTTGCTAGAGACAATCATTTCTCTCTAAGTAAACTTCCTTGGAGCCATCTTCGACTCACACGTGTCGTGGATATGGAAAAGTCCCCACTGGAGAAACTCTCTGAGCAAATAGCCGTCTTACTCAACTTGAAGTACTTGAACTTGAACAACACTGTCGTGAAAACTCTCCCAAAGAGTATTGGAAAGCTGTGGAGTCTCCAAACTCTCGAAATCCTGAGCACCAACATCGAAGTCCTTCCAAGGGAGGTTGTGAAGTTGCAAAACTTACGCCACTTGTTGGCAGGCAATCTCAAGTTTGGAAGTCTACGGGAATACAACAAACTAAAAGGGGTGAAAGTTCCACCGGGTGCAGATATCAGCTCTCTGAAGAACTTGCAGACTCTACGCCTGGTGGAAGCAAGTGGAGAGATAGTGAAGCAGTTGCAAAAAATGACCCAACTCGTACAACTCGGGATCACAAACTTGGAAGGCCGAGCTCAGATGGAAGATTTGTGCTCATCGCTACAAACTATGCAGCTGCTGCGATTTTTGGTTTTGATAGCAAGCAAGGAAGAAGAAGTCCTCCAAATGGATTCCCTTAATGAATCCATTGCTTCTTCATCATCACTTCAGCTCCTCGAGTATCTCATCCTCTGTGGCAAGCTGAATAACTTTCCAGATTGGATTCGCTCTCTCCGAAGCCTCACTACAATACGATTGCTCTGGAGCAGGCTACCGGTGGAGGAAGATCCAGTTGTGCATCTCCAAGGCATGGATAGCCTGAGGAACGTTTGGTTCAACAATGCTTATCAGGGTACCGAGTTGAGGTTCATGGCTGGATTCAGCAATCTCAGGGCTTTGGCATTGGCCAATTTACCTAATCTAGAGAAGCTGACAATTGGCGAAGGAGGAGTGATGCCGGATCTTGGGATCATACTGATAAGAGACTGCCCGAATCTAAAGATGATATCAGAAGGGATCAAATGCCTGACCAAGCTTGAAGATTTGAGGCTCGAGAATGTTTCTCGGGAACTGGTGGAGCGTGTTCGCGGTGAAGATCGTGCCAACTTTCAGCACATTCCTCTCGTCACTTGCAAGTACTGCTCATCGAATGGGAGTTACATTAGTGAAAGACTTGTTCTTTGAGTTCAGTTGTTGCAGAAGATCGATTTTTGTACTGTTAGGAAGTTGTGTAAGTTCTGTTTTGTTTGTTGTGAATGAATGCATTTTGTTTGCACACTCCTACTAGCACGCATGGTATGTGAGTTATCACTGACATGCTTACTAAGTACGAAATGTGCACACTAGTAAAAACATATTGTGCATAAAACATTTCAAGCTAGCGTACATGATATTGATCTGTTTAGCAGCCCAAAATTTAGATGGAACCGTTCTATCTGAAGAATTTAAAATTGACTCGTTTTGAGACAATTACAATTGTTTGGGATAACATCACACAATTCGAATTGAATCGTTTTAAATGACTCATTTTGTAGAATGAAACAATCGCCCAAATTATCTCATTTTTTCAATTTATCCGTTGGCCATTAATTCTAAAAATCGAAGTTGAGTGGTTTGTTTAGGGGGAAAATATGTAAAGGGGCTTAATGGGAAAAGACTCATAATTAAAGGATTGGTTGGGCATTAATTCCAAAATCTGCACCCAATCGGAGACTTCGAGTCGACGCCGGCGAACAAACGTTTCAATTCGGAATAAAAATTGGGGATTTCAAAAGCTCCCACTGAGGATCCCATCTTCGCCCCTCCTCCGGCCATTGACATGGCCACTTCCACGAGACACCAGACGGCGAAGATGAAGGTCCCGCTCCTTCCTCTCCTCTCTCTCGTCTGCTTTGCTCCAATCTTCTTCCTCCTCCTCTCCCTTCCCCGAAGGGCTCCAGTCTCCCCGGGATCCTATTCTCAGATCAAGCCCGGACTCAGATCCGGCCTGAACCGACGATCCGGGTCATGCGATTACACCGACGGGTCGTGGGTCTATGACCCGGATCACAGCTCGGCGAAGTACGATAGCACCTGCAAGGAGATATTCAAAGGCTGGAACTGCATTGCCGGTGGGAAACCGAATGCGGCGGACATCCTCAGGTGGCGGTGGCAGCCGAAGGGATGTGATCTTCCCCCGTTTGATCCGTTGGCTTTCCTGGAAACTTATAGAGACACTAAAATAGGTAAAAATTCGTTTCTGTTTGTAGCTATTTTCGCAATTTCCCTGCGCACAGATTGCCTGTTTAGTTGCTGATATAGTTGTGGCTGAAAGTAACTTTCTTTTGTTAATGTATTGGGTCATTCCCAATGATTCATAGCATAGCGAAGTGTACAGAATGTGCTACTCTCACTGATTGTTTTCGGATTGTGGAAATGCTGGTAGAATCCATGCTTCACTGGACATGTTTATCTTGTATGGAGAATGCTTAGTTTTGATTGCTGGAGTATTTGGTGGCGCCCATGTTGAACCATATATGTTGAGTTTCTTTAATGGATGTCACTTGTGTTCTGCAAAGCAGGATTCGTTGGTGACTCCTTGAACAGGAATATGTTTGTGTCCCTGTTCTGTGCACTGAGACGGGTGTCAAGTGACGTGAAGAAGTGGCGACCGGCTGGTGCTGATCGTGGGTTTACTTTTCTTCAGTATAACCTTACGATAGCATACCATCGCACGAATCTGTTGTCGAGATATGGTAGGTAAGCTCTGGCTGTACATATATAGTCTGATATGTCACTTTAGGCTATGCATTGTTGATTACGTTCAGTCCTAATGTTACTCTTACCATCCTTTCAGCTAAATTCTGAAGTCATTTTCAGAGATTTCTACTTCCCTCATAGGCTTAGGATGTTTAACCTTCTCTTTACTGCAGTTGGTTAGCTGATCCAAAAGGCGGGAAGCTGGAGTCTCTCGGTTATAAAGAGGGTTACAGGGTTGATGTTGACATCCCAGACGGCACTTGGGCCAGTGCTCCAAGCTTCCATGATATTCTGATCTTCAACACTGGGCACTGGTAATTTCTTTGTTCAATTACATTGGTTTCTTTGATCAGTAATTATTGCCATCTGGTTTCATACTCGGGTAGTCAAGCTAGGTGAACATTTCTCCATCCTCTCAACTGGATTCCCAAAAAATGGATCTTTCCCTCCAAGACAAACGAAGTATATATCAAGGCAGGAACAGTTAACTCATATTCCCTTGGCAACTCTAACGGAGCATTTGTCCCGCTGATCTGAATGCTTACACTTAGCAAAAAGGCAGATACTTGTTACTGGGGGGAAAAAAATGTGTTCATGCTGTACGGGGCAACACTATTAAATGCTGGTTGTCACAGTCCTAGCTGCCCTGCTGGAATTTTGCTTATACTACTGATATTTGCTTAGTGTGGCAAAGCTTTTGGATGGCCTGTTTGCTTGACTCGTGCGTGTTGCAAACAGGTGGTGGGCGCCTTCTAAGTTCGACCCTGTGAAGTCACCCATGCTCTTCTATGAAAAGGGGTTACCAATCATCCCTCCCATACCTCCCGCTGTCGGCCTTGACATTGTTTTGAAGCACATGGTACAGTTTCCTTGTCTTTGCGTCTTTGCTTCCCTCTCTCATTTTGCTAGAATAAGAAAGAATCAATACTTTGCTCTGCTTGAGAAATACTAAATGCTATAGAAGTGGGAATAGGTGTGTAGTATCACTGAGCCACTTAATGAGTTGGCAGCACATTATTTTCTACCTGCATGTGTGTCTTCTAAACTAGAATGTGAATTGAACACTTCCTTTTGGTACCTCTAGATGCATTTTGTTGAAGAGAAGATGCGTCCAGGCGGGATCAAGTTCTTCCGGACCCAATCACCTAGGCATTTTGAAGGAGGCGACTGGAACGAAGGTGGTTCTTGTCTGCGACAACTGCCATTGTCGTCTGACCAGGTAAGCATATCGTCTGAAATTTTTGCGAATTCGGATTTCCTGTATTCGACGAATTTCCACCGGTTCTAAATTTTTGTTCTGGTTTTGTTCATTTCCTCAGGTCGAAGAACTCTTTGCAGTGAGCAACAACGGTACGAATGTAGAGTCGCGGCTGGTGAATCGGCACCTACTCCGAGCAATCAGCGGGTCGAGTTTTCACGTTCTAGACATAACTCACATGAGTGAATTCAGAGCAGACGCTCACCCGGCCAGCGCCGGCGGAAAGAAGCACGATGACTGCATGCACTGGTGCTTGCCTGGAGTCACGGATACATGGATCGACTTGTTCATTTCACGTTTGAACGACATTAATTATAGAGATCAGCAAAGCTTTTGAAACACCTTACAATTGGGATAATTGATAGAATTGCCTAGCAAAAAAATTCATACGAAAGTACAGTTGTATAAATGATTTTGCATACTAATTTTCAAATTTATACAAATTCGTAATGAAATTAGGTGCACCACATCTTTTTAACCGGGTAAACCTTTTTTTTTTTTTTTTTGTTAAGTAAAAAGACGAGGAATAAAATGGTGATTCTACAAAAGATGATACAAAAGCTTCTCTGAATTTTTTACCTAGATATGAGGAAATTGGATTGATGAGTTTTTGTAACCACTAAATAAATCTTCTTTCGTGATAAAATAAGGTGGATATATAGTGAAATCAAATCATGCATCTTTCATTATGCATAATATGACATGAAATTATGGATTAGATAATAAGATGAATACATGCAAACAAACCGAGAGAAGTGAGTGACGAATTCAGTCAATCAAGCGTGCGCCCAATTTAATGTTTGACTTGGTTTACGTCGATGTCAAACCAATACTCATTGATTTGTCATTAATTTAATGCTCCTTCCATGACCTTCAACAATAAAAATTAGAGAAAGGCTAATAGAGAATATCAAACATATTTGTCACATGTTGATACAATTTTTTTTTATGAGAAATGTTGATACAAATTTCAAGTTCATAAATTAAGCAAATGATATAAAACTCATTTCGAAATTTTTACTAACAAATCAAATTATTGAGATCAAACTGTAATGGTATTCCATTAAAAAAAAGCATTTGATGATGGTCTAGTATTTCAAGCATGACAACACGTCAACACCTGATATTACAAAATCGTATATAAATTATGCACATGGTATATGGATCATTACATTGGAAAAATCAAATATGATGATCCCCACGACGCCCATATGCAAATCATGCAACTTTTCACTCATCCCTACAATATTATATTGGTCATTTTCCGGGTTGTTAATTGGTGGGTGTCACATTTTGAAATGTCACTTTTGCTCTAATAACACTTGCTGGTGCTATTTGACCTTTCCATCAAAAAAAGCTAGCATTTACGGAGTACTTAACCATGACTTTTCGCAACACTTTGCATAGCAACACTCACCCTTCAACAACTAATGTAGTGATGTAGCCAATGATGGAGATGCCGACATGGACTAATATGAGGTAACATGCATGGTGCAACTAGGGCTGTCAATTTGATTTTGGTTTTTCGGTTTTAACCGAAACCAAACCGTTAAAAGGTTAACGGTGTTCGTTTTTTTGGTTTTAAACCATTTAGCATTAATGGTTTTGGTTTCGGTTAAAACTAAAAAACCCAATAAACCGATAAGGACCCCAGTTTTCTTGAATGACCCCTGATTTCTTTGAAGTCAACCATGTTTTTGATTTATCGAAACCATTAAGGAGCTTATCGATTTATGGTTATCCAAAAACCGATAAGCCTCTTAATGGTTTTGATTTTGGTTTTTCTGAATATGCCTAATTTGGTTTTTGGATTTCATGCTAATGGTTTGGGTTGGTTTTGGTAATCCAAATTGACAGCCTTGGGTGCAACCGACACACCTTCGTTCTGAAAAACGAATCAGATAGAAATTCGGGGTATGATTCCGGAGCGTAACCTGAATTTTACTGAATGTGAGTCTGGAACTCGGCCTATGTCTCTAGACGAATGAGTGACACACTGACACGTGAGAATTTTTCTGTCGGATTTTGGTTTGAGATAGATGAATTAGACAATGAATTAGAGATTGAGAATTTGGAACACTGTTAAAGATAGGTTATTGCAATATGTTTATGTGAAATTGTGTTTTTGTCTATATTATACAAAATGTAAATACGGATCAAAAGATTCCTTGTAACCTATAGGTAAACATTTGAAATCCTATATCTAGTGATATCGGGTCCAATTTTCGTGAGACAATTTGCAACTACACAACCCACCCAATTTCAAGCGACCCCTTCCTTATTGTGATTAGTGGCAAATCAATTGAAAGAGCACACCTCTTGATCCAAGTGAGACACTTCGAAACTTTTAGCTCCTATTTTCCCCCCTTTTCTGAAGATGTACATGTGAATTGTGATCGATCTAATCACTTATTTGAAGAGCATCTTAGTATTAGATTAATAGCATAATAATAAAATATTTGTTTGCTGCACACAATCTCTGGAAAATATTCCTCATGTCTCATTGGTTTGTCGGCTTTCAGAAATAGGCATCTTTTGCTACGGAAACAAAATTCATATAAATGAGATTTTCCAAAATGGATCCCCCTCATAATAGAAACAGGATTTGAAAATGAATAAAGGCGGAAAAATAAGAGATAAATTAATCAATCACTATGAGCAATAAATAGATGATAAATTGATTAAATACATCATTTATGTATTATAGGTCCTTTTGACATAACTTCTCGACGCGCGAAGACGCTTAGTTACGTTGCTTCGCCTGAAGCCATATTACCAGAAGGGGGCATGTTGAGTATTATAATTAGATGTATTGCTTTAAGGTATGAATTTAAAAATATATTATTTGAAGATTGAATGATTTTGGTTGTTCCTAATGTCTAAAAATATGACAATCATTGGTTATGAATAATTTTAGTGGTCCCATCTTATGCTCAAATACAAGAATTGTGTTTCATTTTTAAGACAAAAAAGCGACGAATTCTCCTAATCGCATGCATTGCATGAATACATAATCTGAAATCTCAACTTACAGACGACGCCAAAGTAAATTGTTATTTCATATTTGCATAAGACCATCAAGTGGATACAAGGTTGTAATAACCTATAGCTAGTTAGAATATTGTGAAAGTTTAAAGTACAACTTGTAAATTATCGATAACCTTAGAGAATATGATAGGCTCCAATACAATCAAAATCGAAATACTCACTTCTTCTCCACGTAACGGAGATCCCGAATATCCATAAAAACATTGATAAAGTGCTAGGCCTATCTTCCGTCCTCGTTACAAATCGTCACTCAAATTCCGTACCAAGTCTTTAACGACCAATCTAGCTACGTAAATTCTTATATTCATGTCAAGCTTACGTTCTCCCGAAAATTACTAGCACAAACAACAAGTTTCTCCGACTTTTCCTTGGGAAACTATTTTTCACATATTGTTTCCCAATATTTGTTGTTGGCTTTTAGCAGGAAATAAAAAAGGAAAAGGACACTGCTGCTGCTGCTGCTGCTGGACTCTGGATAATCTGACATGGAGGCAGAGGAGAAACAACAACCACTAACCAGCAGCAATAACGACCAAAATAAATTTTGACAGTTGGTGGCTAAATAATTGCTGCTACTGGTACCACATCTCAATTGGCTGGATTCTCAAGGAGATCGATGCTTCCCCTCATGTCGCCATGTATGTTTTCACTAAAAGCAAATGATTCTAGAGTAATATTTCCTTTCCTTAATAGGATTCCTAATCCTAATGTTTGATGACATCTTTCAATCATGTAACTAAGGAGCATATACCCAATGGAATTGAAGTATTGAACTCCATTGGCTTGATTCTTTTTAGTAGGTAGATTTTCTTTCTTTCTTTATGGTGTAAAGGGGGAAATGAATCAACTAAATCGTGGCTTAAGATAATTTGATGTAAAGAGTTGATTTCAAGACATTTAATTCACGATTCTACAAACTAAGAAATCAAATTAGTAAGACACGATATATTATTTGCATAAAGGTTAAATATTTGTTTCGAATAGACGAAGTATCATACCCAAACAATACCCAAAAGAGTATACTGATTACAGACAAAGTTAGCGAAGCTCAAAAGAAGAAAAAGGAAAACACATTAGAGCTTGACCGACCCTACGAAAGAAAGCCCAAAATAAGAAAAGGACACTAGGCCGTAAATACAGCAGGCCCAAACTAACACTTGCGTATCAAACCAACAATCGTGCTGGCGCTCGTTGGTACAAACAACCATATTAATAAAAAAAATATTAAGAGATGATCAATACGTTTTTAATAACAAACTTTATTTCAAAATTTGAAAATATTATGTTCAATTGATTTATTGAATTTATGATAAGATAATAATGTCAGGTGTTACTTAAGATATTCGAACTTGAGACATTCATGTTGAGAATGAATGATAGTATCACATGACCGAACCCTTATTCACATTATTCAATGTTGAGCACAAGTTTTAATTTCACACTGAACTCATATTTTTTTATAGAAAATATAGACTTATGTATAATTCTATATCCTCAAAATTATTTATTTCTCTATTAAAATAAAAACAAGTACACAACCTTAGACTCATTAATGGAAGAAGGAAACCTTGGAGAATTTGAGAACAAGCACAACACTATTGACTCTCTCTCTCTCTCTCTCAAGTCCCCCATCACAAAACAAAGGAAAAAAAAGAGGAAAATCAGAGAGCAGAGTGACTGGCAAAGTGCAAACACTCCCCACAGTCCGCCCACCAAACAGAGACCATACTCCGTCACTCTCTACCCTCACATCCCATTCACAGGGAACGCCCAACCTGTCCATAAATAAACCTCTCCACGAAATCCCCACACTTGTCGATCATAAATTCATACTTCTCTTTGTTCTCCCCCAATTCCCATTCAAACAACAATCTTCCTTCCCCCGGCCGGCGATCTTGATTCCCCAACATCGCCGACGCTAGTTACCCCTGCTGGCTACAGTATGTTCTCTTTCTTCATTCTTCCTCTCTTTGTATTAGACCTTTCACCATTCCTTACTCTGTCCCTTTCGTTTGCTCGCGTTGTTACAATTCTGCTATGACTCTGCTCATGGATCTGCTACTGCTTTTCTTTTGGGTTGTGCATTCGTTTTTCAATGTGGGATTCGAGATTTGGGATTGAAGGAGGCTTCTTGTTCAATTGTTCGAAAGTTTTCATCTTTGGTTTCTGGGTATTGTTGGGTTGTGGGAAAATTGAGATGGGTTCTGCTAACGAATTCGATTCCTCTGTTTCTGCAAGTTTTATGTACTATGTGTGAAGCTTCTTTGTAACCTATTGTTGGAACTTGACGTGGGAGATTGATTTTCTTTTGGTCTGCAGGTATTGCTTGTGCTTTTCTCCTGTGCTTCAAGCTTTCCACGCCATGGCAGATCTGAAGTCGACATTCCTAAAGGTTTATGATGTCCTGAAGAAGGATCTCCTGGAAGACCCTGCCTTTGAATGGAGTCCTGATTCTAGTCAATGGGTTGAAAAGGTTACTTACTCTATACCTTCCATTTTTTTTTCTTTCTGTGGGGGGTTCTCTTCTTAATCTGATTACTTTCTATTATAGATCTCAATAAGAACTATTTGGTATGTCTTTTCTATGTGCAATTGACTTAGTTTGATGAATCTATGCATCTCGAACTCCTTTTACTGAATGTCTCTTTCGTTTCTATTTGTGGCAGATGTTGGACTACAATGTGCCTGGAGGTATGGGATGTACTTAAACTATATCTGCAGAAAGATTAAATTAATACTCGGTTTCTGAAAATGGTTCTAGTGATGTTAACTGGATTTTTGCAGGGAAGTTGAACCGGGGATTATCCGTGGTAGACAGCCTCAAATTGTTGAAAGAAGGGGATGGCCTAACTGAAGATGAAATCTTTCTTTCCAGCACCCTTGGTTGGTGCATTGAATGGGTATTGATTGAACTCATGCATCCCCTTTCAGGTTTTACTATTCACCTCGTTGCATGATGGCCAAAGGTATGATCTTTTTCATATTTTTTGCACTGACATTGGCTGTTTGTTCTATTCCTTTTCAGCTTCAAGCATACTTTCTGGTACTTGATGACATCATGGATGCCTCTCACACTCGCCGTGGTCAACCTTGTTGGTTTAGGCTGCCCAAGGTATATATTCTGAAAAGTGCTTGCTGTGATTTGTTTCTTGAGTAACTTTGCAAATTCTGATTTGGTGAACTAATTGGACTGGAAATCTTGGTTTGCGGTCTCTGCAGGTTGGTATGATTGCAGTAAATGATGGTATTCTGCTGCGGAATCATATTCCCAGGATGCTCAAGAAACACTTCAGGAACAAGGATTACTATGTGGATCTCCTAGATTTGTTCAATGAGGTTAGATTGACATCTCATTATATTGTTGTTTTTGTTCATTCAATTTGATCACATGTTAGTTACTCTATTTGCTCAATTTCTTGTTTTAGGTGGAGTTTCAAACTGCCCATGGACAGATGATAGATCTAATTACAACGCTTGAAGGAGAAAAGGATCTGTCTAAGTACACCGAGTCACTGTGAGTAAACTATTATGCATATCTTTTTCTCTTATTTCTTTTTGAGGAAGATATCTTTTCATCTTAAAGTGGCATATGTTGTAGTTCCAACTTCTGAATCTCAGCATGGAACTCAAACTTTTGTTTCTTTGAGTAACTTTCTAGTCATGGCTTTAACTTTAAGAAAGGCTTCATTTTGTTTTTCCTTCACATTGCTACCCTGTGTTATATGTAACCTTATTGATGGTAACTTTTGCAGCCACCGAAGAATTGTCCAGTACAAGACAGCTTACTACTCCTTTTACCTCCCTGTGAGTTGGCACTTGAAATTTGAAAGTGTTTGATTTAATGCAAGTGATTTTGATCATCTAACCTATGTCTATATCTTCTCAGGTTGCTTGTGCATTGCTGATGGCTGGTGAGAAACTCGAAAGTCATATTGAAGTGCAGAACATTTTGGTTGAGATGGGAACCTACTTCCAAGTGCAGGTAATGATTAACTTCTATTCGGTTCTCCTTTGTTCTTGTAGTTGATTTATCTAGGTTCCCAGAATCTCTTGCTGCATCCATGAACTTCAATATGATTCTTCAGCTTAATGTGGGTCTGATTTGGATGAGATTTGTGCTGAATGTTTATCGAAAGAGGTGGATCATGTTCACCTGTATTTTTTTTTTTTTTTTTGCTTTCTGGTTCAGATGTTAAATGCTTGATTTGTTTCCCTCTGTAGGATGATTATTTGGATTGCTTTGGTGATCCTGAGACTATTGGCAAGGTGAGCTATTGTATAGATAACGGAAAAGCTAGAAATTAGAGGAATGACCTCTGAAAAGATGTCTAACTTGACAATTTTCCAATACCCAGATAGGAACAGACATTGAAGATTTCAAGTGCTCATGGTTGGTGGTAAAAGCATTCCAACTTAGCAATGAAGAACAGAAGAAATTGTTGCTCGTGAGTATTCTTCTTTCCACCATTTTCAGTGTTCATTCTCTCTATTCAAGATCTCCTCACGGGGCTTAAACCATGGCTCAAAACTCTTTGCAGGAGAACTATGGCAAAGCTGATCCAGGCAATGTTGCCAAAGTGAAGGCCCTCTACCATGAATTGAATCTCCAGGTTTGACCTTTCGTTCTTCACGATTCCTGTCTCAATTTGCTGTAAGAATCATTTCCAAAGTTCCAACTGTTATAACTTTTCGATCTTTGATTAGGGAGTCTTCGAGGAGTACGAGAGCAAAAGCTACGAGAAAATAATAACCTCCATAGAAGCTCATCCCAGCAAAGCTGTGCAAGCAGTGTTGAAGTCCTTCCTGGGCAAGATTTATAAGAGGCAGAAGTGAGAAGCAAGAGAGAGACCACCCCAAATCTTCATTGCTAAGATGAGAGGGCTCATTGTGTTGCAAATCTGTACCCTTTGTTGTATTTGTAGGCTTTTTCTGATCTCCCTTACATCTCCCTTTCTTTCTTTCCTTCGAATAATTCCAACAAACCCCTACTGTTGTCCCCTAATTTTCCACTCTAACAAACTGGAAAAAAATAGGCAAGCTTCCTTTTCTCTTAATCTTCGTCTTTGGCTACCTTAGCAATGGAGCTTTCTTGATTCTTGGCAACAACTTGTCCCTTGTTGCCATTTTTCTTAAGGCCTCAACCCCTGTACTGAAGTGATTAAGCTGATAAGAGACTGTCATGCCATCATCATTTCCGAAAATCTAAGACCAATGAGTGTCGTGCATTTGAAGAAATCTTGTTTTGAAGAACAAATGACAGCATCTGATGAGATGCCTAAACTGCCTGGATCACACACGCGCTGTAAAATATCACAATATTGCTTCTACATGCTGCAGTAATATCTTGGGGTTTTTTCGATATGATGATGCCCAGGTAGGTGGGTATTTGTCGAGTGGTGGAACGTACATCGTCGTACATATGGCTACATGCTTTACAGAGCATTGCTATAAGAGATTTGGTTGTCATTTGACTCATTCTCTTTACTTTTTGTATAGACAAGATAGAACTGTTCATATTGTGACTAAAATTATGCTCTTGAATCAAAATTCAACTTACTACTTGATTGCCGTAGTTGTGTTGCGTCTTCTTTATTACTTGTATCTATTAGTTCTGTTCTTTTCCACCCAAATCTCATTTCAATCTTAAACACAATCTTATCGTCGTTCCCAACACCTGTCTCCATCATATCCCTTGCAGTCCACGCCACGAACAGATCAACAACTCTTCCACAATCTTCCGAGCCTTTCTCAATCACAATCTCCAGTAGGTTACAGCATCAGATGTAACAACGTCCATATCCAAACTCCTAATGATTTTACGGTTCTCGCCATCATTTCACAAATTCTGTACTGCTACTACTACTATTCCTTTTCCATGTATCAGAGCTGCATCAGAATTCAGACGCCATTGTTGCCTGTATCATCAGATTCCAAATGCAAATGCCTCGTAGGAAAAACACAATCAAGAAAGAACAAACCAATACAGAATGTACAGAAACACACACAGGAACAACACCATAATTACTTTGACAACCTAACTCTGGTCTTGTAACATAAAGGAATGATCTTTTTAGTGACAGTAGTGACCAAACCAGCAGAACTTCCCTCCACCACCTTCACACCCTCTTCCCTCTTCTCCTTCTGCATCATCTCTGCTATGTATCCACCACAGCATATTAGTAAGCGAGTTCCCATCATCATGGCCATTCAACCTCTTGGTCTTCTCCAAAGCACTCCCTTTATCATAAATCGCTTCCAACGCATACACAAACCCTTTCCAACCTTCTCCAACTCCTTCCCTCCCCAACGCCGGCAACGTCCAGTCCACTAGCTCCCTCGTAAACTTCAAATCGGAGAACACCACTTCAGTGATCGGCAGCAATGGCAGCACCTGAATCCCAAGCCTGCACTCTTTCCATTCGGGCGGCGCAAACCACAGTCCGCTGTCCCTCTTGCTGGCCCAGAGCACTCCCACCACTCTGTTCTCGGCAGTGAAATCAGCAGCATAGATGCTGTCGCCTTCCTTCACATGCCACCAAGTTTGTGCTGCCTGAATCTCCATTGCAGCAAGCGATGATCCAATGGCGACGAGATGGGTGTCTCCATAAGCTAATCCCATCAGAGCAGCTGAATAGTATGCATTCACAGCCTCACTTGTGCTCTCCTGATTCCGTCCATCCGCGAATTCGGTCAGTCCTCCTGCCCAAGAATGAAGCTTGTACAGATCGAAACACCTTAACCGAGTGTAACTCGAGTCCGATCGCTTCCCCAAGTTCATGAAATCGGCCATTAGAGAGTAAGCTTGTGGCCTGTACTTCCTCCCCCAGGCAGGGTCAATCTTGGCAAGAACAGCAATGCCGTAAAGGAAATAACCCAGATGGAAATGGTGATCATTGTATATACCAAACCCGAAATCAGCTCCCGAATCTGTTAACCCTTGCTTGGTAACAATGCCACCCCATTTCCCATCGTACAGAAACCCATTTCCATTGAATGTCCCTTCCAGCCATGGCTCAATCGTCTCCTTCAAGAACTTCCTTACAGCCGGAATCACATCAGGGAAACCGACTTCCTCTGCAATCAATGCCAATCTAGCTCCCCTGGCGACCAGCTTGCCGTAGAAGTAAGAAGACGTCGTGGCTATCGCCGATGCATTCAATCCATCCACATCCTTGCGAAGCGCATCCACGATTTCATTGTAGCCATCGTCTTTGATTCCCTTAATCGAATGCCACGTCACCGAAACAGGATCCGATTTCAGGACCCACGAATCGCCGGCGACGGCTACGAGCTCGCCGTCCATGCTTCTGTACTTCAACCCCGTCAAAACGGTGACGTGGCTGTCCTCGCCGGATAAGAGCTTGAGATGCAGGGGATGGGCAAGCATCAGCAGATCCCCCCACCCTTTCTTCTCCCATTTGTACTCGACAGAGAAGGGTTTGGAGAGAATCGCTTCCCCCGAAACAGGGTAGCAGGAGCTGAACCGATCGAGAACCGATTCGGCTTCCGGGTCGGATTCGTCCGGCAGGATCGCGATCCTCAGGATGCCGGAGAACCCGGCGGCGGAGGTGATGGAAGAAGGGGTGTAGGTCAATTCGATCGGAACTGACGAGTAAATGAGCCATGTCTGATTGTTGTTGAGCTTCACGGTGTACTTGTTGAGCGAATTGGAGGAAGGAGAACAGGAGAGAATGGCGTGAATGGTGGAGATCGAAATGGGCGTGTTTCTAGAGACGGAGCAGGTGAGGAAGGGGCTTCCTCTGACGAGGAAGAATCGGAGGTTGGAAGAGGGGAAATCGAGGGTCACGCTGAGGTCGTTGAAGGAACTGATGACGTGGCGGTCGGAGGGGGAAGCCCCGGCGGCGGAGAGGGTGAGATCGGCGTTGAAAACCTGGTAAGTGAAAGCAGAGTTGTGGAAGATGGATGGGTAAGAGAAGGAAAGAGCAGAGCCGGAGGACTTGACGAGGTAAGGGTGGATGTACTCGGGTTGATCGCCATTTTTCAGTGTAAAGTTCTGGAAGAAGGAATTGGTGGGAAGAGGGGAAGAGAGGAGGGCAGGGGAGAAGAAGGCGGAAGGGTCCGGGAGGACCGTGGAGTTCTGCTGCGGGAAATGGAATGGGAAAGCAGGGCGGCGGCGTTGCTGCGGCGGCGGAGGAGGAGGCATGATTGGAGTGAGGAGTTGTTGTTGTTGTTGTTGTTGTTGTTCAGGGGACGATGGAGGGAAGTGGGTTGGAGAGGGAGGTTTATGGAAGGAAGGAGCGGGAGGGTTGCTTCTACCGCGTTTCTTGTTGAATGGCTTAGTGACCAAGGTTTTGACTTTTCTGCTCAGTTTCTTCAGCACCATTTTTTTCAGATTGGCAGCTTGACTTTCTTTACATTTGAAGAAACCTGTCAGAGTGGTAGCATACAGTTCATTATAGTTTAGTCGGAGTAGGTTTGTTTGTGGGGTTACAGGTGGTTTTGTGGAAGGAAAGGCAATGGAAGGGAAGAAGAAGAAGATGGAGTAAGGTTGGATTGGAAGTGAAGTTGTGTGAAGAACAGGGGTAAGGTTTTATTGAGGATTCAAAAGCTGTGTGAGAGGATAAAAGGAAGGAATGTGAGAATCGAAGAAGCAAGGTATATAACATTTTTAAGTACTTGGAATGCTTGATGGTAGAGGAAGCTTTGATGGCTCGTCAGCAACTAAGGTGACTCAAAGGTGCGAATGATGTTCGTTCCACATTCATCTCGTATAGGGGTGAAACGAGCTCCGATACTGGAGTTGATCATGATCTTGTACTATCAGAAATGGAGCAATGAAAAAGAAACAAAATTTTGACATTAAACATTGGAAATTTGGAATACAATCTGCCAACCTCTTTTTTTATACATTGCATACACTTACAAGCTAATCTCATTCAACTCAAAAACAACGTAGAAGCAAACAGCCAGCCACCCAAGTCTATTATTATATACAACTGCACCAATTCTGTCACACGCATGTTTCTATGTACATATCGTAGTAGAAGCAAGGCTTCAAAACCAAAACAAACAGAACAGACCTTCTTACTGCTAAAAGGACTCTAAACCTGAAAAATGGGTCTTGTTTTCATTTTCTAGGATACCTTTTTTTATTGTTTGTTTACAAAGATACAGCTAACTGTTCTGTGCCCAACTCCGAAAACCATATGAACCAGAACCAACCTTGTTGTCTCTGAAGAGCTATCACGGCTTCCTCATGAATTTCTTTGCTTTCCTGGAGAAGTTCTTGATGGTCAGTCGGTCGGAGAAAGTTAAAGGAAGTTCCTCCTCAGCTGACTCTCTCCGTTCCTGCCATGTTGAGGTCCCGCAGCCACTATTTCCATCTCTAGATGAGTCCCCTTCGCCAGTCTCATCGTCGTGGTCTACCTCGTCTGATATGTCTCGGTATAAGTGTTTCAAGATGAAGAGTGCAGTGTCACAATCCCTCCAGTAATTCCTGAACGCCCCCAAAGTAAACAAAATAAATGTGAACATATACATAGGTTAGTAAGTGCAAACCTGTTCAGGCAGATGAAAAATGCACGCATACTAAGATCAAGCCCCAAAAGAAACTCTTACGTATGAGCTCCAATTGCTTGTAGATAAGAATGTTCGAAAGTTTTATCCTGCATGATTAAAGATGAAACCTCATCAGAAGGGAATGAGAATGATTAATTGATACGACTGTTTGTCCAGGGGAGCCAACTCATTCCCTTACTCGGCGAAACCTTGGACAAAGAATGTGATATTAACTGTCATGCATGAGTTGTAAATTGGGCCTAACCAACCAATGCAGGTTCCTAGAGCACTGATTTCATCATCATCATCATCATCATCATCATCATCATCACCATCATCATCATCATTAATTCTACTAATAATACCGAAAGACAGCTATTTATTCGAAATCAACTCCCAGCACATGCATGTGCGAGAGTGCCAAACCGATACCTTTGACTACGACATTTTATGAATGTCTTACCATTTTTCTCACAGATCAATCTACTCATAATCGCAGATAATGTTGTTTTCAGATGACAAACCATCTAGAAAGGGAATTCGGTAACAAGGCATGTGAAGAGTAATTATGCGGTTCGATGAAGGCAAACATGAGAATGTACCATACCATACCTGAAGCATGTGATCTATCCGCCCTTCTTCACTTCCAGTCAACCTTTCCATCATGAAAGTGCCGTATGTTCTCTCATTGTTATCCTGAACATTTTCCTCTTGTCCTGAAACAGATAAGTGCATCGGATTAACGAAGTCATTCAGATTGGTGAGATTCCAGCAACCTCGCCTAAGAGATAAGAGATGAAAAGAAGATACTATTTACCATCGAAGCTATTTTCAATTTTCGACTGGCAGATTGTAAGAACTTTAACCTGCTCAAATAACAAAAATTAGCAACTTCATGGTTCGTAACGGGTGAACAGAAATGGAATATACTTGACCTACATATTAGGGTAAACTGTAGTCCATCTATCATATAATCACATCAAAACTAAAGTCAACAGTTGGTTCAAGAAAGAGCAATCAAGGAGCTAACCACACAACCAGGGAACTAAGTACTACTTGCATTCAGTAACATACAGTAGAAAACCTCTGTCAGATGTCAACTAGATGACACGAGCAAAAATCCTTACTCATACAGCGTTAGCTTTTGCTGGACTGTAATCATCATGCTAATTCAGTATAGAGACAAGAGATGATGAACATATAAACTAAAGAATACCAAGTGAAGTCAAGAAGAAAAAGGTAATCACTCTAGAAAGACAAAAATTAATGGAAGTTGAAAGGGCCCACCCTTACAGAGTTTAAGAGATCCTTGATGGCCTGCGAACGAGCAGCTAAATCTTCAGAAAATTCCTGCAGGAAAAATGTACAAGAACAAGGAGAAAGAGGAAAATTGTAAAGATTAGGGATGAAGAAGAAGCCAATCCAATCCAATTTACACAAGTTTGAAGAGGCTTACTTGAAATCCAATGTGCAAACGCTTTCCACCTCTGTGGTAAGGAATAATTACAGGACGCTTGTTGATGTATTCTTTACATACAAGTGGCTCTATTCTGTATGAAAATGCACAGAGAAGAGATCAACGATACATCATACCAAGTATTACTTGCATAAATGAAAATGCTGTACTAAGAGCTTTTTCTTAAAACCCAAAACCAACACATTTTACAATGGCCAAAAATAGGAGGTAAGGTAACAAAATGCAACTAGTACAATTGGAACACACACCTGTAAGCTACAGGATCAAATGGGTGAAAAATGTTGAACATTTGCCTACAAGCTGGTATCTCCTCTGTGATATTTTCTTCGATCCAATATTCTTGCCCTTTGCCTTAGATAGAATAAAGGAACATGTACAAGGTCATACTCCCAGTAAAACTAATGACACCAGGTATCATTCACGGGAGGCGAATCATTTGGAATTCAATGGCATAAAAAACATATAGGGTTTTTGTAAGCAGTACCAACTCCGATACGTATGTTACGAAGAGCGAGGAATACTCCAAGAGGGGAACCAACAGCAAAAAACGTGTCTACCTGTTACAGAAAGTCCCATGAAGATCATGTAAGTATTCTTTCCTGCAGACCTAACTTAAACATCTGTCATATGCAGAACTGTACTTCAAAGGAAGCCAGTCCCATAAACAAGAAAAAGGATGCACTCACCGTAAATTCAAGTTTTGTGTACTTTATGTATGGGGTGTAATTCTGTGGTTCACTTTGCAGGGTGGTAGGGGTATTCTCATATGAGGACTCGCTTGGTTTCGTTTCAGGCATCTCCTTACTTTCTGTTCGACACGTCCAAACATAAAATCCAATAAAATTAAACAGAAAAAGTTGATAAAGGACAATATGGCTTTGAGGCAACGCACCGCAAGCAGGCCCAGTCACACTCTTTGATTCCAATTCTGCTATTTTTGCTTTAAGGGAATTGATCTAACAAAAATAAATAGAAAACCACACCTTTAAAGGACGACCTAAATATTAAGCTTTCAAAGTGAAGACAGTTTCAGAAACAAACCTCTTTCTTCAACAATTCAACCTCTTTGGCATTATCAGCTTTGCAGTTTTTGACACCCTCATTCTCCAGTCCTTCAATTGACTCATCACCTGTTGTAGTGGCATCTTCGTCTAACCCATCTTTTTCTTCAGAAAGGGTTCGACCATTTTCGTCCAACCTGGGAAAGCCTTCGGTTTGCTCGGACTCTACTGACGTGGCACTAACTTCATCTTTATCTAACGGAGCACTTGTAATTATGGCGGCATCATCAACATTTCCAACTTCATGAACCAGAGTCGATGACTCATCAGCAGAATCCACTATTTGCTCAGCAGAACAGGTACTCTCCAGCTTGGGTAAAGGGTCATGCATTGAAGATTCCTCATTCACATCAGGGAGTGACTTCGGAGTGGAAGGCTGTTCTTTGTACATCCACTCCATAGGAAATGGGGATGATAGGTTCTCTTGATGGCAGAGGATGTCATAAGAGAGAACACTCCCCAAAGAATGACCATATAAGGAAACCTTTAACCAAAAAAAAAAAGGGGGTTAAAAGCTTTTCCTAGAAGCTAACTGCCATTGAAGGAAAACAAGTGGAGGTAAGGTCTAACCAGGTGCTTACCTTGCCATCATACCCAGGATTTCGCTTCATAAATTTTGAATACAAACGGTTTAACTGGTTTGATACCTGGAGATAACAATCATACCATCAAACAAAAGGATGTGAGGAGCACTAACAAGTAATCTATTTAATCTGATGGTATATATATTGTAAATTTGAATAGAACTTACGTTTTAATTTTGTGATTTCCTTCGAGCGAGAGAATGTACGCATAATGACATCATAATAAGAACAACAACCAGGTATGCTAATTATTGGAAAGCAGACAGGATAAACATTACCGAATTAATAATATCTTGACAGTAGATGGGACTCATGTAGTACAATACGTCATGCGCTGTTCCACCAAGCATAACACGAAGACCACGTACACCATCTAAAGTAATCTTTTCAACAGCAGCTTCACCACTAAGTTTCAAGCCCTTTCTCCACTGGAAACAAGTATCAAATATGAAGAATTAGACCACTTGAAGTCGAGAAATAAGCAGAAGCAATTCACGAAAACTGACAGTGGACATAAGAAGTAAAAGATGATAAAGAAAACCGGTAGTAGGGAAAGTAGGCAACAAAATGATTTTGAAGTGCAATCCATTAAATTCTGTTCTAGATCTTCTAAACTCTCAGGCGAAGTCGTCATAGTGATGTTCAAGGCCAGTTACATATGCAGTAGGGCTCCTTACTGTCATCTACTAATTCAGGAAATACAACCCCCGTTGCAGTCGAAGTACCATACTGAGAAGTGTAAACGCGAAGCAAAAAATCTTCCGTTACCATTTCATAGCATGGATTATGGCATTCGGCAGATGAAAAAGCTTCCAATAGTTTTATAAATTGCCATTAAGTAACAACTGGAAATTTAATTGACCAAGATAAAATAGCTCTTAGCTTGCAGAAGCTACTCAAACCCATTGGTAACTGGTACTAGGTAGTTCCTCAAAATCACAAGTCACAGACTAGGTGTTTTCTGTCACTTCCCGACCCTAGTTATGTATCCTCGCATAATTTGGAATTCAAAAATAAAATGGCAGTTTTAGGTAATAGTTCGTGTATCTTTTTCTGTTTACCTGGCATGGAATAAAGAGGACTCGCTGAGAAGCAAGTTGATGAGAAGTTAAATGCCTTTCAGCAAGACTTGCTGTAATATGTCGAAATTCGGTGACATCATCAACCAAGTTCGATTTCTCCAACCTTTGACCAATACCGTGCACCATAAACACCACATGTTGTACAGGAACCTAGATCAGACAGATGCAGATGAATCTTACTCAATGAACATAGTTGTTTAGAAGTTAATTGAATAAAAGAGCATGAAATGACGCAGCACAATGGAGAAACAATTAATTCCAGAACTACAACATAATGAGAAGAGAAAAAAGGACCCCACAACAACACCGGGGAAAAAAAAAAACAAAAATGACCTCTGCACCACATGACGTACAGATCCCCAATACTCGCACCCTTCCCAGAAACAGCATAAAGCAACTAACTAGCTTTGTCCCCGGCCAACATAACAACCAGTAGAATAAACAAGAAATCTACACTGAAAGAATACAAATTAGTTAATTGTCAAAAAGGAAAACAATACAAACCTGTGAGCAGTAATCATCCATTTCCTCTTCCTTCTGCTGCCGCAATTCATCCTAATAAAAAAAGACAGTGGTTATCAACAGATGAGCATACGCATTTTTGACTTTGCAATATGCTAATCATAAACATGGATATGGTCTGATGCCACTTTCATTTACTCATTAATAGTGAAAAATCCTTCACATAGAAAATAGTGGTCTATCCCCAATCACATCATCTTATCGGCAAACCACGCTAACACAGATCATGCTTGGTTCCACCTATCTCTGACAAGTGAAGTAAAACAAAGAAGTTCAAGGAAATTCCTGAATTTTCTTAGTTATCTTTTGCTCATGTTACAGTGATGCATTCTATACGTTGGTTCTTCCACTATGTCCTTACACGTTGCTCATGTTATTTTCCCCCCAAGGAACACTTAAAGATAAAGGAGTTACACAATACGTACAGCTGTTTGAACCTACATATATTTGAATAATGCACTCATTCTAAAGATCGTTTAAAAGGAACTGTCTCGTAATATATATTCGAAAGAAACTTTTGCTCTCTATTCTGTGCTTGTGCATGTCATCAAGTTATAGGTCTAAGAAACAGAAGAGCTACCTGAGTTGGCTTTGTTGAGGAAGGTGCAGAATAACCACGCCTTAACTTAATCCCATTTCCACTAAAGTTAACAATATTAGCAACACCGGAAGCATCAAAATTGAGCCACGCCTCCCAGGTATCATCTTCACCCATGAAAAGAGCATGAAGTCCCTGGATGCACAACCCATACTGTTCTTATCTAGTCATCTATCTAAGAAACAAAACTTGACCAAAAGAACCTTGGAGGAAAAGAACCTACTGGTGTAAATCCTTGCAGTTCAACACGAGCAGCAAAAAGTCCAGAGGGTTGAAATGTTCTACGATGCCAAACCTGGAGATACACCCAAAGTTTAGGAAGTGGAGGAGCTTCATAGTATGGGAATCATAACTAACGATAGGCTAAGCCTTTGAAGGAAGCAGGTGAAACTGACAATTAAATTTGCAACAAGCAAAACCATATGATAGGATCGCTGTACCAAATAGCACACAGTAACAAAATGTAGGTATTTGAACAAACCTGGCTGCGGTATGCCACCTCTAATTGTTCAGAAACATCTTCACGAAGTGGTAGCCAATCTAAGCCCCCCTTACGAGCAAACCAGTGACCTCTCAGAACACGCCGGTTTTCTCCGTTCCAGTAAACAGGAAAACAATGCCTTCTTGGTAGATCTACCTGCATAATTAATTCATAGAATACTCCAATAAACAGGAATACTTAACACTCTTAAGTAATAATACTGAAGTCCAAGTCGTCCTGGCAATAAAAGGTGGTTGTACTCTGTAGAGATACCTCATACAACCCTCCTTTCACAGGCACACCAACTCTTTCTTCCTCTGCATCAAATAGATTAGAATCTTCGGCATCTATCTTCTTGCCTGAAGATGGTTGTCCTCTTGGACCTTCACTACATTCAGCGTACTCTTTCCACCAAGTAGAAAGCAACCCCTCTTCATTCTGCAGATGCCAAAAGAAAAACATCAGGTCACATCAACCAATGTGATTCTCAAACGTCTGCTTCAATAAATATGATGCAAAACTATGATCAAAATGACTTTTGAGATGACAAAAGGAGGCCGATCAATCATGTGCTAAGCGACACAACCAGCCAACAAGTATGACCTGCAAGAATGAAGCCTCAATTGCAAGTGAATCTCTCATTCCAAAACGAAAATATTCGCCCTTTTCTACTACTTCGTTGCGAGGAACAGATGCAGCTAACTCTGTAGGAGCATAAAAACAGCAGCATGAAATCTCTCTTCGAACCAATTTTTCCGTCACGAATACACAAGTAATTCCACATGATCGGGAGAAAGGTGCATGGAAGATGGGCATAAGTAATCACAAAAGGCCTGACGGGAACTGTCGTGAAACCAGCGTTAATAAGCAAAAAGAAACACACTTTTCACCCTACTAAACATTAATAAGTAACCCGGCAGCAAACTCACCTGTTGGAGCTAGAGGGACCCTACAGAAGTACCACCTCACGTCACCACCATCAGATGGACTTATAGTCTGTGCAAGATACTTCTGCCGACCTATCGAGTGCTCTATCACATCTTCCAACCGCGCAATGTTCGATGGCGTGTTCTTCAGCAAATCAGGTGATGTCTCCTCAGAAACTTCAGGCTTCGATTCCGGCTCCGCCATCTATAAAAACTCACCGATCAGATAACCGAAAATGAGAATCTTCAATCCTCAGATGACCCACCAGACAGCTGCACCACGAGAAACACAAACTTCCTCCTTCCTTGCCGAACTAGCTCTCTGAGGCAAATTATCAAATAGGTTCGCTTCAACCAAAAGACCTGAACTTATGCCCCGATTACTGACAATCGAAATCCAAAAAATGCGAAATGGAGATTTCAGATTCTACCAAGTTATCAATGGGCGCTACTCTACTTGTCGATCAAACACCACTGACGGCTAAAGCAATCTCCCCAACAACAGGCGAAACAAAACAGAAAGAGGCGCGGAACTTGAAGAAGAGGTGGACAGCAGCTGAGAATCGTTAAACCAATGTAGAAAGCTGGGTATAGGACTCCCAGAAGATGAAGAAAAACTCCAACTGCGAGAACTTTATGAATCTATGTCGTAAAATTGAAGAGGTGCAGCAGATAACAGAGTGGAAATTCCAGAAGAAGAAAGCAGCGAAGAAGGGCGGATCTGCCTAATAAGAAGAAGAAAAAGGCGGTTACATAACCAAAGTTCGTTCCTTTTTCGCTCTTAACAATTCGGAAGTTCGGTTGGCCCGCCAACAGCTGGGCCCGTATTATTATGGCGCCAACGCAACTGGACGGAATTTCAGGCCTACAAGGGCCCGTATAATCAAAGCTTCTCCAAACCGGCCCAAAAAAGTAATAATTTCTGCAAAAAGTAAATTAAAAAAAGAAAATATATAAAAGACGGCTTAAAGCCTTAAACCCTCTCCGCCATTCCACAAATCTCCCTCGCATCCATTCGGCTTCCCTCTCTTCCAAACCACCGACCACCCTTTTGCTCCGATTTGCAGAAAGCTCGCATCTTGATTAACAAATTGGAATCTTTCTTCCTTTTGTGGTAGCGTTTTGCCCTTTCCATTAGTAATGGCGGAGGAAGACGTTGCAGCGCCGCCGCCTTCGAGCCCTCCCCTCCACACGGATCACAAGCGGAAGCACGATGAATTGGAACTACCCACTGAAGCTCCGGTCGCGGAAGAAGAGAAGCCCATGGTGACCTATGATGTTGTGGAAGATAAGGAAGAAATCGAAGGCGGGGGCGACGATTCGTCTGCAATCGATGGGGAATCGCAGGAGGCCAAGCGGGCTAGGGTTGAGGACGAACCGGTTGAGGAGCCTGGTATTGGGTGTTGCATTGCCTATTTGAAGATTATAGTGTTAACCTTTACATCATTTAATTTGCATGTTTCGGTCATTTATCTGTCTGAGACAGCTGGTTATTTAGAAATGTTAGCTGCTATTCTGTTTATCTGTCTAAGGTGGGTGCTAAAGTATCTAGCCTGGCACAAAGTTCAGAGCTACTATGGTCTAATACAGTCGAGGATTATTTTTTCTGTTTTCTTGCAACAGTTGGTGAAAATGGCTTTGAGTTAGGCAAGCCAGATGAAGGTGCTAAGGGGGAAGCTGTTGGAGAGGAAAATGGTAAGAGTGAAGTGCCGGAAGAGAGTGGTGCTCAGCAGGCTCCTGAGAGTAGTCAGGAAGCAGGAGAGCAGAGTGAGGATAAAGTAGTTAATGAAGAAGCTGCTGCAGCTGGAGTTGATGAGGAGAATGATGGAAAGAAACCAGATTCTGCTGGCGATGTTGAGCCAGTTAAAGCTGAGGAGCAGCAGTCAAAAGGGGAAGATGAGCAACCAATAAAAGAAGCAGAAGAAGAAGCTCTATCCGATGGTCAGACTACCTCTCGTAGGATGGAAGTTCCTAATGATAAGGTGCGGTTATGTACACCAATGCAGCATTTGTTAATATCGAGAGTAAGTTTTATTTTGTACAATAGTATGCTATGGATTTTCAGATTCACTTGGACAAGTAAGATTTTGAAGTAGTGTTCCCTTGATAATGTAATATATGGAATTTTAAAAAACTCTATTTGCTGAAAATGAAAAATGCTTAGTTTAAACTATACAAGAGTAAGATACCGGCAATGTGTTGTGAATTGAAAACTACTCCCAAGCTTCTCTACGGGGGAAAAAAAATGAAAAATTCCAGGCTGAACAAAGGACTCAAGGTCATGGTAACGCGAACGCCAATGAGGAATGTTTCCAATGGCGGTCTTATTTTCCTTTTTTAATCTCTGATTTATATTGGCTGAACATATATGAGAACTTTGTATTACTTGCACATGTGAAGTAAAGAATGAAAGTTCACCTTAGTTTGTAGTTGATGATGTGATTCACTAATCATTGTTTGGTTATTTTTGTATGATTTCAAATGTGTTGTGTTATATTGAAATGAATATTGACACCAATATTGCTATTTTTAGGTTGGGGTTCTTATTGGCAAAGGTGGGGACACTATCCGTTTCCTTCAGTATAATTCTGGGGCAAAGATACAGATAACAAGGGATGCAGATGCTGATCCACGTTGCGTGACAAGACCAGTGGAAATAATAGGGACTCTAGATAGTATAAGCAAGGCTGAGAAACTAATCCAGGCTGTTATAGCTGAGGTAGCTTATCCTGGCTTTGCTTCTAGTTCAGCTTTGTTATCAATTTGTTCAGTCTGCTGGTGTAACATTTTCACCATCATAATGCCAAATTTTCCATCATTTACTTACCTTCCCGTATCTGTTGCAGGCTGATGCAGGGGGTTCCCCTGCCCTTGTTGCTAGGGGCCATCCTAGTGTTCAGAGTGCTGCAGTTGCAGAGCAACTGGAGATGCAAGTTCCAAACGAGAAGGTTGCTTACAAATATTTCTTTCCTTGACACTTATTCCACCAATTTATTTATGAACGTGCCTTCTTTTTCTAGCTATTAAATTGATGTGTTTTATAATTGCCCAGGTTGGTTTAATCATAGGAAAAGGTGGGGACACTATCAAGGCTCTCCAAGCAAAAACAGGAGCACGTATTCAGGTGGGTTGTATTGTTGGACTTGGCTGTTGCATTTTCTTACAAAGCATGGTCTTGATGTTTGTGAAGTAACTCCAGAAACTGACATTATTAGTTTCCGCTAGTTAATTCCTCAACATCTCCCTGAAGGAGATGGATCAAAAGAAAGGACTGTGCGTGTGACTGGTGATAGCAAGCAAATTGATATGGCATGTGAGTTGATAAAGGAAGTCATGAGTCAGGTTTGTGCTCTTTATAGTCCTTTCTTAAGTTAGTTGGTGAAATTGCTTCCATTTTTAGTTGCATACAGTACATATGTAATCCAGTCGGCTCAAAGCTGCCATGTACAGTTTGAGGCTTGTGAGCAAGTATTGCATGAAGAGTGTCTGTGACTCATAAAATTAGCAAGGAATCCCTAATGTGTTTGTTGGTTGGCAGGCTTGCATTATAGGGCCATGCCTATTAGTCTATGAACATATTCTTCTTCTATGGCTCTCCTTCTGGGCATCTGTACACTTTGGTTTAGCGATTCCAGGGTTTTAAACGTCGTACTTTGCTTTTGTATTATGGACTGTCAAGTGCCATGCTGTTTATATTTGGAGATATAGTGAGTAGAACGATATATCTACTCATATTTGATGTGTTGATGATCATTGGCCACTTATGTCCACCTTTTGACCCTTATGTATGAAGAGCAGAAGTTTGATGCTAGATTCTTGTGAATGGTTACTTATCATGAGTGCTTTGTTGTGGATTGTAGACTCAAATGTGTGTGTATTCGAGTGGCAAGTTCATGCTTAGAGTTATGTACAAGTCTTTTGTTCTTTTTGCCAAAGCCAAAAGTGGATATCTCCTGATTTATTTGATGAGACCCTTTCTAAGTTACTATCCATTTGATTAGATCCGTCTGATGGGTCTTCCATTTGAGTGAGATTGGGATCTTGTACATAATTCATGGCAATTTATGGTATTGATGAACCATGGACCAGCTGGAGATCTCTTGAGTGCTATTAGTTAGATCATATATTCCATCCAAGATGCCGGTTGCCTTGACATTTTCATATTGAAGGTGCCAATATCGAACTGGTTGACTTTAAAACTGCAGATTTCGCTATGGCCTTTCCAATGGGGTCAGCATTGCTTTCTTGGTGTAGCAATAGACAACCACTATTCATTGTCATCCACAGAAGAGAGGTATCAGGCTTTATATCTCGCACTTGCAGGAGGTTTATAGTTGGTAAGATTGCTTTGAGACTTCAAAGTTGAGAATCCAAAATCAGTGACTTTTTGTGAACCATGGTGCTTTGTAGCAACCTATGTCCTCTTCTCTAGACCTTTGGTAGAAAAAAGAGTTTTTCTTGGTGAAAGTCAATAGCCTGCTGAAACGTTGCCCTCCTATGCATGAATATTATCAACCCAAGCATCTGGTTCAGATGATTAGAAGACTGCTGCCTATTTAGTTCAAAACCTCCCACCTATGCAACTGGCATCTACTTCTATGTTCACAGTGTAACTACCCATGATTGTGTTGTATAATTCTAGTTTTGTGGTGCGCGTTATTTTGTTAACAGTTTATTTTGTTTCTTTCCTCTTTTGTCGTTAAGGTTGGTGCGGAATTCTTGTGCCCACTGTGAACTACAAGCATAAGTGGCTGTATTCAGCTGTTCGGCAAGTGTGTACTTCTGTTTGTTCTAGATATTGCCAGGGCAGTTCACAATTGCTGTTTCTCCTAATTTTTATTGCATTTTTGGATGATCGCAGCCAACTCCTTTTAATGAATTCAGCAATACATTGGCCGTCTGCATGATTCAAAATAGTAATAATCACTAAAATGATTTGTGCATGAAATTCCTACTGTAGACTTGGCAATAGTTCCTTCTCACTGGCAGCTCATTCTGCATTTCTGCTTGGTTTGTTGTCTCCAGATTTGCTCTTTAATGTATGATCTCACGGTAATATCATCATAGTGCTGGAAGTTGGTAGATTTGATTGTTGAGCAATGGAATAAGAATTATGTCTGGTATTCGTTTTCTTTGAAAAGTTCGATTTCAGCATGCCTTGTCGAGTTGTCGTGGTTGATGATTCTATTCGATATCCATGAATAGTTTCATTATTATGAAGGCTCAGTTGTACCACGATAATGCTTTCATCATTCAACTGTTGATTTCACTGCAGTGTTTGTTTAAATTCCGTCCTATGTTCATATTCTGTGTGTGCATGGATTTGATAGTGGTGCATCCTATTTCGCCTCTCGAGTCAACTCTCTCCTGTTGCCAAATCTAGTTTATTGTTCTAACTCGTTTTTGGTTTTGTTTGTTAGAACGTGAAGCAATCATCTCTTTCTGGGGGTTTCAACCAGCAGCAATCATATCGCTCTCGTGGGCCCAGTGGCCCAAACCACTGGGGTCCACCTCGTGGCCCTCATCCATCCCAACCAATGCCTCCTTATGATTACCACAACCAAGGAACTCCATATCCACCGCGGCATGGCATGCACTACCCACCTCCAAATTATGGTAATTACCCCCCGCAGCAGCACATGGGCCAAAGAGCTAACTACGGTACTGGTTGGGAGCAACGACCTCCTCCGAATATGCCTCCTGGCGGTCGTGGTGGTGGTTATGATTACTATGGTGGTCAAGGAGGCCACATGGCCGACCACCATGCTGCTCCGCCAGTCTCTGGCCACCCGCCTGCTCCTGCTCCTGCAACCAATTATGGTTATAGACATGATTATGGCCATCAACCTCCTTATCCCCAGCCGCCGCCACCTCACCAAGGCTATGGCCATGGATATGACGAACCAAAGTATGGACATGCCAACTCACAACCGGGTTATCCAGGATATCCAGCTCATCATCAACAATACAGCAAGCAGCAACCACAGGCGTACCCCATGCAAGCACAGGGCCAGCCTCAGCCGTATAGTCAACCGAGTCAAGCATACGGTCAAGGTGCTGCAACAGCTCAGCAGCAGTATCCTTATCAATCTGGGTATCCTCCATATGGTTCTGCAACTGATGGGTATTCTCAGGCTCCAGCTCAGCCGAGTGCACAGCCTGTACCTGCTTATGGCCAGGCTGCCCCTGCAGCTTATGGATCGTATCAATCTTCACAAGGCTATCCTGATCAGGCTGCCACCACTCAGAACACTGCTGCTGCTACTGGTTACGGGTATCAAGCACAAGATCCTGCACAGCAGGTCTATGCTCAGCCGGTGCCAGCAACTGCTCCCGCACCAGCTCAACCGAGCTATGATCAGTCAGTAGCACAACCGGGGAGCTATGCTGCAGCACCTGTTACTGCTTCTGTTCCTGGGGGTGCAGCTCCGGTGGGTTATGGGAAAACGGTATCACCTCAGCCAGCTGGATATGGTCAGTATGATTCGAGCCAGATGTATGCTGCTCCTCATTGAGAGTTCATGGTTAGGTGATTGTATTGAATAGTTATGTGATTTTAATGTTCTGGGATTCTGAGTAGTATGAATTAGTCCTGCTGTGTTAGGTCCTTTTGCTGACTGAACTGGAATGTACTACTGAATTTTATGTTAATGCGGATCTCTTTTGAATGACCGAGTTAATTGGGTTATATGTTAGAATGAAGGCATGCTATGGACTCTTGATTGATTACCACGTTTAAGAAGTTGCTTCGGCTTATGACTATTGTCTTCTGGGACAGTTACTGTAACTTGGCTAATGTTTCCACAGATTAATTTGCTTAAGTGTTGGTTTGGCAGCAATGTATCGTTAAATGATTTTGTAGAATGTACAGTGTCAAACTACAGTATTTGGTTTGTTGGTGTTGTGATAAACCTCGAATAATTTATTGGTTTTGTAGGTGTTGTAATGATGAACCTCTTATCATTTGAATGTACTATAAAAATATGTGCAAAATACATGCAATTGAATAAATGATTTTGTACTAGATTAAGACGAGAAAAAAACAAACGATTGTCAAACACCTTACATTCACGGTTAAGAGAAGTCTACTTTACCACTTAGTCTGCAATTCTGGGTCACGTATCAGAGAGAACCTTAGTCACAAGAGTATATGATTTTGTTCAGAGAGAACCTGCCACAAGATATATGATTTTGAAAAGTGTAGCCTACTGATGAATTACAAAAAATGAACAAAGTTCTGGTGGAACAGCAAGAACCAACACTGCTCAAATATGTCTTGGTACACGAATTTGCAGCCGTGGGGAATCAGCAGGAGGACAACAATGGTACGAAGGAGAAACAGGGAAACAGAAGTGGCTTAGCTCTGAAGACGAGCCAGAAACTCTTTTCTGTAATGCTCAGAAGTGCGATGGACAACTGGGCCATAGCCAAAACTGGTACAACTGGGTTTGAGTCAACTTTCTTCATCCACAAGAATGGTGGATCCATTGCCAACGCCAACATCTACCAAACTTGCCATTTCCTCGTCTAGTAATTGTGGTAAAGGGGAGCTCTGCAAGTTGGGCAAACTACCAATGAAGCTTTTGCTAGTTGACTTTTTGTTAGTGGATATCAGTCTCCGCTACTCTGTAGTCTTAACAGTTTTTACCGACAAAATAACAAAATGGTTTGCAAGGAAGAGTCATAGCACAAACCTCTTCCTCCAGAAACAACTTGGGCTTTACTGATTTTAGTTTGAAAAAGCTTTCACAGAGAATCTTTAGCTTGCCAACCTGGGAGAAACGTAAACTTCCAAAACTATAAATGAGAAACCACACATCAAGATATCTATTTTGTATAAGAACAATGAATGTGAAAATCACCGTGGTAGTGGCAGGTAACTTCTTTGTCATTGGAGCTTTCTCGCCCATGGAAGCACCCACACACTTGAGGGTGACCGCTGCATTTTAGCGAGATGAGTGTGACTAGTATGCGAACACAAATGAGCTGCACAAAAGAAATAGATGTTGAAGGATCATACACAGTAGTCCAGCAGCCATTTTCTGAGGGCCAGATGCCACAGTTGCCGGTCGTTCGTCTTCAATACCATGGAGACGTTTAAGCTCAGCAAACCTGCGATGAAATGCAGTTCTATATTGATGAAAGAAAGAAAAAAAAACATTGGTCGCAGTGTTCCATTCTCGTCACTCGGTCACCAATACTATATCCAACTCTCACTGTAGTTTTTCTCTTCTGCAACTACCCTCTAGTTAACTTGAGCGTATATAACCTTGCACCACTAGTAGTTTTAAGATTGAACCTCTAATGGCTGGAAAATGAAAATCAGCAGGATAAAGGAGTACCTTGGATGAAGTTTCTTAATTTCATCTGGTTTGTCATGCAACTGCGACATAACTAAGCGGACATACCTGCAGAATATATTCAGGAAAAGCAACTGATTCTGAGAAAAGCTCAAACCATTATTTTGGAAGTTAAAAGAATTTAGCGGATGAAATGTGCATTCATTAGTCAGAAGTTGGTATAACAGAACTTAATGAGAGGAAATGTATTTACCGGATCTCACATTCTTTCCTATCACGAACACGGACCTGAAATAAGATATCAACAGAGTTCAGAAGGAGCAGAGAAAGAAGAGGTGTTCTGCACGTTGGCAAGTTCAGGAGCTTACCTCACTTCCATTTAGCATTTCCACCTTAGACAATCGGGCCAGCAAGACAAATCTAGGGATACCACCCCTTGATGGTTCAGTGATTGGATTTTCTGAAATTCTGATATCCTACAATGTAGTTAACAAAAAAAAAAAAGGTCACCAATCAAGGATGGGCATCTAAGCAACATGTTCTGAGTTTTTTAAATTCTGGTATAGGCCTGTAGGATATTACACAAGTAGAAGTCCTATTTTTCTTCGAACATTTTACAAATAAAAAGAGCATAAGGCAATTTACCATTAGGTTAGGGAACAAGTTGAGTGAGTCAATTGATGCCAGATCCTCGATGTTGTTACTTGCTGATGGAAACAGGACATTAGACTATTGTACGATGTCAAATAGAGAATCAGTAAGACATAAAGATATTTTAGAGCTACTACCCAAGAGAAGATAACGCAAGTTTCTGAAAGGAATGCAGCATTTCTCTAGCAAGTGGGATCCGTTTAACATTTTCTGAATTGTATCATCATCTGGATAAAACATGCTCTTCAATTTGTTCTTATTCAGCTGAAGGTGTTCCAAACTGAGGATGAAAACGTGTCAGTGTTCTCCACAAAATAGGTGCATATCAAGTTAACTATTCAGTTGCCAATTTCAAAAGAGCACCAACATCAGCCTGACCTTGTCAACATGGAAAGCTTTAAGATTTCAGCCCACTCAGCTATACAGTTATCTTCCAAATTCAGAAGCCGTAAAGTTTCAAATCCTTGAACAAACGATGGTGTCGGCTACAAATCATAGAAAAAGTTCAAATTAAATATTGGATTAAAAGAAGCTATTCTATGCATGGGACATGAGATGAGGGTTACACATTAAATGCAACTCATTTCCCTTCTCTAGGCAGTTTCCATACTTCAGACTGTCAACTCTTACTTACATAACACATGATAACTAGTTAAAAATATCCACAAACTCGCCCTGAAATTAGACTTGAAACAGTATGGATGAGGTTATGAGGTCGTTGTATCCCCAAATAATGAAGATAACCCATGATGATTCAGGTACCCTCCTATGAATCTCGAGGAAGAATAAAAATAGCCCACTGAACGAGTACCTTTATTTCACATATACCATTCCCCATGAGATGCAACTCCTCTATCACTGGCAACAGAGGTTTAAGTTCTTCCACCTACACAACCCGAAAAACAAAACAAAAAATGTTATCCCTTAAAAGAGATAAGAGAGTTGATGCAAGACAAACAAAGAAGCTTTGGGAACCAACCTGTGTCCACTTTATACCGGTACAGTTCAAAACTAAAATGCGGATCCTACTGAGTTCTGGCAGGCCAGTAACTACATCTGACATTAAATTGTGAGACAGGTTGAGTGCTCTAAGAGAAGCCAATTGCTCATATATGATGCCTATATCCTGCAGTGTGTAATAGAGTCAAAGAAAGCAAACCTAATCAATACAGACGGCAAGTTTCGTCTCAAAAGACAGGCACAGCAATTAGTACCTTCCATTCTGAAAGCAAATTTCCAGTCAAGTCCAATTCTTTTATATCTGCAAGTACAGCACCAAAGTATTAGGACCAAGCAACATTGGCTCCTAACCCCCAGTTCAAGCAATCATTTGAACCAAATAAACAACTAATATATTTCCAGCATTCTCTTAGACAATGTCTCTACTATTTCAATGTCGATGAAAAAGAACAGATCAAATTACACAACTTTGAGGCTAAAACGTTTCAGAAAAGCTAAATGGAAGCCCCTTTTTTCCTCTACAAATGAGCACTATGAAGGTCCTGAAGACCAATGCCATCATAGACTTACTCGGCACAGTAGAACTGATATCTTTTGATGACCCAGGAGTGCTAACACCAAGAAAAGACAGAGAAGCATTGGTGAGCTCATCAAACCGGCTCAGCTTATCTTGAATCTTCTCTTTACCCAAAAATTCCACAGGCACCCTTCTGTTCTTAGCCGAAAGCACATACATTTCCTCTACAAAAACCAGAACCCAGGAATCAAAATCACGCTGTCAATACAAAATCAGCCGGCAAAGAAGAAGAAAAATTAATTTCCTTCGCCTACCTTCTTCCTCTTTAGTGGACTGGCCTTTATACCTGATGCACAGAGCTTCAAGGAAAGAAATGCCGGCGCTCAAATTCTGAGGACGAGCCAGCGACCCAGATCGGTCCGATCTTGCTTGGAAGTAACGGACTCCATTCACGGTCCCGTCGTGCTTGCCTTCACCATTGTCCCAGTCGACGCCAACCCAACTGCCGGAGTACCCTTCCACCGTTCCTACATACTTGACGGTGCCGATTCGACGGGGATCTCCGACTGAGTGGACTCGCTGGCCGACTCTGAAGGAGATGAAACTCGTATTGGCGGCGGGAGAGCTCGCCATTCCAGCTCTTTTTCTTCTTGCAGCGGTGGCGGGAGCTTCCTTTCAGTGCGTCGGAGATCGGAGTGAAGACGGAACAGTGTGGAAGGGCTATTCTGTTGTTTTACCATTTTGAGGTCTAAACTCTAAAGAGAGACCTTGACTTTATATGTAAACCGTTAGACGCTCAAATTTCAAAATGTTTTACACATTGGTCCTCGCCGTTAAGTTTTGTGAAGCATTGGCTAATGCTTAACAAATTGGATTTCCTATTTCCAATTCTTCGATGATTTGGACTTGTAAATCTTCTAAACCAATGAATTTTGTGGAAGTGACTAAGATTGCTTATTACTTATTAGTTGGCTTATTTGAGACACTAGCTCAAATTTTTAATGGAGGGATACTGAAGTTCTCATTGTCCAATATGTTTTAGTTATGCAATCATCCAATTTGAAAATATATCTAAACGTGAAGTATATCTATTTAATTACTAAATTTTTGCGGAGTGAATCTCATCTCAAAACATAAATAATATCGAAATATCACTTGACGCTAAAATTAACAAAGAGAAGTATGTAGAGCATAGTACAACCATTTGCACATTGGTCTTTCTGTGTTATTTTTTTTATAAGAGTGATATAGGTTTATTTGTTGTGGTTAGGTGACCTAAACGAATTCGAACCTGAGACCTTCATGTTCAAAACCAGTGGTAATACGAATACCCCTATAGACCAAACCTTTGTTCGCTTGATCCTTCCATATCATTGTCAAAAATCCCTTTAAATTACATCCCTTGACATTACCTCTACCAAAATGGGATGACAATATAATGGTTTATAACTTATATACACAGTTCATACAATCAAATAGTTCTAACAATCAAAACTAAAATGGCAATTTGCTGCAGGTAAATTCAAAGGCAGTCTGCAAGAAGCTTTTCCCACCATCATCCTCAGGCACTTTGAGAAGCCTAGCAACTTTACTGAACCCTGCATGTTGCCTTATATACCAAGCAAGCTCTTCATGAACTGCACCTTCTTCTTCTGTAAGTGGCTGATGAACAAGATTGGTGACTTCTTGTTTCATGAGGTTTTCTCTGGTGAGAGCCCATTGCATTCCCCATATTGCCAATGGCCTCATGTAGCAGAGCGACCTGTAGTTGTCATCTGTATTCCATCCTTCTGGGACCTGGAATGAGTACCTGGAAATGGCAGAGGAAAAACCTAGCTTAGCTTTACTTGTTCTCCAAGGTAATAGTAAATTATCTAGCTTAGCTCTTACTCACCCTAGGCCGCTTTGTGACCATGCAGCTTCATACACACCAGAAGCTGTCTTGAACCCCAAGTCTTCCATCTGTTCTTGAATCATGGAAGCAGCAAGTGCATAGGTCACGCCAGGCCATATCTCCTTGGACTGCATCCCTGACATGTCTACTCTTCCATCTGGTAACATCCCATTGACGGCACCACGAGCTCCTCCTTTGTATTTCATCACATTGAAGTTGTAGATCTTCTCCAATGCACTCTTCACTTTCTGCTCGTCGACAATCGGAGAAAGACCAGTCGCCCTAGCATACCTGGAGTGACATTATGAGGCTTAAATCCACACTATGCTTATGCAGATGAAATGGATTGAATGTGTTAGGATTGGTAAAGTCTGAAACTTGTAGGACAAGGAACATTTTGACTCACCATTGGCCAGCAAGCTGATCAGCATGGATGGAAGGGTTCCCACTGCTGTCATAGTTGAAATATGTTCCATTCCAGAGCTTCTCATACACAGCTTTGGCCTTCTGGTACCTTATCCAGAAGTATTTCGCCGAATCGATCTCGCCAATCACACTAGCCAATGCAGATGTGGCCTGCAGTGCAGCCACCCAAAGGCCACCACAGTAAGAGCTCACTCCATGGACAGGCCATGCATCATAAGTCTGATCAGGGAAGCCTTCGTTCTCGATCATTCCATCCCCGTCTTTGTCAAACTGCTCCATGTACGCCATGGCGAGGTACACCGATGGCCAAACTGCTCTAGCGAAGCTCGTATCGCCCGTGGCCACCACATCCCTGTATATCTGCAACCAGGAGGATTTCGTTCAAGTTGGGTCAACTGAGAAATCAAAGTGCTTTCACTTATTTTTATTTGTTACAGTATAGTAAATAGTTGTAATGAATTCAGTGTTCAATGTGACATCTTTCCATACCTGGAGGACAAACTTGGGGTTCAAGTCTTTCCACCTAGCTGTGCTGAACAGATTGTAAGCATTGACCTCAAACCAAGGGTCATTCAACCCAATGTCATGTGGCACAGCACCAAGCATCTTCTTGGGAACCAGCTTCCCATCGCTCATGATCTGCATCTTTGTAGGGTCGTGCATCATCACCGCGGCAGCAAAGTCTCGTTGGAAGTTGAGTTCAAGCTTTGGGAACAACATTAAGATGGCGAACGAAGAGTAGAAGTGAACATCATAAGTGTTGTACATGAGGTATTCCGAGCCTTCCAAGTAGAGGAAGTTGCCGACGTTTTCTTCTCCTTCGCTCATGAGGTACGTGCCAAATGCAGCGTTAGATGTCGTTTGGTTGTTGATCTGCTCGTAGGTTGTCACCATTCTCTCTAGGATGTCGACCGCGGTGTCATTTTTGGGTGAATGGATGTGGTTTTGGTGCTTTGGTTGCATGATTGATCCATCCAGGGAGAATTTTTGGTCTTTGATTGATGTTAGGCTTTGCAAAGGGAGCGATCCGTCTGTAAGGGGAAACAACATTCAATCACTTAGATAGTCAGAATCATTCTTGGTGCTTTAGCTGTCTCGACGACACCTAGTTAGCGCCCAATGTGATACATATAGACAAGTTCATTGAAGAGATTAGTATTATAACCCATCTGTTTGGGAAGGTAAGACATCCAACCTGTCCAAATTGTCCCACCAGCATTCAGGTAATAGAGTTCATTGAAGAGAGCAACTGGATACCTATAAACACATATTTGTTAATTATCACTTGAAACAATTGCTCTTCAATCCTTCTCATCAAAAGAAGTAGAGGATCTCTAGTAAGTAAAACATACCATTCCGGTAGCCTTTTGTCTTCGAGAATTGGTTTCTGCCATGCCTCTATCTCAGCCTCCCAATGACCATGCTCTAGTTTTCAACAAGAAGCAATGAAGTTCAGAACAGATATATGAAACGAACACCAAATGGTCTTCGTCTGCAAAAAAAAAAGGAAATGATAAATCTTATTTGTAGCTCGATTCGTACCAAGAATCGCATCACAAGCCATTCTAGCTGCAGCGTCCCCTAAAGAGCCATAGAATTTCGTGTAACGTCTATAGTAAATTTTCTCACTGAACCTTACTTCTGGACTGTCCCATGCTAATGCAAATGTGACAGTTTGGACACATTGTGGAGGGACTGTTACAGAAGCTGCTATGGCTGCTCCAACTGATGAGCCTGGTTCTGAAGGTGGGCTTTTGCAGCACATGTGGTCAAATGTCCCATGCTAAGAATGAAGGGGGAAAATTGATGTTAAGAAGATGTGCTTCAAGAGATGGGCATGAAGGTTGAAGTTATCTATGCAAGGTAAAGAAAGAGAGTAAACCTTTTTAATCTCATCCCACATATCCCTAGCTGTGATTCCTTTGGATTGGGAGGAGGCAGGAGATATTAGAAAGTAAGGACATTCCGATACACGGACATTGCTCGTCTCCTGAGTTGCCATGGCATATGTGAGCTGGGGTTGTCCATTTGCTGTCCTGCAGAACATTTCTCAGTTTTTCAGTTAAGAGTAACTTATGCATTGTTTTCTCTACTTCATTTCTTGCATGAACTTACTTGTGATGCAAGGTAACTCCATGAACTCCATCTTTTGTCCTGGGAGATGTCAAGATCATTACCATTAGATACTAGATTAAACCAGACAAAGAATGAAAGGACGCATTTTTTTGTGAATCGGGTCTTCTTACTTCATCTTTGAGTTGTAGTGTTGCCCTGTAAATCCAGATTGCCCACCAAGGGAATTCTGTGAAGAACACAGAAAAATGAAACCTTTTTTCCCAGAGGATGAAGTTTCAGAGTAAGAGTTAAAAGAGTATCTAAAACTTACTGCCCAAGTAAAGAGTAATGTGACATCTACAGAAGTTGTTCCAGAATTGTAGAGCTCATATGTGAACACTGTTACTGGGAAGCTGCTCTCTTTGTAGTTGTGTGGAATGAAAGGTGACATCTGACGAGACACGATTCTCAATTCCGGATCAAGCTCACCTGGTTTTCAGATTCAATGTTCAGAATTCCGATCTCCCTTAGTCTTTTCATTAAACATCTGATGAAGCTTAATCAAACAAATACCATCATAAGTCGTCCAAGCCCTAGGAAACAAAGCATGGTAAGTAGTCTTGTCACCACCAAGATTCCAATCCCAAGACTCAATGCCAGAACCTGTGCTTCCTCTGCAATTTTGTTTGAACCCTAATTTCAATGGGAAGTTTCCAATTTCTAAATGGATGGCCATCATGTGTCATATATAGCTAGCTAGCTTGCTTACTTGGGGAATTCAGGCTTGCTTGAGCATAACACAGAAGAGAACTTCTTGCCATCCGGGCGAGACACAAAGGCCTGCACAATGTTGAAGTTAACAACTTTGTTCAACAATTGTGTCTGAGAATGCAGATTGCAGAAGATCAAGAAGAAGGATAAATGAACTAACCGAAAATTGGTTAGCCAGAACCGGCTTTTCTTCATGTACCAAAGGGAGTAACTTGAAATGCTGGAACTCCCCCTTGTAGCTTCTTCCAATGCTTCCTGTTCTGGAGGGGGAAAAAACAAAATTCCAAACTCTCCAACATAAGAACACATTCTGAAGCTTGCTGTAAGGAGAAGAAGAAGCAATGGTTGTCAACTAATCTAAACGCATACCCTAAACCGCCTAAAGGGAGGCCATGATCACCGGTGATATTGTGCTTTCTGAGAAAATCAAATATGGTTTCCTGCACAAGGAAACAGAAAACAAAGTAAAATATGTTAATCAAGGTTAAAGCAAATATGCTAATGACTCCACTTGACATCAAGTTTGTAACATTACCCTGCCTTTTGCAGCTTCTGCCCTGGTGTGAAAAATCAACCTCACCCCAATTGGGAGCTTTTCTCCACATCAAAACAAACATTAATCAATGAACAGAACATTCAGAATAGACAAAGCGAAACATTTAGCTAGAGAGATGAGTATCTAACCATATGAGCAACATCACTGAAAGTAAGGTTGAATGGCAAAGGAAGGGTTGGTTCACTATTGAGCTTCCTCTGCCATGTCAATGCAGGAAGCTTCCCTTGATCCACCTCCTGAATACAGGAACAGTAACATTTTCATTTCAGTACAACAGTATTCTAGAAATGTGCGAAATTGAAGCTCGAGAGCCAAACTTCCCTCTGGTGGAGGGGTAGAGCCCTATAAAGACCTCTCACAGCGACGCGAATTATTGAGATGAGAGACAGCATTGTGCCCAGAAGAACAATGGGGTTTCTAAGATTAGTACCTTTGTTGTTGCAGCTTTGTTTTGGCCTTCTTCAACATACTCATCCTTCATCACCATGGCTAAGACCAGAGTTGAAAAGAAAAGAAAGGTCTGAGACAAACAGACAACAATGGAAGATGTGCAAATGGACAGGGATTTAAGGAAAAAGCTGGTAAGCAAATAGAATAATCATTTTGCTTGATGGGGAAGTTAAAAAAATGGTTTGATTTGATCTTGTTGGCTTTTGAAGAAAATTTCATGTCAAGATTCCCACATTACTTAATAATGACAACTTTCAACGTGCAGAGTCCAGGAGGCCATGATGGAAATGACTGAATTGAGGGAATATAATCTATAATAAAATTATAAACTTTCCAGTTGGTATTCCTTTTAATGAATTTTGCTATTAATTATGAAGGTTAGTGTCTAAAATCATTTTAATACTACAATTAGGATTTCATGGACCACTTGAGGTTCTTGTTGAGATTCCATGGTAGTATATAAAAGTGGGAAATAAATCAAATAATAATACCTTAATGTGACTTACTCAATTAGTTAATCTGAGGACGGTGACTCAATCAAGAGTCAAAACCCATTAAGGAATTTAATAAAAGGTTTATATAGTCAAGAAACCCCATAACTTTGGAGGATGCATTTGGCAATTTCAATGGTTTGAATGAGAACAAACTAGATAGAAGAAAAAAGTTCAATGTTGGTAGGCTACCACATGAGAGAGGAGATATTATTTACGCAGAAATTATGGTTGGATTTTGTCAAAGAGGGAACAACTCAACCAAATTCTTGATAGGTAAGGTTTTGTTTGGATTGAAAAGATAAAAGAGGAAAATGTATAGGGTGGAGCAACAAAACCCTTTTTCAATTACATCATGGTTACTAAATTTTTTGGTGTTTATTGACAAATTAGTAAAGCCAATATTAGTTTTTAACAAATTTATCAATAAAAGCATAAAAGTATCTCAAAATACAATTACTATATTCATTTTCATTAAAAAAAATTATTTATCCGCATTGGTCAGATTAGTGTGTCAACTCATTAAAAGTTCAAACTAATAATAATAGTATAAATGTCATGTAGACATTTTAATTAGCTCATTTGGAATACTCATTATACCTCCTATATGATTCGAATCGAACTAATTCCTCAATCGTAGCACCAACTTGTATTACCATAAATCACTTGTTTTCTTAACTGGCTTCAGTCAGTCTCTAGCTAATTTAAGAACCTATATGATTCTTCTCATTATCAATTTGCATGAGCTTATGTGTTGTAATTCGAGAAACAACTTGAAATACTAGACAAAGCATTTCATTTGGTTCTTATCCTTTTCTATTTGGGGTTATGTTGTCACTTCACTTGTCGTCCACTACTCAATTGCTTGGTCGCTTGCTGACAAAGCAAAGTCTATCCACCATTATAGTAACTTTTAGTTGCATTTTGGTCCTCGCTTTTTCATTGTCCAACACAATGACCACCCAAACTTCCACTAAAATCATTTCTTATTTCAATTTACCAACTACTTACAACAAACAAACAGATATTGGTACAAAAAAAAACATGCATTCCAAGCACAAAAGACGAGCAGGATGTTGGTAATAAAATATAAATTGCAAACCAAATCCACTGTCCATAAAATGCCAACCCTCACCAACCCAAGCTATATAGAAGAGGATCAAAAAATGAAAAACAAATTAATATAATAATTCGAATGAGAATGAGATCATTCATTAGTCAATGAGAAAATGGCAGCATCAAAGGCCGCACCCACCAACTTCAACAATATTACTTTGTAGATGCACAACGAGCTCATTGCGAGTTCAAGAAATTCTGACCTAGATTAGGTTGAAGATCGTACCAGCACTAATGCATTGGATTCGACGAGAGAATTTTCGTATAAAATGTGTTTGAGGAGAGTAATATTAAGATGGCTGGTATTTTGGACAAATATATAGATGCATAATGAGGAACACAGTAAAGTAAATACAAGGATTATTCGAACCGATCACCTTACGATTATCGTGCTTTGTCGTTCGAACCGCTAAAAACCAGTGGTTGATTTGTTTTTGTTTGTAAGTGGAGGGAAGGGGAGAGATTAATTCCCAACTCAATGGACATAAGCAACACCAATCTTTTCAATAACATGCTTTCACGCAACAATTACTTCTTGGTTCCATGGTGTTCAAAGTAGTAAAAAAAAAAAGAGAGCATGCTAGAACAGAGCAAGAAGCCAACTGAAGGGGAGAAAACAGAGTAAGCTTTTAACTTTTTTTTATATAGTTTTCTCGATCAAGTGAACACCATTGATTATCTTCTTCCTATCCTTATTTTCTTCTGTAAATAACCAGAAAATCCCAAAGTGGGTTTCATCCCTCTCCCCCAACACCAACAGACCCCATTGACATGCAGAGAAGAAAACAGAGGAAGTGAAAGCAAAGCTAACCTGTAACAAGTTCTGGCCTGGGAATGAAGACAGAGAGAGAAAGAAGCCGGCTTTTTAACAATCTCTTCACTGGTTGATATCCTAGAGAAAGAGAGAGAGAGAGAGAGTTTTGATATCAATGGTTTTTGTGGCAGAGAGTTTGATTTTAAAAGAGGGGATTGATGAGTTCGAGCTTGGGGGTTGTTGAGCTATCAGAAAAAGTTTGTTCTTTTGCAATTGGAGTTCCCTTTTTCCACATGTAAACAATCAAAATTGGTCTCTCTTCCACGTAGGCTTTTGTTGCTGTTGAAGCGTTTCTGTCAGGCAAAAAAAGATTACCCAGAGAGTTTGTTCTCATTGAACTTCGATGCAATAGAATTACACGTCTCGTTGATAAAAAATGGGGACTCAATTGACACAAATCACTTGGGGTGGCAAGGAAGTAGGTGTGAGATTGCCAAAATTTTCTTGTTTTCCATAATGCTATGCAGTGAAATTGAACCTTGGATCACATAACATCTCAAACTTATACAAAACCAACTCACTAATTTCAACATATTTCAGCTCATAATCAGAGTCAGCAGTCCAATCAACAAATGAAAACAGTTCAACTCGCGAGTGGAGTTGGAAGCTCTTTAATTTGGGGGACATTTTTGCCATCTTCTTTGGCTCTCCTCTAATAATGGACGTCCATGGCGTTGTCAAAAGGAAGTGGAAGTGTGTTGTGTGGATAGATCATAGACGCAAGAGCCGACTAACAACAAAATTGGGACATGAACGTGGCCACGATAAATTGGATCCTACTAGATATCCTTTCTTGAATATTACTTCAACCCCACGTAACTTGGAACTTTTACCAGCCCTTTTGAAAGTGACATTAAGTTAGGTTAAAATTCTCTAAATTTACGCATCTAATTCATTCATGTATTCTAATTAAATACATTGAAACATATGAATTTAAAAAAATATAATATTTAAACATTGAATGATTTTTGTGGTCTTCCAAAAAATGAATAAGAAAATATTGAGGTTTTTAATCCCTCAACATAATTGAGATTGATCTGTAATGAATAATTTTGGTGGTCTCATGTTATACTCAATATACAAGTATTGTATTTCATGCTATGAGGAGGGAAAACGATAAATTCTCATTGTTACATGCAATGTCTAAATACATAATTTAGAAGTCCAACTTTCAAATGAACCCTAATTGTATGAGTTTTCAAATTATAGTCAAGGATAGCAGTTTCGAATCTAACTCGTCCTACTTAATCTTTTCGACCTGTTTCGAAACACATATTAGATGGGGCAAGACGAGCATGAGTACTCCCCTCTACTTTAACTCACTCTGATTCGCCCCAATGTTGACTTGTATGATCTAAATCATAAGCTTAAGATTGATAGCCTGAATGCTATTTGGAGAAACTATTTGAGTTTACCAACACTGTACATCAAATAAACCTCATATAGGACAATCCAATCCAACCAAGTTGCTAATATCCCTCAGTTTCAACTTTCAATTGAGTTTTCAGTATAGAGAATTTCTCCAGGCGTAATTTATGAAACCATCATTGGATCAATCAGCTAAGAATTTTATTTTGTCCTAACAATTAGTATAATTAATTGGCCAGCATACTTAAGGGGTCCAGTGGGTTGAGAGCAAGTCTACGGTAAGTTCTCTACAGCCAACGCGGATCACCATCCGTTACGTTAGTTCTGACGATCTCAGCCGTCCATTCAGGCTAAACTATGATCTACCTGCGTAGTTTGGCTAGCGGCTGTCCAAGTTCGGTGCTGGAGTGTACCATCCCCCCCCCCCCCCCCCCCCCCCCCCCCCCCCCCCCCCCCCCCCCCCCTCTTTCGACCAGTCTTGCGGCTCACCGAGAAGAGAAGATAAGCCTCTCATTCGAGCCGACTGCGAAATAGATGAATGCAATTTCTCCACTCCTCTCTATTTCACCGATTTCCCAACGACGACTGGCTGGCGGCTAGGTAAGTCGCCTCTCTCTTCCGACCGATTTCCGATTGTTCCCCAAACCCTTCAGCACCTCCGTCGACTCCCTGGCGGTTGAGCAAGAGAGCTGGCCGCCGAAGAGCCCAGCCCCTCTGTCAAATCCTCTTCTCTTCCCGTCCCGTTTCCCCTTTTCCCGTCCTTCTATCCGTTCGTCGATTCCTGGAGGCTAGCCAAGTTGGGCCAGAGACGGGTGGTTGGAGTAGCGTGGGTCATCGGCGGCGAGTAAACCAAACCTGGGATTCGCGAGGATTCGCGATGGTGGAGCCTTGCCTCTTTCCATTTCCCATTACACATTTCACATCCCGCCGTTGACGATTCGTTAAAGCGGCGAATAGATCGATCAAATTCATCACTGTCAGAAAGCTAACAGTGAGTGGATTCTAAAATTTGCCCCGTTTCGATTTGTGTGAGTGGTTGGAAAAAAAGGATTTGATCTGATTGGGGTGTTTTTTGACAGAGCAAAGTCGATGCTTTTGAGTATGCAGACCAAGTGTTGAAGAAGGGAACAACAAAGGGATTGTTGTCTTGGTAACTAGCCAAAAGGAAGGTGATGTTACAGGAGGGCCTGCATTTGTGCAAGCTATTGGACAAAGCGTGCTTGATGCTACTGTATAAGAGAATCTTCCAGGTAAAGTTTGTTCATTTTTCCAGCAGTGGATTCTTCCCTGGAAGATTTTCCTTAGGGATTGAATCTCAAACGCTCATCCTCTCCCTTCACTGTGTTGGACGAAGTAAACATGTCTCTGTTCTATTGCTTTGTATGATGCAGTGATAACATTTGCTTAGAGAGTATGCAATCTTCTCAGTAATCCATTGAGTTTCTACCTCCATTTTGGTAGGTGGACAAGGGTGATCCCATGAAAATAGAATTAGAAGCAGCAAAACGCCAGGATGTTGTCTGCATATCTGCTGTGTTTGGGGATAATTTACAAGATTTCTGCGATGCAGTGCAGCATAAATTAAAGGTTCAGAGTTAAACATAATAGTTCGTTTGGTTCCATTAATGGATTTTAGTGAGTTTCTGATGCCTGTTTTCTCATCTGTGTAGGAATCTATGGACAACGGGTAACTAATCGAGGCTCATGTACCCCCTTAGCATTGCAAGATTGCTGCATTGATTTTACAATCAGTAGTCCCCTATGCTTTGAGCTACTGATAGGTGCATTCTCAATATTTTTATTAGTAGTAACACTGTTGTGTTTTCTATCTACATGAATTAAAACTTGGTCTAGATAGCTTATTATCTTTGCTTACTCTTCAGAATAAGGACGAGAGGCTAGAACCTATCAGATTTGTGAAACCTTCATATAACAGGACACTAATTTACTATTCAGAATATTTTTGTTAGTTACGTTTAGAATTAATAGTCGTTATAGTTTCCTACTCAAATTGGTCCATCTATTTTGACTCTCTTTGTAGAATTAATAATATTAAATTTATATCCTACTAATAAAAAACAATTCTTTTCCTCATCAATTACTATTTAGGAATAGTAAGAAACACCTTCCCCGTAATCCTATTCAGACCAATTAGAAGATTTTCAATGGATTGGTCTCTCAACCTAATGAAATACTATAAATAAACCATGAAGCTGCAACATTATATTCAATTCTAAGGTTTTGAAATATTCGTCCGTGTGCTTTGTCTAACATTCTTGCAATCGCCTCCTCCATCTTTTTCAACAATGTCCTCCAAAACTCCCAAAACACGAACTACAAGTTCGAAGAAGCTCATGAAGACGACAACCACTGATAGTCCAAAGGAACTCATCCATGAATTCTCTGAAAGTCCAGAGAAGCTCTTCCACCAACTCACTCTTCACGACACCGATGTGTTAATCAAGGCGCGCCTTCTGCACTCATGGCGTTCTGTTAGTCCATCCAACCCTCAATATATTTACGATTTTGGAACCCTATGGGCTGATGAAACGGTAACTGTGCTTTCACAATTATTTTTGCTGGCCATATCATTCCATAATATTCACTGATTCTCTCCATGTGTATCGTCTTTCTTTTTTAGGGGATGCTTATACACGGCATTGGAAACCGAAATTTTGTTACTGAGTTTGAGCGAAAACTCACTGTTGGGTCTGTCTACAAAATTCAAAAATTCATAGTCCAGGAAGCTAAACAGATGTACCGCCCATGTCGAAATAACTTAAGCATCTTTATCACTCCCGGTACTATGTTTGAAGATGTGACTACCTCTTTAGATTTCACTTCCGACAGCTTTGAGTTCTGTGAATTTGAAGCACTGGCAGAACGTATAGGTTCTAAGGCATTATTAACAGGTTAGATTTACTGTACTTTTTTTTGTTTTTATTTGGTATAAAGTTATTAACTATTTGCTTGGTGACAAACAGATGTTGTTGGCTGCCTTACTTCCATCAGCGAAGTTGATCACAAAACTACTTGCAATGGAGTTACCCCCCTTCAAAAATTAGTACTTGAGAACGAGAGGTATTGTTTATGACCTATATGATTGGAATACTATAATGACTTTGAGCTGTTTTCCTGTTGCTTAAATAGGGAATTTCTATCTATATTATTGATCTTCCCTTTGACACTATAGCTAAAACTTTCCTATTATAAAAACAGAGGTACCTCCTTATCTATTTCCTTATGGGGGGAGTTAGCATATAAACTTAGAGCTGCTGAATTGATCGAGGCTGCCAAAACATCGCCTGTCATTATTGCCATAGGTGGGCTGACTGTTTCTACTTTTCGAGGTACTATCACTTGCTCTATCGAAAAAATTATGAGTTGGCAAGGATTGTTTTTATGGATTTTTTATTGAATTATGCGATTTGTTTATTCATAATTAAATTCATAGCTGACGTCGACGCTTCAAGTACTTCTGCTACGCGGATAACCCTGAACCCTCAAACGCTTGAATTTGGGTACTTTAATCCATACCCAGACGATTTTGGCGACCTTATAAAATCGTATGTGTTTTCAATCATTCTGTTATATATATTCAAAAACCATTTTATGAATTCCTGTGAACTAAAAAATTACTCTTAGCAGTGCTTCCAATGCCTTAGGTGTCGTCTCTTCAATCCCTGTGACTAATGAAACACCTGAAAAAAATGCCCAACGTGCTCTGGAATCACAGCGGACAGTAACCGAACTCATTAACATGCGTGCAACCGGAGAATCACTGGTACCTATTCTTTAAAACTTTTTGATCTTTCATCGCTTTTATTCGGTGCAACAACATTAATACTTCTTATTTACATTGTAGAATGACATTTATATTTGCCAAGCAACTGTTACTGCTGTGAAATCAACAAAAACTTGGGCATATCGAGGTTGCACAAAATGCCGTCGAACCGTCACCAACTGCGGATTAAACTACTGGTGCGAAAAACACAATCAGATAGCCCCTTCAGAAACACAACAATGGTATTCTCAGCTCACATGCATATTTGTATGTCTAATTTAATAATAATAATCTAATAATAATGATGTACGATGTTTTTATTATTTCATTCAGGTACCTCACAAGACTGATTGTACAAGATGGCACTGATGAAGCAGTATTCCTTCTCATAGGAGAAACTGCTGACAAACTGCTTCGGAGAAAATGTTCTGAAGTTTATGATAGTTTTCCTCAGGGGACTGGCATATTACCACCGGAAATTGAAACTCTTTGTGGTCTAACCTTGGAATTTCATGTCAAAATTCCAAAACAGAATTACAAGGGCGGAGAGGGAGACTTCACAATAACAAACATCATTGGGCTTCACCAACAGACTACAAAAACAGCTAAAAGGAAGCTTCAAGCTTTGGAAGCACCGAAAAGGTATGGTCCTTATCGTTTTACATAGTTTCTTTATATTAGTACTTAAAAACAAAGTCGAACTTTAGCTGCCTCTACTATTTAGAGAACCAGATTCGGCAACCACGACTGAATATATGAACCTGACTAGAGAAATGGAAAACACTCAGCATATAGAGAATCAGGTTATTGAAGAAATATCAGATTCAGGGTACGTAATATTTTTGTGTTTTCCCCATCCATAAAGTCCGTTCGCTCGCCAGATTTTACATTTACTTACATCCCAACAATGTCATGCATCTATTTTCGCAGGAAGACTGACATAGTCGAAGAGTCGAGAAAAAAAAGGAAAAGGTAAAGAATATTTATTATCGTTCCCCTTCCATTGTATCGGTTCCATTGCATAAGACCCTTTGTAAATACTTCATATATCCATTTTTTGTAACATATAAAATACTCACCAATACTATTCAACTTGAGAATTCCGATGCAGCATTGACCTTCCACCGGCACAAACGAAGAATGGAAACTCAACTTCTGCCTCCATCTGTAAAAATTTGAAGAAACCCATTGCTGTGGAAATCTTCACCGATAAGATGCCCAGAAAAGAACATCCAGTGCTTGGAAAAAATGAACTTCAACAAGATTCAAGGTACGTGTTTGGTACACTGCTTTCTTAAAAATGTTTTACTTCCTCACATCCATTACAATGCCATACATCTGAAAAATGTGCAGGAACAAATATGATTGTTCGAATCAAAACCAGAAGGGAAAACAGTCGAAAAAATGTCAAAAAGCCAAAAACAACAGGTGCTCATTGCTAACTCTCTTCATCCCAACACAATTAAGCCCCTCCTTCTATGTCCCCATAGCATATATTGATAATGTTGACAGAAAAATTCATTGCTATTCCAAATTTATTTAGGCACACTGATGATGGTGCGGACACAGTGATTATGGTGAATTCGGATGACGAGAAATCATCTTCTGACAATGACTTACCTTTGTCAAAAATCTTGGGAGACAAAAAACCTCCCAATAAGAAAAGCTCATCAGCATACTTAAGGGGTCCAGTGGGTTGAGAGCAAGTCTACGGTAAGTTCTCTACAGCCAACGCGGATCACCATCCGTTACGTTAGTTCTGACGATCTCAGCCGTCCATTCAGGCTAAACTATGATCTACCTGCGTAGTTTGGCTAGCGGCTGTCCAAGTTCGGTGCTGGAGTGTACCATCCCCCCCCCCCCCCCCCCCCTCTTTCGACCAGTCTTGCGGCTCACCGAGAAGAGAAGATAAGCCTCTCATTCGAGCCGACTGCGAAATAGATGAATGCAATTTCTCCACTCCTCTCTATTTCACCGATTTCCCAACGACGACTGGCTGGCGGCTAGGTAAGTCGCCTCTCTCTTCCGACCGATTTCCGATTGTTCCCCAAACCCTTCAGCACCTCCGTCGACTCCCTGGCGGTTGAGCAAGAGAGCTGGCCGCCGAAGAGCCCAGCCCCTCTGTCAAATCCTCTTCTCTTCCCGTCCCGTTTCCCCTTTTCCCGTCCTTCTATCCGTTCGTCGATTCCTGGAGGCTAGCCAAGTTGGGCCAGAGACGGGTGGTTGGAGTAGCGTGGGTCATCGGCGGCGAGTAAACCAAACCTGGGATTCGCGAGGATTCGCGATGGTGGAGCCTTGCCTCTTTCCATTTCCCATTACACATTTCACATCCCGCCGTTGACGATTCGTTAAAGCGGCGAATAGATCGATCAAATTCATCACTGTCAGAAAGCTAACAGTGAGTGGATTCTAAAATTTGCCCCGTTTCGATTTGTGTGAGTGGTTGGAAAAAAAGGATTTGATCTGATTGGGGTGTTTTTTGACAGAGCAAAGTCGATGCTTTTGAGTATGCAGACCAAGTGTTGAAGAAGGGAACAACAAAGGGATTGTTGTCTTGGTAACTAGCCAAAAGGAAGGTGATGTTACAGGAGGGCCTGCATTTGTGCAAGCTATTGGACAAAGCGTGCTTGATGCTACTGTATAAGAGAATCTTCCAGGTAAAGTTTGTTCATTTTTCCAGCAGTGGATTCTTCCCTGGAAGATTTTCCTTAGGGATTGAATCTCAAACGCTCATCCTCTCCCTTCACTGTGTTGGACGAAGTAAACATGTCTCTGTTCTATTGCTTTGTATGATGCAGTGATAACATTTGCTTAGAGAGTATGCAATCTTCTCAGTAATCCATTGAGTTTCTACCTCCATTTTGGTAGGTGGACAAGGGTGATCCCATGAAAATAGAATTAGAAGCAGCAAAACGCCAGGATGTTGTCTGCATATCTGCTGTGTTTGGGGATAATTTACAAGATTTCTGCGATGCAGTGCAGCATAAATTAAAGGTTCAGAGTTAAACATAATAGTTCGTTTGGTTCCATTAATGGATTTTAGTGAGTTTCTGATGCCTGTTTTCTCATCTGTGTAGGAATCTATGGACAACGGGTAACTAATCGAGGCTCATGTACCCCCTTAGCATTGCAAGATTGCTGCATTGATTTTACAATCAGTAGTCCCCTATGCTTTGAGCTACTGATAGGTGCATTCTCAATATTTTTATTAGTAGTAACACTGTTGTGTTTTCTATCTACATGAATTAAAACTTGGTCTAGATAGCTTATTATCTTTGCTTACTCTTCAGAATAAGGACGAGAGGCTAGAACCTATCAGATTTGTGAAACCTTCATATAACAGGACACTAATTTACTATTCAGAATATTTTTGTTAGTTACGTTTAGAATTAATAGTCGTTATAGTTTCCTACTCAAATTGGTCCATCTATTTTGACTCTCTTTGTAGAATTAATAATATTAAATTTATATCCTACTAATAAAAAACAATTCTTTTCCTCATCAATTACTATTTAGGAATAGTAAGAAACACCTTCCCCGTAATCCTATTCAGACCAATTAGAAGATTTTCAATGGATTGGTCTCTCAACCTAATGAAATACTATAAATAAACCATGAAGCTGCAACATTATATTCAATTCTAAGGTTTTGAAATATTCGTCCGTGTGCTTTGTCTAACATTCTTGCAATCGCCTCCTCCATCTTTTTCAACAATGTCCTCCAAAACTCCCAAAACACGAACTACAAGTTCGAAGAAGCTCATGAAGACGACAACCACTGATAGTCCAAAGGAACTCATCCATGAATTCTCTGAAAGTCCAGAGAAGCTCTTCCACCAACTCACTCTTCACGACACCGATGTGTTAATCAAGGCGCGCCTTCTGCACTCATGGCGTTCTGTTAGTCCATCCAACCCTCAATATATTTACGATTTTGGAACCCTATGGGCTGATGAAACGGTAACTGTGCTTTCACAATTATTTTTGCTGGCCATATCATTCCATAATATTCACTGATTCTCTCCATGTGTATCGTCTTTCTTTTTTAGGGGATGCTTATACACGGCATTGGAAACCGAAATTTTGTTACTGAGTTTGAGCGAAAACTCACTGTTGGGTCTGTCTACAAAATTCAAAAATTCATAGTCCAGGAAGCTAAACAGATGTACCGCCCATGTCGAAATAACTTAAGCATCTTTATCACTCCCGGTACTATGTTTGAAGATGTGACTACCTCTTTAGATTTCACTTCCGACAGCTTTGAGTTCTGTGAATTTGAAGCACTGGCAGAACGTATAGGTTCTAAGGCATTATTAACAGGTTAGATTTACTGTACTTTTTTTTGTTTTTATTTGGTATAAAGTTATTAACTATTTGCTTGGTGACAAACAGATGTTGTTGGCTGCCTTACTTCCATCAGCGAAGTTGATCACAAAACTACTTGCAATGGAGTTACCCCCCTTCAAAAATTAGTACTTGAGAACGAGAGGTATTGTTTATGACCTATATGATTGGAATACTATAATGACTTTGAGCTGTTTTCCTGTTGCTTAAATAGGGAATTTCTATCTATATTATTGATCTTCCCTTTGACACTATAGCTAAAACTTTCCTATTATAAAAACAGAGGTACCTCCTTATCTATTTCCTTATGGGGGGAGTTAGCATATAAACTTAGAGCTGCTGAATTGATCGAGGCTGCCAAAACATCGCCTGTCATTATTGCCATAGGTGGGCTGACTGTTTCTACTTTTCGAGGTACTATCACTTGCTCTATCGAAAAAATTATGAGTTGGCAAGGATTGTTTTTATGGATTTTTTATTGAATTATGCGATTTGTTTATTCATAATTAAATTCATAGCTGACGTCGACGCTTCAAGTACTTCTGCTACGCGGATAACCCTGAACCCTCAAACGCTTGAATTTGGGTACTTTAATCCATACCCAGACGATTTTGGCGACCTTATAAAATCGTATGTGTTTTCAATCATTCTGTTATATATATTCAAAAACCATTTTATGAATTCCTGTGAACTAAAAAATTACTCTTAGCAGTGCTTCCAATGCCTTAGGTGTCGTCTCTTCAATCCCTGTGACTAATGAAACACCTGAAAAAAATGCCCAACGTGCTCTGGAATCACAGCGGACAGTAACCGAACTCATTAACATGCGTGCAACCGGAGAATCACTGGTACCTATTCTTTAAAACTTTTTGATCTTTCATCGCTTTTATTCGGTGCAACAACATTAATACTTCTTATTTACATTGTAGAATGACATTTATATTTGCCAAGCAACTGTTACTGCTGTGAAATCAACAAAAACTTGGGCATATCGAGGTTGCACAAAATGCCGTCGAACCGTCACCAACTGCGGATTAAACTACTGGTGCGAAAAACACAATCAGATAGCCCCTTCAGAAACACAACAATGGTATTCTCAGCTCACATGCATATTTGTATGTCTAATTTAATAATAATAATCTAATAATAATGATGTACGATGTTTTTATTATTTCATTCAGGTACCTCACAAGACTGATTGTACAAGATGGCACTGATGAAGCAGTATTCCTTCTCATAGGAGAAACTGCTGACAAACTGCTTCGGAGAAAATGTTCTGAAGTTTATGATAGTTTTCCTCAGGGGACTGGCATATTACCACCGGAAATTGAAACTCTTTGTGGTCTAACCTTGGAATTTCATGTCAAAATTCCAAAACAGAATTACAAGGGCGGAGAGGGAGACTTCACAATAACAAACATCATTGGGCTTCACCAACAGACTACAAAAACAGCTAAAAGGAAGCTTCAAGCTTTGGAAGCACCGAAAAGGTATGGTCCTTATCGTTTTACATAGTTTCTTTATATTAGTACTTAAAAACAAAGTCGAACTTTAGCTGCCTCTACTATTTAGAGAACCAGATTCGGCAACCACGACTGAATATATGAACCTGACTAGAGAAATGGAAAACACTCAGCATATAGAGAATCAGGTTATTGAAGAAATATCAGATTCAGGGTACGTAATATTTTTGTGTTTTCCCCATCCATAAAGTCCGTTCGCTCGCCAGATTTTACATTTACTTACATCCCAACAATGTCATGCATCTATTTTCGCAGGAAGACTGACATAGTCGAAGAGTCGAGAAAAAAAAGGAAAAGGTAAAGAATATTTATTATCGTTCCCCTTCCATTGTATCGGTTCCATTGCATAAGACCCTTTGTAAATACTTCATATATCCATTTTTTGTAACATATAAAATACTCACCAATACTATTCAACTTGAGAATTCCGATGCAGCATTGACCTTCCACCGGCACAAACGAAGAATGGAAACTCAACTTCTGCCTCCATCTGTAAAAATTTGAAGAAACCCATTGCTGTGGAAATCTTCACCGATAAGATGCCCAGAAAAGAACATCCAGTGCTTGGAAAAAATGAACTTCAACAAGATTCAAGGTACGTGTTTGGTACACTGCTTTCTTAAAAATGTTTTACTTCCTCACATCCATTACAATGCCATACATCTGAAAAATGTGCAGGAACAAATATGATTGTTCGAATCAAAACCAGAAGGGAAAACAGTCGAAAAAATGTCAAAAAGCCAAAAACAACAGGTGCTCATTGCTAACTCTCTTCATCCCAACACAATTAAGCCCCTCCTTCTATGTCCCCATAGCATATATTGATAATGTTGACAGAAAAATTCATTGCTATTCCAAATTTATTTAGGCACACTGATGATGGTGCGGACACAGTGATTATGGTGAATTCGGATGACGAGAAATCATCTTCTGACAATGACTTACCTTTGTCAAAAATCTTGGGAGACAAAAAACCTCCCAATAAGAAAAGCTCATCAGCAACCAAAGCACTTTCAAAAGAGGCGAAATGCAGGTTAGAAGACTACTGACCAGAAGCATGTTATATTATTATTACTATTTGTTAATTATATTAATTTTGGCTAAAGAAAACTAACTGAATTAATCTTATGTTTCATTGTAGCATTAACTCACCCTTAGCACGAGTTAAGAAGGAAAAACTTGAGGTAGCCTCTAAATCAACATCGACTACACCAAAGTCCACTACCCCACCTGCTGTTGCTGAAGTACCTGGGAAACGCATGCGACAACCGACAAAGAAATATTGTCGTTAAGAAGATCACTTGGACTAGAAAAACCATTTATTTATTGGCTAAACTAGATTAAGTAACTCTGTTTGTGTAAACATCATTTGGGGTATATGGATGGAGCATAACTATATTTTTGGTATTTGGGAGGACACCTTTTATGTTATAGCCCTTCTTTATTCTCTATCACTTTGGACGTAATTTAGTTCTTATTAATCAATTCAGTTTTAGTTCTATACCATATTCATTGACTGAACATTTCAGTATCCCTCTTGAACTACACAAAGCAGGTTATCTCTCTTCAATTACACAAGGCAGGTTGCCCAAACACTAAATAGATTAAAAGCTCCATTGATGAAATTGTTGAAGTAATTATTCTTTAAAGTATACACTTGCATACAAATTGTGAACACCGATTCTACTTACAATAAATCGTGTCACAGATAAAGCTTCTTCATTCTCTCACACAAAAATTAACTAGAGGATGAGTTTAAACGGGAGGGCACCATGGATCCTTCCGTCCATTCGATTGTTTCCCAGGTACCATGTTCCATCACTGTCTGCAGGTTTGACTCTATCTCAACAAAATCCGACGATCCTCTTTTCTTCTTCACCGTTCAATTGCCGCTTGAATGCAGGCTTCATAGATGGGAACGATTATGAATGTTCAATCTTTAAACAAAGCCTCTTGCAGCCGCAATTGGACCCTTCCCTTTTCTCTCGCTCTGTCGCCCGCCAAGCGGTTATACAACCGACAAAGCCCCTTTCTTCCCCGCCGCGCGATACACAGTATTCTCAAGCTCTGAACTTCCGTTGACGAAACGGTTTCACTGCATCTTTCCCCAACTTCGGAGAAAAAAAAAACAAATCCAACTCCGAAAAGGAAACAACTACCGATCACCTACCTCCATTCCTTTAAAACATGTTATTATAAAATTATTAACTATCATACTACCATAATTCAACTCTTACAAGGAATACAGAATCAGTCATCCGTAAGTAAAAGGAAAAGTAGGTAAAACAACACCAAATCAAAACCTATAAATATATAACAAACAAATGGTTTTCGCATCAGAAAAATCAACCCACCATATTACAACAACTCGAAGAAACAGAGCAGGATTGGGAAGACTCGCCCGTGGATTAATCATCAATTTATTCCCGGTAAGAAGAGATACCTCCATAATTATCTTCACCAACCAAATTGGGGTTTCAATTAATCTTTTCCATACACCAATTCTCCTAATATATTTACAGCCCGTGAGACACCATGGAAAGAGAAGAGCCACCACTGCATCAACATCTGTCGTTGTACAAACGAAAGGAAAGAGGAAGTCAGAGTAAGAAACCAGAGGATTCAAGGCTACCACCCAAACGACGAAAAACAGGGATCGACAGGCGATCCAAAAAGCTAGCCACCGCAAACTTCAACCCTTTCAGACAGCCTTTCTCAACTGAGACCGATACCAGCAACACAACATTAACAGCTGAAGATAGATCCCAAACCCAAATTCAACCACATGTTCAAGAAACAACAGACCAGAATTCACAACCAACAACTCAAACACAAACCGAGGAAAATACAACAGATATTCAACAACCCCAAATACCGACTACTGTGCAGAGGTTTGATAATAGTATCCTAGATTTGGGATTACCAACCTTAGCTTGCACACACTGTGGTGCGAGGTTTTGGCCACAAGAGCAACTGAACTACAACAGGCCAACCACCACACCGATTTATACATTGTGCTGCCAGCAAGGAAGGATACGCTTGCCACTTCTAAAACCAACACCACCATTTATGGACAAGCTACTGGATGTGAATGGTGATTCAATGGCCACTCACTTTGCAAAACACCGACGTCCGTATAATGCCGCCTTCTCATTCACATCAATGGGTGCAAAAATTGATCAACGACTGTTGAATTCCAGAGGGCCATATTCGATGGTAATATGCGGGGAGAACTATCACCTTATTGGTTCGTTGCTGCCACCTAATGGACAAAGACCCAAGTTTGCACAGTTATACATGTTTGATCCCGCCACAGAAGTTCAAGATCGGATGGCGAACTTTTCAAGCAACGAGGATGTTCTGAAGCCAGAGATAGTTTCAGGGTTAATGCAAACGTTGAACGAAACAAATGAGTTGGTCAAAAGCTTCCGACGAGTACGAGACCACCTACAAAATCCAGCAAACCAAAACCTGCGACTCAGAATTGTTGGTGCTAGAGTGAAGAATGGAGAACAGTATGAACTACCTACTGGACAGGAGATAGCTGGCTTAATCCCAGGAGATTTTCAACCAGACAATAATGACAGAGACATAATCGTTCTACACAGGAGCGAGGGCCTACGTCGTATAAACAGTCTCAACCCCAAATTCGACGCTCTACACTTCCCATTGCTGTTTCCATATGGAGAAGATGGTTTTCACACAGGAATATATTATAATGAACAGTCAAACAGACCATCAAGACAGAGAAAATGCATAACTCAACGAGAGTACTACTCCTTTCGTCTCCAACATCGTGACAACGAGGGCTCTACCCTCATGAGAGGGGGGAAAGTTCTACAACATTATATCATAGATGCATTCTCCACGATCGAACAGAACCGCCTTATATTCCTCAGGCAAAATCAGGAACAACTACGATCTGAAATCTTCCAAGGATTGTATGATGCTTACAAAGCAGGCAAAGAAACCGGAAAAGATATAGGAAGGATAATATTACCAGCATCCTACACAGGGGGCCCACGATATATGAAAAACCTATACCTCGATGCAATGGCAATTTGTCAACATTTCGGCAATCCTGATTTATTTATTACATTCACTTGCAATGCCCAGTGGCCAGAAATCGTAAATGCATTCGCAGAGACTGTTGGGAAACGAAGTGAAGACAAGACGCAAATTGTGGCTCGAGTATTCAGAATGAAGTTAAAAGCCTTGAAGGATCGCATCATCAAGGAAAAATATTTCGGCCAAACCGTGGCAGGTAATACATATTTAATCAATCTTCAGTACAAATTTAGACTTATTTGTTGATACCCTCTTCGTCAAATCTCACAAGTACTACTTATGCATATAACAAACTATGATAGCATTATACTAATTTCTTCAAGTCATAGTTGGAACCAACTTTCTCACCTGTTCAACTATCCAAAAGCATATGCAATTTTAAACTTCTTAGAAACGTCCATATACAACAACACACTAATATAATAACTACTTCTTGCCGAAAATCATATTCATTCTTCACCAACCTACATCAATTAACGTGATTCTGTATTTGCAGATCTCCACACTATAGAATTCCAGAAGCGAGGACTACCGCATGTGCACATTCTTATATGGCTAGATGATTCTGATAAACTGAAAGACATTGCAGCAATAGATTCAATAATAAGTAGTGAGATACCTGATCAAAATATAGATCCAGAGGGATACGAAGCGGTAACACGATTCATGATGCATGGACCATGTGGGCAATCAAATACATCTGCACCTTGCATGATAGATGGTCGCTGCTCAAAGCATTTCCCAAAACCTTTTAATTCAGAGACTACATATGATCAGTTTGGATATATCGTCTACAAAAGGAGGGATACAGGAATACATGTCGAAAAGGGCAGGACAAAGCTTGACAACAGGCATGTTGTGCCGTACAACAGAGACCTTTTGGTGTGGTTGCAGGCACATATTAACGTGGAAATCTGCCACAAAGGAAGACTGATAAAATATTTGTTCAAATATCTCACAAAGGGACATGACAGATCTATGGTAGAAGCAACAAACAGAGCATCAACATCACCAGAGGAAGAAGAGCCGGTGGATGAAATAGCACAGTATTTGGATTGCCGATATCTCTCATCATATGAAGCAGCTTGGAGAATTTATGAATTTCCCATACACGAGAGAACACCAGCAGTTCTCAGATTGTGTGTGCATCTCCCCAATAAGCACACAGTTCCTTATAACGAGGATGAACCACTAGAAAATGTGCTGCAGCGGCGAAGAGTCAATCACACCATGCTAACTCAGTGGTTCAAGCTTAATAGAACAAATCCAACTGCCAGGACACTCACCTATCGAGAAACACCAAATAAGTTTGTATGGGATCCGAAACAAGCAGATTGGTTTCCGAGAAAGCGAGGATTTCAGATTGGCAGAATAGTGTCTGTTCCGCCTGGAACAGATGCCGTATATTTGAGGATGCTACTAACGAAAGTACGAGGTGCTTTAAGTTTTGAACACCTCCGGACTGTGAATGGTGTATGTTATAGCACATTTAAGAAGGCTTGCCAAAAGATGGGATTGCTATCCACGGACGAGGAGTGGATATTAGTGCTAGAAGAAGTTTGTCGGTGGGGACAACCATCTTTGATAAGGACTACATTTACTTCACTCCTCATGTTTTGTGAGATTACAGAACCTCACTCTCTGTTTGATAAATTCTGGGAAGAAATGGCAGATGATATAGCATATCGAGCTAGACTCCAAAATTCTTCCAGGTACTTTGTCCCGCCATCAAGTTCCTTGAGAAACTCTGTACTTATAGAGCTGCAAAGACTTCTGAGCTATTATTCTACTACACTGCAAAATGTCGGTCTGCCGACTCCACAATTGGATGACTCAGATAGGCTGCAAAATAGTCTCATTGCAGAGCAACTTGACTATGACATTAACGAACAAAGAAGAATAGCAGAGACAGGTTTGGCGTCACTTAATGAAAATCAAAGATATGCATATGATGCTGTAATCGACTCAGTCTGCAACGAGAAGGGATATTTGTTCTTCTTATATGGATATGGAGGAACAGGAAAGACATTCCTATATGATACCCTCACTGCAAAGTTGAGAAGCATGAACAAAATCGTCCTGGTAGTTGCGTCCTCAGGAATAGCTGCAACACTACTACCTGATGCAATAACAGCACATTCAAGATTTAAAATTCCACTAGAGATCGACAGAACTTCGACTTGCATGATTAAGAAGGGATCACATCTTGCTCAACTAATCGAGGAAGCAGCACTCATCGTTTGGGATGAAGCTCCAATGACCCATCGATTCTCTTTCGAGGCAGTGGATAGATCATTTTGCGACGTCATGAATTGCCCAATAAGTGGAGATGGCTACAAGCCATTCGGCGGAAAGTGTGTACTTCTAGGAGGTGATTTCAGACAAACATTACCAGTTGTAGTTGAGGGTGGCCGTGAAGAAAGTATCGATTCTTCTTTAACAAGATCGCATCTTTGGAAATATTTCAAGGTATTACCCTTGACAGTCAACATGCGCATCAACGCAACCCTCAACAACCTACAGCGCATTTATGATGGAAAGGATTTTGCAAGCTGGGTTCTAGCTATCGGAGATGGAAGGATAAAGCGCACAACATTCACGTCATCTGTTTACACCGATTGGATAAAAATCCCAGATAAGTTCATCATCCCACATATAGGAAATAAGATTCAAGCAATTACTGATACTGTCTATAATGATTTTGGTTCTTACTATGACAATCCCAATTACATTAAGAATCGAGCTATAGTGACGCCGACGAATCGCACTGTTTCAGAGATAAATGCATATATGTTGGCTAAAGTAAGGGGACAAGGAAAATTGTACTACAGCTCTGATTCAATTGAGGACGACTCGCCAAACAGTATACGGCTTGAAGAAGAATATCCAACTGAGTTCTTAAATGGATTATCCTTCAACGGTGTGCCAGAACATGAGATACATTTGAAGGTCTCAACTCCGATCATCCTGCTTCGAAATTTGAATCCAGGTATTGGACTGTGTAATGGGACAAGGATCATGATTACACATTTGGGAGAAAATATTATTCGAGGTGATATCATTGGAGGAAAGTACGACAAGAAAACAGTTATCATACCGAGGATTGTGCTTAACGTTACAGAACATCGATGGCCATTTGTCTTGAAGAGGAGACAATTTCCAGTAAGGGTCTGCTATGCAATGACAATCAACAAGAGCCAAGGACAAACTCTGGATACAGTTGGGGTTTACTTGCCTAAGCCGGTGTTTAGTCATGGTCAGTTATATGTCGCAGTTTCACGAGTTCGATCGGCCGACGGATTGCATATACTGATTGCCAATGAAGCAGAAATTCCGCATAACTTCACAAGAAATATTGTATACGAAGAAACTTTTACAGATATAGATGAGAGAACTCAAGCACCTACAGGTAATCACCTCACTATCAAGACTAACTTCATTTAATCCAAAATAAAAAATTCTTATTTTCTCAACGTAAACAAGTATACTAACCAATGAAATTCTCATTTTTACAGGGGAAAGGGACATTGAATGAACACAAGGTGGATAATACGCTCCGGCACACTACATCTTATCTATTAAAAGATACCCAAATCATTAAGCTTTGTTGGGTATGTGATTTATTCCAGGAAGGACATGAGGCAGTATCGGCTAAGATAATGAATCAACGAAAATCAAGACGCCCAGGAGAAGAAGATCATCAAGTCCTACTCGCCTATGTACTCTATAGCTACAATAATTTCTAATAAGTCAAACAATACTAAACCGATTTATATTCGGCAATATACTGCGGCAACGCGATGGCTATTTCTTCTATTAAGCCAAACAATACGAATCCGAATTATATTCTCCAATATACCGCGGCAAAGCGCGGGCCATTTTTCTAGTACAATGTATAAAATGGTGGTAAGTAAACCCTATCTTAGGAATGAAAAAAAGAACCTCTCTTTACCACAAGCACAAGTAGCAGGCCAGCATATACAAGTCTAATCCAGTTGTTCAAGAGAGGGAAGATACAGGGTCAACTATCCTTGAGGGTTTTCATCCTTTATTCTTCTATCTATTGAGCAGACACATTCAGAAGCTACTAAGCTAGCATTACTAATCAAATAATTTTCAGCTGAAGATCAGCACAGCCAACCCGCTCTCTGTACCTTTCAAATAGATCATTGAGTGCTGCCACAAATTGACCATGAGCTTCGACCACCTGTGGACATGAACGAGCGATAGATATAAGCACGACACCGGTTCAAAATCTGCTAGCACCTGGCTAATACCATCTGGTATCTATTGACCTCTTATGTGAACACCACACTTTGTTTCACAGTTCAGCCAATCAACCTTAGACTTTGTCACCCATATCTCAGCGAGTAAGCAAGAAAGTAATCGTCTTTCCTCATGAACCATTCAAATTCATCTAGTTTGATCACCAACAGGAGCCCCTAGAGGCTCTATCTCGGCATCCTAGATTCAATAGGCATAAAAGATTCGACAGAGGGATTGCTACCATACCTCTTCTGTAGTCGGCTGCGGATTTTTCTGTAATTCGATGGGTCGACCTACTACAACATGCATTGGTTGGCGGAATGGTAAAGGGGATCTGGAAAAAAAAAAACAAGTAGAGAAAACTCTTAGATATGGAACAAACATCGACGGCCTATCAGTTCTACCTTCCAGAGACAGATAGCATATTGTAGATTTCACATTCCTCTTCCAGAACCCAATTCTTTGAAGGAATGGAGTTTTATTGTCTTTATAGTTATGAGAAGGAAATGGATGCAATATTCGGCAAAAGTTGGTGAAATAGAAACTTAAGCCATAAACTCCATCATTCTTCAGGGTAGTCGCAGCCATTGAGAAGAGATGACGGTTGTACCATATGGAAGGTAGGATGTTATAAAAGTTTTATGAATAGTACCCAAATCTCCCCCAGAAGATAATAGGGGTGAACCTAATAGCCCTTGCAAATTCCAAGAACCACTTCCCCCCGGGTTTCCACCACTTGAACACATCTGACTGCACAAGAAAAACAAGAGCATGATATTCTTAGAAGAGAATGAAACATAACATCAAATGGCTTCCTTAAGCAGCCAACAGAAAAGAACAACTAGCAATTGGAAACACAAAGAAAATTATTAGAGACGTACAACAAAGGTTGCTGAACTTAAAAGGGGTAAAAAAAGAAAACAAAAGAGAATCCACCTGACCAAAGGCGAAAACAGGAACCAAAGGGCAGCCTGTCTCTATGGCTAACCGGACGAATCCTCTCCGCTTATTCAAGAATGCAATCTAGCAGGCAATTCATAGAGAGAACAAAAAAGGAAGTGTCATGTTACTTGGGGCAGGAAAAAATCCAAAGACAGAATCATTTGGGCCTTAGATTCGGAATGTTGTGTTGTGTCAGTCATGTTTTACATGATAGCACAAAATAGTGTCACCCGCCGCAGCCATATGCTTGCACAATAGGCGGAAAAAAACGAAATGATCGGAAAAAGAGTGCAAGAAGAACATGGAAGAGTTCACCCACCTCAGCTCCATGTTCCATGTGAAATGCCTCTTGAACGCCACCAGGGACGATAATGCAACTACTACCCGATGCTAAGAGGGAAGTACAATTCTTCTTGGTTGCTGGGGTGAGACCACACCATGTCCATAAATGTCTCACGAAAGGGGTATAGAACACCTAGTTGATTGTGAGAGGTGGATGGAGTAAGCTACAGTGGGCAGGATAACATAAATTCTGTGACATGATAGCTACATGGTAGAAAGAAGACACTTACAGCAGTGCTAGCAAGAACTTTGATTTTAGGTAGAGGCAGGATAGCTACATGGTCTGAAAGGGCAACAACGCCTATTGGGAGAACAGAATGTGGCTCATAGCCAAAAACTGGGGGCATGGAACATGAATGAGGAGCTTATACATTCAGAGATAAGATTGACTTAAATACTATATGTAAAAGAAGCAAACTTTGGAGGGAATAGCTAACCATAAGCACGATCAGGGCGAAAGGCACTGAAATCCTCGACGTGGAGAGTGATGGGGAAGTAACTACAGGCATGTCTACATATATACCTGCCATGCCAATCACATTACCAAGCAAGGATAGACAAAGGAAAATTTGAAAGAGACATAATGAAAGCAACAACAAAAAGGGGAAAAAGGGGTAGATGCAATACCTGCAGAATCGGCGACCCAAGTAGCTGGATTCGTTGATGGGGATGACCATTAACAGCAAAAGCATTCCCACAATCCTGAAGAGAAGTGATCATTCTTATTACCAATGAAAAAATTAAACAAGGAAGTGAGTAATGGCTGGTCAGGGAAGTGAGGGAGAGGAGACGAACAGAAGGAAATTGGAGAAAGGAAGGAGGAGGAAGGATAGGAGGATGAAGGCGGCGTTGAAATGGATGCCACCCAGCCATATCCCAAGCGAAACCAGTGATTGCAATTTGCTGCTAGGGATTACGTCGCTCGCTCTGACGCTCTGACTCCTTGCTTCCCCACCGCCGCCGCCGCCGCCGCCGCCGTCAGTGTTTCTACTGCTACTACTAGGAGAATAATTAGCAGAAGGAGTGCTGCCGGGAAGTCGCTCATCTTCCTGCATCTCATCTACCATTTTGGGGAATGGGAAGAAGAACAATCCTCTCTTCACTCCCTCCCTCCCTCCTGATTTACTTCCTGCCACCACCGCCGAACCAAACAGCTTCCCGCTTCGCCTCAGATCCACCGCCTAGAACTTGATTCTGGTCACGTTGTTGTGTTTATTCTATTATTATTCGGTATTCTGCGATGGTTCACCCACACCTAGGCTGTCAGTTTGGTTTTGGTTTAGTTTGCCAAAACAATATCATTTTTGTCTTGTGTGTGGTTAGGAGTTTTCCTGATTTTTCTTTGTTTTTCTAGATGGTGATTAGTGTAGAGGTTGATGCTTCTTTGTTTTATAGTTATTCTAGATGGTGATTAGTAGCCGTAGATGTGTATTTAGTCTGCAGTTTGATATCGATTCATTAGCAAATAACTTAATTTGTGGTGGGTGAATTTCGGATTGATAAGTCTTCTACCAACACTTATTTAGGTAGGTAGTATCTGGATTGCGGGTCACCCAAATGACCCTCGTCATATTTTCACAAGATAAAAAATATATATTTTCTAAACGTGCACATCGATGATCATGGACTTCTAGAGGCAAGAATAAAGAATATTTTTTACTATTATTATTGGTCATTGTGTTTTGTAATGTCTATCATATATTGTGATGCAAATTATAAGTTATTAATTGTATCATAATTGCAAAATGTAACAATTTTCTACACAAGTGGTCGATGGAGTAATGAAAATTTTGATGCGAACAATGCAGTCAAAATCGCGCTTTAAAACTTTAAAACTTACGATGTTACGCTTTTGGGTCACCAAAACGCTTTTGTTTCCATATAAAAACTTAAGTGTATAAAATCGGACTAAATTGGGCTTTAAAGCTTAAAAACTTACGGTTTTACGGTTCTAGTTCACCAAAACGCTTTACGTTTTTACGCTTTTAGTTCACTAAATGAGTATTCTTTTCATGAAGTTAATTATAAAAAGTATATTTTTAAAGTAAATCACTAACAATATGATACATTTGAGATTAAAAGATACATACTAGATACTTGGATGCATTCTCAACTTCAATAGAGTAATCTAATTCACCAGCTAGGGTTTTTACAAATTCATTAGCATAGAGGAAAAAGTGGCTTATCGTTAAAATTTATGTTTACGAACTTATTATTAAGATGCTATAAGTTGCTCTACTTTAAACATGAATCGCATGTATTTATTAACTTATCTAAATTCTGTGTATTCATATTTTGCATAGCATATGTCCTACTTAATAGATTTTTAGTTATTTTTCAGTATGCGTAAAAGCGTACGCTTTTACGCTTTGATTCTACGCTTTACGATTTTACCCCTTTTCCGCTTCTAGGTAGAATCGCGCTTTTGACTGCATTGGATGCGAATACATCACAAATTCACTGGAGACAGTATGGAAATTGTCTAAATTACTACAATGCTACTATCTTACGAATTTGTGAGGAACTTCTTATAAAAGTTAGTCTACTAGTTGAACCTTATTGTTCTAAATTTTTGTTAGTACATTGTTCTCTTCCTGACCAACCCTACCCTAGTCTTACATTATACCGAAGCAAACCTTATTGGAGTGCGTAGGGTTGGGTCCTCTCCTCTAAATGAAATGAATCTCAATAGGGAATTCATATGGAGCAAAGTTCCTAGCTAACAAGTGATGGTAGGAGAAGGCTGATCATTTCATTGTACATCAATAAGTAGGGACTGACTTCTTGTATATAGGCTCTAGAGTTATGTAACCTAATTTGTGTGCCTAAGGTCAACGCTCTCGCTTTTACGTTTTAAATTACGAATTAGGAAAATGGAGCACATAATTCTTTTTTTTTTTCTTCTTCTTTATAGCACAAATTTGTAGAGATAATTCTCTGTCATTAGTACTGTTCGTGTGACCGATAAAAAATGAAACGGCATCAGTGTCACACTTTTCCACAACAACACCGTAGCATTAGTGAATCGAGGGGTTTGAACCGTCATACTGTCAAAAAACAACCAGTATGAGAACACACCTGGAGGTACGTAAAAGAAATGGATCCCCAATAGAAAGAGAAAACCTCAGAGTAGTTAGGTAATCTTTTACAAAGTTTGTCTCGCGACACACATGCGCAATTTTGAACGGTCAAGGAAGAGCTAAACACTGTCTGATCACAGCTACGCACCCATAATGTGGATGGTGACAGTCGGCTACCTCGACAAGTGACTTCACAATGAGCGAGTCCGTCTGTAAAAGAATTTTCCTAACCTCCAATTCTCAGGTGAGTCTCAGACCTTATATAATCTCAGACAGCACAAGTGATGAAACCCCCCTTCCTAGATTTGTTGAAAAAGGTCGTAGTAACGAGCAATTATCTCCCCTCATAATGCTCGTCAACTATAGTACTAGAAGGAAAGTGAACCCACAAATTATCCAATCTGCCCCATACACATTAACCATACAAAAAACACCAATCTTGTACATACAAGCAAATCCACCAATTATCCATATAATTATTCAAAATTTAAAATAAACATGGGTTTGAATCGACGGATTGTGAGAGTATGGGTGTGGACAGGTATCCATGAACCTGATATACCTAAATCCTAACCCAACCCACTAAACAATGCAAAGGATTTCAACTTGCAATCCATCAACATAAATTTTATTCTTTTCGATTGGGTTGGATCAGATAGGGTACCCGTGGATCCGAATTTTGTTGTCCCTTCCTAACCAATATGTTCATGCTAATTTTTTTATTAAACAAGCCCAAATAACAATAGACACATGGAAGACGGTAAATATCCATAGTACATAACCTGTATCGTTCCAATTTTATCGGATATCCATAGTACATACCCGTTTGCTTCAATATTTGTATCAAGCCCACCCCAATGAACCAAAAGTTCCGGCCCAATTGTCCAAACTTTTTTACCGCGCAATTTAAAATTCATTTCCACTCCCCCTCAATTTCTTCTCCCACCCTTCCCCTGAAGAAGCTCCACAAGCTCATCAAAACTCCGGCGAGACCCACCTCCCTCCGCCGTCGCTTCCTCCGCCAACTTCTTCCACTCCACGGCCTTCCCTTTCATCTCCTTCCCTTTCTCCCCGTCCATCAGCTCCCTCACCAGCCCTTCCACCTCCCCTCTCTTCACATCCCAATCAATCTCCATCCCAACTCCCCACACATTACACGCTGACCAGCAATTCGTCTGCTGCTCCGCGAAAAACGGCCAGCACACCATCGGCACGCCGGAGGATACGCTCTCCAGCGTCGAATTCCAACCCATATGACTCAAAAACCCTCCGATCGCCGGGTGTCTCAGCACCTCCTCCTGTCTACACCAGCTCGCCAGGAGTCCTCTGTTTTCCGTCTCCGCCGCGAATTCCTCCGGGAGCATCGCCGACTCGCCGCGGACCAGATCGGGGCGTATGATCCAGAGGAAGTCTTTCCCACTGTTGGCCAGCCCCCACGCGAATTCGACCATCTGGTGGCGCGTCACGACGGTGATGCTCCCGAAATTGACGTAGACGACGGAGTTGGGGGGTTTGGTGTTGAGCCAATTGAGGCACTCGGAGTCTTCGATCCAGAGGCTGGAGGTGATGGAGGGCAGGGAATTGGGGGCGATTTGGTCGATCATGAAGTGGAGCGGGCCGATCGGGTAGATCGGCGGGAAGGCGGCGGCGCCGGAGGAGAGGGAGTCGAGGAAGGTGGACTCGAAGGGGCGGAAGGTGTTGAATACGACGGCGGAAGCGCGGGAGGTTCGGTCGATTTCGCGGATGAGGAAGTTGAGCATGCCGTCGTCCGGGTCGGTGGTTCGGATGAAATTGGGGAAGTCCTTGAGCTGGATTCCTTCCATGGCTGGGATTCCGGCCACCGGCGTGGTCAGGTAGCCGTTCGTGAGGTCCTTCTCGTCTGCGATGTGGCAAAACAGGGGAAGAGAAAGAGAAATTGCTCATCAGTTCGGACTTTTGAATGGGAGAATTACTTACAAGGTCCTCTAATTTTGGATTATTGTTCAATTTGGTCTTCAATCTTCACTTCTACTTTCTCTAAGACTCTTAACTATTTCTACTTTCTCTAAATACATTTTCATCACAAATTCTTATCTTGACCCTTAATCTTGCCATCTAACACATTCATCTCCTTTGTAAAACTCACTTAAATTTATGTCAAGGGTCGAATGAATTTTGTAAAATTTTATCATGTTAATCAACTAAAATTTTCCAACTAATCAGTTTGAGTAAACTCCATTGTGACAAAATTGGATAATATTCTCGAACGGAAGAGCTAGAAATGTGTACAAAACATCATAATCAAACGGTAGCACAACAGATAAGGACCAAACTCTCCTAGCCACATGCTAGGGTCCAACTTGGATGAACTCCACGGTCACAAATTCTCTAACAATCCAACTACAAATGTGATAAACACATCGTAATCAAACCATACCTCAAAATATTCCACTAACCAGTAACCACTAGTGCAATGCAATAACTAGCCGCCATCAATGGGAGTAATTACTTGCGACGGTCCACAGCAGAGTCAACGCACACGACACCAGGACAAATTGAAGTGTTACAATATACTTTAATGGAGACATCAATCGACCAAAATTGTGACTAAATCAAAGTTAGACTTGGGCAACTGCACCAAAAGCAGCAATGTAGTAAGTATTCCAAATCAGGAATAGTGTATCCAGTCTAGTTGATATCCTAGATCTTAATAACACCAATTATTTGTATTCTTTGTTTATGAAATCTTATGTCATTTATATCTGGTTGCATACTTACACAGACTCGCGCGCGATCACATATATAAAAAATTCCGAGTCGATACAAACTTTATTACCACGATACGATAATAGTTATACATGAGACCATCAAAGCATGTTGGGACCAGGTTGATTGCCCTCCATACATTTTCCACTCATTAGAACAAAGCAGGTTGGATCGGCGAGTTGATTGCCCTCCGTACTAGACGGGTTTGTGTCCCTATATACGGGTCGGGTTATTTGGATTCGGTAATTTAAGTGGCTTAACTACATGTTAGCAAACTCGGATAGTTCAGTTTATCATCTGATGAGGAGAGACGATTTGTGACTAATCGATGAAACGATGTTTAAAAAGAGTGACTAACAAAAAAATGAACTTTTGATAACGAAAAAAATGAAACTTTTTTGGGGGACAAGAAAAAAAAATATTTTGTAATCTGAGCTACCAACCGTATAATAATTTAGCCAATATATAATAATAATAGCTTAATTCATGTTATTATTTTAAATTTTGTCCTTCCTCCCAAGAAAAATCATAAGAGATCTTGGATCGAATCGGTATTAACGTTTTCCACAATATTATATTACTAAATTGCTGAAAGAAAAAAGTGTATTAATAATCACTAAACTTTTTGACCTTAATTAATTACCTTTCAACGGGACAAGGCCTTCCCTAACTAGCCGCCGGTAATTGGCGTACCCGAGAACCCCACAAGCGCTCGGCGTCCAGAAAATCACCTCGGGAATCCCGAGCTCCTCCGCGGCGTCCAGCGTGAAGCTCATACAGGCATCAGAGATCACAAAGCTCACCGCCGGCACGTCGTCGTCTTCATTAAGCCGGACGAGGAGGTCGCGAAACGGGGCCGTGCAGGTGTTCTTGGTGGACTGGCAGAGGGCCGGGATGTCCTGCGTGGCGTCGTCGAGATCCGACGGCGGGAGGCCGTCGGGGATGGTGGCGAACCGGAAGTCCGGCGGCAGGGCGGCGGCGAAGGCGGAGCCGCGGGACTTGAGGAGGCGGCGGTGGTTGTACTCGGTGTTGACGTAGGTGATGTGGAAGCCGCCGGTGGAGTGGAGGAGCTTGGCCAGCTTCAGCATCGGGGTGAGGTGGCCCTGCGCCGGGTACGGGATGCAAACGACGTGTCGTTTTGGAGATGGGGCGGGGGCGTTGACGACGCCATTGGCGGAGGAGCCCATCTTGGTGGGAAAGAGAGGGAGTGTGTGGAAGTTTTTGTTTGTGGAAATGATGGGTTGCTCACTTGCTCCTAGGGAGACTTTTTTTATATATAGAAGTACCAATCCAAGTAGTGTTTTTGTTTTACTAATATACCTTGGTTTTATAATAATAATAATATCAACCTGGCATACTTAGCTAGTAGCTTTAATTCTCTATCTTACCCTCCTTATCGGTATGGTCGAGATGGGAAGACGATTTGATAATCCTAGTTCATAAATGCTTATAAGGATGATATTTTATTTTATGTGTTATAGAGAGGATAATTGAGGCGATCAAAAGACTCTCTCACGATGGTTCAATTTATGTCAACTATCTTTATTATTATTATTATTTATTTTGTACTTGTTGCCGGTAAAGATTTTGTCTTTAACTATTTGTCCACTTCTAGGGTATTTATGGCAAAAAGAACGGAGGTGGAGATCTTGTGGAAGTCACCACCTCTCGAGTGGGTTATTCCCAACATCGATGGCTCCGTGTTCTCTTACTCAAACCACGTTTGTTGAGAGATCAAACAGGATGCTGCTTAGCAGCATTCACGCTATCAACCTAGGTATTTGCTCTGTTATCTGTGTAGAGTTTATCAGAAGCGTTGTACAAGGACTTCGGTTGCCATGTGACCTTGGGGTTCGTCGTGTTCGAGGTGGAGCTAGACTCGATGTGTGCAGCTCAAATCCTCTCGGGGACAGAGACCAGCCGATGGCCATCCTCCACAAGTTCCTCGCTCTCATCTAGCAAGACTAAGAGGTTGCTATCCATCAAATCTATCACGAAGGGCACAAAGTACGTTATGTGCAGACTATTTAGCCGGTAGAATGCAATTCTCTGTCTTCAGGTATGCATTCGTTTCAATGCAAGAACACATACTTAATTACTGACTTTTGTATGACTGTCAAAGGATCTTCAAACCCCGAGAGGGTATATATATATCAAATAAGCCACATGTTAGTACTATATACAAAAGAATCAACTTGTTTAATTCAAATCCATCGATCCAGGAGAGCCATGTGTAAGTAATTATATTGTGCCCAAAGAAAAGAGTGGAGTTTGACTGTTTTGAGAATGAAGACCAGATCCTGTTTTTAAAAGAAACGAAGAGAAATCCAAACGAATCACCATATATCAAGTGAAATAATATTATAATGGAATTGCCAGCTGATGAATCAGAAGGTTACATGGTTGATTATTGACTGATGGGTACTGCAACGTTTATTTTAATATGAAAAAACATTGAAGAGAGAGGGTCGCCGGCCGGCGGCCGGCTGGGTCGGCAACGGGATTACGTAGGTTAGATCCAAGAGCAGATCAGGACATAATGTGACATTATCATTTGATATTTTGTTTAATAATTGAATAGGGTTCACGTCACAAAGTTAGAGAAAAGAAAAAGTAATAAATAAGGATGGGTTAGGTTCAATGTGTTTAGTGGACACAATCCCAATTATTGATCATACATAAGTTGGTTTTTTTTTTTTATGTAATGTTTTGAGGGATCGGTTAGCTTGACTACCCCTAAAGGGGTAGTGATTTTTGACACCCCCTTTATGATTGGCCAATTTTATTTCCAATCATTGGCAAGTATTAATTAAACTGGTTTTTTATTTTTTTTAATCTTGTAATTTGGGGTCTCTCACCACATTGGAAAAGAGAAAGAATCTGGGGAAAAACGAAATCACCCCCATTAATTACATAATTAATTTCTCTCACTGGTACATTAATTACACGTACCACTCTACTGGTACACGTACCACTCCACTGGTACACGTACCAGTGGAGTGGTACGTGTACCAGTGGAGTGGTACGTGTACCAGTGGAGTGGTATTTGTATCATTGAAGTGGTACTGCATTGTTGCTCCGTTATTGTTTATCATTGTTATGAAAAATATCATTGCACTGGTATTGTTCTCACTCTAACCTACCTTGTGGATTGCTCGCACCAGTGGAGTGGTACGTGCACCAGTGGAGTGGTACGTGTACCAGTGGAGTGGTACGTGTACCAGTGGAGTGGTACGTGTACCAGTAGAGTGGTACGTGTAATTAATGTACCAGTGAGAGAAATTAATTATGTAATTAATGGGGGTGATTTCGTTTTTTCCCAGATTCTTTCTCTTTTCCAATGTGGTGAGAGACCCCAAATTACAAGATTAAAAAAAATAAAAAACCAGTTTAATTAATACTTGCCAATGATTGAAAATAAAATTGGCCAATCATAAAGGAGGGTGTCAAAAATCACTACCCCTTTAGGGGTTAGCATAGTATCCTACCCCATGTTTTGAGACCAATGAGATATTATGTCAACTTTCATCGTTACCATAAGCCATTAATGGTTGAGATGCAGAGTAGAGGTGTGTGTTGGTAATAGAGGGAGCTTTACAAGTGAATGGTGTTGAAACCTAGCCCGTCATAGGAGTGTTGGACCTCAAAAGAGGCTCTATTTACCAGGGGTAACCTATCTGTGTGCATTGATTGAATACCGTTTTGTTTGTATTGGTACATAAAGGGAAGCATTTGGCACACTTCTTCGCAACTAGTATTAGTCAATCTTATTATTCGAAACTTTCTGTGTTCAGTCAATCTGAGTAATATCTTCTCATGAAAACTGTTATGACTGAATGGAGGTCATTTAAGACATACTCATCACCTACAAACGAACCCTAATTTGTTTTTTTTATTTCTCTTGCATAACTCGCCCACGTCCATATACACGAAACTCAAACTCAACCAGGATCCAACTGAGTTGCAAAACCGGACCGGGCCAACCAAAAGCTTCCATTCACCATGTGAGAGTTACAAAGCAAGCTACATCATCACAAGATGCTGATTAAATAAATTTGGACCATACTAGTATTCATCAATTCCCACTTCCCATACCTATTATATGATTTCACTATCATTGTCTAAAAATTTATTGGTGCTTTGATGAGAATGGATGGGCCTGAAAGAATTGATGATGGGAGGGCATGGGTCTCTGCCCCAGTTTTGTGGAAGAGATTACTCTCATTTTTTAGGAATTTTTAGGTATTCTTGATGTATACAGTATACACTCTCCTTAATATATTTTTCTCTCTATTTTATCGGGTAGAGAAGACCGGGGAATTGTGAATTTCGTTGAGAGACACCTAAAGATTTGAGCTCAAATGAAAGTTTATTATGTGTCAAAATTTACTTATGGTATCGTATCTTTATTCATCAATTAATCAAGGATTTTTATTAAGACGGTGTATCAACAATTAATTGCTCGCAATAACATGGAGAGGCATAAGATGAATTCAACCTTATACAGTTTACTTACTAAACAAATTTCTCGAGAACTCGAATTATCATAATGAAACAAATCGTTACACTTATGGAGTAATCAATCATATGAAGTTTTCTCCTACTTCGCTAGCTCCACATTTGACATTTGTCATGTAAAGAAGATTTCTTAATGCCGATTAGAGTTAGAAAATGTCAGTAGTCCAATCCCACAATTGCCGACACTATCGGTTAATTTTATTAACTAATCAACAACTATTTTCAGCCTTTTCAGGTCAACTTACGATGAATAGGACTTCAATAACTACTCTCTCTTTGGACATTGAAATCTTGAACTTTCGACGAGAGAGTCTTTTTTGTCACGGTATAAGTAAATTTATGATACCTTTTCAGCAAGGGTAAAATTCATGAATGATATTTTTAACCCTTTGGAGCGTGAAAGTCATAGGCTAAATTCCAACCGTAAGATTAAGCAGTGTAGTGAACTCCTCATGTTCGGCATGGAAGAAATCTCGGTCGTATCTTCTACCCATCAGTTACATTAGATAGCAACAACTTCACCTGCAAAATAAACAAATATATTAAGCCCATGTTAGGCTTGTCCAAGTAGTTAGAAAAAAAGGTCAAGCAAGCTAATAAAACCCACATAAAATATCAAACACAACAGTAAGAAGTTGGCATGCAAATTTTTAAGAGTAATAGATTAGCAGAAAGCGAAGCCAATTATATCAATTATACTTAAACTATAATTATACAAGGATGATTTTATTCAAGTTTTTTGTATTAGAGAGAGGATAATTAAGAGATAGAATAAGTGGTTTTGAGACCCTTGCACAGACTAAAAAAAAAGTTCCTCTCAATGTCTTATTGGGTTAAGCGATCAAATCCAATTAATTTGGATGATACTACGAAGAAGAGAAGCTAAACCTTTCATCAGCCCGTGATAATACCGTGACATTGAACCAAAAAAGCAGCAAACACTTGCGTTTTTTGATGAGATCACGGTCGGGCTGCCAATGTCACCCCCGTGACATCTGACTATGAGATTGAACCTCGGGCTATATAAAAAGACAGCAGCAGGGAGAAAGAAAGGGGAGCAGCGGGGAGAAAGAAAGGGGAGTGGGTTTTGAAAAACATGGTTCTCTCTCTAGGGTTTCGACCCAAAACACCAAAGAGGAGTTCTAGAGGGATCTTGGAGGTTAATTGGAGGCTTGGGTTGATCTTGAAGTCTAGACTTCAAGCCTAGAAGATGTAGAAGATGAAGATCTTGAGCAATTTTGTAATCTCTCTCCTCTTCTCTATAAACTAAACCTCTTTCTCATAGGTTGATAAACCCTAGGTCTAGATTTTGGTTTGAAGTCGATGAATGTGACATATTCTATGTTTGATTGATGAATTTATCTATTTGATGGACATTTTTCATGGATTGCATGATTTTTTATTCCACTTCATGTCAATTGAGCTTTTGACCTAGGAGGGAAATAATCCTCTTAGAGCCCATTATTGGTGTCTTCTGGTCACTCCTATCATATATCATCAGGGTAATCCCCGAGGGAGCTGATTCATTAGACATTCTAACGATATATGAATCCCTAGGTTGAATGGAACACCTTCCCACCATCACTTTGCCGTTTCGGGTCAATCCCGAGTGAGTCGATCTCATAACGGTAGGGTAGTGAGTCGATCGAGCTAGGATAGTACTCAACATCAATCCAAATGATAGAACTAGGGGGATTCAAGCTAAGAGAGCTCCACCACTTGTAATTAGCTAGGGTAGTGGTCAGGTTAGTGTAGATAGGTTTGTTTCTTAATCACTATTCTAGGTTGGCTAGAACAAAACCTCAAACCGAAGTAAGGTACACCTAGGAGACCCATGGTTTGATATTTTTATTGCTTGCTTTGTTGCTGACCTTATGCTACACCCAGTCGTCGGTTGTGCTTGGCCATCGATTGGGATGTGTAGTTAGAGTCGAGCTAGGAAGCATACTCTAGCAACACCTAAACGTTTCCCTCTGCTTACTCTCATTCAAATAATAACAACAAGAAGAGTGCAACCACAGATATGCAATAATTCGTCAGTGTCTCTCATACCCAACCGACTATCTTTTTATCCTTACTTCATGTCCTTTGATAACGATGTTTCACTCATTAAGCATTGCTTTGATCTCATCCAATTGAAGATATATTGCATTTATATTTACTGATGTTTGAATTACATGTTCACAATTTACTTTTTCTTTTTGTCGTGAACATTGCTCTTTTTCTGCTAAGTATAAAACAGAGCTGGATATATCATTTCTCTCTTGCGGGTTCACAATTACACCACCTTATTTCTTCTACATTTCTCTAAACTCTAACTACTCTAGATTTTCTTTAAATACATTCTTTAGCTTGATCAATATGAGATATTCCAAGTTCTATTGAATCAAGTTTCATTGCATCACCAACCCCAGCTCTAGCCGAGAGACTAAGTTTTCAAACCTTATCTATTAAACTAGAGACTTATGTACTACTGCCGTAAATAAAAAAAAATTATGCATGTGACTTAAATATATTGCTAAATAATGACTTTTTTAAAATCAAATAACAATTAGTTTGAAATTAAAGAAAATAACATTTTAAATGCTTGAGCTTATAGACTCATATGACAAAAAGAAAAAGAGCAGATGAATCATATAGGCTTTAAAATATGTGCAAAATATTTGGACATAAAACAATGCATAACTTATTCATATACTAAACGAGGAAATAACAAAGTATTAAGAATGTTCATCAATGAGTTGAAGATCACAACAGAGCAAATCCAAATGTATTTTGATGAAAACTTTTGTTATATTTGTGGATGCTATAAATACATTGAGAACATTGACACAAACTAAAATTTGAAATAGTTTATCAAACTATAAACTTAAAAATAATATGATATTAGTAAACTCTATAAGTATCTCGGCCATCTAGTTCGGGTTAAGCTTGTTAGTAACAAAATAATAGTGCTTAAAAATGAAAACCTCTAAGAACTATATTGTTCCGTGTGTGAGAAATTGAATAAAGCTAAACCACATAGAAAATAAAGGGCAAATGATCACAAAATCATACCCAAAACTTACATTCCTCCAACAAGCATAAAATCTTTCAATTCAATAATAAGACTTTACAACTTCTTGATGTTGTTCAACTATAGAAGCATGGATCGATTATGTCCAACAAGTTGATCGAAGTACTAAACAAAAGAATATATTATGAACTCTATCCTTGTGTCGGAAGGGGTTATCACCTACATAACTTACAAGAAAGACTAGGACACTAGAGATGTGAAGATTTGTCCAACCATTTATTCCAGTCTTGTTCATTTGTGAATATTTATGTTGGTGCTAGAAGACAACAGTCGGACACCCACAAATATAGAAACTCTTCATTGTTCAACCACCTGTTGTGTGGCAAAGACCCGCAGAATTCCAGGCACCGCCTTTGAGCTAATCTCAATGAATTGTAGCTCAGTTTCAAGTATCTAAAACGTTTGTCACAATTACACTGTATTATATCTTTTACATATCTCTAAACCCTAGATACTTTGTAGCTTTTCTTTACATACATTTTTCAGTCTAATCCATATGAGGTTATCTACATTATGTTGCATCATCAATCTCCAGTCAAGAGACTCAGTTTTACACATGCTTAACCCTATATACTAACCTAGAGATTAATAGGGCTGGATTTTCAGTTAGTTCGGTTATAACCGATAACTGAAATGTCGGTTACCGGTTAACCGTGGCATTAGATGTGAATACCGTCAACCGCCCGAAGGAAAGCTTCGGTTAGCCGGCAACCGACTGGTCAGTTGCCGGTTAGTTGCTCGGTTACCGACGTAACCACGACATACAATGAAAACTGGTTGTAACCGACTAACCAAACCGGTAACCGAACTGGACAGAACTCCTGTGCAGACAAGATCGATACAAATTGCACCGCCAATCCGCCATTGTTGGTAGCACCATGAAGCTTCTGGTGACACTAGTGGTCTCTTCCAAGATCCGGCCGGGACACGCTCGCCTGACCATCAACCGGGCAGATCTTGACAAGCGCGGGAACGTCGGTCTTCACCGTCATCATCGTGCTTCCGCCGACGTCAAAAACCCCAAGGAGGAGAAAAAATATCCGGAGCCACTAAACAAAGTTGGGATAGCTTATATAACTATTATTCGTACGCTTATCGTACGCTAGAATGAACCATATATATATATATAATAGCATAAGTTTGCTTAATACATAAGGTGGAATGTGAGAGGGTGCATTATAAGGCTAAAACTCATCTTACAAATAATTTCCCACCTTAATCCACGTTTTCTAGTTATTGATTAGCAACCTTCTCGTTTTGCTACGTCTTACCTTAAAGGGTTTTCCCCCCTCATATGTGGTTATTTTTTCATAACCAACGTTTTTTAGTTGTTGATTATGTAAGTTTCTCTTTTTGCTAGTACTTACCTTAAAATGTTTTTTTTTCTTCTCTCACTATGATTTTCCCCCTTAACCTACATTTTCATCTGTCGATTAGACAAGTTTTTCTTTTCACTACGCCTTATGCTAAATGATTTTTCTTCTCCCACGTTTTTTCTGTTGTGGATTAGACAAGTTTTCCCTTTCTCAATTCACGAGTGGTTATATTAATGTACCAAAAAACAAATAGGACTTGCCTTAGAAACAAATAGTTTCCTTTTAGCCCCGTTTTTCTAGCTATTGACCAGACAAATTTAATCTTTCAGTATGACTTACATTAGATGGTTTTTTTCCTCTCACATATGATCCCCCCCCCCCCCCTCTCCCCCACGCTTTTCTACCTATCGTTTAGCCAAGTTCCCCATTTCTCTAGGACTTACATTAAAAGGTTTTTTTTCTTTCTCTCTCTCTCTCTTTTTCTTTACGCTCTGTTTGGCAACAAGGAGGGTGCAAATTGCAAGGGGGGTGCAAGTTGAGGGGTAAATTGCTGGGGGGGTGCAAAATGCTGGGGTTGTAAGTGGAGGGGTAAATTGTTGTTTGGATGAAAAAGTAAGGGGGTGCAAATAGAGTGAAAAGTAAGTAATTATATTATTTTAAAATAGATTTTAATATTTTAAAATAGATTTTAAGATTTTAAAATAGTATCATAAAATAATAAAATAAATATTACTATATAATAATAAATATACTTTACTAAAAATAGTTATTATATAATAATGCTCAAATAATAATTAATTATAACAATTGTAATAATCATTGATCGAGCGATCTCAAAACTCGAAGCTCAACTCGTAACTGGTCATCCTATATAGGATTTTCGTGTCTAGTTTAATCTTAAATTGTCAAACTTAGTCAAACACGTTAGAATTTGTAAGTTTTAACTATTTAGTCAAATAAACTGAGTTAACCAAACAATTTCTCTCTATCTTTTCCACAAACACCTCGTATCTCTAATTTTCAATGCAAATTCGATTCAACCAAGAGATCTAGATTTGACTTGACGAACATTGATAAACTTGTTTCCAGAGTCAAATGGTCAACCCCGAATAATGTTTACATGAATGATATTTATAAAATGAAGAAATTGATAATATTAATTATTATATAATTATATATAACACAATTAGAAAAATAAAATTCCATAATTCCCCCTCCCCCTCTCTTCCTTCCTTCCCTTGCACCCCAATTCGGGGGGTAAGCCGAAACAGTAAATTTGCACTCCCGTTTTGCACACCCCTACTGTTCCAAATTAACCAAATAGGTGCAAATGTGTTAGAAACTGTGTTTACCCCTCACATTTGCACCCTCCTCCCATTTACCCCTCTTCCCAAACAGAGTGTTAATCCACATTTTTCAGCTATCATAGGTAAGTTTACCCCTTCGCTAGAACTTATATTAATTGTTTTTTGAATTCTCCCACGTTTTTTCTCTTGTGGATTAGACAAGTTTACCTTTTCTCAATTTAATAGGGGTTATATGAATTGTACATGTGTTCTATGGTTGTTCACTGAATGCTCAAGTTCAAGATTCATGACTAATTAAATGTAATTTAATTGCAACTTTTACATGTCACTACTCGTTAATTAGTGTATGGACTTTGCTATGACTAGGAGAAATCGGTTTATCGGTATCTCAAATGCTAAATAGCAATCAAAATCAATCTCAATATGAAATGTTTAGATATAGTATTAGTATATACCAAATACTAAATTAAATAACATCATTGCACGTAAATGATAAGGTGGTTCGAATTGAACATAAAATATTGGAAAATTTATGTTTGTGTACATAAATAATGGGGTATTATGTAAATAGGACTAAACTTATAGTTCCATATTATTATAAATCACTCATAATCCTCTAAATCTCAATTTATTTTCCCTATAATCATTCATCAATACACTTAAGTCATTCATTCTTCTAAAATGTTTTATCATGAACATAAATACAAGTTGGTAAGAAATTAGCCATTTATTGCAATCATAAGTACAATGAACTAAACATATACTTCAATATTATTAAATCACTCATAATTTTTGTAGATTAAAGAATTTGAACATGGGGAAGAAGCCAATAGTTGGTGAGTTATCGGTTAAACCAAGTTGAATCGAATCAGACCGAACCAAAATGGCGGTTGGAATGAACTAGCCGGTCCAACAACTATGACTCAATGCAATGGTTAGGCATTTTTTTGGTGAATTATTGCAATGGTTGGGGGTGTAATCACCCACTTGAAGGGTCACATCCATTCACTCACATCCCTTCATTGTCTATAAATAAACACCTACTCTCCTCTGTTTTCGACCTAACTTTTTCCCAAGAAAATTTTCCAGGCAAAAAGAAAGAAAAATAATTTTATTCTTCATTGCATTTCCTCTCTACAACTACAAGCACATAAAGAAACCATATTCGTGTGATTTCTCTCTAATCGTTGCGTTCGTCGGTTTCTGGGATTTCAAGTATCGGTACGCCATAAAAGGTGCATCCGTTCTATCCAGGGATGAATAGTTCCAATAACCTTGGGTACCGTAGAGGGGAACTAAATTCTTTAAAGAGAAATAATGAATCCTATTGGCTCGGGCACATTGTTTATGCATGTGTTGATTTCTAAATGTGACTTATGTGGCAAGAAACATACTTTTGTGAAACTTTTCCATAACACATAATAATTAATAATTTTTTACAATCACATAGTTATTGATAAATTTTGGTAAAGGGGAGCCATGACCTGTATTTAATTGAGAGGGGGTAGAGGCTCACTCAGTTAAAGAAATACTCACTGTATCACATTAGATTATTTTGTATTGTTCGATAATTTGAAATATAAATTTCAATCGCATATATCGAATATCAAATACTACTAAAAATCAATTTCACTCACAAACGTAAAAAAATAAAATATGTAATCCATAATATTAATTAATGATAAATTAGGTGTATTCCAAACACCGATACCAAACTTTCACTCCTAGCAACGAACAATATTTTAGATATTGATATCCTTGGAGTTGGTACCTGACTTTCCAAGTAATGGTTAATTACTAATCAAATTAATTAACTACCCATTAGCAAGGGATACAACTAATATGCACATGGACATACTTACATGGAATAATGCGTTCTCGTTCTTTAATGAGATTTACGATGCTCGATAACTTTATGATTACCCCTAACCAACCATAATACAACTAACATTCATACAAATGAATTAAATTAACTAATTTAATCTGACCACTATTCACACTACCTCACAAAAGAACTTCATGCTCTACTTCATCAGTAGGCTTTAAAGCATTGGCATAACTTGATAATTTGCAAAACCCCACCAATTTTCTTGATTTATTCGAACTAAACGAGCTGGATTTCTAGTTTCTTCCATAAACCAAGTGTTTAAAAGGAAAAAAGCCCAGAAAACTGCAAGGCCCGCCCATCATTAAAGCCCAGATAAATCATGAGGCTGGCCTATCATTGCCATTGCTTCACCAGGAGAAAGCCCGTATTTATCCCAATTCCTCGTCGCCGTCAGCTGAAATTAGAGCAGGCGCAGCCGCGCAGGCAGGTAGACGGTAGCCTAGCTCACCTCACCACCGCTCTCCTTTCTCCCGGCGATCTGTCTTCCCCAAAGGCCAAAACACCCAAATTCTTTTGTCCCCTACTTCTTCTCCATTGAGCTCCGGAAATTTCCATGGGTGTCTCGATCCTATCCCCGAAGACCCTCAGGTCACTCTCCGTTTGCCGTTCCAATCCCCCTCGTAAACCCTCCGAAACTTCGCTCTCCGATTCAGTCCCGACTCCACTTCCCCTGCATTCTTTCATTATCTCAATTGGGTCCCTCTTCTACCGCTCCGAAGCGCGCGCAGAGTGTAAATATGGCAGCTTTAGAAGCTCACAGTCGAATTCCTCCACCACGGGATCGTCGTCGTCTTCGATGTGCTCAGAATCTACAGGGATCACTCGGCGCAATCGCTACAGCTCGAGTGTTCTGAACCCTGTGATTCATGGAGGCTGCTTCCGATGTTACTCGGCTTCTGCATCTGCTGCTGCTGCTGATGATGATCCCGAGTCTCGGAGATCTCTCCCTAAGGTCGTTCGGCAGAAACCAAAGTTAATGCCGTTCTGGAAGATTGTTGCATTGGTCAGAAATGGCGATGGCGATTTGGATTTGAAGCTTGATTCGATGAATTTAAGGTTGGATTCTTACTCCGCCATGGCGATTCTTCGTGTCCTCAATCAAGAGAAGGTATCAGCTTTAGGTTTCTTTGACTGGCTTCAAGCTACTCACCCTGGTCTGATGCTCAACTCCTGTATTTGTAACTTAATGATCGACAACTGTGGTGGATGTGATGATTACGAAAGCATGCGTGGCCTCTTAGTTGGTTTCGGTTTGGAGGGCATTGCTCTGACCAAAGAAGCATTTCAGTTCTTAGCTTTGAAGTTTAGAGATGAAGGTGTTTCGGTGGAAGAAGCTATACGAAATGTACTTCATGTATTGGAAGAAGTAAAGGGCGGAGTTTATTCAACTGGGGTGAAATCCTTGATTGAGATGCTCGCCAGTTCGGTGTCTTTTGATATGGCCAAGCTTGTGATCAGGTTGAGTGATATGAGGGTGTGTTATTATAGCGTACTGATAAAGGAAATGTGTAAGAAGCAGGAGTATCAAAAGGCGAGAGAAGTGATAGGGGAGGTGAGGGGAACTCATAGAGATTATACTATCGATTTAGATCGCCATATGTACAATTACATGATTAGTACGATGTTGAAGGCTGGCCTGGAAGATTCGGCTCACGAAGCTCTGCAGGAAATGATGAGCGAAGGGTGTCCTCCAGATGCATTGACTTTTGAGATATTTATATGTGATTGTGTGGCGAAGGGCAGATTCAGTACTGGGATAAAGTTCTTTGATCATATGGTGGAAGCTGGCATTAAACCGAGGCAATCGACGCATGCTGCTGTTATCAAGTTGTTGTTCAACGTCGAGCATTACGATGAGGCTTATGAGTACGTGGTTTCTGTGAGTGATAGGTTCAAGAATTCGGGTAATCAGGCTTACAACATGCTTGCAGAACTCCATAGGAGGAAATCCAATCTGATGACTTCCATAGACATTCTTTGTGCAATGATGAGTAAGGGTCTAGCGCCGGATCCTAATATTTATGGGAAAGTTTTGAGAAGCCTCAAGACGTCTATGTGGAAACGAGAGGCCACGGATTTGGACAACCAGCATAAGAGGCTTCAGTTAGCAGCTTAGTTTGGCTGGTGGGCACTATTATAGAATTCTCTCTTCCCGCATTCTACTCGGCACTGAATGGAAAAAGAATTACGGTCTGTGTATACTGAACTTCCAGAGGAACACAGTGAACGCTGATATGAATATATACTTTTTCCGCCACCAAGATTTCACCTTTCACATGTCTAGCTTCTGAAAGCAAGCAGAAAGAAGGATGAAGAAGCTGTCTGATCAAGAAAAAAGGAGGAACAACCAGTTTCTTCCAGGTATATAGCTTTGTCGAATGTATGAGATTGCATTTGCCTGATCACACTAGGACTAACTCCAGGAAAAACATTATTCTTGTTTCAGTCTTGGCCACAAAGAATCTTTGGCCCTTTTGGATTTGTATTTTACTATTTTTCTTCTTCTGCTTGCTGGCCTAAGTTGCAGCAGAGCTACGAGAGCAATCTTTACCCCATTCTCTTGTTTTGATCGGTTGTTTGTAGTTAGCATGCTCAGTTAGCTTAGCCTAGTCCGAAAATTTTCGGTTCCATACACTTCCCAATATCTCTAAACTCCCATTGAAAACTGTGTTTGGAGTTGGGGAAAGAAGCAAACTCTGGTTCTCACTTATGGAGCACAGAGCACATAAGATTGTGAACTAATGACGGTTTCCTGCCAGGTAAAGTGAAGCATCAAAGCAGATTTTAGATCGAGTTAGAAATCAATTCTTCCTTTTCTGAGGCCTATTTCTGATGTACCTATTTATGGTTTGGGACATGCATTATCAATTCTTCACTCATGAGCACTGTTCTGCAGCAGTGCAGCCCTTCCTTCCAGCATGCATCATCATGTCTCGTTGCTGCTAGCATTGTATAGCAGCGATCATAGTTGCCATGTCGATGAAGCTCTCTGTAGGATTTCCTTCCTGCCCTTCACCACACCATCACTCGGCCACAACCACTACCACTTTCGCTGTTCGCATCAGTGAGGTCATTAATGGCTGACAAAGTTGAGTCCACTTAGGATTTCCTTTTGTTGGTTTGTAAAAGAAAAAAAAAAAGACAAAACCTGGTCATGCATATGTAAAGTAGTATAATAATGAACTCATTCTTTCTGTGCAAAAAATTTCAAAATCGACTTAAAAATGAAAGAGATACCATATGGTATTGAGGTGGTAACGAGTGGAATGAAATTGTTTTTCTCAAAATATATTGAAAATGGATTTCATAGATCAAAACGAACTCGTTATATCTTGTGTAAATATTTTTAAAATTCAAGTTAGAAGGAGAACATGACAACCTATTAAAACAACTAAGGAAAAAAAAAATGGTCCATAAGTAAATAAGCCCATAAGCCCAAAGTAAGTCGCCCTACAAAATCATTCGACGAAGGCTGACGATTGGAAAAAAAAAAAAAAAAAAAGGCTGACGATATTCCCGCCAGGTAACTCCGCCGGTTGCCGACTTGCCGCTCTCTTTCCCGTTCCCCCGTTCCACTCAATCTCCGATTCTCATCAGCTCCGCTTCCTCCTTCGTGCCCTAAGAAAAATCTGATACTCCTCTATGAGTCTAAAGCCTTCCATTTCTATCCCGCCTGTATCGTCACACGCTTTTTGCGCCAGCCTGTTTCAATGGCGGTCGTAAAGATGATGGCTTTAGAAGTTCATCGCCGAAATCATCCACTGGGTCGTCTTCTCGTAGCTCAGAATCTTTTGGGTTCTGTTCAAGGCAATCGCTACAGAAGTTTTCTCTCAGTTATGCCTCTGTTCGGTGCTAGTGTTCATGGTTGCTTCCTGTTTTACTCGAATTCGGCTGATTCTAGGTCTCTCATGTTTTTTTTGGTAATGCTTTTAGCCAAAAACAAACGAGAAAGAAATTCCTGGACATTAACGAGGAATGATGGGAATATGCTTGCCGAATTTCATACAATGTGGGTGGTGGCAGTGGCATTCAGAAAAGTTCCTTTATGCAGTCATGAACAAGGGTGTAGGATGTGATTCTTGTGTTCATTGAAGAGGTTTGAGAAGCTTCAAAGAGTTTCCGATGGAAAGAAAGAGGCTTTCGATTTGGAAAACCAATTCGAGGATTCAATTGTAAGCTGGAAATTGCTGCTGCATTTTGGTTGCGATCACTTTGCCCCTGACAGCAAAGAACAAAGAAATCGCCTTTGCTCATGTCATGCTGTTGAAATCAAGCAGAAAAGGAAGGCAGAAGAATCAGCTTCGTCCAGGTAAGGAACTCTGTCGAATTTATGATTGCGAGTAACTAAATGAAATCAGTTCTGTGTTGGAGTTATGTTCCATTGGTTTCCTTGTCCCAGTGGGATTTCTAATTGCTCGTCCTAGTAAAAGTTGCAGCAGAACTAGCAAAAGAGGGGAAACAATCTTTCCCCCCGTTATGTTGAGGAAACGTGTTCGTTTTGAGCAATAGTTTGGCCAGTTGGCCTGTCTAGCCTGAGTATTACCGTTTTAGAGTCTGGGAAAGTGATTGGGCTGCCTATTGTCCTTGTTTAGTGTGTTGAGAAAAAGGGATGGAATGAATGACAAGTGAAGGAGAGAATGATTGAATATGCCCTTTCTGGTAGTATCTTTTTGGCTAGTGAAACCTTCGAGTTTCATCTGTTGAAGCTGAGACTATTTTCATGGCAAATAGGTTTAGTGTGGGGATGAAAAGTGTACCTGAAAGCAAAAGGGACTGTGGCTGAAGCTGCAAAAATATGAATGAACAATGTACCTTTTCTTGTTATAGGTGTGCGTGATTTTGTTTGAGAAATGGTAAGTAACTGGATTCTTGGGACTATTGGGACTGTGATTTGTTTGCTATTTTGCAGCATAATCTGGGAGAGCATCAGTGGCTGACCAAGTTGAGTCCACTTTGGATTTCCTTTTGGTTTGTAAAAAGAAAAAAGAGATAAAGCCTGGTCATGGATATGTAAAGTGGTGTCATAATGGAATCTACCTCAGCATTACATTATGATTCATCCGTCATATTTTATGGCCACAAATTGGTTGCTAAAGTTTTGATATATTTCTAATTATTGATCTTTTCCCTTAATAATTGTGCATGACCAATCCATATGTCGACTCGACCTCTTTTGCTTCCTGAATTCGAGTTCATTTAGTACTTGTTTACATTGTATGTGGTAGAGCTGAAGTGAGCATTCCCCCTCCCCTCTTTATATCTTCTTACTTTAGCTGTTACATTAGTTAACTTTTTTGACCACCATGTCTCCTATTTCCATTTCACCTTTAGAAATGAAAGCCCACTTCATGGAGTATCCAAAAGACAAGCCATCCATGCTCTCCTTGGTCACGTTATAAACCAAGAAGCCCCAAGAGAGAAATTAAAAGAAGCTGAACACAGGAAACAATGGAGGGCAGCAGCGGTACTAAATGGGTGGGGTGTATGAGAGAGGTGAAGACGGTGAGCTTGGTAGCAGCTCCAATGGTGGCTGTCATGGTGTTGCAGTTCCTGGTGCAGTTTGTTGCAACCATGATGGTTGGCCATCTCGACCAGCTCTCCCTCTCCGCCGCGTCAATCGGCTCAGCTTTCTCCCTTGTTACTGGCTTCACCTTGGTTGTAAGTTGATTCCATTCTTTGCCTTTCTGGCTCTTCTGGTATTGCCCTTTGGCCCCAAAATGACTTATAAAGTGCAAAGCTATTACCATATTGAGGTTTAGGAAAATTAATAAAAGCTTAGTTAGGAAATTCAGTTCCTGGCCATGCAGTGATTGAACTTTCAGAGACGCGGCGGCGAGTTTGGATTCTGTGTAATATTATTATAAGCAAATAAAATAACCAAATTGTTTGTCTATTTGGATGAGCCTTTATTGTAGAGAGGGCAGTAGTGGTAGTGGTTGGCACAAAATTGAGTTTTGAGGGCCAAGTTCAGCAGTACCTGTCCTCTGGGTCAATTGCTTAAACAATCTCTTGCCTTTGGGGTCTTTAACAAATTGGTTCTTGAACTTGCGTATTTAACGATCTTGTCATAATTTTGGACTGCCTATTACCTTCCATCTTGGTGATGGAAACATACAGGTTGGGATGGCTGGTGGGCTAGAGACACTATGTGGACAAGCTTACGGTGCAGAGCAATACCACAAGATAGGAACTTACACTTACTGTGCCATGGTATCCATGACACTGGCCTGCATCCCGGTCTCCATCTTATGGCTATTCACAGACAAGCTACTCATCCTTGCAGGCCAAGACCCTTCAATCTCGATCCTGGCTCGTGAGTACTCCATCTACCTCATCCCGGGTCTCTTTGCTACTGCTATGCTTCAGTCCATGACGCGGTACTTCCAAACCCAGAGCTTGATCCTTCCCATGCTCTTTGCTTCACTTGCAACAATGTTCCTCCATGTTCCTCTCTCTTGGTTTCTCGTCTTCAAAACGGAGTTGAGATCCATTGGTGCTGCATTGGCTGTTAGTATTTCGACTTGGGCTAACGCGATCTTGCTCGGTATTTACATGGTTTTCTCGTCCAAATGTGCAAAGACTCTGCCTAAGTTCAAGTTCAGAGAGGTGTTGACAGGCACTGGAGAGTTCATGAGGTTTGCTGTTCCTTCTGCCATGATGACTTGGTATGTTGTTCTTTTGACATGCTGGGGGAATTGATTTCATAGACCTTTGGCAATTTAGTAGGTCTTTGAGAAATTTAACCATTAAACTTTGATTTTCAGTGAACTTGGCACTGACTAAGGTATCAGTCAGTCTGTCTAGTTTCTCATGCAATTTTATAGATTAGTGTGTCACTCACTAACATCATTAATAAAGATGCCACTTAGAACCCTATGTAGCTGAATATTGACCCATTTACTCAATTCAACCTAAAGCCCACGTTAATCAGAACCATCATAATCCATTCCTCTCCCACCCGGTAGCTAACTGGAGCATCAAGGTGGTCTTTTTTATTGGCAGTGACCCCAAATATATAGAGACCACGTATGATTGACCGGCAATTCACCTGATGAACATTCAGAAATATGGCTAGACTGGCATCACATTTCATGCAGCATAGTTTAGTTTGCAGTGGAACACTTATGACTTGACTATAGGTCCTGTTTTTCTTGTCTAATTGCAGCCTTGAATGGTGGTCATATGATGTGCTTATACTGCTCGCTGGACTCTTGCCAAACCCAAAGGTGGAAACTTCAGTAATCTCTATTTGGTACGGGTAGCCTCTATATCTCCCCACATCCTTTCCATTTTGTCTAAATGAGAACATCGCTCGTAACTTTCTCTAACCATGCTGAATGCAGCTTCTCAATCACTTACTTGCACTACTACATTCCTTACGGGTTTGGAGCCACCGTAAGGTGAGCTCTTTTACTACATTATTTTAACCATCTCTTCTCATTTCACCAATTCACCACCCAAACAAACTCTCTGGTTTTCTGTTTGCTAAAATCTTATGCAGAAGATTGTTTTTTTATCCAGTACAAGGGTGTCAAACGAGCTGGGTGCAGGGCATCCAAAGGCAGCCAAGATGGCTGTTCAGGCTGTGATGATTCTCGCAGGAATGGAACTGGCCATTGTCATCCTGCCTCTCTTCTTATGCAGACACATTTTGGGGTTTGCTTTCAGCAATGACAAGGAAATCGTTGATTACGTCACAGACATGGCTCCTTTCATGTGCCTCTCAGCCATCATGGACACCTTACAAGCTGTGCTTTCAGGTAAAAAAGAAAGGGCGAATTCATGTGTATCAGCAGCAAAACGTAGTTTCTAGATGTAAACTTCTGAATCATGAAAAGCTGTGCTTGTGTATGGATTCAGGTGTTGTGAGGGGAAGTGGGAAGCAGAACATGGGTGCCTTTGTGAATCTCGGTGCTTATTATTTTGTTGGGACACCATTAGCTGCTGTACTGGCTTTTGTTGCGCATTTGGGAGGGAAAGGATTGATAATCGGATTAACGGTTGGATCAACACTACAAGCAGCCATGTTTGGTGTCAGGATGATTCTTATAGACTGGGAAGAACAGGTATTTCAAATGCATGCATTTTCCAAAATACTATCATCGGTTCCAAACGATACTCGAGCGTTTACCTAGTGCGTTTATTGCGTTCATTGCAGGCATTCAAAGCAAGAGAGAGGATCTTTCATGGAGTAGAGCTGCAAGAGGGTCCTTGATTTCATCGATTGATGCTCCAATTTTTCGTGAGGTGCTCTAAAGCTTCCTTTTATGAAGGGAAATGAGGCCTCAAAAGGTGCAGATTTAGAAATGTAACTTAGTAGAAGGTGTGGACAAAGACTATTCATGATTTGTAATGGGATTTTACTGAAGTTATAGATTTTGTAACCCTGAGAAAGTCATTACAATAGTTAACTTTACTCACAAAGTTTATTGAAATTATTATTTAGTTGGATAAATGACCACCCAATGAGTTAACATGCATGCCAACTTGGAGGAGTTGCACCATTCTATTATCCATTTGAGTGTTTTAGGATCAATGAATGTCTTTTGTTTACTAAGATAATTGAGATTAAAAGAACTACAAGCAAAGGACATTCAGATACATTTATAATGAACAAAAAAAAATATATGTGAATTTATAGTAGAGTTAGTAATTACATGTATTTTGATTATAATATTAGAAACTTGCTCAATAGAACTTCATAAACATTCACAACGACCATTACACAGATAAATTTATGAGCAAAATGTCATAACAACCATTATATTTTGATGAATTCAAGCGCTTCAAGGTTGTTTTTGTTTTCAATGTTATTTAATATGAAACGTTTCGTTTTGATTCCAAGTATTTTTATGATAAATATTTATCGGTTATATTATGGTAAAAATAGTGTTCGGTAGAACTAGCGTGTTATATTAAATACCCGGTTCATACTAGATTCATCTTATCCAATTCAGCATTAAGTTTGAGTCCAACCCATTTTGGTCAAAATGACCCAGGACTCAACCGGTTGCCATTGTCATCGTCATCACTTATCAAATGTGTTGGATTTGAGTAAATTATAACTTGGGATTCATAATTGCCTCTTAGATCCAAATGAAGAAATTAACTCCAAGAGGTGGACGCGCTTGGTGCTACTAATTAACTACTCAATAGTCGAGTTTAAACCCTTCCAGACGTTTGAAAGTTTCTCACTAATTGGTTTATTAACCGGTAACCAACTACTTAATTAACGAAAATTAGCTATGCAAGTGATGACTAATTAAGAGTAGAGTAGGGATTAGATGAGGTCCCCTTCTGTGGTCACGTTAATGACACATATAACCCATATCAAGGGATCGAAGTCGTCCTACCGTAGGACCCAAAGTGTGTGCACTTTTGAGTTTTAAGCCGCCCACTTAGAGAAAACTGAACATTAATCCATTCAGTTCGCTTGGAGCCAGCTAGACTTGAACATTAAACAAATCTCACTCACAAGCACTCCTACTCGTGGTATTAGCTAAGCTGAACAAATTTATAATGACCAACCAGTTTCGATATGATATTAGAGATACAATTTGGTCTGAGAGATTTTATGTTTGGATTTTTAATTAAGACCTTTCACAAACACAATTGGTTCACGTACAATTACATCTCAAACTTGTGCTACCTCCAAACACAAAGAAACCGTGTAAATTTGAAATTATACATGATTCATATTTGTTTCTCTTACAACAAGAATCGTTGAAGCGATAAATTCTTTTCAGACATATTAAAAAAAATTAAGTAAATAATTAACATCACTAAGGTCATATATATTGTTATTACATTGATACATATCATATATAAAAAAAATTGCCTCATTACATCATCAAGAGAGCAAGAAAGGCTTGTCAAAAACAGGCAGCCCAACCAACTCGTATACATATTACATAGATCCATTCCCCTCCTCTTCCCATCATCCTTAATAAATAAAAAGAACAATAAAAAAAAGAGGGGGCCAAAATATAAAAAACCAAATTGCCTCTAAAAGAGGAAGCAACCTCAAAACTTCCCCATATACCCTACCCAATAATTTTTTATATTTTCAAGTATATAATATAGAAGCATGGACCAATATATATTCTATATATCAATCCCCACCCAAATATATTGTTTCTTTTTCATTCATTGTTAAATTACGATTACGATTATTTATAAATCAATAATCCCAAATCGACGGCTGGTAATACTGCACTTCCATGATCTCGTCCAACCCGCTGAAATCACAGCCGTCGATCACCACCTCATCGAAATCCATCGAAACGTCGCCGCTGTGATGGCTCCCCCCGCGCAAAAGCGCTCCCGCCAACTCCATCCACACGTTCGGCGAATCCATCGGCGTCTCGTTGATCGCCTGGATTTGGCTCGGCGACAGCCCGACCCGGACAGGACGCAACCCGAACCGGCCCGAATCGTCTACGCCGCACGACGCTCCTTCCTCCTCCGAAGAACAGGATTCTGGGGACTGCACCAACGCCGGAAAATTATGATTAACGATCATTCGGGCGGCGGCCTGCTGTGCCGCCACCTGGACGTCCTCCAAGCTGGAGCTGGCCGGGCGGGGGAGCGCCCCGGCCAGCTCCGGGAAGTTGAGCTGGGCCCCACCCACCGCGGGGCCGCGGAGGTAAAATGCCGCGGAGTCGTAAGCCGCCGCCGCCATTTCGGGAGTGTCGTAGCTCCCCAGCCATATCCTCGTCTTCTTCCCTGGCTCCCTGATCTCCGACACCCATTTCCCCCACTTCCGCTGCCGCACCCCTCTGTACCTCCGCTGCCCTCCGCCGTGGCCATTATTGCCTCCTTCCTCCATTGTTGGTGGGAATCAGTAAGGAAGAAAATAGTAACTCCTCCAAACCCTAATATGTAACCCTTGAGCTAGATAGGCACTAATGGTAGAACCGTAAAAACAACCGATTTCGACTTAAGAAAAACCTCTTAATCGTGTCGACTGATGTTATATCTGTTTGTCAACACCTTATCGACTATAAAATCAATGGGCTAGGAATGTGACTGGAGAATGGGAAGCTGGTTTATGTGAGTAGGAATGTCAACAAGGATAGAGCAACGAGAAAAGCGATAAATCAACTAGTTTTCGATCGAGAAATCTTCTGGTTGTATGAATCGATGTGCTACCCTTTGATGACGACACCCTATTATCGACGGAAAACAACGGGCTATGACCAATGAGATTTGAGAATGGGAAGCTATCCTTAGGTTTTTGTAAGTAGGGAGAGTTGATGAGAAGCTAGGACTCAAGATGTTAGAGATGATGGAACAAGTGGAGAAGATTGAGAATTAGGAAGAGTGAGGAATTGAGGGGCATATATAGTGATTAGTGAGGTGGGGAAATGGATGTGATGAGGTGTGACAATCATGGTGAAGGATTGGGTTTTGTTTAATACTAATAATTTGAGTGTGGGGGATGGTAGCAAAGCAAGAGTGAGGTTCTAAGTAGTTGCCTTTTTGGGAGCCATTGACAAAATGTTTATGGAAGCTATGGATAGATGGGCTGGCAATGGGTTGCATTGCATGAATGTAGAGTGACTCGAGTCTTGTCGAGTGGGTTTTATTTTATTTTAAAAGGTTGTTTTGTCAATCATATCGAAGTGTATGAATCTGAGGATCTTTGATATGAATGTGTGGTTTATTTGACATGGACATGTTTGGTCCTACAATTGATTTTATATGTTGATGGAGAGAGGGGAGGCTGTTGGGTTTTACTCAGTCAGCTTAATTTGGGGATACTACATATGCAATAGCTTTCAGGAAAGGATGCCAACCTCATGTTGAGATCATGAAGAAGTTTTGATTACCATTCATTGTAATTAATTGGTTAGTTCATGGTAATGGTATGGTTATTAGTTAAATTGCGAGCCTAGCTGTAGGGCTTGTAAGTTGATCGAGAGTCAGATCTCAGTATTCTGTAATTGTTTGGTGGTGTATGTGTGTAAGATTAAATCTCGTTCTTTATGCAGGAGAGCGAATTCGAATCATTAATGTTTTACAGATAGATCCTAACAGTTTTGGTTCTTTTTTATGTGTGAGGTGGATGGATAGAGCTACAAAAATGGAATTGTGGGTTCATGGGACTATTTTCATTGCTTAATCTTCTATCGAATTGTAAAATGAAACATGTAAGAGGCAAAGCTTATGTGATGACGAAGTTTAGATTGTGCTCTTTGACAGTCGAGTCGAATCGGACAAAGAACAATAAGAAATCTAAGTGAAACAGCCGAGAAAGTCTTCACAAAGCGCTCACCAATATCCTTCTTAACTATTTTGAGGTGATCCTCTCTCTTATTAGGCTATGTTCGGCTCCAAATTGTAAGTTATGGCTATAGAAGAAATTTCATGGCATGATGATGAATTGTGACGTATTACGGTGGCCACATAGCAATGTTTTCATCCCTTGGACTCTACTTAACATTATTTTAATTAATTGGGGGTTTTACTTTTAATGACGGTTTGTTTTCAAGTTTTTTAGTTTACCTAACTTTTCGCATTAGTCTTCATAACATTTACGTCCTACTTATATAGCGTGGTATAAGATCCAGCATAATCGTCTCCAAACAACTCAAGTTATTGGGACCAACTGGTTTATGACATGTCATCAGAGCTGGTTTGACCAAGTAATCATGTGTTCGAATCTCCACGACCCCCAATATGAACAGTTGATTAAATGTACAAGGTATGGTGGGTTTGTGCAAACTTCAAACCCATGAGCTGGCTTTCGTTTGAAGGGACGTGTTAGAGTGTGATATAAAATTCAAGATAACTTTCTCCCAATAACTCGAGTTATTGGGACCAACTGGTTCATGACACCTACAAGTTTGGTGGAAGTTCCTTGATAAGTTGATAATGAATCTTAAAATTCTACCTCACAACCAGTCGACCAAACATTTCGTTGCAACTCTTTTATCTACTTTCTACTTGAAAGTGATCACTCTTGTTATTAAACTAATCATAGCATGACTCGGAATGTCGAGTGCTCTATCTCTCTCGCTTTCTCAGTCAAACTACAGTGACCTGCCGTCACAAATTCATGGGGGCATATACATAAACAAACAAACCAAACCGTGTTGCCATTCCCAAAGATTCCCCAAAATGTCAAATTAGGGCTTTGGATGATATACAGCTGGTTCTTAGCTCATATGCTTCTGTCTTCCTCACTCAGTCAATCAGTCACTTCTCCTCGTCCCATCCCTCTCTTGCACGTGTGATGTATCTAATTATTACATAATTCATCGATCAGTACCACATACTATTAACAACAAAAGTAAAATAAAAAAAGTTTCATATAAATTTTGAATTAATTGGTGTCTCGGAGCATCTTACTATATCCTGAGTCATAATGAGTAAAATTCAGTGTTTGCTATACCGTACCATACGACGCTTCGAACGGAAAACATGCTATCGAGTCCAGGGTGGAGTAGAATTTTATCGGTATGGTATGGAGTTATGGACCATGGTTTTAAAGCAGAAAAATTCATGTTTTTGACTTATTTGATACCGTCTCTGGTACGCTTACACAATTAATAAAAAAAAACTAGGTCCTAATTCTATAATCTTGCAGCCTGAGATCAATTTATATTTAAAAATAATAACAGTTTTTGAAATAAATCCAACATACTATAGCTCGATATTTACGGGGAATATAATATCCACCAGACAAGCAGGCATGCACCGCCACGTCTTCGTTCTACGGCGGTGCGGTCTTCGATTCTGCGTGTTTGTCTGCAATGTACGGTTTCCGTGTGCACCGGCGGCGGGCAGCCAGCCACCAACCCCTATGATCGGACGGACCCGGCCCGTCCGTACGATTTGCCACCGGTACTCTTAAATAACGATTCTACTCTCTCTTTTCTCTTTCATATGCGAGGGAAGAAGTGAGGATCTAGCTGCTCTCTAGTATACCACGTTTATTACAGGTGATGTTTTGTTATTGCTAAGAGTAGGATTTGGGGGGGGGGGAAATTCGGAAATGTGTTTTGAGTACTTTATGCTAATACGTACCAAAAAACAATTTGAGGTTATTTGTAGTTTCGAGTTTACTTTCATAACAACTCGGCTGATGAAACCGTGGTGACTGGTTAATTTGGATCTTGGTCATTATAGGTTCGGGATTCGAGCGGTACTTGAGATCAGTCGTTAATTATTGGTCATTGGGAGTCTTGAATTCGTAGGGATCGAGTTTGGGCTCATATGGGGTGCTATAAGTCATGATGGATACACTCAGGTCACATTAGATTTCAAAGCTATAAGATAGTAGTGGTTAATCGTTATTAGATAAGGTCAAACGACTTTTTATCTAGCCGTTATGAGCTTGTGTTATAAAAATGTAAGAAAGAGTGATCATAATATAGGGTTGTTGATTACTGTATTGAAAATTGAAATGGATGAAAGGTTATTGTGGGTAAGGTCGTTTTGAATTTATATTTGAGTTTGGTAGTGAAGTCGATTCCCATTTAATATGGCATGTGGGTACAAAGCTATATTTGGTTGGAAAAAAACATTGTAATTGATGTGTGTTATTCTCAAAATACCACAATGTGTTATTCTTCAAATACTAGCGGGAGGGTTAGTATTTGTGAAATACTAGGACTTCCCAAGAGGTCACCCATCTTAGTACTACTCTCGCCCAATCACGTTTAACTTCGAAGTTCTGATGGGATCCAGTGCATTTCATAAAAGGGCGAAAATATCCTTGTTTTTTTTTTCATGCCCAACTTTGATAAAATGTTTTCTCTGTTCATATCTCACTGAATTCATCTCCATCTTAACTCATTGTTGTTGGCTCTTCCATGACTTTCAGTGAGTCTAACATGCTCTTCTTTTTATTCCTTTCTCGACTGTTAGTTGGCGACCTGTAAAACCCTTACTTTATATTACAAAACAAAACAGTAAAATACATCGAGTTTAAACATTCTCGGGCCCGAGCTTTATATATGTATTTTTTTTCAAACTTCAAACTATAATTTACATTTTCAATAGAGTCGAAACAGAAAACCGGGGAAGTCTGCTTTATTACAAAATCCACACAACATAAATCATTCAAGGAGTTCGGAGTCCTCCGCCCACCTCATGGCTTCCCTTCAAGCTTGAGTCCCGATATCTACAGTAGCGACCTTACTTCTGATCTTGATCTGAGGAAAAATGATGACGAAGGATGAGTCGTCGCTCAGTGAATAAATTCTAAGCTCGGATCGACATCAATACAAAAACAGTATCGGGCAGAAACACCCTAGCACATAACATGACTTAAGCTGTTTTATCACACTTGTCATTTTACTGAATCAATCTAGTTCACATGATCACATTCCACAGTCAAAATACATAAACAGATGACAGATAGAGGCATCTTTGCTTATACAATTTCACTTTCAAACTTGCTAAATGATATACTCCTCGGGTAGTATAGTAGTGGAAGGCTGCAGGATAAGTGGATAACCATGTACAGCCATCAAATAACAGGAGTACCGCGGGACAAAACCCAGACCGGTATAAACAGGAGTGCACAAGGCACGAAACAGGAGTGCTCGCACCAACAGGAGTATCGCGGGACACAACCCGGACCGATACAAAAACAGGAGTCGCCACGGGATTACCCCAGCCCGGCTAACTGAACAGAACAGGAGTACCGTGGGTCGTCACCCAATCGGCACGGTGCGGAGCACGAGCGCTCAAACAGGAGTATCGTGGGGTTTACCCACATCGATACAAACAGGACACACTACTGTACCGAGGTATCATAAAGCCTTGTTACTTATTCTTATGTATTCACCTCTTTTCATTACTAGTTCGTTATTCAAGCAGAACAGGATTAGTAAGCCTAATGGCTTACTCCAAATCTAAACAGACAAGACGGGTTCGCAAGTTTGAATACTTACTCATAATGCACACAATAAATCAACAAAATGTCTTTCCACATCCCATTCACAATTCATGCATTTCCAACTTCATACCAAATGCATATAACGAATAAACACAATTAAGCCATATCACAATAGCCATAGGAATAAACACCCATACGCCATATCACATTGCCATATCATTTCCCATATTATACCGGAGCCTCCTCATGACCCCGATATGTATTCGGGCCGCTTCATGACCCGAATACTGTGATTATGTTGAAGTAGATCTAAGATTAGAATCTACTCACAGATTTATCTTCACTCGGCTATGCCCTTGCCTTTGGATGAGCCCCCGGCTTGCTCCTTACCTTTATATACAAATTTTCCAGGTTATTCAAGCACCAAGACACATATACAATCATCATAATCATGGTTGTGCTCATGCATGTCGATAAGACCACTAGGGGAGTCATACAATTGTACACTTTACCCTGCTTCATCATTTCGGTCATTTCTCCCTTGATACTTAACCAAATCATTTGATTCTGGTTGCTACTGAAACTAGATTCATAGGGATACAACATATCCAAATTTCAGACAATTTGGATCAGTATTTTGAGCCCAGAAATCATTTTAAATTGACGTATCGAAACTGCCAGCTACCTTCTTCTCACTTCAATCCAACTCCCCTACTTCTAACAATTGGTCCTGACCACTTCGAACTCAAAACTAAGATCCGAACGGTCAACTCAAATAAACTTATATACTTAACATTATACCAAATTTCTAGAAAGATCCAACGGCTACTTCGTACAAGATATTACCTCTAATCTGTTGCCCTGCTACAGGAAAACAAAGTCGCACCCCTCCTGTCCAGCGACCTTACTAAATGAACCAGAGATCATAACAATGATCCGAACGGTCCAATCGTAGAAAATGACATAAGGAACAAAACCTCCGAATATCAGCACGATCCAACGGCTCAAGTGTCCAGAATCGTCCTTTCCACAAGCTGTCCTGCTGCTGGACGAAAATTGGCAGCACCCCTTGTTTCCCTTCTTCTTCCTTTCCTGACAGTTAAGTCCAAAACTCAACTATTCACTTACTTTTCGGATCAAAAGACCAATTTTTGTAACCCAATCACAACCACGTAATTCTAACGTAATAATTAGTACGAGGGTAGGGTTGTTACACGACCCGTCCGGGTTAATAACAATAGTCAACATCTTCGCACTCTCCTTTCACCGTCTATATCACCGAAGAAGTCTGCAGAGGACACAACAACTTCTATTTTATATTTTCATAGGGTTTGAAAAGAAAGAGGTTTGTTTTTATTTCTTTAATAAGCAGGGGCGGACCTGTTCAGTGCCAAGGGTTGTCAGTTGACAAACCTTGGCTAAAAAATTGGAACAAATTAGCACATTACAATTTATATGCTTGTTAGTAGGATTTGAAGTTTGAATCCTTGACAATTTGACAACCCTTACACTTAATAGAAGTTTCGTTGAACTACTATCTAATTGTTGTTATAGGCATTCCAAAGCAAATATATAATGATCCAAATTAATTCCCATGTCTACTCTGTCGAATCCAAGTCCCATTAAGATTTGATAAAATCTCCTCTTTTTCGGGGAATGAAAACTCCACCCCAATAAAAGATAACTCTCACAACCTAAGTGATGAATATATTATAGAAACTTTTCAGAATATGAAAACACGTTGTGGTTCGCTATGAGATACGATGAATCGATGAACTTTATGAATTAAACTTTTAAATTTTATTTATTTATTTATTTTTGTGAATACCCTTCACAAAATTTCTGGGTCCGCCACTGTTAATAAGGGAAGGAAAAATGAGCATTTAACCAATTTGAAACAAAAAAAAACCATAACCACAATACCATATTTTCTAACCTTATAAAAAATCATATTTGATGAAATACCGCATGTAAAATGATACGATATGATGAAACGTGTGATTGTATTTTACACATGCCAATTATTAATCCTGTCTTGGGTCTGATTCAGAATCAGCTGGTAATATTGGTTCGGCCCAAACAATTTCAGCCGAGGACCCAAATAAATGAGGCCCAGCAGATTCAGTTAAGTAAGAGAGGTGGAAAAGCCTGTGATAAAAAGGTGCAAGAGGATCACATCACAGCTCACAGGAATAGACATGACAATTGACATTCCATAAAGAGTGGAATTATGCAAAAACCTCACATTATCTCTCTGCACATTGCTTAATGCTTATAGCCTTATACCATTGATAAGAGTTTGGACCTGGGCGTCCTGTTATTTCATCGAATCGGACAGTAGGATTAAACCATCCGTAGTTCATCTTTTGTGTGCGTCTTAAAATTCGGTTCAATCTGTTACTAGATTCGTATATTTATTTTTGTAGTAACTATCGTCACATAAAAGATATATAATACAATATTCAGGAATAGTTTCCACCTTTTCCATGATTTGGCCTCGAGATTGGCCCCCCTGTATAGCTCGATCCCCATGCAAGCAATTATGTCCCTAACACGATCCTTTTCATCGACGCGGTTGCCATAGTTCATCTCGAAGACCATCAACTCGGTGGGGGAGGACTGGACTAGGTTACCAAGTGGGATACCCTATGGTGCTTCTGATGTAATGGGTTGTTCGTATCCTCTCTGGTCTCGTAAGCTTCAAATGAGCTAACCAGGTTCGCATGTGAAAAAGTAGTCATTGGTAAAGCGTATATTAAAACATGATACTTATTAACGTCATGAAACATAATAACAGTAGTTTTGCTCAAGATTGGGACTAGTCTACGGGAGTTGAGCAATGCTTTTGTGTTTGTGAACCGAGTGTATTTCTTTGTTCGGGAAGAAACTGATTCCCATTTGTTTCATGATTTTCGTGTTCTATAGGGAATTCAAGAACTAAAAAACGGTAGTCCGTAAACAAGCGGATGCCCGATGAAAGAGCATGTTTTACCATTAGGTAGACAACTATGTTAAAGTTCCGAAGAGAATAAAAGACAAGAAACTAGCGAGAAAGACGAGTAGAGAGAATATACTTCCTCTAAACAGACTTTGATTCTATAATAAGAAGACTTCTTCGATGTAGCGTCTTGAACGATCATACGAGAATCGCAACAATAAATAATACCAAAACGTTACGAGTAATACATCATCACATAGCACCATGAAGGGTAACTAGTTATGATATATAGTACTATAACAAAAGTTATTAATTATCCACTCCTTCCAAACACCAACCAATAGTACAACAACACTCCATTCCTCCAAACCACTTAAAGAGAGGAAAAGGATAATATAGTACTAGTAAAGATAACATTTATTCATAAATAAACACAATATATTTCTTATAATTGGTACACATGTCACCACTAACCAATAGGAAGCCAACAAATGATCCCCCTAGAGCCACCCATTCTTCTTCTTTGATTAGTTTAAGTCCCTATCATCCACTTTTCACATTTAGCCCATTGAAAAATCCAGGCTCCCAATTAGTTGTTTTCCCATAGAATATCTAGGGTTTGGTTGGGCAAGTGATTTAGAATGGATGATTTGCTAATAATTAATGGAGGTATAGATCATAAAATCCACAAATATTTTTTTTCAAGGTAATTTAGGTTAAAAAACTCTGAATTTCAAAGAAATTGTTTTTCTTTCAAATCTTGTCCAATTGATAAAAATTAAGGACATTTTTTTATAGTTATAAAAAAAACGCGTTAATAAGTTAAATCGTCCAATTGAAAAACACAATCACATAAACCGATAGAAAAAAATTGAATTAGTATAAAATTTGAGGTTTGTGTTGCAAACAGGTTTAAAGTTTAAAACAGTCGTATAGTTTTGGAAAATAGGGTCATGAAAACACTTTTTTAAGGGACAAAATTACTTGTTTAGGAAATTAATCCCAAAGAGAACCACTTTGCCCGCCGCCATATCCATAATCATACCCCCATTCATATTGGCCCACGTACGACGTCGGTGACGTCTGGTAATCCATCGAAGAAGTCTGGTAATCCACCGACGGCGCCGGGTAATCCATTGACGACGGCATGGTATAATCCATCAATGACGGCGTGGCGTAATCCATCGACGACCACATCTTCGGCGAGTCCATCGGATACTCATTGATCGCCTGAATTTCGCTGGGCGACAGGGTCACCGTCACCGGACCGACATACTCTTGACCGCCGCGGCCGTAACCGGATCCCCCGCCGGCATCCATCGACCCGGCCCGGAACGCAGCCTCATGGGCCGCGGCCCGAATATCGTCTGGGCCAGAACTCGCGGGCTGGGGCAGGCAATGGGCCGCCTCGGGGAAGTTCAGCTTGGCTTCCCGCCCCCTGAAATGCAGAGCCGCCACGTCATACGCCGTGGCGGCCATCTCCGGCGTGTCGAAGCTCCCCAGCCAAATCCTCGTCTTCGTCCCCGGCTCGCGGATCTCCGACACCCATTTCCCCCATTTCCGCTTCCTCACCCCTCTGTAGCACGACGGTGTCCCCGTGCCGCTGCCATTGCTCATTGCTATTCTCTGTTTTTACACTTTCTTTTGTCCCCTGTTTTTTTCCCCCCGACGAAATGAATTGGAGTGTGATTGAATTGGTGATTGTATTGGTAAGATGATGTTGAAATAATGCTCCTTGACATATTTATAGATGTCGGGAGAAGGGTATATAAAAGTTTGCTGCTTTGCAAACGTGGAGGAACCCCGACAGTGTGGGGAAGAATGGAATGGTAGCTTCCAGGCAGTTGCAGAGGTGAAAGAGACAGGATGGTTTATAGAGATGAAATCCCAGAAAGCAGCTTTCTTCTTTTTGGAATTTATAAATGGAGAATTGGGGTTTGATGATGATCAATGCGATAGTGGCGTGGCAGCTGTTGAAGAGAGCAGGGGATTTTGAGAAACAGAGTAGAGTAGAGCAAGTACTACAGAGTACTAAAGAAGAAAAAGGAAGCATTTTTTTCTGGATAAAATTGATTTGAGGATTTTGTTTAAAATTGATTTGGGGGTGGTGATGTGGAATTACTGTTCATGGACGCGGTTTCTTGAGTCTCTGATGCAAAGGGGGTCAGTGAGTGCGGAGGTGGAATTTGATTGGAGAGGATGGATTTTGGACCACTATAATCCAACAGTGATGCATCCAATAACCCATTTTTGTTTATTTGTGTTAGTATTCGGTTTAACTTTTAAATTAACAGTTAATATTAGTGGTAAGGATTCGAATATCGATCATATATCCTTATCATTTGAGTTGTTAGCAGAGATTTAATATGGACTCTTTTACTATTATCATTTGAGAGTGAAAATTTATTCTTTCAAATTTTAAGGCTGTTTCCATTTTGCACGGTGATCTTTTGATGTATTTAACAAAAATATACTGAAAATTTGGAAACTCCAATTTGGTAAAGGGAAGGATGTTCTTCATGATGCGAATCCAACAGTTTCAGACTGAAGAGGGAAGAGATGGAATTTTGATCAAAATATGATGTCGAGAGCGGAGTTGTCAACATAATCCAACACAATGAGGATGGTATTTGTTATTAATTGTTGATGAATACAGAAGTGAGTTCGCCTTGTCGTCACATACCTGTTCATGAAATTGAGATGATCAAGGAGTTTTAGTTACTACAACTGTTGATGAACAAAGAGTTGAGTTAGTTTTGTTCTAACAACTTGTTAATGGGGTGAAAGATGAGTGAAAAGCTCCCCAGTTGCTAGATGGCAACACATAAAATATACTATGACATATTTTGCATAATTTCATCGCATCATTGGTCATTTTAATTTGGAATTAGCTTGCTATTTGTTCAAATGTGCATGTAGTAGTCTATTGTCTTTGTATAGTACATTTATATTTTCAGACCAATGCATCATGGGGATCATCTTGTACGAGCATTGGACATCAAAAGATCGAGGAACTAAAAGTGATCAGAAACTTCTCTTGAGCAGGAAAATCAAATTTGACGACCTCGAATGTTGGCCTAAACCAGTTTTGATGGCCTAGGTGCTAAAAGGGATGCTGAGAATTTTTCACAATCTGACAATCTAGAATGAAACCACACTTTAATCCCCAAGAATCGGCTTCAACCCAAATGGGAGAAATTTCTTTAAAATGAGGATTTTTTTCAAGAGGGAGCAACCATCTATGATTTCACACGAATCCTAGTGGGGTTTGGCTTAAAAAATACACTCTGGAGATGCTCGAAGGCACTAAACCGAGGAGGAGGAGATGGAGGGAGTCAACATGTTGGCTCCTTCCCTTCTAGTATTTATGGATAGTTAAACCTTTGGATTCTTCATATGGTATAGAATCCTAAATATGTTAGATGGATTGGCTCTTATCATTTATGCTCTATTCATTCTTATGTTGGATTCATCTCAATTGGTTGTTCTTGACAATCATTGCTTTCTATTCCACGATATTGAAGCTTTGAAATTGTATTATGCTCATGATAAGACTGGAGAAATCTATATGATCCATAGTAGTCTATTAGATCTAATCATTGTTAGACATATGACAGAATGAAAGCTTATTTAGGGGATATTAGAGAAATCACATGATGTAATCTTCCATCACACCTAGGGAAAACACAATAGGGATGATCACCTTCATTTTATACATCAATTTTCTACCAACAATCGCTCGCTCTTTCGTGCTTTCTTCCATTTTTGAATTTGTTTGCTTCTTTTACACTACTCTCAAAACTTATTCTCTTACATAGTACTTTGAATAACTTTTGATATTGAGAAATTTAGCGATTAGAGACCTCACGAGAATACAATCTTGGTAGTCTTCGCATCTACCAAGTTTGGATTGACCCTATACCATGATAGGTCATTAGCCTCGTATCTACAAAGAGAAAAACAAGTGAAGAAGGCAAGAGGGGAAAGAGGGCGAGGACGAGAGGAGAGGAGGAGAAGTGAGCTTAAGAACAAGTAGGGTTCCTACTCTACATCTCCTCTTTTTATGTGCCAAAAAATTACTATACTAGATATACAGCAATTATGTATCACGTTGGTTTGTCTCTACAAGTTATTAGATTTGTCTTTGTATGACATATTCATATGTGTCAACTTTTAGGCCGTAATAGTAATCATTGTCCCTCATATTATGACTCATACCGTATTGTGATTGAAGATCATGAGGAGCTTTGATATGCAAAGCCTCCAATTTTTTGCTTTCTCGACTAATTCAGACTCTATTGCTTTACACCGTTAATGGAATGAAACATGCCATTTGTATAAATAAAAAAAAGTCAAAAGATTCTCAAAGATAACCGTTTGCTTATCTCTAGTGGTTGCAGTAGAAATACTTGCAGAATCTTTGAATACAATCATAAACCAATCCCCAAAAGATGACATTTGAAGAGACATCTAGGTCTAGTGACGTCGGCAAACAATGTTTATTGATAGTCACGTATATATACGCCGACTACGTACATATAACGTATGAATAACCAGTGCAGTTCCGAGGGGGAGGGTAGACCATTCATATCGATCGTGTTACCATCGATATCCGTAGGAAGGTTTATGTCGGGGAGGACAGAACAAGGTACCAGTTCCAACAACTCATGTTATTTCAGAAATTAATTCATATTGACTTATATATGATTTTCAGACTCTAATGCTAATTTTTTGGGTGGTTAATGCTAAACACATAATGCGTTACTTACTTACTCAAATGATTTTTTAAAAAGCTTTTGTCATTTCTTGATTTGTTACGATTTCGATGAAGTATAATCTATGACATTATGTTTCTACTTCATTTTTTCTTGTAATACTTCCTATTTTGTAATAAACCTAATGCTATCATTAGTACAATACAGGCATATCGGTTGAACCTGACTATAGTACATCGATCATAGTCACCTCCTATAATGGGATCTTACATGTATCGATATTAATTATGAGATACGAGACTACGAGTCACTGTGTCTTGCAAATCATAGTAGTTTGATCTTCTAAAAACAACAAACTTGACAAGGCATGCATTCAATCATCATCCTTTCCCAATCAAGTAACAAGTCAATATAGATTAGACCTTTTCGAGTCACATACAACCTAGCATAGTTCAACAAGAACATAATGTAAAATCGATGAATATCAATAAAATAAGAACAAATGTACTTTATACCACAATTGAAACTCAACTTAAATACAAAATCATTGAATGAAATATGTATCTGAACCAATATCCATATGAGATAGGGCACATAACAGTTCAATCAAATTACTTAACGAGTCCGACTCATTGTCATTGCTAATCTATATATCTTCTACTGGCATCATCATATTAGACACGAGCATATATATACATGAAGTGAAAAGTCGGTATTAGACTGAAAACTATTTGTTAGCAACCATGACTATATTAATTAACCAACAAATACTAATTGATTAGATCGAAGACTAATTAATTAATTAGTGTTTTGCATGTAATCGAGAACAGCTGGATCATGGCAAGCTCCAACTATAATTTGCATTACATGTAACATGTCACCATTGCCAAAACTCAACCCGTTGAAGTTCAACTTCGTCATGACTAGCTAGCTTGCTTGTTTGCTCCTAATAAGACCGAGTCAGAGGTTTTTCAGTGTACACGACATTAACGTAAGCATCAAAGGTCGTTGTTGTTCTTTTCTTTGCTTCAACGAGCAAATCATTAGTTGCATTCACTTCCATTTCCGTGGCAATAAGTGCGGCTTGCCTGTGTTCATAGCATAATCTTCTTGTTTTTTTTTTTGGGGGTTAAAACTGAAAAATGTTGCCATTATAAGCATTTTTACCAATTTCGTGAGGGTGACTTGTCATAGTGAGAAGTTGGTAGGTTTGTGCTGTAAGGTGTGAGTCATGAGTAGCGATTGGTTTCACTATATTGAGAAGAGAGTACAAATTACATAGAGGCGAATTTTTTTTTATAAACACCAAACATAAAAGAAAAACGAGAAAAAAACACACGCATAAAACAGGAAAAATAGAAGTGTAAAAGGCCATACACGGTTACTGACAGATAATCACATTTCAAGTCGTACCAATAAAATATTTTAAGTAAAAAAACCATATTCGGGAATACATTATCACTGGATTCAACGTTCTTATGCTGAGGAGGCAATGTCGAGTTATATCTAAACATACATTTTGATTTATCATCCATTATTCGATTCAAGAAATGTTCTAGTAACAAACAGTGGCAGAGCCATTTTTAACCTCGGAGGGGACTATTGCTCCCCTCAACTGTCAAATGTAGGTAACTTTACGATTAAAAGTTGCAATAAATTTTGATAATAGACTCTTTGGTAAGGCTCTAGCCCCCTCCCCAATCACCATGGTTCAAACCCTTAAGTGTATATTTTTCTTAGCCCTTGTTCACATTTCTGACTCAACCATGGGTAACAATATGAGACTTAGGGGCAGAAAGAGAGAGAGGGCCTCTGGAGGAAAAAAGGTCAAATTAGGTACAATCGTTAATTGGTACTGAAAATTAGAACACATCTAATTGAGAATAATTGATCGAGTGGTCTTGGATTCGAATCTTGGCGACCTCATTTGTTAAACACCTGATATTCATGTTTGTGAAAACTTCAATTTAATATAAGTTGGTATTCTTATAAGGAGATGTGTGAGTAAAGGATATAAGATATATTATTGAACCTCTCCCAACAACTCGAGTTATTCATACTAAACGATTCTTAACAAAGAAGATCATTAGAAAGCGAACGACTAACTAAATCATGAATAATTTTTGGTATAAGATTCATTATTAAACCTCTCTCGACAACTCGAGTTATTGATACTAAACAGTTCTCAACAAAACACACCATTCGAAAGCGAACGATTAACTAAATTATGAATAACTGTTTGGTACACATAGAGTGATATTCTTGAACGTTTCTTATACTAATGTATTATAATTAATCGAAATTTTCAACATACAAGGTTATATGATGAATGATTAAAAAAAAGTTAACAAAAACTATTTTATTATGTCTATTTTTTTTTTGTAAATGAACCTACCTTATTAATCTTAGACGAGATCCTGACGACGCTCCCTGACAAGACCAAAGACTAATAACATTGACCACATACCAAGAATCAAAAAATTTGGGAACAATTATCTCCCATATACAAGAATTCTCAAACTTCTTTCAACAAGGGAAGGGGGAAAAAGGACAAGAGAAAAAAATGGTAAAGGAAGAACAGAAAGCCACCATTAACAAGATTGAGGCAAGAAGAAAATGGCAAAAGGTTCTTACCAAAAAAAAAAAAAATGGCAAAAGGAAGAAAAGAAAACCAAACCTCTCCTAAATGTGGCTAAAACAACAAACATAATCTTATTATGCAATGGGAATCTAATCTGATATTGGGATTGGTGGTGGTGGGACTTCATTGAAGAAGAATCCATTTCTCAAACTTCATAGATTAGAGAGGATGAATCTGATGAATATGTAGGGTCCAAAAGTTATCTAGTCCAAGGCTATGCTTTTCCAATGTCAGATTAGGTTAGACCAGAAGAGAAAAGGTTTAGCTTAATTAATTAATTTGGATTAGTTTAATGAAAGACAAAACCAATCAGAGTTAACTTAACAACAAAGGGGGGAACAGCTGCAACACATACCTGAAGAAAAGTGGGGAGATACTGATTTTCTGGTTGACCAAGTATGAGTAGCAACTTTTACTTTCTTTCCATTTGTTTTTCTTTTTCTCCTCATCTCCCTTTAGCCGACACATAGTATTCAGTATATACTATATGCTTGGTTATAAGATTGAAGAAGCCTCCCCGATAGTATAGTTGTCGAGGTGGTTGAGCGTATCGATCGATGTCTATGTCGAAGTTCAGAGTCGAAATACAATTCCGTTTCGTGAAGTTATTTTTTCACTAAAAATAACATTAGAAATGTTCATTTTTTCACTAAAAATCAAGAAAAAATATAATATAAAAAATATAGTTAAATTATTCTAAAAATTTAGGAACTCATCTATTTAAAATTTTATTATAGCTAAATTAAGTAAAAAAATTTAAATTCTAAATAATCTAAGTAAATTGCATATAATTTAGACAAAATATGATCGAACATGGGGCATGTTATGACAAGTTAGGCCGATACAAGTACTCATACCCATCCTACCACGTCTACAATAGAATTACCATCGATCTAAAACAGATAAAGTTAAACGGTTCAAGTCGATATCCTTTTCTTAACCAAGTTTTTTTCATTTGGTCCAAATTTGGTGGTCCAAATCTGATTACAATAGCTTGACATTCGTCAACGGCCCATTGGAGTGATTTTGGCCCAATCCTCGATTCTAAAAGGATATCGTGGGCCACAGACAGGTAACTAGAATGCCGGTGCCAGGCCCTTCTTTGTCTTTGCCCACTTTGAGCTCTTAAGTCTTCGAGATTTGATTTTCTGCCTCCCCTTGAAATGGGCATATGTGTGGTATATAAAGGATTAAAGAAATTAAGTGTGAACTTGAAGAAGTCTTTCTTAATACCACCAAAAGCACATTAAACTTTCTTAATCTTAATCAAGATATCTAGTCAGACATTTTGAGGGCATAATAATGCTTTATGGTTAGAGTTGAGATCTTGGAAAATGTTTGACTGAGTATTTTTTTCCCCAACAGATTACTTGTATTAGTTGGCAAGATAGAATTGTTATTGGAAAAGCCTATTTTACATTGATTAGATCATGGATATATATACACAAATATGAGTATGGAGCCATGCTCTATACAGCTAGGAGGTAGCTAATGAGGTATGGAACATTACAGAGCTCCATGAGCAGTTAATGTCATCTGTCTACTAATGAATGTTATCTGTCTCTCAATTAATAATTAACACTCCCCCTCAAACTCAAGATGGCGGATCTAAGGACGCTAACTTGAGTTTGGATAGAAGATCATGAAAGCGAGATGGAAAGTGGCTTTTGGTCAAGACATCTGCAGTCTGGTGCTCAGATGATACAGGAACCAAACTGAGTGTGTTGTCACGTAAGTGGTGGCGTACTAGATGACAATCGATCTCAATATGTTTTGTGCGTTCGTGGAAGACATCATTGTGTGAAATCTGTATGGCACTTTGATTGTCACAGTAGAGTCGGGTGGCAGAAGTTTGCGGAGCAGTTAAGTCATCAAGAAGCCAACGAAGCCACAACAATTCAGCAGTGGTGTCAGCAAGAGCACGATACTCAGCTTCAGTGCTAGAGCGAGCAACAACTTTTTGTTTCTTGCTTCTCCAAGAGATGAGGGATGAGCCAAGGAAGAAGCAGTAGCCGGTGGTTGATCGTCGGTCAGTCGGATCACCAGCCCAATCAGCATCTGAGTATGCACAAAGCTCAAGTGAGGATGATGCAGAGAAGTGTAAACCATGATGAATGGTTCCCTTGATATATCGAAGAATACGAAGCACAGCAGCATAATGAGTAGAACAAGGTGCTGCCATGAATTGACTAACAATGTGTACTGCATAAGCAATATCAGGACGAGTGACAGTTAAATAGATGAGACTCCCAACAATTTGCCGATAAAGTGTGGGATCATCGAGTAGAGCTCCATCTCCAGGGGAAAGTTTGACATTGGGCTCAAGAGGAGTAGATGCCGTTTTTGAGTCTGTAAGGTGTGCTCGAGAGAGTAACTCGGATGCATATTTAACTTGGGATAGTGAATAACTACCATCATCTGTCGTTGTGACCTCCAAGCCCAAAAAATACCGAATAGAGCCAAGATCCTTCATGTCAAAATTGTTGCTGAGAAACTGCTGAAGATCCGCAATGCCACTAAGATCATCGCCAGTGATTATCATGTCATCAACATATAAAAGAAGGATAATGATGCCTTGAGAAGTGCGACGAATAAATAGAGCTGAGTCATATGCACTAGAGGTGAATCCTGATGACTGCAAAGTACGACTAAATGTAGCAAACCAAGCACGAGGCGCCTGTTTAAGCCCATATAAAGCTCGTCGAAGACGACAAACTTTACCAGGAGGACATGGATATCCAGGAGGAGGCTTCATATAAATTTCCTCTTGTAGTTCGCCGTGAAGAAATGCATTTTTGACATCCATTTGGAGAAGTTTCCATCGACGAACAGCGGCAATTGCTAATAAAGTGCGAAAGGATGTAAGACGGGCAACAGGAGCAAATGTTTCTTCATAATCAATGCCATATTCTTGAGTGTATCCTTGAGTGTATCCCAAACTCATACTTTGATCAGATCATGTATAGAGCATGGCTCCATATCTGTTTTCTTCTTCGCTTACCTCCACCCAAACCTACTCCTTTTGTCGCCGTTACATCTTTGCAACTCTGGCATGACCGTTTAGGGCATGCGTCCGTTCATAATCTTCGTCTATTGGCCTCTCAAGGCACTATCGGTCCATTTTCAATAAACTCTCTCCAATGTGTTCCTTGTACCACGGGTAAAATGTCTGCTTTGCCTTTCAATAATAGTGACTCCAACTCCTTATCTCCATTTGATCTTGTTCACACTGATGTTTGGGGTCCCTCACCTACTGTGACTGCAGGCGGGTCACGATACTTTGTCATTTTTATTGATGATTATTCTCGTTATACATGGCTTTATCTATTCCGCCAGCGCTCTGAAATTTCTTTGATTTACTCTCAATTTGCCTCTATGATTCAAACACAATTTGATCGTAAAATCAAAATACTTCGGTCTGATAATGCTATGGAATATGTAGACAGAGCTCTTCAATCTCTCCAAAAATCACATGGAACACTTCTTCAATGATCTTGTCCCAATACCTCACAACAAAATGGTCGTGCAGAGAGAAAACATCGCTCCATTCTCAACACTGTTCGCACCCTACTTATCTCATCATCCTGTCCTGAAAAATTTTGGGGAGAAGCTGCACTTACTGCCGTCTACCTCCAAAATCGCATTCCATCATCGGTACTCCATTCAGTCTCCCCCTATGAGCGTCTCTATGGTACATCTCCATCTTACAGCCACCTTAAAATCTTTGGATCTGCTTGTTTTGTTCTCTTGCCTCCTCACGAGCGTACTAAACTTGAACCTCGTGCTCGTCTTTGCTGTTTTCTTGGTTATGGGATTGAACATAAAGGGTATCGTTGCTGGGATCCAATATCCAATCGGCTACGTGTATCTCGTCATGTAGTTTTTTGGGAGAACACTATGTTTTCATCTCTGTCCCCATTTCGTGTTGATATACCTAGTTTTTTTTGTGATCCATCGGTCGACCTATTTCCTTCTGATGTTTCAATTAACCCTTCCACCTCATCCAGTTCACCTATCACCCCGCCAATAGATAATTCCCCTTCAGCTCCGCCCACGGCTTCTCCCTCTGACCATGCCCTACCTGATGATCCTGCACCAGAAGGTACTTCTTCTCGTCCTATTCGTAATCGTGTTCCCAGTGTTCGGCTTAATGATTATCATTGTTACTCCACCTCTCTCTATGAACCCTCTACTTATAAGGAAGCTAGTACTAATCCTCTTTGGCAGAAAGCAATGGCAGAAGAGAATGAAGCTCTTGACAAAACTCATACTTGGGATTTAGTTTGCTTACCACCTGGCAAAACCCTTATAGGATCCAAGTGGGTATACAAAATCAAAACCCATGCTGATGGCTCTGTTGAGAGATTTAAAGCCCGAGTCGTCGCCAAAGGATACACTCAAGAATATGGCATTGATTATGAAGAAACATTGGCTCCTGTTGCCCGTCTTACATCCTTTCGCACTTTATTAGCAATTGCCGCTGTTCGTCGATGGAAACTTCTCCAAATGGATGTCAAAAATGCATTTCTTCACGGCGAACTACAAGAGGAAATTTATATGAAGCCTCCTCCTGGATATCCATGTCCTCCTGGTAAAGTTTGTCGTCTTCGACGAGCTTTATATGGGCTTAAACAGGCGCCTCGTGCTTGGTTTGCTACATTTAGTCGTACTTTGCAGTCATCAGGATTCACCTCTAGTGCATATGACTCAGCTCTATTTATTCGTCGCACTTCTCAAGGCATCATTATCCTTCTTTTATATGTTGATGACATGATAATCACTGGCGATGATCTTAGTGGCATTGCGGATCTTCAGCAGTTTCTCAGCAACAATTTATACAAGAGGAAATTTATATGAAGCCTCCTCCTGGATATCCATGTCCTCCTGGTAAAGTTTGTCGTCTTCGACGAGCTTTATATGGGCTTAAACAGGCGCCTCGTGCTTGGTTTGCTACATTTAGTCGTACTTTGCAGTCATCAGGATTCACCTCTAGTGCATATGACTCAGCTCTATTTATTCGTCGCACTTCTCAAGGCATCATTATCCTTCTTTTATATGTTGATGACATGATAATCACTGGCGATGATCTTAGTGGCATTGCGGATCTTCAGCAGTTTCTCAGCAACAATTTTGACATGAAGGATCTTGGCTCTATTCGGTATTTTTTGGGCTTGGAGGTCACAACGACAGATGATGGTAGTTATTCACTATCCCAAGTTAAATATGCATCCGAGTTACTCTCTCGAGCACACCTTACAGACTCAAAAACGGCATCTACTCCTCTTGAGCCCAATGTCAAACTTTCCCCTGGAGATGGAGCTCTACTCGATGATCCCACACTTTATCGGCAAATTGTTGGGAGTCTCATCTATTTAACTATCACTCGTCCTGATATTGCTTATGCAGTACACATTGTTAGTCAATTCATGGCAGCACCTTGTTCTACTCATTATGCTGCTGTGCTTCGTATTCTTCGATATATCAAGGGAACCATTCATCATGGTTTACACTTCTCTGCATCATCCTCACTTGAGCTTTGTGCATACTCAGATGCTGATTGGGCTGGTGATCCGACTGACCGACGATCAACCACCGGCTACTGCTTCTTCCTTGGCTCATCCCTCATCTCTTGGAGAAGCAAGAAACAAAAAGTTGTTGCTCGCTCTAGCACTGAAGCTGAGTATCGTGCTCTTGCTGACACCACTGCTGAATTGTTGTGGCTTCGTTGGCTTCTTGATGACTTAACTGCTCCGCAAACTTCTGCCACCCGACTCTACTGTGACAATCAAAGTGCCATACAGATTTCACACAATGATGTCTTCCACGAACGCACAAAACATATTGAGATCGATTGTCATCTAGTACGCCACCACTTACGTGACAACACACTCAGTTTGGTTCCTGTATCATCTGAGCACCAGACTGCAGATGTCTTGACCAAAAGCCACTTTCCATCTCGCTTTCATGATCTTCTATCCAAACTCAAGTTAGCGTCCTTAGATCCGCCATCTTGAGTTTGAGGGGGAGTGTTAATTATTAATTGAGAGACAGATAACATTCATTAGTAGACAGATGACATTAACTGCTCATGGAGCTCTGTAATGTTCCATACCTCATTAGCTACCTATCTGTTGGCGGGGTGATAGGTGAACTGGATGAGGTGGAAGGGTTAATTGAAACATCAGAAGGAAATAGGTCGACCGATGGATCACAAAAAAAACTAGGTATATCAACACGAAATGGGGACAGAGATGAAAACATAGTGTTCTCCCAAAAAACTACATGACGAGATACACGTAGCCGATTGGATATTGGATCCCAGCAACGATACCCTTTATGTTCAATCCCATAACCAAGAAAACAGCAAAGACGAGCACGAGGTTCAAGTTTAGTACGCTCGTGAGGAGGCAAGAGAACAAAACAAGCAGATCCAAAGATTTTAAGGTGGCTGTAAGATGGAGATGTACCATAGAGACGCTCATAGGGGGAGACTGAATGGAGTACCGATGATGGAATGCGATTTTGGAGGTAGACGGCAGTAAGTGCAGCTTCTCCCCAAAATTTTTCAGGACAGGATGATGAGATAAGTAGGGTGCGAACAGTGTTGAGAATGGAGCGATGTTTTCTCTCTGCACGACCATTTTGTTGTGAGGTATTGGGACAAGATCGTTGAAGAAGTGTTCCATGTGATTTTTGGAGAGATTGAAGAGCTCTGTCTACATATTCCATAGCATTATCAGACCGAAGTATTTTGATTTTACGATCAAATTGTGTTTGAATCATAGAGGCAAATTGAGAGTAAATCAAAGAAATTTCAGAGCGCTGGCGGAATAGATAAAGCCATGTATAACGAGAATAATCATCAATAAAAATGACAAAGTATCGTGACCCGCCTGCAGTCACAGTAGGTGAGGGACCCCAAACATCAGTGTGAACAAGATCAAATGGAGATAAGGAGTTGGAGTCACTATTATTGAAAGGCAAAGCAGACATTTTACCCGTGGTACAAGGAACACATTGGAGAGAGTTTATTGAAAATGGACCGATAGTGCCTTGAGAGGCCAATAGACGAAGATTATGAACGGACGCATGCCCTAAACGGTCATGCCAGAGTTGCAAAGATGTAACGGCGACAAAAGGAGTAGGTTTGGGTGGAGGTAAGCGAAGGGAGGTGAGTTCAAACATACGCCCCACTTTACGGCCTGTCCCAATGACATGTCCCGTCTGAGGATCCTGTACACGACAACCAGATTTTGAGAAAGTGAGTTCAAGATCAAGGTCACAAAGCTGGCCAACAGATATGAGGTTGAGGGTTAAGTTGGGGACAAAAAATGTATCAGGAAGGACCATATCAGACGAACAAATAGTGCCTACATGTTCAATGGGCATGAGAGAACCATTGGCAGTTTGAATATTTGAGTTACTATGGGAGAGCTTTTTGGAGCAAAAAAGTGTGGAATTGGAAGTCATGTGATTGCAACAAGCAGAATCAAGGTACCAAGCATTACTACCTGATAGGGCAGACATGGTAGGTGTAGGATTAGAATTACCACGCAGTTGAGCGAGAATGTTTTCAAGGTCGTTGAGAGTAAGAGATGGAGAGGAAGATGAACTTTCATCTTGGGTACTTATGGCTGAGGCTGCAATCGAGCGAGAAGAAAACTCAGAATGGCCACCCTTCTTTGGAGTAGTCTTGATTTTGTTAGCGTCCGGCTTGGGAGGTCGAGTAGGACAAAATGGCAGGATGTGACCTATCTTGGGGCAGTACCTGCATTCTACAGTTGGACATTGTGCCAAAGTATGATCCGAGCGATTGCAGTTCTTACAGAACTTGTTGGCAGAAGATGTTGTTGCCAACACCATGTCTGAACGACGAGGCTTCAACATCCCGAGGCGAGTTTCTTCAGATATTAGTTCCGAGATAGCACTTTCAAGAGTGGGAAGGGGGCTTCGATGGAGAAGAGAAGCTCGAGCTGCTTCAAAATCAGAATGGAGCGCCATAAGAAACTGGATAAGACGAACTCGATCTTGATGGGTTGTGTACAAACGTGCATCATCTTGGCATTTCCAAGCAGGATCAGCTTGTGAGAGAAGATCCCATATAGATTGCATTTGCGCAAGGAAGTCGATCACCAATTGACCTGGTTCTTGCTTCAGACGATGCAGTTGATCCCATAATTGATATTGTTGTGCCAAGTCTGAGGTGACATAGCGGGCTGCCAACAAATCCCAAACTTCTTTTGCTGTGTCAAATCTGCCAAACTGTAGATGTATGGAACTCTGATCCCAAGTATGAGTTTTGTCAAGAGCTTCATTCTCTTCTGCCATTGCTTTCTGCCAAAGAGGATTAGTACTAGCTTCCTTATAAGTATTTGTGTATATATATCCATGATCTGATAAAAAAAAAAAAAAATCTTATAGAAAGTAATTAATTGTGAAATCGGAACTCAAGTAACATTGATTCAAACATTAAATATTAAATTGTATGCGTGGTACAGTTTAGATAGAATACATATGTGTAGCCAAAATATGGGTCTTCATGACATATATAGTCATTTTTTGTGACAAATCTACACATAATATAAATGCAGCGGTGGACTGGTTTTGGCGCCAACGGCAGCGGCGGTTGACGGAGGCGAGACGGCGAGACGAAGGAATCGATGATGTCGAGCTTGGTTTGGGCCGCCGACTCTGATGCGTCGGAGATTGATGGCCCGAGGGCGCTGATGACGGCGGCGGCGAGAACTGGATCTGGAGTGCAGCCGGAACTGATGGTAACCGCGGTAGTGGTCGAGAGAGAAGACGGGACGCGGTGATTGCGCTGTGGATCTAGATCTGGATCAGCGGCTGGCGACGATGATTATTTCCGGCATGGCGATGAATCTCTCGCAACCGGAGAGGGGAGCAGAGACCAAGAGCGAATGAGGATTGGGCGACGGCAGTCGCTACTCTGACCACTTGATGGGACTCCGGTGTCCGGTGACCGGGACGATGTAGGCGTCAATTCTTCTCCTTCGATGGTGGCGGTAACTGATAGCGCCGGAGGCGGAGATGACCGCGACGAACTAAAAACGAGGTCAATGGCGATGGTGGCAATGACATCGATGCCTGGTTGAACTGGCAAACAGAGAAGTCAGCGAACTGGCGAATAGCCAGCTGAGGAAACGCACCAGCTACGGCATGACGATGCGGACTAGTTGAATGACGGAGATGCGGAAGCATGAGTTGGGATGGACAGCCTGGTGAATGTTCACTCATGGCTGGAAATGAAGAAAGAAATAATGCAAGGCAGAAGTATGACAAACTCTCAACAGATTCGTTTCTTCCTTTTCTTTTTCTTTGGCCTTCCCACACTGGATTCAGAATCCAGCTCTGATACCATGATGAATTTGGTTGAAGCAAACTTTGAGTATTGTTATTGATTGAATGCTTATTTTCCGACTACAGAGAAAGAGACGTGTGAGAATGGGGTTTGACTTGTGATGGGTTTTCCGAAAAGAGAGAGAGAGAAAGAAGAAAGTGTTTTCTTTCTCTGGTTTGCTTGGCGGTAGAATGTCGCCGGAGACAACAACCGATGTTGAGGTGGGGCAATAGCAACAGCAGGAGTAGTGAATGGTCTGAGAGACAGCAACGGCGGAAGTGAAGCTAGAGACAACAGTACCCGGTGTGGTGACGAGTAGAATGGGGATTTGCTGGAGAGAATGACAGATGTTGGGACGGCAGAAAAATTGTCTGATCAACGACAAGACAGAGACAGCTCCGACTGAGGCAGTGGTGATGAGAAGCCGCCGCTGATATGGACTAGTAGCAACGACGGTTGCGGCTATGGTAAACAGAGACAGCGGGGACAGCTGCGGGTATGGAAAACAGAGAGTAAGCGAGGAAGAAAACAGAGGCTTGGTGGCTGCTGTGAACAGAGGTTAAGGTATGGATGTTTTATGAACTGGGATTACAGATCGGTTGAAATTTGGAACTTCAACTTTCTGAATAGAGAGGCTCTGATACCAAGTTGGCAAGATAGAATTGTTATTGGAAAAGCCTATTTTACATTGATTAGATCATGGATATATATACACAAATATGAGTATGGAGCCATGCTCTATACAGCTAGGAGGTAGCTAATGAGGTATGGAACATTACAGAGCTCCATGAGCAGTTAATGTCATCTGTCTACTAATGAATGTTATCTGTCTCTCAATTAATAATTAACAGTATTATCGAGTAAAATGAGTTACACCATGGCTATACACTATCGGCTGCTGCTTTCTTCTTCTGTAACTTTTTTTAATCTCAATCACATGTTTATCATCATGAAACCATTCAAACACAGATTCCAGAAACTTCTATTTCACTGCTGGACACAAACATCTTAACAGAACTCCAAACTATGATTCTCAACCAAGGTTGTCAAACCGGTTTAAGTCATTGAGCCGGTCAAGCAAGGGGTTTGAGGTTTAATGGTCTGATCGGGGTCCGGCCGGTTTGAGCCGTTTTAGACGTTTTCTAAATATATATACAAATAAAGTAGTAATTAAAAATTTAATGAGTGAAATAAAATTTATCTTACATATAGCTATTAAAAACTTATTTTCAACAAAATAAATCTTCCTAACCTCCATGATCCACCTACCATTTCCCTTCTTTCGTTCCTTTTCCTCTCTTCTGCCTCTCTTCTTCTCCCTGTTTAGGGGTCAGACCGGGGGGTTTTCTAGAGGCCGTTTTGAAGCCCGACTCGGGTTGAACCGGTCCAACCGGGGGGTTCGATAGGGGTTTAACAACCTTGTTCTCAACTCTTTGCTGAAGAACTTTCTTTTTGTCATTCAATGGACGAATTTCAACCTCGAGTTCAAGAAAATCACCCTCCTTCTTAAGCTACTTGAACTGCCGGTGCCGGTTAAGAAATTTCATGGCTTTCCTCTGCTGTTTGTCCTTCTTTTGGGGCTTCAGTGCTAGACTGCCCTGTTTCCTTCTTGAGAATCTCGAACACTTCAATGGCTAGCCGCTTGTTCTTGTGTCGCTTCAAATCGCAGCAGGCAGAGGAAGTCGATGTTGATGTGGTGCCATTTTTCTTGTCCTCGATCGCGGTTTGGAAACGATGGGTTTCTGGGAAGTTCTGGTCACCAGAAACGTGTTTGGTTTCCTCCCGCTGCTTTTTTTTTCTTCGTGTTGCTGCTTTGCCTCACCACCGTGAGCTGATATGGGCTAACTGCTCTGTTTTTTTTAGTCAGAGCTGGCGGCTGGAGTTCGCTGCGGCCTGCGGCAGAGCTATCGTGGTCGCCGGAGAGAAGGTTTGACCGCACTGAGTACGAGCGGCGGGAAGGTAAAGATGAGTTGTGAAATGAAATCCTTGTCACTTGGGTTTTCTCATTCATCCTTCTGGTCTAAATAGGCAAAGCTTGCACTATATGACAAGGTGTGCTAGCTAGCTAGCCTTTGAGAGAACAAAGATGAAACTAAATTCTAAACTAAACAATGATATTACACTAAATTTGATGATGATGATAATTTTCTTTAAATTTTGTCGATCCACTTTGACATTCTTAATTACCGATTTTAGTCTTGACGATAACTTGTAATATCTTCAAATATTCATTAGACACTTGAATACTTGTTCCACTTCGGAGTTCCGACTGATTCAAGCAGTCACTTATCGGAATGTTTCTCATGCTCGTCATCATTCCTTTCCTGATGGTTGTCATGCCAGTGGCATGCCACCCGGTTGAACCTGGTTCAACCTGTGCCGGTCATGAAACCGGCATGACACCACCGGTATGACCGGTATGATCGACTTACGCATTCTAAGTAAAATGACATCATTTTAATGAATAAAAAAATTAATTTATTATTCATTTTATGAATGTAATAGTTAAAAGTTTATGATATTTGTTGGATTGTAACTAAATTGTCCACAAATATGTTTTATATATGATTAAATACATTGGATATTAATTGTTTTTACATTTTAAACCGGCATGAACCGGCACAAGCTGGTTATACCACCGGTCGTACCATTCCACTTGCCAAACCGACACAACGGTATAAACCGGTTTGACAACCTTCCTTCATGCACCAACAGTAGGCCTCTAAAACGGAAGTCCAAGTATGAGTACAACTGATGTATCATAAACCTCAGACGGATTCTCCACTTTAAGCACCCGAGCCCGATTACATATGGGCCGGATTTGGAAAGTTTTTACGAAGCCCAGTAAAGACCGGCCCTAGTCTTCAGCCTGTTAAAAAAGCCAACGAAGAAAAGAAAAAAAAAAAAAGCATTCTCTCTGCCTCTCCGAAGCTTTTTCCAGTAACGGAGGACTCACCGTCTTACTCGAACCAATATTCTTCTGAACGTCCGTTTGAATTCCGCCTTTCCGCCCCAAATTAACGCCCTTCGTTTCAATCGCCGACCGCCATGGATCTTACCGACTCTTCCGCAGCTTTCCGCGACGGCGATTCAACGACGGCGAGCAATCTTTGGATGTGCTCGCTCATCGTGCCACCCACGGATATATTTAGGTCACTGCCTTGCTGCATCGAGGATCTGGGACCATCTCCTCTTACGTAAGATCTATCCTTCTGCTGATGCCTGAATTGCTTTCGATGGGCTGTATGGGAACCTCTGATTCGATGGATAGAAGTTCGGTTGATAAAATTGTGTCGAATTAAGTGAGCGTGGAGCTACCTTTCTCTTTGTTGTAAGAACCCAGTGGTTCCATGGATATTGTTGTAGCTTAGCTTCATAAATGTCTCAAGAGATGGTGAAGAAGGAAGCTCGGTTCAATAAATATGATGGGTTTTACTCTTCCATTCCAATTTGTCGCTGTTGTGGAATTTGGAGGTATCACGACTCCTTACCATGTCAAATAATTTGTGAGGCATCTCCCTACTTCGCTGCCGGTAACTGAGTTCTGATGATGATCTTGCTTGTTATCATTACTTCGGGGCCATTGCGACGAAGGAATCAGGCAGGCTCTGTGGGTCCAATGGCACCGCTGATTGTGAAGAGGGGAGTGGACTTTTCAAAACAAGACCTTTTCTGCTCTGTACATTTTGTTTTCCACAAGAACGCGTTTGCTTTGTGTGGACAGAAAGGTCTTATCTCTTTCATATGGAAATCAGTGGGCAGCAATTAAGTCCCCGGTCTTCTTGGCCCAGCTATAGAAGTGTTTCTTCTTGCTAATAAACAATCAGAGCTTCCGCAAGCACCAAATTGAGAGCTCAATGGCTGCTGCTCCTCCTTCATTTTATCATCCTGGCTCCTCCTCCTCCTCCTCCTACTCCGGGAAATGGGAATACGACGTCTTCTTGTGTTTCAGAGGTGCTGACACCCGCCATGGTTTTACCGGCCACCTCAGGGCTGCTCTCCACGACAGGCAAATCAAAGCTTTCATCGACGATATGTTAGATAAAACCGAGAGCATCGATGAGCTGATCTCCGTCCTCAAAAGATCGGCACTCTCAGTTGTGATTTTCTCGGAGAAGTTCGCAGATTCAAGCTGGTGCTTGGATGAAGTGGCCACCATTTCTCGAAGCATGGTAGAGTTCGGACACCGGGTGCTTCCCGTTTTCTACAAAGTTTATTCATCGGATGTGTCCGAGGATTCGGGAAGTTACACTGCTGCTATTGAGCAGCATCATGGATCTAGCGCATCTCCAGAAGATAGGAAGAGATGGATGGATGCTTTGAAAGTCGTCGCTAATTGTGCTGGCTATACTTCACATGCAATCAAGTAAGCCATCCTTACTTTCCTAATTAAGAGCCAACCTTGTTACTAATAGTAATTGCTTCTCTCAAAACATGACGTCCTTTTTCTCATCTGGATTTTTGTTTTCCGTTTTTCTCTTGGTGTACCCTTTGGGTTTATTAGGATTGATTCTGAACTAGTAGAGAAGATAGTCAATGGTGTTCTGAAAAGACTCGCAGAGATTTCACATAGAGTTAAGTTTGATCACTTGGTTGGTATGGATGCTCGAGTTTCCGAGGTCGAACAACTATTAGCTATGAATGTAGATGATTTTCGCATTATTGGTCTTTGGGGGATGGGTGGTATAGGAAAGACCACTCTGGCTACAGCTTGCTATCAATCATTTGTATCATCTGGAAAAGAAATGAAGCATCACTTTATTCAGAACATCAATGAGAAGCTTGAAAAGCAATCTGGAATCGAAGGAATGGTACATGAACTCTATTCGATATTATTGTCAGAGGCTAACTTAAACTGCCACAACCTGGGTATTGATCATAGAAGGGAGCGTCTTTCTCGTCTAAGGGTGTTCCTTGTTCTTGATAATGTGGAAACAGTACCGCAATTGGAACAACTGTTGTTGGGAGATAAGCAGGCTGCAAATCTCTTTGGCCCTGGAAGCAGAATTATTGTGACAACTCGAAACCGAAGAGTACTTGAGAATGCAGGGGCTCATATATATGAGGTGAAGCATTTGCATTCTCATGAATCGCTCCAGCTGTTTGGGATACATGCATTTAAAAACTGTCTTCCGCTTGATGATTATGTGGATCTATCGAGTGTCGCCGTATCATACTGCAAGGGAAGCCCTTTAGCTATAAAGGTCTTGGGATGTGCATTGCTTAATAAGCAACGAAGTTATTGGAAGAGCTTCTTGTCTGAATTGGAGAAAAATCCAAAGCTAGAAATTCTTGATGTCCTTCGAAGAAGCTACAACGAGCTTGAAATTGTCAAGAAAGGAGTATTTTTGGATATTGCTTGTTTTTTTCCAGGGGTTCTGAAATCTTTAGTGATTAATTGTTTTCCCACTAGTTACATAGAGGATTTAATCGATAAATCTTTGGTTAGCTGTGTCTTCAGCAAAGGTGTAGAGAGAATTGAGGTTCATGACTTGCTAAGGGAAATGGCTTGGGTTATAGTTAATGAGGAATCAAAATTTGAAAATCGCAGTAGATTTAAGAATGCTGATGATGTTTACAAGTTATTGGCAGTTGGAGATGTCAAAACATTAAGAAGATTCAACTATTTGAACATTATGAAATCGAAAGAGAAGCATGGGAGTGCCTTTGAGCCCGTTAGAACCACTGAAGGCATCCTTTTGAACCTTTCCGAAGCAACGGATATACACATGGAAGCCAACGCCTTTGAAAGGATGACATCTCTTCGTTTTCTCAAGTTCACCTATTGGGAAAATGATCGTAGAGCTTCTAAAGTTCGTGTACCATACGGAGGCCTTGTCACCCTTCCAAATAGTCTGAAATGGTTGGAGTGGCATAAATTTCCTTCAAAATCTCTACCATCAAGATTTTCTCCAGAAAACCTTGTCGTACTTAATCTACGTACTAGCCCACTACTGAAAAGATGCTGGAAAGCCGAGGTATGTTGAACAAAATGATTTCGATTTGTTTGGATTGGTAGATTCTCTCCGTGTAATTCAAGGGTTGGGATGCAAGGAGCTAATAGGAAATGTGGAAGAAAAAAATGATGATATTTCAAATTGGGTTACTTGGTGGAATTAAATATCTTCTAAACTGCCTTTCTTTTTATTTTATTATTATATATATTCTTGTTAACTTAATCTCGATTGGGTTATACCTTGAGTATTTAGATCTAAAGTAGAATATTTCTATTTAGTTTTTTACAGAAATTAGAAGTTAATATGTTATCTATAAAATTATAATGAATGTGAAGTAAAACTAGTTTAGGCCTCCCATAGACATGTCACCTAATGAGTAATGACTATCCCCTGCAACGATGGTGAAAGGTCCACGGCTTGATAGTAATTACTTAAAGAGACTAAGAGAGGGCTCAAGGACTTTTTACTCAGGAAAATTACTTTGTCAATGAGTCTGGTGAATTCGTAATGCTTACTGATCCAAACTCTTAATAAGTTGTTTTTATTTTATTATTGGAGTGGATTTATTTGTCAATTAAGTAGTGCGTTATCTTCATTATTATTATAAAAAGAAGAAGGAAGTAGTACGTTATCTATATTTTCTTTTATCATATACTCAAAAGTGAACAGAGAGATAATTATATTTTATTCTTCTTGTTGTTTTGCAGCCACAACTTTTGAATCTAGTGGGGCTTGACCTCTCTCGCTGCATAAATTTAGAAGCAGTCCCAAACCTATCAGGGTCTCCGAAGCTGGAGCGCCTCTATCTCGAGGGCTGCAAAAGGTTGATTGAACTACCATCTCACGTTCAAGATCTGGACAAACTGATAGAACTGGACCTCGATGATTGTACAAATCTGCAGATCCTTCCTCCGAAACTCAACTCAAAGTTCCTCAATAAGGTTCACTTATCCAACTGCCCCAAGGTCACTCGTTGTCCTGAGATTAATTCAACCGAGTTAGAGGTTTTGAATTTAACGGAGACACCTGTCACAGCCTTGCCACGTGCAATTTACAATATCAAGCTGGGTGGCCGACTGCGTCTCTGCGGCGAACACATCACCCGCTTCCCCGCGATCTCAACAAGCTTGGAATTTTTTCGGTTGTGCCATACCACAATAACAGAGATGGATTGTTATGATGGTGATGATCATCATCAGCTGGCTTCTTTGCCAAGATTTGCTCGATTGGTGTTGATTGGCAACCCCCAACTCAAGAGCTTGTCAAGTAACGTCTGGAACATGGTCTCTCAAACGCTCATTCTCGAAGATTGCCCGTTGATTGAAAGTTTGCCTGAAATCTCACAGCCTGGGACTGGCTTAACTTCGCTTTCTATAAGAGGATGTTGGAAACTGAAGAGCTTTCCAACCGACATCAACAATCTGAAATATTTGCAGTTCCTTGATTTCGTTGACACAGATATTGAGTCCTTGCCTTTAGATATTGTGGAACTTGACCAACTCTCCCATTTAGAGTTGCGTTCCAACAAAAGCTTGGAGTTCGTCCCAAGCAACATTCATAAGCTTGCCAAGTTATCCTACTTGTCCTTGGCAGGCTGTTCGAGGATTAAATATTTGCCAGAACTCCCACCCAATCTTCTAACTTTGGATGTAAGTGGTTGCACATTGCTGCGAGCATTGCCAAGCAACATAGGCAAGCTGAGATGTAAGAAGCTGTGGTTTGAAGATTGCCCGCAACTGGATCCGTATCTTCCTCAAGAAGTAGTGCTCAATTTCTGTAATCATGCCATGTCAAATCTATATCCTCAGGTATTTAAATATTACAATACTATAATTATATTATATTTATGATTTGTCGTGGTTGTCAATCTTGCAGATCCTTTTTATAAGAGTGTCTCTGTGTTGGTTTTAGGGTGTTCTTCAATATTCGGCAAGCGAGATTCCAAGGTGGTTTGCTTTCAAAAGCCCAAACTATGCAAGTGATTCATGTATGATGGGGCAATTGACTCTTCCAAACTGCACTACTACACGGCTAATCAAGGGGATTGCATTTGGCGTTGTGTGTTCTTCGGATATTGGCCAAGTCATGATATCTATCACTTGCAATTGCAACATCGGCACCGGTGTCGCTGCCTCTTGGAGTTCTCCCGTTTTTTGTTTCGGCAAGACCCAATCGGATAACGTATATATATGGTATGAGAAGAACTTGTTAGGTGAGACTGAGGAAAGCATGCGAGAAGAAGCAGAGCCTTGGTATGTGAGATATGCTGGGCTCACTGTTCTCTTCAGATTTTCCCTTCAACCAGGCGAGGTAGACGAAGGCAAGAGAGAAGATCCCAAGAGATTAAAGCGCATCAAAATCAAAAGGACGGGCGTCTCTCTACTGTACTGACTGCTGATAGGATAGCCAGATTGGTGGTCCATGGGAATGAGGAGAATGGACAAACAATTGTTGTTTGTTTCTTTGGAGTAATTGTGCATGTCACTTCTGTAACTTGTTTTAGACGTTTTAGAAAGAACACAGATGAAAGATTCCCCCACTCTAATGGCTTCCTCCTCTACCAAAGCTTTTCGTGTGGCCTTCTTCATCTCGTAAGGTCATGTGCAGTGGAGAGTGGGAATACAACGTTTTCTTGTGTTTCAGGGGTCACATTTTCAAGTAGCCAACGCATTGGTTCCCTCAGCTGCTGGAGTAGTGAGGAGAGGGATTATAAATTGACAGCTCTAATATCAGGTTGTTTGAAGACGTTAACCATGCGCTAGACGATGATTCCGGAAAACCAACCTGATACCTTTGTTTGGCTAGATAGGCCTCCTATGTGTTTAACTAATCTGTTGCAGCTCAACAATGTAACATCGGATAATGATTAACAAAGTTTAAGCAGATTCATGGTAAACAAAATTGATTTCCCATTTTCTCAGTTTTTCTATCTTTTGTGAGCTTTTATTATGTTTTTTTATCTGATATTCAAAAACGATTCCCGCAGATTGACAAGAACATTTCTGAAGCTTCACTTTGTAAGAATAGCTAACCATAATCTCCTGGATACAGCAATTTACAAACACTAACAAATGATTTCCCTCATTTATTCGGAAAAAAAACAAATGATTTCCCTACAAATACACTTTCAGAACCATCTTTCCAAGTACTGAAAACTCCAATCCATCTGACATTGTAGAATCAAATACACTGAACATATATCAACTACACACACAAGTCAATTGAACAAGCAGTAATAATCAAAGGACAAGCCTTTCGGTGATGTAACTTCCAGATGACGAGGAGTAGTACTTACAAGACACGATAGGGATGTGTCGGAAGTTAACACACTCAGGTCCACGAATACGCTCCACCAGCTCTGCACAAACATCCTCGAGCCTCAACTCCTCGAGTTCTGCCAGATGTTTGATCCCTTCTGATATAATCTTTAGATTCAGGCAGTCCCTGATCAGAATGATTCTGATGCTGGGCATCACTCCTGCTGCACCAATCGTTAGCCTCTCGAGTTTCGGCAAGTTTGCCAATGCCAACGCCTTCAAATTTGTAAATCCAGTCATGAACCTCAACTCTGTCCCCTGATAGGCATTGTTGAACCAAACATTCCTCAAGGTGTGCATCTCTTGGAGATGCACAACTGGATCTTCCTCCACTGGCAGCCTGCTCCAGATCAATCTTATGGTTGTTAAGCTGCGAAGCGAGCGAATCCAGACGGGAAAGTTGGTTAACTTCCCACACAGGATGAGATATTCGAGGAGTTGAAGTGATGAAGAAGAAGAAGAAGAAGCGGATTCATTAAGTGAATCCATTTGGAGGATTTCTTCTTCCTTGCTCGCCATTACAACTAGCCATTGCAACAACAGCATATTTTGTAGTGACAAGCACAAATCTTCCATCTGAGCTTGGCCTTCCAAGTTTGTGATGCCGAGCTGCACGAGTTGGGTCATCTTCTTCAGTTGCTTCATCATCTCTGCACTTGCTTCAACTACTCGCAAAGTCTGCAATTGTTTCATAGAACTAATGTCTGCATCACTCGGAACTTTTACTCCTTTCAGTTTACTGTACTCCAGCAGCCTGCCGAAATTCAAATTACCTGAGAACAAGTGGCGTAGATAGTCCAGCTTCACGATCTCGTTTGGAAGGGATTCGATATCTGTGTTTGAGATGTCGAGAGTTTGAAGGCTGAGTAACTTGCCAATAGTCTTGGGGAGCTTCTTTACTTTAGTTCCACTCAAGTCTAAGTACCTCAAATTGAGCAGAACCGCTATGTCCTCGGACAGATTCTCCAATGGAGCTTTCTCCATGTCCACCACACGAACAAGTCGAAAGCTTCTCCAAGGCAATTTTTTTAGAGAAAAAGGAATGTCTTTAGTGAACAAGAATAGACTGCGAAGACGAGTCATTCCTCCAACTAAGTTGATCACCTCTTGCTCATTGCCTGCCTTCTGAATGGATAGACGTCGATGAGTCGACACAGTGTCTTCTCTAAACTGCGTTTGAATGCTTCCACCATCATATACTGAGCAAAACTTCTCATTTCTGGATATTGTAAGAGCAATCTCTCTGTACAAATCATGCATCTTACACTTTCCATGATCTCCATACATGTCCCAGCTCACAGCTTGGAGCATGTTTCGACCAATCAATTCAACAATGTATCCCATAGCAACTTCTTCGGGTGATACTTCATTTTCTTCTACTTCCACAAACCCCTCAGCTATCCAAAGTCTAATGAGCCTATCACACCATATTTTATAGTCCTCTGGAAATAGACCAAAGTACAAGAAGCAGTACTTGAGTCGATAAGGAAGATCGTTGTAGCTCAAGAGAAGGATACTCTTTATCGGTTGAAGCATTTGATTGTTGGTCAACTCCCATTGCAAGTTCTTGAGTACCGTCGTCCATGCTCCTAGTGACAAGCTTTTGGTAGCTAAGAGACCACCCACTGAAGCAATTGCCAGAGGTAGGCCTTCACATTTCTCCACAAACTCCATGGCTATGGTTTGAAGCTCGGGGGGACATTTCTTGGAACTTCTTGAAGAGAAAGCTCTTCTACAGAATAGTTCCCACGCTTTCTCCTCATCGAGCGGCTTAACACGGTAGACATGACTTCCAACTTCAGACGAAAAGTGCAAGGCGATGTCGTCCATACGAGTTGTGAGTATGACTCGGCTGCCCTTCTGCCCATTGGGGAGGGACACTTTTATCTGGTTCCACACATCAGTAGTCCACACATCATCCAAAACAACCAAGTAACTCTTCTGCTCAAGATAAGCCACAAGCTTCTCTAGAAGCTCTCTATAACTCATACCATTCAAATCCGAAATCAGAATCTTTTCTCCCGTTTCTGATTTATTGATCTCCTTGATCAAGCTTCTGAACAATTCCTCAATGTTGAAAGTTTGAGAGACAGTAACCCAAGCACAACAATCAAACTTCTGTTTGACTACAGGTGAGTTGAACAAGTTAGCCACCAGAGTTGATTTACCAGAGCCACCCATGCCAACAACTGCAACGGTAGCCCTCTGCAGGTCTCCATTGGTGAGAAATCCCATGATTACCTCTTTGGGTTCTTCAATCCCCACAAGATCACCTTCATTGAGAAACAGAGCCGACTCTGAATTGAACACTGCTCCTGCTCCTGCTCCTCCTCCACCATTGTTGGCCCTCGGAGCTGATTCTTGGCCATCAGCAGGATACCGTTGATACCTCTCCGGTATGGCTTTGATCATGACGTTGAGCTTTTGGAGGCCAGTGGCAATCTGCCGCCTCTCCCAGAAGTACTTGGGAAAGCCGAGAGTTCTTTTCACGTACCATACGAAAGTACGCTCGCCTCGCCATTTGTTCCCAAGATACATGAACCTGTCGATGATGTCTTCGACATCGTACACCAGATCTCTGACTTGGGCTATCTGGGTTTGCTTTGATTTGGAGTTGGTGCCGGCCTTTGGATCATCAGCGTCCTCCAGAAATGACCTCATGCTCATGAGCTCCTGCTTCATCTCCTCCACTTGGTCGCGAGCTTCTCCGTATAAAGTTGCTTCCTTTACCAGAAATGCCTCCATTTTCTGGGTCAGGTAGTCTATGGGTATCCCTGCCATCTTCTTTCGCTTGATTACAGACAGTGTTTAAGGGAAGAACTCAATCATTTCGAGCACAAAACACAGAGTTCAAATAAATAAATTAACGAAATGTCAAGTAGCCATTATAGTACGTGTACAAGTTTGGGAGCTTCTGCAAATTGACGTAATAGTGGTGCCACTTGCTGAAAAAGACAGTGGTGGGGCTAGCCGACGGCGACATTTCACCTAATCCTAGAGCCCATCCATCACAAAGCTCCTACATGGAAGAAATTGTCAAACCGAAAACTCAAGTCGGAGAATGATCACTGTAAATTTCTCAGTAGCTTCGAGCTCTATGGAGCTGAAGCTTCCCCCTGTTTTCCCCCTAGACCAATTGCCCACCAGGTGTTTGTGTTTATGCCTAAAAGAACCCCGTAATATGGTAAACGAAAAAAGAGAAAGCGTCGAAGCTAGTACGATGGTAAAATAAAATAAAAAAACCTCGCCATGCGTAGCGTTTCCATGGCTGAGGCGCCGGCGAAGACATGCCTCTCCGTTTCCTGCTGGTGGACGGAGGCGGAGAAGAAAGCTCTTTGGTTAGTTTCCACCATGGTCAATGCCTCTAGTTTACTGCTGATGCCAAAGCTCGATTCCTGATAAGTGAAACGATAATACAAAATTCGCGCGCAAAAGAAGTTGCTATTTTCGGGCCGGATCTGGGCTCAGCTAGAATTGGGCCTGGTCCTGAATGCTTTTTCCGATGTGATGTCCGGCCCATTTCAAATTTATAATTACTACGCGAAATTGGCCAGGGATAAAGCCATAAAGGTTAATGGATGTTTTGGCTTGTTGAACATGACGATGATGTTGTATGAGTCTTGTGTTTTCGTCTTTCGATCAACTTTGTATTAAGTTATCGATTTTACTTGTTAAGAAAAAATATATACATTTCACATTTTTGCTTTATTTTCACTCACCAATGATGCTTTACGACTATGGAGGAAAAATTGTACATTGGATAACGGAGAGCTTCGTATATACACAAAAAGAAACCAAGTTTATGCCTGGTCAATTTTGGCTTTTGGCTTTTGGGTTGAGAAAGGATTAGGTTTTTATATATATATATATATATATATATATATGAATACCAAGAATTGTCTTCTTCCTATTATTACTTACTAGTTGTTATGGCCCGCGCCCTGCGCCAGGACTTGTGATACAATCATCAGACATCAAAATTATATCTTTTGTTTCGATTTATCTAACCATAATTAATTTGATAATTAAAATTGAAGCAGAGGGAATAAAATATAATAGCTAAACATTAAACAAAACAGAGAACATTGAAATATTGAGTTTAACTTCCAATCTTCATTGATATAAACTGCGTAGCATTTGTATGCCAATACAGGAGAAACCAAGTGCAAGGGTATATTAAAATTAATACATTTAATTACAGTATGTTCGAGCTACATTTATGGCAGAGATAATATTCACACACCTTGTCCAATTAAGTTCGAATGTTGAATCTTTCCTAACCAATAACTAAAATCCACTACCCAACATCTAATTGAGCATCTGCAGATACATCAGAAGATGACAAAATACACATGTAACCATTATTTAGACATCGATTCACTTTATCCATCATTGAGACACCAAGAACTTATAGTTGGAACGAAAAATTAAACATGATCGTCGATAGTAGTTCTTTGAAGGTTTGCTGTGTTTATAATTCGGCAACCAACTACAATTTAATCGCCAAGAATCGTCGATTAAGCCTTCAGTTCAGACCTGCAGTGCAATAAGGGGAATTAAGTATCCATCAACCTGCGAATCAGTATTATCTTCGAACGTCCTCTAACCCGTCGAAATCCACCATTCAATCTCCTTAGAAATTAGACATCTCCTGCTCCTGCTGCTTTACATTGCCATTCGACGACCAACTCCGTGCACTAAAATAACTATCAGCCAACTCAGCGCCTGAATTTCCTCAAAATAGATGAAAAAAACCCTTGTGGGTCAGAAACAGAGCACGAACCATTACGAAAATACAGAACAAACTTGGTATAAATAAAGAGAATAATCAACTCACCACGATAGGTGAATCAGTGGATCTCGCCGATAACACCTCTTCTGTCGCCCTTATTGCACACCATCGTCATACTCTTTGATCCAGATCGAGCATCAGGTGCACCATAGAAGATAAAAAGAAAGGAAAGAAAAGAAAGGAAAGGATTAAGAGCTAGTTTTATCCAAGAAGACTCATCGAAGAAGAAATTTGATTAGCAAATGTCACTTCTTTACCCTCCAATGGCATCTGCTATCCCCACAAAATTCGAGAGATAGAGAGGAAAACGAACATGTATCAGAGTTTAAACCATAAAATACATGTAATAACAGAGGGATTATCGAAACAATCGTACATCAGTGGGGAGCTCGGTAGATTTACGGTCCTTACTCTGAGCGAGCGGCAGATGAGATTGAGTAGGTGTAACCGCTAGAAGGATCGAAGAGATAGTGTTGGCGGCGCTTTGCTGCTTTCCGCACTGCCGCCAGGATCCTCCACTTCCATTCGCGCAAGAATAAAAAAGCCCCTGATCTGGCACAACGACAGAGTAAAAGAAGAGGAGTGAGGAGGGTTACCACAACGCCTTTTTCCTCGTCGAGGCGGCAAACACCTTTCAGATCTGGAAAAACTCAAAAAACAATCCTCCATTTCATAACCCGGAACCCACCAAACAACCCAACCAAAACAACTATGCCGGGAGAAGGAGAAGAAATAATCACCTGAAGCCAAAAAGAACTAACAATATGTGTCTTCTCCGCATCCTCTTCGGATCTCAGTTCCAAATCTCCTATTCATCGGAAGGGTGTTCGCGTAACCGATGAGTTCTCGGCGATTCCCTGGTCCCTTGCAACGACCACGGAGCCAGGATGAGAGAGAAAAGAGGAAGATATGAGATGTTGCGGGGATGTTGAGAGAAGTGATAGTGAAGAGGAAAACTGATATTGTATCGGAAGAGGCTTCCAGACTTCTGTTGTGTTTGGTCAAAAAGTAATCATGAGGGGAGAAGGAAAAAAGTTGCAGCTTCTACTGTCTGTCTAGGTAAAATATGTGGACAAAATTTTTAGGGGATACGTGGACATCTATCCACCTAGTCCCCGCAAATATCCTCCAAAGTACCTGAGCTCCAATGCAGTTGAAGAACCTTTCGTTCCTCTTCCAGTATCTGTAGCAGTCCCTGACCTGCCATCAAATCACCCAAAAAGCACCAGAGAGTGGAAAGTCTCTCTGTGACCAACGCGAAGGAAACTGTGATCCTATCTGCAGCAAGTTGCTTTTCTCTCAGCAACCTCCAATCCCCCGCAAGCAACCCATTACCATCTCCATGAATGACCCCAAATCCCTTCAAGGGTCCATCCAGGCACACACAGCTTCTCTGACGTAGCACAGATGAATGACCCCAAATCCCTTCAAGGGTCCATCCAGGCACACACAGCTTCTCTGACGTAGCACAGTAAATGTCAGGCAAACAGTAAAATTAGGTCTAAATGAACAGAAATTTGTATCTAGATGAATAGTAATTTGTATGTGTGTGTACAGTGTCTGGTGTTTTGAGCTATTATACTTTTAATTTGTTAGGTTTAGGGTTTAATTTCTCTTTTCTAATTGGAAGTGGCAAAATCTCTTGTACTATAGACAAAATTTTCTGTGGTTCTTCCCTATTTGCAATGCTCCAATTGCCAAGAAGGGGATAAGCCTTTTCTTTTGTCAAGTTTCTTGTGTTGTGTTTCCCCTTGTCTTCTTTCTTCATCCAAGAAATAGGGGTGGGCATTCGGTCGGTTCGGTTTCGACCGAACCGAAATTATGAATACCGGGTCCCCGAATTCTTCCAAACCCCAAACCGAATTTGAACCGAATTAAAATTCGGTTCGGTCGGTTTAAACCGAATTATAATTCGGTTCGGTTTTATACACAAAACCGAAATTAAGAGGCTACTTGTATCTTCTCACTTTTAAGTTATTTTTCACCCTAATATAAACAATAAATATGTAATTATATGCACCATCAATGATAAAACCAAACTTTTCAACACATAAGTAATAAAACATTTCAAATATTTATGTCTAAAAACAAATACAAACATAAAAATCCACCATTTGAGCTTGAAATGACAGTATTTCGGTTTTTCGGTCGGAATTTTGGAAATTCGGTTCGGTTGAAAGAACCCTGATTTTCGAAATATCCATATTTTCCTTCCGAATTCCGAACCGAATAGCATTAGTTCGGTTTCGGTTCGGTTTGGGTTTACCGAACCGGTTGCCCACCCCTACCAAGAAAGAAAGAAAAAGCTGTAAGGTGGTGGTGTTTGTTTCAACTTCTAGAAAAACCAATACCAAAACTGGATTGGGGGTGTATACTCTAGATTATAGAAGACTCAATGTGCTATGTTATAGACAGAATACTTTGCTAGAGAATTGAAATGGAAATTGGTTTTAGTGTAGCAGCAACAAGATAGTGATTCTCATATGTATCCTTGTTTGACAAAGAATGGTAGTGATAGGCTACATAAATAATTTCGATAAAGATGTGGAATGAATGGATTTGAATTTAGATTGATGCTTTGTTGTATCCTTAATTCGATTGAACCTTGACCTTGCTAGGTCTAGAACCAACGTAGGAAGTGTAATTCAATGCACTCACAGATCATGTGGATATCTTACTCATTCTTATCTATTCAACAAGGAATCTCAATATCTTTCTATCAGACATGGTCGAGTATGGGGAATGCATGAAAAGAAAAGGATGAGGAAAGGGGATTAGATTACAACTGGGTATAAAAAAACTAGACAACTTTAAACACATACATGCCACCATTTAAACCTAATTTTCTATTAACACACATTTTTATTAGATATATCATTAACATTTAAGCTCAAAATGCAATTTAAATTACATCAAATTTAGTTGGACTTTTAGTGTGACAATTGAGACGATGTTTACTAGCACATATCTAAAAACTACAACGACGTACATGGGAATATCAACACGAGATATGAAGAGAATTGTGGATTTACAATATAATGAAATGACAACGACGTTCAAAGAAACACGCCTCAAACTCTTACTTATAATCATCCATGATGCTAAATGATTTGATTATATGGGCTCTTGGATTCTATAAGAGTCAATTTGTGGTTATTAGATTGTGAATGTGATAAAAATCCATTTCTAGGCCACGACGAGAAATCAAACAAATTAGGGTTGTTTTTGGCGGGAGTTTTAATTAATCATATGATTAAGTCATCAGGAGAAGAATCTATTAGGAAGCTTCCAAGCCTGTAAAGCTAAGTCCTGTTTGTCTATAACCCACCCCCATCGAATCTTGACCTCCCAAATGTAGAGAGAGTTAACTCTTGTTCCTATGGGTTTGCCATTTACCAACCCTAAGTGACAAGCTAAAATAGACGAAGAATGATCAGAAGGTCGTGTATTGTTAGATCACTAGTTCTTTTCGTAACGAGAAGAAAGAGTGGTTATAATGAAGTTTCATCTTTTAAGGGAAGGGATGATTTTGTTGCAATATAAATTTTTTATTTAGGAAAAGATTATACATATATCTACATTTGAGCGGTTAATACATAATATTTAGTGCAAATCCATAATCTCCATGAAGTGTTTTTATTGACAACAAAGAATAAACTTAACCACCATAATCATTTAAATTAGCTTATATTCATTAAGCTTTATCTTAAGAAAGTGAAGAAAAAAAAAAGTTAAACGTCACATAAGGATAAGGGAGATTGATAGAAAAGAAAAAGTTGACTTTGAAATTCAAATGTATGATCTCCAAATTGAACATTAAACGTAGAGGTAAAATCCTCATTAGCAAAGTGAAATGTCTTAGTATGTTTGGACGAGTCAAAGTTTATGACTCATAAAAGAACTCCCAAATCAATTTTCTGAATTTGGATTATAAGAAAATAAAAAAAAAATCCGAATTTGGAAATAAATTATCTTAAAAAATCCCACCGATATATTTTGTTTTTAACAAACAACAGTAACAAAAACATTTGGCGCTATGACTCTCTCTCCCTCTACACCTTCACCTTCCAACTTCTTCTGAACTTTCGTTCTATTTTCAAGAGAAGAACAAGAAAAAGCAAAGCTTCAGACTTTAACCAGGTAAACGATGTTCTCTTCTTCCTTCCCACCTCCTGAAATGATCATCCGAGCCTGTTTGGTTGCCGAGAAAGTTTATAGTAGATAAAGAGGGAAAAGGAAAAACGACCCAGTAAAGTTGACTTGGAGTTCACTGCAATCCTTCGTCTCCCTTTCCTTTTATTGGTGCCAGCTGATAAAGCTTGGTTCTTGATTCTCATGGCTAGGTTAAGTTACTAGATCCTTGGCCTATTTTGTTGATTTTTTTATTTTGGGTTTTCCCAGGACGGCCAATTTTGATCTCTGTAGCTGATTAATGATTCTGGGTCTTGTAGATACTGGGAATCCCCAAATCTGTGTCTTCGAAGTCTCAACCTTTAAAAGGGTTTTAGGTGGAAATTGTGTAAATTTTCTGGATTTGGTTGCTCTAGTTGATGATATCAAGCTGAATTGTCCTTCAGGTTGCTTTGTTCTTCAATGGAGGGCAATTGGAGTATGCAAGAGAGAGAGAATTAGGGATTCCTTTGAGCAGTTATCACAACGATCTTCTGTGGTAATTTTCTAAATGTTTATGATGAAATAGGAGTTGGTTCTTGTCCCATGAATAGCATGTTGGCTTTTGCAGAACGACTTAGTAGCTTGAATTTTGTATGTTCATTTTTTTCATTTCCGTATCAAGCAGTAGTGGAAGAGCTTCAACAGCAATGGAGAAGACAGTCCGTTATTGCTGTGTATCGCGTGGTAATCGAGTTCTATACATATACACCAAAGAAGACCAACAACAAGACATCGAGGAGTTAGCCACATTGTGTTTAGATAATCCTCCTTTGTACCACAAGTGGTACTTCGAGACTATCGGCAAAAGAACATTCGGGTTCTTGATGGAAGACGGCTTCATCTACTTCACAATTGTCGACGAAGGGTTAAGGAGTTCTGGCGTGCTTCGTTTTCTCGAACATCTTAGAGACGAATTCAAGAAGGTAACTCGAAAGGGCTCACGAGGAAGCAGCTTCTCGGGGTTGAACTCCTTACTTCAAGAACAGCTAGTGCCTGTCATTTCTCAACTGATCAATTCTCTGGAGCACATATCTTACAACGAATGGAATGCTGATACCATCAGCGGTCTCTCTCCTTCGACAAGCCAGATCGAGCTTACTAAGGCTCCATTGTTGGGGAAACCAAGCAAGCATGACAAGAAGAAGTCAGCGAAAGATCATGTGATTGCCATGAGGGATCTTGACTCAAATAAGGCTTGTGAGTTGACCACTCAAGATACAAGCAGTCAAGGGGCATCTGTGGGAATTCCTCAATCGTCTGCTCAAAAGGATTCAGGAGGATCTACGATGAGGATTAGGCCGAGCTCTCAGAACATTAGGAAGAAATGGTGGAGGCAAGTGAAGATAGTCCTGGCCATTGATGTTGTTGTTTGCTTGGTGTTGTTTATAATCTGGTTGTCAATCTGTGGGGGGCTCGGATGCATTCGTTGATATCAATTAGTAGTATATAATCTTTTCGGTTTCAGATTTTTTGTGGCTAGGAAATCATGTGTTAAAAGAATAGATTTATAGTTTGGAGGTAGAGCAAGAAGGGCCTTGTCAGGCCAAGTTGCCTAGTTCGTTGTACAGTTTTGCTGCTAGATGCAGATCTCCTTTTGTCACTGTATTACTGTTTCCATTTGTTTCTGGAGATTTGTGAAACCCTTTTCTCTGTGATTGGGGCATATGAAAATAACATAGGCAATCCATCAGCTCACTATTCTCATTGATTGGCTTCAACATTCAAAGTGCAATAATTATTGTCTTCCAAAGAATACAAGAGGAAGTTCACGAAGAGAATAAGTAATCACACACTCTGTCTGGTATTAGTGACATGACATCAGAGCACAACAAGGGATTCATACATAATCTACTCTAGTCAGTTCTAGTCAACATCAACGTGAGATCAAAACTAGCTTCATATTGTATCTGTATAGCCTAAAGAACAAGACTTTCGTTCTGGAACTTCACTTGGAAAACAGCATAGTGATGATTCAAGCTCTTCTCCCCTTGCAGTCTGTGAACACTGCCCAACGCACCTGCATTCGCATTTGGAAACACATAGAATATCCGCCTGATTCGCTGGTGAACCAGTGCCATTGCACACCTTCAAGAGTTCAAACAACCAAATGTCCATCAGCTATATAATACAATTGGTCCATGGAGAGAGATGGATAAGATCCGAGAAAAAACAACTAAGACCAACCAAAGCATGGCATGAAGAGAGCTGTGTAACAGATTGTTATTGTACTCTGGGAAGTGAAGATTAGACAATATGGCTGTATAAGGCCAACTGGTTCAACTTTTCCAACTCAGGAGGAAGAGAATGAGATCACTAACACTTACATTGTACATGGCTCACAAACAAGGAAAATGTCGTAGCCTGTGCACAAATAAGGTCTCATCAATGCAGAACTAGAATCATGATTACCAGAATCCAGCCCATTCCCAACGGCCTTCACCTGACATATGGTTGCCAGAAATCAGTGAGAAGATGGCATTCTCAAACCAAGTACTTATTTTTATATAAGACCATCCCTAAGTGATAAATAATGAATAAAAATATGCAGGTTTTCATATAGATGAAGAAGCTCACGTTTTCGCGGTCAGGTTTCTGCCTTTTTGCAGATGACCTTTCACAATCAGAGAGCATAGGCTCCAGTTCAAAGGACTGATTTGCAACATTATCTGAGCCAGGGAAAAGGCGTCTGTCCCTTTCAGCAGAAGATTCGATAGCAACAAGAGCAGCATGGTGCAATGGATGCCATGGATAAGAAGTTGATGTACTGCTGCATTCTTGTTGAGGCCATTGCCAAGGATTTAAACAAGATGCAACAATGCACAATCTTTGAGGCCCCTCGAGAGATTTGCCTGAATGAGGATTTCTTCCTTGGCTTTGTATTCCATTTGAACTATTGCAAGAGCTAGTAGCCGATTGATGTTTGTGGCATGAGTGTGCTTCATCACATGCACTTGCAATGATATGCTGAACTGAAGGATCGACGATCACTGCAGCATTAGTTATCTGCACGCACGAGAATGAGGATGGAGAATAAGAGAACCATTGTTACTGGGCAATCACAGTGAGAACTTAACTTCAGACAGTCCTATTCAATTCAATGATCGATTCAATTGCTTTTAGAAGAAAACACAAGAAGTAGTTACCAAATTGTCCCTAGTTTTTGCCAAATCAATGGCCATTTTCATGAAGCGGTAAACTGATTGTGAATCCTCGTCGCTGAATCCAGTAATGCCATCAATGTTGCTGCAATAGAAACGAATAACGGATAAGTATGGATAGAACAATTTAATACACAATCATAATGATACATATGCGGAAATCTTTTCCATAGGGATAAAGAGGATCATGAAACCTTTTTACAGAAAGAATCAGACTCCAAAACAGAGAGACGAAACTTACAAAGTAGGTGGATGGTAGGATGTGGGCCATAGTTTGCATTGTTCCAGCCACTGCTCTTTAGATGTTGCAGCATATTTGCATACCTATAAATGAAAACTTGTCAACAACATAGCTTTTCCCCTAGAGACAAGACAATAATGCAGGCTAATCCCGGTTCAATCCAATGTTCCAAATATCCCAAGTTCCAGACTTTTTATTTAATCCAAGGATCTAAGATGAGTAACTCCTAAGAACTCGAAAAATGCAGCTATGTCATACTTAACCGAAAAGTACCTGGTTTAGCACAAATCAGCAACATAACATGCCTAGTTTATCATCACAATCTCAGTTCTTTACATGCATAACCACACCAGAAACTCAGAAAGGAACTGAAAAGCACAGACAACACAAAATGAAAGACCCACTTGTGTTACAAAAGGACTCAACTGGTAGGAATCTACTAGCTCTTCCACAGCCTGAGGCAAGGCGATCCACTGGTCATCATTCCCAGAAGCAAGACACAAAATTATTGACAGCTGAACTTTCCCTGTTAGAAATCAATTCACAGAAGCAATAGCAATGAGAAAGATCGCAAAGAACAGAACACAAAACGAAATGGACAACAAACTTCGACACCGAAATGCCAAACTAACGACCTTCAAGATGCCTCTTATGTATTCGCTTAACATGGGGGAGATCCTCAAGTGGAACTATCTGATTCAACCGCCTGCTCCAAAACCAAAAGAAATAGCAGACGACATTAATAACCAACTGATTACTACCCAGAAGAGAAATTGGGGGAAAGATGGGAACTTTTCAGCTCCACAAAGCTCGAGAGCAACTAAAAAGAGACCAATTTTAACCTGATGAGATTGTTGGCATGCTTCGGCTCGGTTAACACAGAAGCAAACACACTCACTGCGGGAAAAAAAGAACGAAGCATTCTCTGAAATCTAGCACCCAAAATTTGTGGGAAAAAAGAGGCAAGAACGGAAATCGGGAAGAGACGAGTCTTTCACTTACCGGTGGGTTGCTGATCGGGCGGGATTGGTGGGGTGTCAGGAATATAGGTGATTTCTACGCAGCAGTCGGTTTTCTTCGCGGCGTCCATGGATGGTTCTTTGTTCTTCTTCCTTCTTCACCCTGAGCAATGAACTTTACAGTTTGGAAATTTGGACTTCTGGGTTCCTGTAATGAAATCGAGAAGAAGAGGTCTTCTTCTCAGTGTTGCCTCTCTGGCCTCTGCGGAGCCTAGTTCTTCTCCGTCGACGGCGGCGGTTGTAGGAAAGGCGGGAGAGTTTGCTGTATGATGGGCCGTCGGCCTTAATTTCATGGGCCCATATAGGTCTTCTTTTGGAGCAAATTAAACGGCACATTGGGCCCATAACAGTTCTTTTTGTTTTACAAGTCCCTGTAAGGCTGTGACATCTAGATTTTAGGGAGGGGAAAGGAAGGGAAGGAAGGGAATTTGGATGACAATTTGAATTCGCTCGTGGTCGTTGGGTATTATTTGATTCGACTAATGTAGGAGCAAATCAATATTCGATCTGCAATAGCGTAGGGCGAATTATGAGTACTATTATCATCTTGTCTTATTTTGTTTTGTTTCGTTCTTGATTTGACTTAATATTTAATTATATGTCTTCTATATTTACTTATCTTAAATAATATTTACATCCAATGATAATTTAGATAAGTGCAAGACTTTATCTCAACTAATTTCACTGAATTACTCTACTATCATCTCATATTTGTAACACTTACGGTTCGTTTCCATCTCTGACGGAGTCAATTCCCATGAACCCATTCAAATACAAACGAAACTTCACACGCTCCTTCCCCAGTCGCGGACACTGCGACCGAGTAGGCTGATAGAGTGCACAACGTGTCACCTAAATGTTCTCACCTAAATGTTCTCTGATCTGTTATATTGTTAGTGGATTGTAGCTTTCTGTTCCTAGTTTACTGCCACATTCTAGTTCTGTTAGTAGCCTGCTGTAATCTCGGCAATCAGTTGCCAAACCTCTGTATAAAGATCAACATCTCAATAATACACAGCTGGGGTTTCACCATGCATTTACATGGTATCAGAGCCTCAAATTTCCTCTAACGAGGTACTCTGTTTTCTTCTTCTTCCTGGCCTTCCGTCTCATGCATCATGTCTTATGAAACAACTATTCTCACATCTCCTTCTTCTTCTTCTTCTTCTTCTTCTTTCTTCTGCTTCCTTGGATTCCTCTACAAATGATTCACTCCCTCTTCCTCTGTCGCCGTCGTTGGCAGCAAAATAGTGATTACAGACCCGCCGACGCTGCATCTTCTTTCCTTTTTCCTCAACCTTACTTATGTTGCCCCTCCCTCTCCCCTACTTCTGTCAAGCTTTCCTTTCCCTCTGTGATCTTTCTGTTTTTCTTCCTCCTTCATTCTCGTTTCTTAGTTGCCTTTTATGTTCACCCCAATTAGAGAGAGAGCCCCAATCCCATTTCGTCTCCTCCTTCAATGTTCTCTCCTTATTCTTCTCCTAATTAAAACCCATCTTTCCTTGATCCCATTCACTCACCGTCTCCCAACAACCAATCCACCCTCCAATTGGCCAGCCAAATAAAAATGTCGACCTCCCCAAACCTCTCCCGTTTCCTCTGTTTCTTCTTCCTACTCCTTTCTGCTTTGCTTCCATCTTGCCAGAATTTCTCGCTCCCCTTGATGGCTTGTCCTTTCCCCCTTCTCAAATGCCAAACTACCGCCGTTAGGTTGAAGATGAAGCCCTCTCACATCGTCAGACTACCAGTGCTCTACTCAGCTGCCAGAGGCACATCACACTCGAGGGATCGTCAAGAAGCAACTTCGAGTTCATTACCTACCAGCACTGGCGCAACTCGCATCCTCGCCAAACCATTGACTCAACTCTCCCTTTCAGCAATTTTTCTTCAAGTTTCACCTCTCCGAGGTTTCACTTGCGGGGGCGTGATAGAGTGCACAACGTGTCACCTAAATGTTCTCACCTAAATGTTCTCTGATCTGTTATATTGTTAGTGGATTGTAGCTTTTTGTTCCTAGTTTACTGCCACATTCTAGTTCTGTTAGTAGCCTGCTGTAATCTCGGCAATCAGTTGCCAAACCTCTGTATAAAGATCAACATCTCAATAATACACAGCTGGGGTTTCACCATGCATTTACATAGGCTTCTTAGCTTTGCATGCACTGCCATCGACCATAGCATGCATAAGTTGATTAGGTTATTCATAAGAGCAGAATTAACCAAGATTTCCATATTTACCTGTATTTTTTTTCAAATAATGGGAATTTAATTAATGGACAGAAGCAGTAATAAAAAAATTTAAGGAAAAAAAAAAAGGTTGTTCCGCTGCCGGGACTAGAACCCGGAGTTCCCTTTTGAGGAACGATTGGTTGATTTCAATTGTTTACCAGCTACAGCGGATTTATTGATATTAATTTGCAATCAACTGTAATTATATTACTTAACTAGCAATAAATAATATTTTCCATGATAATCTAAAGCTTTTATGTATTTTATTTTATTATATTAATAGCCAGATAATATATTTTTAAAAATGATCGAGATATTCCACTACAAGAAAAGCAAGCTTTAGCGGCTAATAGTGGAGGCACTTTTTCTATTTGTCCCTAAAACTTAGTGTTTAGCGACAATTAATTATTTGTCCCCAAATAAAATTTTATTTGCCTCTAATTGTTTCTTTTTCACTTAAAAATTATGTACGTTATTGTGAATACAACTATACAAGCAACTTAATTGTAAAATAGCATTTAAAGACAGAAGGAATAGCCGGTAAAAGTGTTATGATTAGAGGCAAATATAATTGCCACAAATAACTAAACTACACACTAATTATAAACAAAGAAAAAAGAAATGATAATTTATCAACCCAAACAGAGCTTTTTTCGATAATTAAAAAAGTGAAAATCATAATATAGCTATTTTCACCCTTTCATCCTTCCCATCGTCGTTCCATCTGCCCCAGCTCTATACAGTTCTTGTATTCTCGAGAGTTCGCCGCCAAGCCTTTCCAGGACATGTTTCTTTCCTTCTCAATAGTACGATTCTGTTTAAACTCCATCAGAGCCAGAGGCCTCTGGTATTTGTTCCTCTTTTCTGATTCACATACAATTTCTTCTATACAGTACCCACTCGACAATACTCCTCGTCTTCTTCTCCATGTCCTTTGTAATCAAACCGACGAAATCACCAATCCAATTGTATTTTCCTTCAATTTTAGGGTTCTTTACGCTCTAGTCACTTCCCCTTCAGCCTTTCTCATTCTCTCATAGTTCCATTAGATCTCAAGGATTGAGATATCTTTTAGGGTTTCTCGACGACAATGTTCGAGGGTTGTGAAGAGAGCTAGATCGAGGTTGTGACGACGTATCAAAAGGTGGGAGTGTAGAGTTGCGCTATTGGCAGGCAGTATGATCCTCTAAAGCCTAATTCTTGTACAATTATTTCTTTGCCTTGGTTTTCAATTTAGATTCTTTATAATTGATCCATGGTTTATGGTGACCTCTTACGATTCTTGTTGTTGTACAGTTATTTAGTTTTCTATGGCTTATTTGGCTACATAAGTTGGTTTTGTTGATGAATTCCCTACTCTCCGGTTGGCAAGACTGCACAATTCACATGACTAAGGAACTGAATATTTAGTAAGTTGTCTGCTTCCAAAGTATTTGTAAATGAAACAAATTTGTTTGCATCATACATGATCAGGGTAATGTTAATGGACATTACCAATTGATAATCCCACTTGTGTTTTTGACGTTTACATAGTGCTATCACATGGTGTGTATATATATATATATATATATATATATATATATATATGTGTGTGTGTGTGTGTGTGTGCGCGCGCGTGTGTTCAAGTACGACTGGTCCAGTTTGCTATCTAGTATCTTTGTACAGTTTCATCTAGGTTCGGTTTTCTCTATTGAAGCCCGTAGGAAGTTCATGCTAGCAGCAGCCGTGAAGGATGTCGGGCAGGAGAATGATGAGAACAACTACACTCCTTGATGGACTGTGGTATGCTTTATGTTCTCGACACTTACCAAACACTTGGTGTGCAATCTCATGATGAAGTTAGTGGACAGTTTGGTGTTTGTGTGCTTTTATTTCATGCTACAATCTTGCCAATTGTTCTAGTGAATGTGATGAACAATCTTGCCAAATTTTCATTCCAGGAACAGTTTCTTTTTCACTCATTAGCACTATGCTTTACAATGGAATTCTGGTCTAACTCCGTGTCTTTAACTCTAATCCATATAGTAGATATTTCTAGTCGACTCCAAATTTTGGTCCAGGAGTTCTGGACAAGTACTATATATGGAATCATTACAAGGAAAGTTGAAGCAAGTTTATGAGCTCGGGGAGTCGTTTTGATGCCTACATGGTATGCTTCCTAACCTTTGTGATCTTATCGGAGGATGGAGGGCCATTCAATAACATTTCTTTTTTCATGTAACTCCACGACCAGGTATTTCAGTTATAAAGATTAAGCATATATATGTTCTACTATAGCATAGTTTGGTGTCCTCGATGTTCTTATATGCACCTTTGTAGCTTACTTATACAACAACTTAGCTCCACTTATTTCTTTTTAAAAGAGTATAATTCTGCAGATGGATAAATCACTAAAGCAAGAGTATTGAACATTAGTGACACAACAACCAGGTGAGCTTTGAGAAGTTCAACAAGAAGATGACCGGCTTTCAATCATTTGCAAACAGGAAAACAATTTGATACTTAGCAACTCTCCAACATTGTGGAACTATTTTATATGAATAGTGTTTGGCAGTTTCAATATTTTAGTTGGGACCTTTATATCTCGTTAGTCCCATTGTATCAGCAACTTATTGTTAATTAACAGCTTTTATATCAGATATCAATAACAATTTTTCGCTGTCCATGTTTGTATTTTCTCTCTAAATTTTATTTATTATGTTGGACATCAAGATTTAATATTTAATGTAAAAAGTGGGAATGAAAATTAGAGGCAACGATGTTTAGAGGCTAATAAAGCTAATTTTAGAGGGTATTAATCTGCCATTTAACTACAATAATCAGCGGCTAATATATTTGTTGGAGAAAAGATATTAACTGGCAAATAATTGCCACTACATCTCACAATTAACGACTCATTTATATGCCTTTAAACATGTTATCAGGGGCACGCATAAACTACTTATGGTGGCACATTATTTGCCTTTAAACGTGCAATTGCGGGCAATACATATTAGCCGCTAAGTTTTGTCGCTAATTACTTTTAGCGGCAGCAGTATTGGTGTCACATAATTATGTGCCACTAATGAGTTTTGGAGGCAAATATATGTATTATAGTGGCAAATGGTCACTGCCGCTAATTCTTATTTTTCTTGTAGTGCACTACAAGAAAAAAACTATATAGCGGCTGTGAACATCTGCCTCCATAAGCCATTTATTTGCTGCTGAAGCCCTTTCGAGGCACACAATTGTGTGCTGCGGATGCTGCTGCCGGCAATCACTTTTAGCGGCAGAATATAGCAGCAGTTATATGTTGCCGCAAATAGGATGTTTAAAGGTGGATATATCTGCCTCCAAAAGGGTTATATTGTGCTGCTTGTTAAGGTTTTTTTTATGGCATATATATCAGTCGTCTTACTGTGAGATTTGGAGGCAAATTGTTTGCTAGCAAACATCCTTTTAGGGACTATTATATTAGTCGCAGATTGAATAGTTGAAGGCAGACCAATAGCCTCTAATAGTTTTAAAGTCAACGCATCTAATTTTCATATTCACTTATATATTAAATATTTAATTTTGATCTCAGCTGAACTAAAAATATGAGAAAAAGAAGACAAAAATAGATAAACTGCTATTGATAGTGAACAAGTACTTTTGGTTGAGTACCAATACAATGGAATTATTGATGAAGGTTCTCAAGTGGTAAATGAAATCTAAAAGAACTATTCACATGACAGGGTTCGCAAATGTAAGACTTGCTAAGTATCAAATAGTGTTTCTGTTTGCAAATGCGTGAAAGCCACTGATCCTCCAGCCGAATTTCTCAAATACACCTGCTTTTCATTTCATCAACATTGAACTCTTATGCTTTAATGATTTATCTACAATCTGCAAAATTAACAAACTCTTTTAATGAGAAATCTAAAGTAGACGTATTCACTGATGAACAGGTATTCCACAGAACTTGATGTTGTGAAAGACAATGTCTAGCCCATATTAGTAGATTGAGCGAGCTAAATATAACAAATGAGAAATATAAATGAGAGGATACATTACTTTGAGAAAAATATGACTAGTAGTCATAGTCATAACTCATTGGCAACAGTTTATGTTTCGGAAGAAGTTTAGCTAAGTTGAAGTACTAGCAAGGAAAAAAGGAATATCAGAACATCAAGGTCACAAGACCCTGCTATCATAAAATATGCATAATCTTAATACCTGAAATGCCAAGTGCTTAAGATTCATGAATAAGAAGTTTCTTTGAGTGACCTCTCATCTTGATTACCAAACCCAAAACTCTATATCAGACCCCTTTATAAGAGAATCAAACCAATGGAAGCATACCATGTAAGCATCAGAACGATGCCACATACTAATTAGAAAATACTGCAACTTTCCATTCATAGAAGTCATGCAAAGGCTCTAAGTTTGACTTTTGGACTCAACAAACTCTAAAGGATTCAAATTAGGGAAACAGAGTTCAGATTTCAATGTTAAGCCTAGTGTAAAGCAATAAAAAAGACAATTCATGGGATAAAATTGGGTGTGCCTAACTTTCATCACAATTCACAAACACTAATAAATATAAACACATATAGATTCTTCATCATCAAATGTTAGCATTTAAACAAGAACATTTCAACTAACTTCTTCAATTCTAGAAGCCCTCCATTCAAGCTGCAGGTATGTACACTGTACAAGAACAAACATAGAAAAAACACAATAAGCGGGGTTGGGGGTGATTGGGGAGGGGCAGATGAAGCCAACAATCAATCATAAAGGATTCAATTGAAAAAGCAATAAGCACCAAAGAATGAGAATCGAAAGAGTCATACCACTAGCTGGGTAAATCCCTACACCCACAATCTGTACTTCGTCGTCATTGCCAATATCAAAACCCCGATCTCGATCAGCACGGACCCCCAATCCTTGTCACTGGAAAAACTAATTGTTTCCTACGGCTACGAGAAATATTGGCCCTCGATATCTAATACAACAACAGGGGGATGGGGTAGGGACGCAGGGTAAAGGGGGAGTGACGGGAGATCTGAAAACCCTAACATTCAATAAAACCCAAATGGATTGGTAATTCCATGGATTTTATCACAAAGAACTTGAGATGACGGCTAGGACCATCACTGGGTGGGTGGGTGCTTCATAGAATATACAGTGAGGAAGGAGAAGAGCAAGGACTATCCCCCACCGCCGTATACCTGCAAAAACGAAAACCAACGCTCGATCTCTCCCCACCCTGAAGTTCACGTTTCATCGTGTTTCGTTATTGATAGGAATGGCGCTGCTGAGAAGGAAAGAAATCCGATTAGGGAAAGACTTGGCATCGACATTTGGAGAAACCAACTATAGAGAGATCTAGGGCAGATGGAATGATGAGGGAAGAAGAAAATATGAATGGGACGATAAATTTTTTTTTTTTTTGGTTAAAATGGGACGATAAGTTTGCTAGTTTGAATTAAATTTCAATTTTTTTGTGTTAATAAATTCTCATTCATTCAAAAAAAATATATCATTTCTTATAATTAGTGTGTGCCGTTCGTGGCAATAGTGTTTGCCTGTAATCATGACACTTTTACCGGCTCATCAAAGTGTCTTTAAATGTTATTTTATTCATATGAGTGCTGATAAATAGCAGCAAATAACTATCTACCCCTAAAACATCCACTTGCATAATTTTTTTACGGGAAAAAGATAAATTAGTGGCAATTGATATCACATATAGAGGCACATGAGGTAATTGTCACCTTATATTAAAATTTAGTGACACATAAATAAAGTGCCGCCACTATCTGTCGCTAAATCATATTTTTCTTGTAGTGACTAGAGGTGTCAAAACAGAACTCGATTCGAGAAATCTGTTCAATCAACCTGACCCGCAACTCTATTGACCTGTAACCCGACTTAACCGTGACCCCGTCAACCCAATTTGACCCCGCTCGATTGACATAAATAATTACTATGGGGTCGTTTGGTTTTGGACCTTTGGTCATAGTTAAATTGATATATTGTCAGCAACGCATGCATAATAGTATACATGAATATAAGAAAATTGGTGCATTATAGTGTTTTTTTTTATAAAGGTGAATTATCCTAAAACAAAGGATAATTTCTTTAAGTTGATGGTTGATGAGATATCAAGACCGAATTCTTTGAGTTGCACGAAACGCCCCACCATCTGCCAAACTTCCTTCGAGAAGCTGTAAAACACGAATAAATGATCTATAGTCTCTTCGTATTTGAGGCAGAGAATACATCGACTCGGAAAGGCCCAACCTCTTCTCTTAAGAGCATCATGAGTTAAAATTTTCTTCTGGAAGACGATCCACAGGAAGACACAGACTCTTGTGGCTTCTCCGTGATCGATTAAAACCAATAACAATGACGACAATGATTTTTCTCCCAGGAATAAATCCGGCAAGAATGAAACAACTCATATGTTGTCAACGCTCAACACCCCTTAAATCACAACGCTAAGAAAACACAATAAACCACCTTTTTCTTCAGCCTTCGAAAAACTTCATGGGACAATCCTATAGGCTACTTTAATTTCCGACAGAGTTAGAATGATCTTTCTATGTTTGTTCAACATACTATACATGGTGTTACTGCGCTTCTGTTATATGTCGATGGCATGATAATCACAGGATATGACCATGAAGGAATTAAGGAGTTAACCGCTCTCTCTCCATCAGGCGTTCAATCTTCAGGAACTCGGAGATGTGTCTTATTTTCTCCGATTAGGGTGCATCGATCCAAGCAAGGATCGGTTGTATCTCAAAAGAAGTGCATAACAGACTTATTGAGTGCAACACAATTCGAGGATTTTAAACATTGTTTGACGCAGAAGGAGCATAATTTGAAACTATGCACGGAGAGTGGACATCTCATTGAAGATCAGTCGTTCTACCTTAGTGTGGTGGAAAGTCTTATATATCTCACTCATACGATACCAGACATATCTTATGATGTTCAAGTAGTGAGTCAGTTTGTAGGAGTGGCGAGAACTACTCACCTTGATGCAGTAACCTGTCTCCTGTGTTATTTGAAAGGTACTAGAGATGTTGGTTTGTTCTTTCCACGGAAGAACCTACTAATACTATTGAAGCCTTTGCAGACGTAGATTATGCAAGATGGTTAGCCATGCCAGACGTTCCACATCTGATTTGTACATACAGTTTGGCAAATCATTCATTTCATGGAGATGTAGTAAACCTGATAAAGTTTCAAAGTCCTCTATCGAAGCAGAAGCAGAGTACAGGTCCATGTCCGAGCAAGTTCAGAAATGGTATGGATTCGGCATTTATTCCAGGAATTAGGAATATCGTGCCAGGTGCACATGATGATAAATGTAGAAAACATGAGTGTGATGCAGATAGCCGTGAATCTACTTCCACATGATCGAATGAAACACATTGAAGTACACATACACTATATATACATCATCAACTATATATACATAATCAACTAGTATCCAAAGGTGTTATTCAGTTGCAATACTTGAGGACAGAGGATCAAAGAACAGACGTATTAACGAATACAGTGGCATCAAGCAGTCACTGATATCTTTATTTCAAAATTGATGTACTATCTTGTGAATAGCCATCCGAGAGCCACACGTATAACATTAGGGTTTGGAGGGAAAAACCCATATAAATATGTAGCCGAACTGGCCGGCGATTATTAGGGCGGAGAGAAGAGAACAGCAAAGGCAACAACGAAAAGGAAAGCAAAGAATCGCGGTACACGCAGTCCTCGAGTCTGAAGTTAGTTATGCAGTGCACAAGCAAGTACAGTAATTATTGTACTTCTCACAGAGGCAACCCACCCAGCAGTAATTAGGATCGGGATGGGGACCGCACCGGTCTGGGAAAGCCGTCTGACAGCCTTCGTCGGTGCAAAAAAAGCTGCAGTCGTCCTCTGCCCGGGCCGTCCTGTTGTTGATCATCACCACACCTGGTGCAAATATCAAGTTCTTCTGGGTCTTCTCCGTCGTCTTCGTCGTCGGACCATTGTCGTCGACATGGGGACTAACTATTCTCGATGCGCCTGCAGGGAAAACACCTGCACTAGTCGTACATGCAAACAAATATGATCAACACATGAACAACCGGTCATACCACTAGTCTTTTGAATATGAAGGTTACAGATTCGAATTTCTTTAACTAGTACGTACATAGAATGATGATGATAATGAGAAGAGGGACTAGAGCAGTCAACTTAGCAACACTACTACTGGCCATGGCTAGCTGATTAGCTGCTTAGCTTCTTCTTTCTTTTTGGATGTTGGTTATATATGAACATGCGTACGTATTTATAGTAGCAGTTGATAGTGCGATGATCGAGCAGTTGTTAATGAGCTGATGAATATATCAATGAATTTCTATTCTTGAGTGGACTCGCCGAGGGCATCGCACCTCTTGTTTCTAGCTATTTTCGTTGGCTTCTCCGACCGTGATCCACCAAAACCAATTACAATGACGCCGTTTTTTCACCTAGGAATAAATCCGGCAAGAATCAAACAATTCATATCTTGTTAACATCCCTTAAATCATAACAACTCATTATATATCGTGATAAAAAGAGTGAAACAACATTGTTGATGAGATTCTGTTTTGTTCTGCGCCGTCTAAAATTGGCTATATAGTCCGGTCGAGCATTTGGTTTCCTTGTCTGTTAGTGAACTCATCATCGGTAGGAATGGTAATGGGGGGCGTTAGACAACGGGTATTTTGATGCTCATAATTGCAGTACTGTGACAGGGTCGGATTCAGATAATTAGATAATTTGTCATGGGGCAGGTCAACCTACATGGGTATGTAAATGAAACATAAAACATTAAAAATATACATTTTTCATTCAGAAAATCAAGAAACACACGGTAACATAATGAATGTAGTTAAATTATTCGAGAAATTGAGACTCTCACCTATTTATAATTTTATTATAGCTAAAATATTAGATAATAAAATTTATATTCTAAATAATTTAAATAAAATTACTAGTAATTTAAATAAGAACGGGTAAAAATTGGTAGGGATGAATACATCTTAGATCGAAGAGACTGCCTACGAGACACGGAGACAGATATTACCACGAGACCAACCTTTTTGAAATCTACTTGCATGCGTAGCAACTAATAAGCTTAGTCAACTTATTAATTACTTCAATTTTTTTCGACCAATATTGTCCCCATTGCATCGGCGGAGCGTGCGTACCCATGTGCCTAATAAAACTAATCCCCATGCAGTGGGAATCGTCACACATTCTGATCCCCATGCATGCAGAGTACGTACTTTGCAATCAAAACCATGCACGTAGCTTATCCCAAACGGCATGATATTGAAACAAAGACGGACACATCTCTATTATTTACGAACATATTAGTTATTTTTTCTCAAAGATAAATCGGTAGGAGAGTACAAGATATTAAAACGTAAATGCACGGTCAATACTAATCGACGTATCGATATATTTTTTTTTTTTGCCACGCAATGATCAACTATATTTGTTTTCTAAGAATTACATAAAAAAAGTTAAAATACTAAGAACTCATAAAAAGATATAAGCTTCACTCTTCCAACTCCCAACCATGAATGTAAAGGGTTGCTTAAATTATTATAAGATTATGAAATAAATTATTGTTAGCAATAACAGTAGTTACCGCTAACTAAAGTAAAATAATAATAATGATTGATTGCATCAACAAAATCCGCTGTAGCTGGTAAAAATTGAGATAAACCAACCGTTCCTCAAAAGGGAATTCCGGGTTCGAGTCCCGGCAGCGGAATCTAACTCTTTTTTATTCCCCCTCATTTTTTTTTTTTTTACTGCTTTGCGAAGGTTTAATTGATTCTCCATATTACAAAGGTATGTTTCTAACGTTATTTTGCTGTTTTGATTCGACAGAGGGTTGCCGACAGGAAAGCTAATCGTCATGGTCTTGACTCTTGTGCTTGTGGCTTCCTGGAAAAAGAAAAAAAAAATGCAATCGCCTAACCTAATCAAAGTACTTAATTAATCAGTATACAGTAATTGAAACGAATAAAGTGGGAATCGTCACACATATTGACGGTGTCTCATATCCCATGCATGCAGAGTACGTACTGCCGTCAAAATCATGCACGTACGTAGCATGGTTACGTAAGTTCATTTTTGGCCATCGAAAGTCATATTGTATTCATGATGTAGCAAAGACGGACGTCACATCTCAATTATTTTACGATTATATTAGTGTTTTTTTTTGTCACGAATAAATTGTAAATCGGTATGAGAGCACAAGATATTAAACCGTAAATGTGGCGGTATTATACGAATCGACATGTTGATGAAAGAGCTTTTTGTGCCACGCAATGGCCCGCTCTGTTATAGTTGGTTCCCTAAGAATAAAAATACTAAAAAAAGGGATATAAGCTTAGTTGGACATTTTTATTACTTATTATTTTATGAAGGGGAAAAACCCAGACCGATGATTATCGATGAAAAGAAAACAACCCACCCAAATTACAAGTTGGCCGGCTATTATTAGGGGACCGGCCGGCCGGGAAAGGGAGAAAACGCCCGTGAAAAGAGAAGAAAAGGAAAGGCAACAACGTAAAGGAAAGCAAACTCCTTTGAGTGTGAAGTTAGTTATGCAGCTGTGCACAAGCAAGTACAAAAATTGTAGCTAGGAGTACAGAGGCAACCCACCCAGCAATAATTAGGATCTGGATGGGGACCACACCGGTCTGGGTAAGCCAGCCGGCATTTCTCGTCGGTGCAAAAAAAATCGCAGTCGTCCTCTGTCCGGGCCGTCTTATTGTTGACCATCACCACACCTCCACTTATTGGCAGGAAGGTCAAGTTCGTCGTCATCGTCGCCGGAGCAATGTCGTCGAGGGTTTCCGTCGGCTGGGGACTAACTATTCTCGATGCGCCTGCAGACAAAACACCTGCAACATACGAATATGATCAACAGTACTTGCATGCGAAAATGTCAAAGGACCTGTTGATCTCAATAACTCGAGTTGTTGAAAGAGATTCAATAATGAGAAGAGGATAACGATGATGATGTACGCACATGGAAGGATGATGATGAGAAGAGGGACTACTACTGCAGCCAACTTAGCAACACTACTACTGGGCGCCATGGCTAGCTGATTAGGTGCTTGCTTCTTCTTTCTTTCTTTTTGGAAGTTGATTAGGTATATGTGTGTATATTTATTGTAGCAATATATATATATATATATATATATATATATATATATATATATATATATATAATAGTGCGAGCAGTTGTTAATGAGCTGATGAATGTAACAATGAACCTCTAACGGCATCGCACCTCTTGTTGAGTTGTTTCTAGTTATTTTCGTTGGCTTCTTCGAGATCCACCAAAACCAATTACAATGAAACCGTTTTTTCTCCTAGGAATAAATCCGACAAGAATCAAACAACCCATGTGTTGTCAACACCCCTTAAATCAACTAAACACTAATAAAGGAACATATATCCCAATTTCATTATGGTGCAAGTGATTTTATGTTCACAAACTCAAACGGTGAGGATTGGGCCACATCGTCATCAGGGGAGGGAATGAAGGTTTATGAGTACGTGTTTGGCTAGCGGAAGGACTTAGGAAGAAATAAAAGATTGACTTGAGCCATTTAGCCAAGTAAGGCCAAGCCAAGCCAAACCATTTTTTCTTTTTGCTTTTTGTGTAGCCACAACTCCAAACTCCACTCACCACTCTCTTTCTCGTTTGTCTCCCAAAGCGTTGATGTTTTCTTGTCGTTAAAACGTGATGTCTTGATGTAATGCAGTGGCGGAGTCAGGATTTGAAAGAACCTTTTTTCAAATTATAAACAAATATTAAATATAATTCGTTCATATATAAAGAAGTAACCAATTACTGTAATCATTTTTTTCATAAACAGCCAAGACACATTTTCATATTTTGAGTTAAATTAAATTTATGTTAGCTTTAAAATAAGAATGCCTTATAGTTTAGTGGTATATGTAATACTCTTATATTATCTAGAGATCATGAATTCAATACTTAGTTTATACATATATGGGCGACATGATCGCTGAAAAGTAAATAACTTACTTGTACTTGAAGGCATGAATTTAAAAGAGTAGCCATGCATAAGTTAAATGCATAATTAAATTGAAAAAATCATTGCTCCCATCTGAAGCTCTTCAGGTCCTCGTTCCCCTGTTGTGCTGGCTGGCACACCTCCATTCACTAAGCTCCATCGTTGTTCTCCGTCGGAAGGCTCCAACGTCGTCGTCAAGTCCTTGTAGCCGTGATTTTGGGTGTTCTTGCGGCTGCGGTTTGTAAAGTGGGAGAGAGACCAGCTGAGCTAGGGTTTCTCTTGCGGGGGGGATAGAGGTTACTCCTCCAGCTAGGTTTAAAGGGATTTAATATAGGCTTAATTTTTCTTAGATAAAAACCGTTGATTGCATAATTACATCAACAGAATCCGCTGTAGCTGGTAAAAATTGAGATAAACCAAATCGTTCCTCAAAAGGGAACTCCGGGTTCGAGTCCCGGCAGCGGAATTTAACCCTTTTTTTTATTATTATCACCCTCCAAAATTGTTTTTACTGCTTTTTTTTTTCCAAGTAATGACAAGAGAAAAAATAGTTAGAAACCTCTACCCAAAACCCCACCCAAAGCAACACTTAGTGAAGCCACCCTACAAAATCAAAGGACGCTACCTCTAAAGAGGACAGCAACAGAGCTTTAGGTGCCACTCTATGGGCAGCTCAGTTGGCAGTCCGCAGAACCACACTAAAAACTATACAAAGAGAGCATGAAACTAGGAGCCGATGACACTCTTGGAGTAGTGAGCCGCCTATCGAATCTTCCACTGTTCTACGGACCAGATGCCGAATCACCACTTCAGGATCACCTAGCAGCAAGGTGCTTTGCTAGATAGGGATCGAAAACTCCTTGGTGCTGAGATCCCAGGCCAGTAGAACTTGCCCGTCTGTCCCATGTATGACGAAGCCAGACGAGCAACCGGAACGACAAACAACAGCATCAAAGAAGATCTTCACAAAGTGTGGAGGCGGGCGATGCAGAACGGAAGGAGGAGAGGGCACAAGACTGAGAGAGAGGTCCTGGGGGCTGAAAGGCTAAGGAAAATTCAATGACTTGGAAATGGAATTGACGGGCAAGAGAACGGGCGTGTGGCTGAGTATATTCAAAAACCACTTTGTTAAGAGATTTCCAGATTCTCCAAAAAAGGCAAACGAATGGGAGAATGTGGGTTTGGAAGTTTACTGAAAACATAACATTGTCGCCACCATATACTAAAGTTCGAAATTTGGGCGGAAGCAAGCAAATCACTTAATCCCACTAAAAGTCCATAGCATGATGACAAGAGGGCAATGAAAGAACAAATGTTCAATAATCTCTTGATATTCCCAACAATCTAGATATTTGAGAAAGCAATTTACTTCATGAAATTGAAGAGCCACCATAGTTTGCAATGTCATTTAACATAATACAAATACAATTTAAAATAATACAAACCATTCTTAGTGGAAAGCCATATCCGCTAATCACCCACTCTTCAACTTTGTCGTGATTTATTAACCCTAATTAATTTTCTAACAAAAAAATTGGTCATAACATTTGGCAAGAAACCAAAAATTGTTTTTACTGCTTTGCGAAGGTTTAGTTGATTCCCCATTATTTTCAGAAAATTATTGTAAAAAATGGGTATTACAAAGATCTGTTTCTAATGTTATATTTTGCTGTTTTGATTCGATAGAGGGTTGCCGATGACGACAGGAAAGCTAATCACCATGGTCTTGACTCTTATGGGAATTGAACACACAACCTTACAATGTGAAGTGTGTCTGACAAATCATGGTTTATGAAGATGACCAGATGGGTCAATATTTTCATTGCTTAATTGTTTTATGAAGGGGGAAAAAATTACCATACCCCTGATTATCGATGAACAACCCACCAAATTACAAGTTGGCCGGCCGGCGATTATTAGGGCGCGAACTGGCCGGGGAAAGGAGAAAAGAGAAAGAAGAGCAAAGGCAACAACGAAAAGGAAAGCAAAAAAATCGGTGCACGCATTCCTTCTCCTTTTGAGTGTGAAGCTACGTTATTATGCAGTGCACAAGCAAGTGCAGAAATTGTACTTCTCACCACTGCTACCATGACATAAGCAACCCACCCAACAATACCTAGGATCTGGATGGGGACCGCACAAGCTTGGGTAAGCCTCCAGACATCTCTCGTCGTTGCAAATATCGTCGCAGTAGTCCTCTGCCCGCCGGGCCGTCTTGTTGTTCGTCATCACCACACCTCCTCTTACTGGCAAGAAGGTCATGTTCCTCGTCGTCGCCGGAGCATTGTCGTCGTCGACGACATTCTCCGGCACCTGGGGACTAACCATTCTCGTTGCTACATGCAAATAGATATGATCATCAACATCCGAACAAGGACTTTGTCTAGTGATAATACCGTTAATGTTGAACCTTGAGAGGTTACAGATGGAAATGTCTTAAATAGTACCTAAACAATAACAAAAAAGTAAATCTTTATCGGCCTTTGTGAAAATGTACGTACATGGAAGGATGATGATGATGAGAATGAGAAGAAGGACTGGTGAAGCGAACTTAGCAACACTTCTACTGGCCATGGCTAGCTGATTTAGGTGCTTCTTCTTTCGTTCTTTCTTTATTTATTTATACTAGCAATATAATAGTGCGAGTAGTTGTTAATGAGCCTGATGAATATATCAATGAATCTTCAACGGCATCGCGGCCTCTTGTTCCTAGCTATTTTTCGTTGGCTTCTCCGAGATCCACCAAAACCATTTACTATGACAACGTTTTTTCTCCTAGGAATATATCCGGCAAGAATCAAACAAACTCATATGTTGTCGAACACTCCTTAAATCATAACACTATGCGCTTGTTTGAGAGTTGCGATTGTTAAATAGACGTATTGTTGAGAATGCAAGTATATAATATTATACATGTTTTGTCAAATTTGTTGCGCGTTGTAAACTATAACGTTTGGTATGTGTGATTTGTGTATTGTCACATCAGCTAAAAGTTGAGAGTTGAGACAAAACAATCTTAGCTCAACTATCTCAAACCATCACAATTAAAAGCTGAGTAGGAGAGTACATTTGTTTATCCCACAAACCCAAACTCCACTTACCACTCTCTTTCTCGTTTTTCTCCCAAAGCGCTCTCTCTTTACTGATAGGGTGAAATTCGAAGGAGCTTCCTAAAATTTTATCTAAGATTTCATATATACAAGGCCCTCCATATTAGATCCAAGCTGATCTAGATCCGAAAAGCTTCTCTTTTTTTTTTTTTCTTCTTCTTCCTGCTCCTCCTACCCAAAGAATCGGACTAAGCTCACTTTTGGATCGTCGTGAGAAGTCCCTTCTTCGGATCTAGATCCAATATCATCCAGATTCGGGTACTTCCCTCATAAGTCACGGCGTCGTAGGTGCGGTAGTAGTTGAAATCGACCACCACTGAATTCACTGACTGATCTAGGTAAGCTCGTGAAGATAGGCCAATTTGGTCATGGGGAAGATCGTCGTCGTCGATTCACTGAAGAAACGTACAAAATGCATATATTTGTTTACTTATTGTTAATTTTGAGAAGAAGTAGGGTTTATTATTATTTTTTTTCTATATTGTTGATCGGAATATATGATTTTCAATTTCTTATGAAGTTTTGCATAATCAACCGATGATTAATTCTACTCGCAAATGAATTTTATATCGTCAGAATAGCTTCAATTAGTTTACGCTGTAAGCGTTCTCAATTTTCTTTTCCCGACGAGTTAGAACATTATTTCCGATGACTTTTTTCGCCTTGTGAGCAATAACATTATTTCTGACGGGATTGTAACCGACGGACATAATTCTTCATCACTAAAACCTACTATATTTTTATCGATTTTTGAAGTATGATTTTTCGTAACACCGTAACCCAACTGGGTACTATTTTTACTCAAATTTCCTTGTTAAATCGTTAACCAAAATAAGAATCGAAGGGACTTGAAAAAAATTAGCACTGAAGGGGGGGGGGGGGGAAACCATACCGATGAATATGATAGTCTCAGTCCTACAAAGTACATGAGAACTTACATTAGGCAACAGTAATCTGTATTTCACATAATTTATTTTATGAAGGGGAAAAAAGCATACAGGTGATAGTCGATGAAAAGAAAACAACCCACACCCACCCAGATTACAAGTTGGCCGGCGATCGATTATTAGGCCGGGAACCGGAGAAAACGAAAAGAGAGAGCAAAGCAAAGCAAATCGGTACACGCACGCAGTTGCCTTGGCCCTTGAGAGTGTGAAGTTGCGTTATTATGCAGTGCACAAGCAAGTACAAACATTGAACCTATAACCACTGTCAGCAGTGCAGAAGCAACCCACCCAGCAATAGTTAGGATCTGAATCGGGACCGCACAAGTTTGGGGAATCCTTCTGACAACTCTCGTCGTTGCAGCCAACACTGCAGTAGTCCTCTGCCCGGGCCGTGTTATTGCTCACCATCACCACACCTCCTCTTATTGGCAGGAAGGTGGAGTTCGTTATCGTGGTGGTCGTCGTCGGAGCAATGTCGTCGTCGAGGACATTCCCCGGCTGGGGTCTAACCATTCTCGATGCGCCTGCAGTCAAAACACCTACTGCATACAAATAAAATATGATCAATGCACGCACGAATCAAGGTTTGGTTTAGTGATAATACTACTAGTGTTGAACCTGGAAGTTACATGTTCGAATTTCTAATTAAATAGTACCTAAATAATGAAAAGTAAATCTTATCTGCACATACATGGAAGGATGACGATGATGATGAGTAGAGGGACAACTGCAGCCAACTTAGCAACATTACTACTAGCCATGGCTAGCTGACTAGCTGCTTTTTTTTTTTTTTTTTTTTTGGTAAAGTTGGTTAGGTATATTATATATATATATGCAGAGAGAGCACTATTGCTTATCTTAAATAAATGCGTATTTATAGTAGCAATTAACTTTGCGATCGAGCAGTTGTTAATGAGCTGACGAATACATCGATGAATTCCTATTCTTGGGTGGATTCGACGGGTATATGGCATCGCACCTCTTGTTTCTTTCTATTTTCCTTGGCTTCTTCGTGATCGACCAAAACCAAATACAATGGCGCTGTTTTTTCTCCTAGGAATAAATCCGGCAAAAATCAAACAACTCATATGTTGTCAACACCCCTTAAATCATCTAAACACTAAAAAACAATAAACTAGCTTTTCTTCATTCTATTTTTTTTTAACTATATGTTTAGAAAAGATTCGGAAATGAATTGACCGATTGGCTGATACAACACAAGCAGTAACAAATTTCTGGGAGATCAAAAGAGTTTAAGTCCACCGTCGGAGTTCCCTTTGGTATGATTCATCTTTACCAGAGGTGTCAAAATATAAATATAACTCAACCCGAGTAACACACCCGATCAACCCGACCTGCAATCCAATCGCAACCCAAATTGACCAAAACTAAATGACCCATAACCAACCCGACGCGCAACCCGACTAACCCATAACTCGATTGACGTGCAACCCGATTGCCCCACAATTCGATTAAAACCGTAACCCTATTCACCTGAATCCGACTAACCGGTAACCCCGTTGACCCAAACTGACCCCACCCGATTGACGTAAATAGTTACTATATTATATAATATATAGTCTTTCAAAATGAAGCTTTCGTTCTAAACCTACGTAAAGCCATTTTTCATTTCGTAAAAATGAAGTTCGAAATCTCAAATTCACTTGCAATTATGTATTTTTAATAAGATTACAAAATGTTCAGATATCAAATTCACTTGAACATTAAACTCTTTAACAAGATTATGAAAAAAATTATGAAATATAAAATTAGCAAAATGCCAATACTGATAATTAATAATTAACAATGAATAATTTAACTACTCAACAATGTATTTGGTAATTTGATTATGTTAAAAGAAGTGAGAAATTTTGGTGTTTTTAACTTTTATGAAAGAGAAAGAAGAGGAAATTTGTTTATTTCAATTTTTGGAAAAAAAGTGTTTTCCGTTGAGAAACTTGAGTTGAAATCGAATTGATTGCACCTTGACTTCTTCAAACAATCGAATTAATTACAATTTTAGTGCTTGATTGCTTCGACGTTTATTCCAAGAATTAGGAGTATCGTGTTAGGTACGTATGGTGATAAGTGGAGACAACATGAGCATGATGCAGATAGCCATGAATCCATTTCTACATGATCGGATGAATCCATTTCTACATGATCGGATGAAACATATTGAAGTCCACATACACTATATACGTTAGCTAACATTCGAAGGTGTTATTCAGTTGCAATACTTGAGGGCATAGAATCAAACAACAGACGTATTAATGAAGGCAGTGGTGTCAAGTAGATACTGGTAACTCTCTTTCAAATTTACGTTAAGAACTCAACATTAATTTGAAGGTGGGTGTTAATTATAGGGACTATCTTGTAAATAGCCATCCAAGTGTCACACCTATAACATTAGGGTTTGGAGGCAAAACCCATATAAATATGTAGTCGAACTGTACAGAAGAATTAAGGAAATTAAAACAAAAAATTTGAGAGTGAGATCCTTCCCGTGACTAGTGTCACATGAACGATACCACGTTAAAAGATTTTTTATTACTCAGGAACCTGAGCCCCACATACCACTTTGTGAGAGCGGGGCCTACTAAACCTGGGGGCCATTAGCATTCAAATAGACGCCAATGGGGGTTTCGCCCTCAGCATCCTCATACCTCAGGGAACACCAAGGAGTCTCGCTTGTATCAAACCTGGGATCTGTAACTCCCAAGCCTTCACTGTCGCGCGGCAGCTTTACCGTTAGACTATCTTACCTCTGGTCACGTTAAAACATTCTCTGCGTTCCTTTACATTCCTCTACGTTTCATATCACGAACGAGAGTTTGATCTAGTGGTAAAATTACTATCTTTGAATATGGAGGTCTCATGTTTGAATTTATTAAATAGTACCCAATTACAAAAAGTAATCTACTAAGAAGATATGATCAGATTGATCATTTCCATTACTTGTTATTTTTATGAAGGGGAAAAATTACCATACCAATGATTATCGACGGAAAAGAAAACAACCCACCCAAATTAGTGAATTACAAGTTGGCCGGCGGTTATTAGGGCGTGAACCGGCCAGGAAAGGAGCAAACAGAAGAGCAAAGGCGGCAGCAACAACAACGACGCACTCCTTGAGAGTGTGAAGTTACGTTATTATGCAGTGCACAAGCAAGTACAAAAATTGTACTTATAACCGGTGCAGTAGCAACCCACCCAGCAATAGTTAGGATCTTCATGGGGCCCACACAGGTCTGGGTGAGCCTGCTGACATTTCTCGTCGGTGCAAAGACCGTCGCAGTCGTCCTCCGCCCGGACCGTCTTATTGTTCATCATCACCACACCTCCTCTTATAGGCAGGAAGGTCAAGTTCGTCGTCGACGGAGCATTCTCGTCGACGACATTCTCCGGCACCTCATGGGGACTAACCATTCTCGATGCGCCTGCAGGCAAAACACCTACAACATGCAAATATATATGATCATCTACGCACGAACGAGAGGACTTGGACTAGTGATAATAATAATAATATCACTAATTTTGAATCTAGATGTCACAGGTACGAATCTTTTAAATACGTACATGGAAGGATGATGATGAATTGATGATGAGAATGAGAAGAGGGACTAGTGCAGCAGCCAACTTAGCAACAGTACCACTAGCCATGGTTGGCTGATTTGCTGCTTGCTTCTTTCGTTCTTTTTTGGAAGTTGGTTATATGAGATCAGTCCTACTGCTTGCCTTACACACACGCGTATTTATAGTGGCAATTCATAAGTGCGAGCAAGTTTGTTAATAGGTGCGAATCTCTAACGGTATCAGCATCGGACCTCTTGTTTCCAGCTATTTTTCGTTGGCTTCTCCGTGATGGACCAAAACCAATTGCAATGACGCCGTTTCTTCTCTTAGGAATAAATTCGGCGAGAATCAAACAACTCATATGTTGTTAACACCCCTTAAATCATCTAAACACTATATTAACTTTTTCTGAAGGGTTTTCGAAGGCAGCACCTTTGATTAAGTGAAGAATCAACAGAGTATTGGCCACTTGTCAACATGACACACTGGGCATTACAAAATAATTCGCTGTTAATTAACGGCTACTTTAACTTAGTAAAACGACAGCGTAATAAAGGAACATATATCCCAATTTCATTATGGTGCACCTAAGGCATTTTAGGAAGATATAAAAGATTGACTTGAGCCATTTAGCCAAGCCAAGACAAGCCTCTTTTTATTTGGTCGTGGGAAGATCGTCGTCGATTCGAAGAAGAAACGTACAAAATGCATATATTTGTTTACTTCTTGTTAATTTTGGGAAGAAGTAGGGTTTATTATTGCTTCTATATTGTAGGTCAGAATATATGACCTTCAGTTTCTTATGACGTTTTGCTTGTATTATTAATTTCAATTTTTTTGTGTTCTAAATATTGCATTATCAATCGATGTGATTAATTCTACTTGCAAATGATCTTTATATCGTTGGAATAGCTTCAATTAGTTAATGGTGTAAGTGTTCTAATTTTTTTCCTAGTGAGTAGGAACATTATTTCCGACGACTTTTGTTGCCTTGTCAGCAACAACGTTATTTCTGATGGATTATAACCGATGGACATAGGTCTTTGTCACTAAAATCTACTATTTTTGACGATTTTTTTAGTATGATTTTTGTAACACGCTAATCTGGTCGGGTACTACTTTTACACAAATGTTCTCGTCAAACCATTAACCAAAACAAGAATCGAAGGGACTTGGAAAAAATAGCAATGAAAATTTCTTAAATATCATTGATGAAAAGCCTTGAAATTCGAATAACAATTTCTCGGAACTTGCATAAGCGGAAATCATAAATATATCCTTGTTAAATACACATCAAGTCTTAGTCCTACAAAGTACATGATAATTTAATACTACATAGTGGATGTTCGATCTGGAGCCTTGAACCTCGTTGTGACTTGATCGACGTCCTTAGCATACTCCTGATGATCCTACAGTTTCTGAATGCGGGCGTGGGTCAGTCCTATGTACTAGCTTCGTATTGATAAAAAAAAGGAACTTGACATACACACAATGCACATGCTCGTAATGATCATGCAATGCTTGGATGTATTAAACTTTGATTACTTGAAAATAATTTCGTGAAAGGGCGCCCAAGCTCATCTTAACTAGCGCAACCGTCCGACCACCAAATTAAAACGTGATAAACATGAAACTCCATCATTATGGAAGTTGACATCACCGCCGTGCTAATTAGGTGACCTTCCGGTATCTAATACATTAACTTGAACATGGACTCGTTATCTGAGGGAGGGAGAGGGTTAGCATACATGAGACTTTCTCACTCTGGAAGACTTTTTTCATTAATTAATAATTTATGAAGGGGAAAACAACCCACCCAAAATTACAAGTTGGCCGGGGATTATTAGGACGGGAACCGGCCGAGAAAGGAGAAAACAACCCGCGTCTGAAAGTGAAAAGAGAAGAAGACCGAAGGCAACAACGAAAAGGAAAGCAAATCGGTACACAAACTCCTGACTCCTGAGAGTGTGAAGTTAATTAGGTCATTGAGTGCACAAGCAAGTACAAAAGTCGTACTTATCACCAGTGCAGAAGCAACCGACCCAGCAGTAATTAGGATCTGGATGGGGACCGCACAAGCTTGGGTGAGCCGCCTGACATTTCTCGTCGGTGCAAATATCACTGCACTCGTCCTGTTCTCGGGCCGTCTTATTGTTCATGATCATCACCACACCTCCTCTTATTGGCAGGAAGGTCGAGTTCGTTGTGGTGGTCGTCGTCGGAGCATTGTCGTCGATTCTCGATGCGCTTGCAGGCATAACACCTGCAACGTACATGCAAATAAGTATGATCATCAACACACGCGAACAAACGTTGTTTCGAACCCTAGAGATATTACAGGTGCAAATCCCTTAAATGTACGTACATGAAAGGATGATGTTGACGACGATAATGAGAAGAGGGACTACTGCAGCCAACTTAGTAACAGTACCACTGGCCATGCCTAGCTGATTATCTGCTTCTTTCTTTCTTTCTTTCTTTTTGGATGTACCAATGAATCCGTGGTTAGGTATATATATGTAGTTGCTAATGAGCTGATGAATATACCAATGAATCTCTAACTGCATCGCACCTCTTGTTTCTAGCTGTATACGTTGGCTTCTCCGACCGTGATCCACCAAAACCAATTACAATGAAACCGTTTTTTTCTCCTAGGAATAAATTCGGCAAGAATCAAACAACTCATATGTCGTCGACAACTCATGTGTTGACACAAGCAGTACAAAACTGTTGGGAAATCAAAAGAGAGTTTAAGGGCTCGTTTCCTTCATGCATTTTAAAAATGAAGGTTTTGGTCAATATAATTTTTGGATAAACCATTGTTTTCTTGATAGGTTTCATAATGAATTTCGTAAAAATTATACTATTTACCTATTTAGACTTGCTAACCCTTATTTATTGTTAAAAACAAAACAACATCATCGCTAACGTTCCATCCCTCTCTTCTCAGTCCCCTCTTTCTTGTCCCACTCCCTTCTCCCAACCAGTCTCGTCCCAGTCTCCTCTTCCTCTCGTACTCACAATCGATGGGGAACGAATGATGATTAGAAGGACTGATCCAAAAAGATAAAGAAACCCAACAGCAAGAATCCATGAAAAAGGGCATTGCTATTCGTCGCCCTAAAATTCTTTATTTGTCGCCCTAATTAAATTAAATTGACTTAAATGCCCTTAGTCCATATATTTTCTTTCAAACACTTAAAACCCAACGAAACGGTCGTCGACAAAATTCCAGCCATTGCCGGCGAAATAGCCGTGGCGCCAATGCTGCATTCTCCGGCGACGGCGTCCTTTTTTATCCAATGACGACAATAACCCAAAGAAATCCAATGGTAATAATCTCGTCTGTTCCAATGGTGCCGTCCGCAATACCGATCAGCCGGTTTCCTCCGACAGGCCCCTCCGTGTCTACACCGACGGGATGTACGGCAACCGAGCGCTACGAATCGTTTCACTATTGCAAGTATATGGGCTGCTGAAACCAGAAGAAAAATGACTGAATTTGGGACTTTTTATGTTTGTTAGAAAAATGAGCTCCGACCCATTTCAGGCGAGGGGGAGCAGGGGATTGGGGTTCTGGGAGGACGTGGCTTGGGGTAAGGAAAGGGACAAGGACTTGTTTGGGTAAGGTTTAGAAATTCGAATTTTAATCGGGGTAAATATGTCAATTTATTGTGTTTTAGGGCGATAAAATTTGAATTTTAGGGCGACGAATAGCGATTCAGTAAAAAAGAAGGGAGCATGATCAACGTACAAGTTTGTTACATATATATATAACTAGTCGAGATAAGAAAATGAGAGAGGGCAACGTTGGCATTAGAAAAAAATGAGGATAAATTAGTAAATAAGCATTATGGACTTGAGACAGCCACACAGATCCCACCCTCTGAGGTGGAATTTCCAAGTCCGTGGGGTTACACGGATTTGCACCCCAAACACCGTGGACACACGGATTTGTTCCAGTTTAATCCATCAAGCAAACGAAGGATTGTGTGCAGAGTCCATGATGGTTGGTTTTTTTGTACCAAATTCATGATGAAATCCATTAAGCAAACGAGGCCTAAGTTCGTTGTCGAACCTGGAGCTGCCTTTGGTATGATTAACCTTTACCAAAGGTGTCAAAACATAACTCAACCCGATCTGTAGCCTCCAGAATCGAAAGAAAATGACATTTCGGAAAAATCGCACGAAATCTATGATGGTACCCCTTTGGAATCTACCAAAATTGACCCAGAATAAATCCGCCCAAATCGGTGCTTAATAGACTTAATCATCGTTCAAGAATAGCCTCAGGCCGAATCCGTGATCTGTAGCCTTCAAAATACAAAGAAAATTGCCTTTCGTCGCCCAAAAAATTACGAAAATGACACCCGAAAATAAATTGGCCCAAATCGGTGCCTAATGGACTTATCATCCGGGGAGAATTGGATCAGTAGACTTCATTATCGGTGGAGAATAGCCTTGGCCTGATTCTGTAGTTTGTAGCTTCCAGAATCGAAAGAAAATGACATTTCGGAAAAATCGCCTGAAATCTGTGATGTTACCCTTTGGAATCTGCCAAAAATTGACCCGGAATAAATAAGCACAAATCGATGCTTAATGGATTAATCATCGTTGAAGAATAGCCTCAGACCGAATCCGTGATATGTAGTCTTCAAATACAAAGATAATGGCCTTTCGTTGCAAAAAAAATTACGAAATTGCCATCCATAAATAAATTGGCCCAAATCGGTGCTTAATAGACCTATCATCAGGGGAGAGTAGGATCAATAGACTTCATTTTCGGTGGATAATAGCCTCGGTCTAATTCTGTGATCTGTAGCCTCCAGAAGCTATTCTTCAACGATGATTAAGTCTATTAAGTACCGATTTGGGCGACTTTCTTCTGTGTCCATTATTGGCGAATTCCAAAGGGGTACCATCACGAATATCGGGCTATTTTTCCAAAATGTCATTTCCTTTCGATTACGGAGGCTATAGATCACGGATTCAGCTAGAGGTTATTCTCCATCGATAAGTCTATTGATCTTATTCTCCACCGACGATTATGTCTATTAAGCACCGAATTGGGCCAATTTATTTTGGGATTTCATTTTCGTATTGTTTTGGACGATAGATGGATCGAAAAGCCAATTTCCTTGGATTTTGAAGTCTACAGTTCACGAATACTCCCTGCGGATATTCTTCAACTATGATTAAGTCCATTAAGTACTGATTTGGGCGGATTTCTTCCGGGTCCATTTTTGGCAGATTCCAAAGGGGGTACCATCACAGATATCGAGCGATTTTTCCGAAATTGGGCTTTCTTTAGATTTTGAACACTACGAAATCACGGATTCAGCCCGAGGCTATTCTTCACCGATAATGAAGTCTATTGCTCCTATTCTCACCGACGATTATCCTCGTTCATAAAATCATACCAACGAGGCATCAAAAGGTACAAAACATATCGTAGGTCTAATAAAATGCACATTGATCAAATAATTACGAGTATAGAGTCAAAAATGCTAAAAATGTATCAACAAAAAGGGGGGAAATGTATCAATTATAACTACGATAAACATTACACTTTTGAGTGTCTATCATCCAATCACGACTCCGGCAACAACGCAATTTGGGTGGTCTGAGCCCTAACAATCCCTCTATGATAGTCGAATTTCCCACCACATATATGTAGATGTGATAACTGTGAAGTACGTACGTAATTTCCCATCTCCGAGAAATTAATATAGTAATCGACGAGCAAGAAGAGAGAGAGTTCAGTTCCCCTCACAAAGTGGGCAGCTAGCCCTGCAATCAAACGGACTGCATCTCTTTATGTATGCATGATTTTATGAAGATGACCAGATTGATCATTTTTATTCCTTATTATTATTGTATGAACGGGGAAAAAACCATACCGATTATCAATCGATGAAAACAAAACAACCCACCCAAATTACAAGTTGGCCGGCGATTATTAGGTCGCGTGAACCGGCCGGGGAAAAGGCAACAACGAAAAGCAAAGCAAAGCGGTACGCAAACTCCTTGGAGTGTGAAGTTAGTTATGCAGCTGTGCACAAGCAAGTACAATAATGGTTCTGACCTTCACCACATAAGCAACCCACCCAGCAGTAATTAGGATCTGGATGGGGACCACACAGGTTTGGGAAAACCGACTGACATCTCGGGTCGTCGCAAACATCATTGCACCTGTCCTCTGCCCGGGCCGTCTTATTGTTCACCATCACCACACCTCCTCTTATTGGCAGGAAGCTCAAGTTCCTCGCCGCCGTCGGCGTCGGAGCATTGTCGGCCGGCTGGGGGCCAACTATTCTCGAGGCCAGAACACCTGCACATCATCCATGCAAATAATAAATACGATCATCAGCAGAGGACGAACAAGAGTTTGGTCTAGTATGGTAATACCAATAGCCGGGAACCTGGAAGTAAACAGGTGGTTCGAATTTCTAAAATAGTACGAAAAAGTAAATCTTTATCACCACGTACATGGAAGGATGATGATGATGATAATGAGAAGAGGGACTACTGCAGCAGCCAACTTAGCAACACTACTACTGGCCGCCATGGCTAGCTGATTTAGCTGCTTCTTCTTTCTTTTTTTTAGGGTTTATTATAAATATGCAGAGTGAGAGAGTAGTACTGCTACTTACCTTACACGCATGCGTATTTATAGTACGTAGCAATAATGCGATGGAGCAGTTGTTAAATGAGGTGATGAATATATCAATGAATCTCTATTCTTGGGTGTGGATTCGACGGCATCGCACCTCTTGGTTTCTAGCTATTTTCCTTGGCTTCTCCGACCGTGATCGACCAAAACCAATTACAATATGACAACCTTTTTTTACTCCTAGTAAAAAAATCCTGGCAAGAATCAAACAACTCATATGTTTACAACTGTAACGAATTATGATTTAAGCAATACAAAAAAAACCAAAGTTTAAACCTGATAATCCTGGAGATCATGACTAATCCAGGGAAGAGATTGTGCTCTCCAAAGCTGCACTATAATCCGAATTTCTTGAGTTTACAACGATTAACCCTAGGTTTATATATATATATATGGTGCCTTCTACGGTACCCCGGGTGAAATTCGGGGTACCGCATACCTTGAGTATAAAAACGCTATCTAGACCTCGAATTACCAGGATTTTTGGGCATGATACTATACCCTAACCCTTAATGAGTGAACTCTAGGTCCTAATTATCTAAATCATAAACTATAAACTCTAAGATGGTGCATTGATTTTTTTACCTGTATTCGGACGAATCATAACCGTCGATTATTGTTTCTAATTAAATTGATCTTCGGGTATAAGATTTAGAGAATTAAGACCTAGATGTTGATCTTTAAGGGTTAGAGTATAGTATCATGTCCGAAAGATTAGTCAATTCAAGTTCTAGATAGCATTTTCTTACTCAAGGTATGCGGTACCCCGGATTTCACCCGGGGTACCATAGAACTCCCCATATATATATATATATATATATATATATGGTGGCGTTTTCAGTGCACCCACTTTTTTGGGTGCACTCAGTGCACCCGCCTCATAATTATCATTCTGAGCATGAGTCCTTGTCAAAACGGTATCAATTGTTGCTTATGATATTATGAACAAGAAGCACATGAATTTGAAAAAAAATCATTCAAAATTTACTTTAATTTGAAAGATTTAGGATTTGGGGATTTAGGGTTAGGGTTTAGGTTTACAATTTGGAAATTTGGGTTGGGATTCTAAATTGAAGGTTAAGAGGTTAGGGTAATAGATTGATTTGTTATGATTCTATCTCATATCATCATATTAGATTGAGAGTACTAATTAAAATTCAAAATTTGATGTACTATGGACACTTTTAGAGTTGGGTGCACTGAGTGCACCCAAAAGAGTGAGTGCGCCGAAGTAGCCACCTATATATATATGGCATAACACGGCTACTAATTACTAATTACACAGACACTTAAACATAGCTTTGATAAAATATAAGTTGGTACTTTGATAAATTATAAGTTGATAATTATATATAGGGCATAACGCTAATAGCTATTGTAATAAAAACAGTGAAACGATATTGATGTGATTCTGTTTTGTTTTGCGCAGTCTAAATTTGGCTATATATTCCGGTTGAGCATTTGCTACTTGTCTGTTAAGAATGGTAATTAATGGGTGCATTTGTCACGTATTTGGATACTAATACCTGCTTCGTGGAAAGTCGAGTTCAGATTAAGTAATTTATCATGGGGCACGAATCGAGGAATATCAACCTATATAGATATATAATTTAAATATAAAACATTAAAAATATTTATGTATGTAGTTAAATTATTTCAGACATTATAGCTCTCATCTATTTGCAACTTTACTATAACTAAAATATTAGGTAAGAAGAGTTAAATTCTAACTAATTAGAATAAAATTACATGTTATTTAGATAAGAAATGATCAAATAAGAGAAGGATCAGGACAACTTAGGTCAAATAGACCGCTCACGCCTTGCCTGTCTACGGTAGGATATTTGACGCTAGCCAGCTCTATATGTAGAATCAGTAAATTAATCAGCTGATCATCATATTATTCGACCAAATCCTGGGTTCGAATTTTGAGAACAACAACTAACTAACGAAAGAACGTTGTTTTCTGACAATTTAACAATGGTGGAGGGGAGGAAGCATGATCTAATCATAGTTTCTCATCCCACAGCAATTGATGCGGCCGGTAGAGCCCTTAACCTAACGTTACTCTTTTGCAGAACATTGCTCCGTCGCCGACATAAGGTCGGCGGCGGAGTAATGTTTTGCGAAGGAGCAGGATGAGGGGCTCTACCGGCGGCAGATCAATTCTTGTGAGATGAGAAACTATGACTACGATCAATAGCCACCACCATATGACCATTATGAAGATGCCCATCTTTCACTACTTTATATTTGTACGCGCATGAATGACTATTTCGACTAGACCCTTTTCATTAGATCCGTTTGACATGTTTTGGAGCGTCTAATATCCTCCCGTAGGCGTGAGGAGTCTCTTTGACCTTAGTTGTCCTGATCCTTCTCATATTTGATCCATACTTACCTAAATCACATGTAATTTTACTAAAATTACTTATGATTTAATATTTTAGTTATAATAAAGTTGTAAACAAGTGTGAGTTTCAATTTTTCTAATAATTTAACTACATTCACTACGTTATAGTTTGTTTCTTGATTTTCTTCATGAAAAATGAATATTTTTAATGTTTTCTATTTAAATTTACATATCTATGTATATGGGTTGACATGCCTCGCAACTCGTGTCACTTAAAAAATTACATGATCTGACGAACAAGGGCTTGACCTAGTGGTAATACCACTAGCCTAGAACCTGGAGGTCCCAGATTTGAATCCCTTAAGTAGTACCTTAATAACAACAAAATAAAAATTTATATCACCCTTATAAAAAAAATTACATGATCTGAATCTAAATTGCCACGAAACACATATTAGTATCGAAATACACGCCACTCCCCGCGATTACCATTCCTACTAGTGAGTTCACTAACAGACAAGGTACCAAATGCTCGACCGGATTATATAACCAATTTTAGACGGCGCAAAACAAAACAGAATCTCAGCAATATTGTTTCACTGTTTTTTGTAGAACTTTCACTGTTTTTTATTACAATATATGTAGTGATATAATAAGGAAAAAAAATTGAGTAATTTACGTCAACAAAACTATAGGAGGCAGAGAATATTCCTAGGAGAAGATAAGGTTGTCGTCATTGGAATGGGTTTTGGTCGATCGATCACGACAAAGCCAAGGAAAATAGAAACAAGAAGTGCGATGCTATGCCAAGAATCCACCCGAGAATAGAAATTCATTGATATTACTCATCAGTTCATTAATTGTTACTATAAATACGTAGCAGCAGTGCACTCTCTGCATATAACCAACTTCCATAAAGAAAGGAAGAAGAAGAAGCAGCTAAGCAACTAATCAGCTAGCCATGGCCAGTGCCAAGTAGTAGTGTTGCTAATAAGTTGGCTGCAGTAGTCCCTCTTCTCATTATCATCATCTTTTCAGGTACATACTAGTTAAAGTGTTGGGCATGTGACTCGGACCTAGCCGTGCAAGGTAAGACGCGCCGACACAAGGCGCGCTCGAAGGTCTAAGGCGCGCACGAAGGCCTAAAGGCGCGCCACAACGCGTGCGCGGGTGGAAAGAATCAACGCGCGAAGACCCAGAGCCCCTCACAAGCTGCGCGAGGGTGGAAAGTATCAAGGCGCGGAGACTCCGGCGCGTCGTAAGCCACGCGCGTGCTGAGGGGGACGAACGAGTATCGAGTCACAAAGCCGTAAGGAGTTCCCCTCACACTCCCCGAGGGTCAGCCACGTTGGGATCAGAGATACAGTCGTAGGTACACCTCTGACATGTCCTAGGTAGGGGGATGGCCTAAATCCCCGACACGTCAGTGGTCATGTCAAGGTCAAGGTCCCATCATGTAATCCACCCACTCACCCACCACCATGTAGCCTATAAATATGGCATTTACTCCGGTGGGTGAGGGGGATCGCATTTTAGCCATTCCCTCTCTATGAATATCAACTTCTCTCTCTAAAACTAGAATTCTCTCAATCTCATTCCCAAAGTTCCCGACTTTCCCTTTGTTTAGTCTTCTTGACCCACATATTTCCCCGAACCTCACTCCTACACTCAGTTAGGTTCAAACAATTGGCGCCCACCGTGGGGCCAAGAAGAAACGCAGAAGAAAATCCACCAATGGCAGAGCGCAACCACGACCAACCAGACGAAGCGACGCCAATCAAGGCAATGACCGACCCAAGGGCGTTCGCAGAAGCCAGCGACCTCAACGCGGTGCTCATCGAAGAAGAGGAGCCCGAGCTGACATCCAAAGAAATGAGGGAGCTGATGACGAAGCAAAACAACGTCATAGCTGACATGCAGAAACAAATGAGCCAAGTCATCGCGCTCATGTTGAGCAGGGAGGCCGCGCCAACGGTAGACGCGATAGCGGTCGCGCCTCAACAAGCCTTGGGAGAAGCGTCGGGAATCGCCCAACTACCACAACACGCGCCAACGGAATTCCCCGCGTGCGAAACGCAGGGAATTGAGCCACCAGGGCGGGTGAACCTCAGCTTCTTAGAGCAACACTTGGCTCCGCAATACCGACCCAACCCGCCTAAGAGGGTCCTCCACCAGCCGTTGAGCGCGCAAATAATGGCGGAGCACCCAAGCGGAGCGCCACCCACCCTCCCAACATACAACGGCACGACCGACCCAGAAGACCACGTGAGCACCTTCTGCTTGCGCATGCAACTCCAAACCAACTCCAACGCCGCGCTGTGCAGAACCTTCCCATCGACGTTCACCGGAATATGCCTCGACTGGTATAACCGGCTCCCGAACGGAATCATCCGCTCGTTCGAGGAGTTCATACTTCTGTTCACAACAAAGTTCGCGTCCCAGAAGCGGCGCCCTCTACACCTCAAGGCCCTGATAGATATCAGGCAAAAGGACGGAGAAAGCCTGAGAGCTTTCTACGCTAGATGGTCCAGGGTGGCAATGGCCGTCCGCGACCTTACCCCCGAAACCGCCGCCCATCACCTCATGGAGGCCACACTACAAGAAAAAACCCTTTCCGCAACCATCAAAAAGGGTTGCTGAAGATCGGAAAATGGTTGCCGAAACTTTTTGTCAACCATAAATGGGGGTCGCCAACATGGTCGGCAAAAGACCGTCGCCCAAAGCTCTAGGCGACGATTATGTTATATGGTTGCTAAAAAGATGTTTTGGGCAACCATAATCAATGGTGGCCAAATTGTTGCTCCAGCGACTCATAACATATGGTCGCCAATAGGTTTCTATGGCTACTACTAGTAATGGTTGCTTTAAGGTACAAACTTCAGCAACCCTTTGAATATGGTTGCATAAAGGTTGAAAACTACAACAACCTTTCTGATGGTTGCTGATTGTTAGACTTCCATCAACTATTTGCTTGGGCTGCTAATGGTGTGTCGCTTCCTGCAACCAACTTGGTAGTCGGCTATGATTTGATCATTACTGAAAGTATAATTTTAGCTAACAAAACATAAATTGTAATAGATTTGGTTGTTAATACCTAGAACTTATAAAGTCCGAACATTGAATTTAATAATAGTCTCAAACATTTAAGAAATATATGTATGATACTACAATAATGTACTTTAAATTCTTAAGTAATGAGAAATTCTCAATCATGTGACTAAAATGCTAATGGTAGAACACAACATACAAAACTTCTAACTCTAGTGCATTGACTATACATTATAAATAGTATCATCATAAATAGAATTCTCGTTACTAAGACAACTCCAATGGTAGTCCAGCTATCGGCCAAACATTCTTCTTCCCATAGCCGAGACACTTCATCTGAAGGATATAATACAGAGAGGCATAAGTAATATCTCTTAAGCAAACAACCACAATAGTTTAATGCAACGAACCTTACCAATTTAAATTTCAAACAACCAGCATAAGAGGATACACAGACAAAGGAAAGCTTAAAAAACAGAGAAAAGACCAGAAGATGGAGAAAAGAGAGATGCTTGGTGAAACACCTACAATTAAAAAATGACAGCACATAATTATTAATAATAGCAACAACCAATGTAATACAACTCATTTTCCATTACTTACAGAAGTTCACAGCAAATGGAAGCCCTTACAAATCTCTCCATAACCGAGCCATTACACAGCCATTCTCGACATTAGTTACCTTTATACAAACCCAAATTTGTAACAATTATTATTTGCAAACCATTATATAGCCATAACTAGAATGTACACCAAAGTTCATACAATGCAATAGCTAGGAAGGACTGTTGTAAAAGCTTCAGCGATAGTTTGCAGTGTGTATCTTATAGCTAGATAATAAAAAATATGTTAATCAAGAGACCAAATACAAGCAGATGATAGCCATGATTCTAAAACAATGGCTGATTAAATTCAATGGAAATTTCTTGCTCTAGGCAAGAAAAGAAACGACATAAGGATTTTATCAAAAGCCACCACAACCAACTAACAATCGAACTCGATGAAATTTTTAGGGTTTCATTTCTCACCCGAATCCCAGCTCATACAAACGAAGCAAATAAGACAAGTAGAGGGGACGAGTGGCGACTTACCTGGTGGTGTCATGACTGGAGGAAGCATTCTCACCAACAACGACGGAGGAAGAGCAAAGATTGGATGAAGCGCTCGTCACATACAACTTATTTTTCTCCAGGCTGCCTGAGTTTGAAGGAGGGAAAGAGCGAAAGAAGAAGTATTATAGGCAGGATTGGAAAATAGTAGAGTGGCTTAGCTTGGAGTTCTTACTTGCGATGGAGACCGTGGCCTGGAGTTCCTTCGTGCGAGAGGATGAAATCAGTTTGAAAAGAATCGGGAAAGCATGGCGGCGCGGAGGAATTAGAAAGCGGGGAAGGAGTGGAGCATAGAGGGAGACAACACCGGCAAGGATGACGTTATCTTGGAGGGAGATGAAATCGCCCGAGTCTCGACAGCCGCCTCAGCTGCGTGTGTGGAGAACCAGAGAAGAAAGAAAATTAGGGATTCTGTTTTGGAACTGAAATGGACAGATGGGGAAGATTGAAGGAGACTCGATTGTTTTGTTTCTTCCCACTTCTTTCAACAACAAAACTACGACGTTTGACAGTACCATTTTTTTTTTGGTAGAAATTGACAGTACCATTTCAGTTTAGGTGAATAAAAATAGAAGTTAATATTTAGAATCTTTTATCCAACTAAGAAGATAAATACAATGAGGTGCCCCTCAATTTTAAAAATTGTAAAAGAGAAGGATAGAATTGGGGAAATAAAATTACGTCTGGTAGACAACTGATTTGATGAATATTTGACTTAAGCATAAATCTTTTACGAATGGTTGATTAAGCTTAATTAAACTTGATTTGTTTAACATCATTACTACGTAATAATCAAACATGAAAGAATCCACTAATTAAATGGTGAAGTATATTATGAATCACTAACGTAATGCTTTATCAAAATGATAATTAATAAAAAATTTATAATGAAGATATTAAAATATTCTTGTAATTGAATGAAAAGAAATTATTTTTGATGAAGTATATTATGTATCACTAACTATTTTGATAATGGTTGATGAAGTATTACTTTCCGGCAACCATCTTTCAAATCGTTGCTGAAACTTTGATCAATCCGCAACCATTTCAGTAATAGTTGCTCAACATCAAGTATGAGCAACTATTTTGATAATGGTTGGTGAATCATTTACATTTCAGCAACCATCCTCGAAATCGTTGCTCAAACTTTGCTGAATCGACAACCATCCTTGAAATCGTTGCTCAAACTTTGTTGAATCGGCAACCATTTAAGTAATAATAGTTGTTCAAACAACAAGTATCAACAACTATTTTGATAATGGTTGCTGAAGCATTGACATTTCGGCAACTATCTTACAAGTCGTTGCTCAAACTTTACTCAATCGACAACCATTTAAGTAATAGTTGCTCAAACAACACAAGTATCACCAATTATTTTGATAAAGGTTAGTGAAGTATTGACTTTTTGGCAACTATCTTACAAGTCGTTGCTCAAACTTTGCTCAATCGGCAGCCATTTGAGTAATGGTTGCTCAAACATCGAGTATCAGCAACTATTTTAATAATAGTTGGTGAAGTATTGATTTTGTGCAACCATTTACCTAATGGTTGTTCAAAAGTTAGGTATCAGCAACCATTATGCAAATGGTTGCATAAGTTTTGGCCTATTGACAACCATTTCAAGATAGTTGCTCAATGGTTGGGCATCACCTACTATTTTGTGAATGGTAGCCAAAAGCCTAGTTATCAGCAACCATTTTCTTATGGTCGCTAAGAAAATGGTTGCTGAAACCCTTTTTTCTTGTAGTGCCACCAGCAACATGGAGCTCAAGCGGGCGTTAGCGAAAAGGCCCGTGACGCTGTCAACAGAGTTGGAGATGAAGATTGAAAAGGCAATCACGTTAGAAGAGACCCTGGGGGCAGGATCCGTCAGACGCTTCGAACCAGCAAAAATGCCACGAGAGGAACAGGGGCGTCGGCAGCCTCCAACCCCAATCCCACGAGACCAATTGCTACAGATGCACAGTGGCCCAAAGCGCCACCCTCCTCCCCCACCAGAGCAGGTTCAGCGCGGGCGATCGCCGGACAGGCGCGCGTCCAACGCCTACACTCCCCTTAACGACTCCGTGAGGAACGTGTTCCACGTCCTCCGCGAGAAAGGCTACAAGCTCAATTGGCCTGCCCCGTTGAAGTCCCAACCCCACATGCGCGATCCAAAGAGGCATTGTGAATTCCACAGAGCAACGGGGCACCAGACGGAAGACTGCCGAGACCTACGGTACGAAATAGAGGGCCTCGTACGGCGAGGATTGCTAACCGAGTTCGTTCACGTAAAAAAAGAGCAAGTTGAGGGCCCACAGCACCCGCCTCCACCCCCACAAGCCGATTACGATGATGACACTGGCGCGTATGTAGTGCGCAAAGAAACCGGGGTGGTGACGGTTGAAGGAGATCGCCCCAAGAAAAAAACCAAGCGTGAGCGAGCGACGGAGTGCGCGGCCGTCGACGCACGGACAAAATTCAATCTGAGCTTTGACGACGCGGAGTTCCCACAAGGGGTCCCGTCAGAGGAGCCACTCATCGTCACCGCGCTAATTGCCGCCTGCAAGACCCATCGTCTGCTGATAGACGGGGGTAGCGCGGCTGACATCCTCTTCCAGAGCACCATTAACAAAATGGATATCGACCGCGCCTAATCAGGCACGCGCAAGGCAACCTAGTCGGTTTCTCCGGAACCAGAGTCCCGGTAATTGGAGTGGTCACCCTCCCAGTAGTAATTGGGGACCAGGAGCCTCGCGTCTCCAAGCAAGTAGAGTTCACAATCGTCGATTGTGAATCGGCGCACAACGGCATCCTGGGCCGACCTTTCCTTGCGAAGTTCATGGCCCTCCCATCGACGTGCCACCAGAAACTCAAATTCCCCACACAGAGAGGAGTTGGGGAAGCACGGGGAACGACATGGGAAGACCGCGGTGAGGTGCGCCAAACCAACATCGTCGACACAAGAGCAGAAGAGCCCCGACCGGAATCTATGGATTCCGATTTCGAGGTCGCGCTGGACCCCAACGAGCCGACTAGGAAAATACGCATCTCCACTCACGTCAGCAGTGACGCAATCGAACCACTCGTGACGTTGCTGAATGAGTACAAGGAGCTGTTCGCGTGGTGCACAGAAGACATGCCAGGAGTGCCCAGGGAGGTAGCTCAACATAGCCTTGCGGTCCCAACCAACGCAGAACCAAGGCAACAAGGGTGGAGAACGTTCACTGGTGATAAACTGAAGGCGATAGAAGAGGAGGTAGCGCGCTTACTAGCAGCCGGATTGATCCGCCCCGTGAAATACCCAAAGTGGCTGGCAAACGTGGTCTTGGTCAAAAAATCGTCAGGAGCCTGGCGGATGTGCGTCGACTACACCACGATCAACAAAGTATGCCCGGGAGACCCTTATCCCCTACCGCGCATCGACCAGCTGATCGACGCAACCGCCGACCATGAGACATTGTCTTTCCTCGACATGTTCTCAGGATACCACCAAATCCCAATGTCCATTGAAGACGAAGAAAAAACGGCTTTCATGACGCCGTTCGGAAACTTTTGCTTCGTAGGGATGTCGTTCGGATTGAAAAACACGGGCGCAACGTACCAGAGAATGATTGACACAGTTTTCTCACGACAGATCGGGCGGAACATCGAGGCATATGTGGACGACCTCATTGTCAAAACGAATGCGGGCAAGTCACACCTGGAGGACCTGCGCGAGACTTTCGAAGCCCATCCTGGGAGAATAGGATCAATAGACTTCATTATCGGTGGACAATAGCCTCAGCTTGATTACGTGATTTGTATTATCGTTGCTAAATCTGTGATGGTACCCCTTTGGAATCTGCCAAAAATAAACCAGGAATAAATCACCCCAAATCGATGCTTAATGGACTTAATCATCGTTGACGAATAGCCTCAGGCCGAATCTGTGATCGGTACCCTTCAAAATTTGGCCCAAATCGGTGCTTAATGGATTTATCACCCCGGGAGAATAGGATTAATAGACTTCATTATCGGTGTAGAATAGCCTCGGCATGATTCCGTGATCTATAGCCTCGGCCTTTCGCAAAAATCGCCCAAAATCTGTGATGTTCCCCTTTTGAATCTACCAAAAATTGACCCGGAATAAATCCGCCCAAATTAGTGCTTAATGGACTTAATCATCGTTGAAACACCAAATTGGGCCAATATATTTTGAGATCGTACCGTCGAAAAAATTTTAGGCGCTTTTTCGAATTGTCATTTTCCTTGGATTTTGATGGCTACAGATCGCGGATTTTCCCAGAAGCTATTTTTCAACGATGATTAAGTCTATTAAGTACCGATTTGGGCGACTTTCTTCTGTGTCCATTATTGGCAAATTCCAAAGGGGTACCATCACGAATATCGGGCTATTTTTCCAAAATGTCATTTCCTTTCGATTACGGAGGCTATAGATCACGGATTCAGCTAGAGGTTATTCTCCATCGATAAGTCTATTGATCTTATTCTCCACCGACGATTATGTCTATTAAGCACCGAATTGGGCCAATTTATTTTGGGATTTCATTTTCGTATTGTTTTGGACGATAGATGGATCGAAAAGCCAATTTCCTTGGATTTTGAAGTCTACAGTTCACGAATACTCCCTGCGGATATTCTTCAACTATGATTAAGTCCATTAAGTACTGATTTGGGCGGATTTCTTCCGGGTCCATTTTTGGCAGATTCCAAAGGGGGTACCATCACAGATATCGAGCGATTTTTCCGAAATTGGGCTTTCTTTAGATTTTGAACACTACGAAATCACGGATTCAGCCCGAGGCTATTCTTCACCGATAATGAAGTCTATTGCTCCTATTCTCACCGACGATTATCCTCGTTCATAAAAT